AATTCTCGGATCCGTCTACCCGAATGTATAAACATAAGTTATTGTCATTCTAATTTCTTTGATTTGAATGTTTCTGTACAGAGAATTGTTTAGTACAGTAAGATACAAATACACAGATAATGTAAAATTGCAACTGGGAATGTCCTGTGTTTTCTAAATGTACCCAATAAGGGAAAGCAAGGGCTAGGATCAGTTTTTTTTTTGTTTCTTACACTCCTGCCACAAATCTAGGTAACCACAATAACTATTTGATTTAATTCAAAGTTAAAGAGCAAATAAACATGAAAGGGAATAGACCGGGGTTCCAGTAGACAAAACCAAGACAAAAAAATTCTCAGTAGAAGAAATCCGTTGAGGATTCACCTTGTATTTTTGTTTTTTTTCTTTCAGTTTTCCTATCCTTATGCACCTTTTATCTTAATGATTAGACTACAATCTTAGCCATTTCCCTTTACTTATATTTATTATCTTTGCTTCATTGTGCCGGACTGTAATATAGGGGTTTGCCCTTCTGTGGGATTCTTTAGACCGATTGTGGGTAAAATCAGCGTAGCAACATAAATGGAGCTTTGCTTAAGTTCTGCCCATTGCCAAAATTTGCCAAAGATCATGCTTCCCATGAGAAAGTAGTCCCCACATTTTCTTACGAATAACTAAACCAATAAGGTGAATTTTGAAAAAAATTTAAGAAATAGAAGGAAAAGAAATGATTAATTCAAGAGGAAAATCTGCAAAGTGACAAATGTGCTTTAAATCACTGATCACTACATTACGCTGAATATAAAATGTACACTCTACAACTTCTGTGCTTTTCTCTTGATTCAAACTTTAGTTTTGCTAAAGATTTTTTTTTTGTGATTTCTGCAGTGTAACTCCACCCCCTAGCCAGGTTTCTTCTTTTTTTACAAAGCAACTTCCTTAGACAAACTCAGAGTAAGTACTCGGCCCAGGACATATAAGTGTGGCTATCAGGTAGAGTCATGACCGCAAGCACGGCTTTGAAAAACTCTACAGATAATAAGAGGGCAGTGGTTGTGTCTACTCAGACTGATCTCTCATTGGCTGAACAACACTGTTTATCTTCCACTCAGGATAACATTTTGTAAAAATGGGAAGCATGAGTAAAGTATGTGATTATACTGTGCAAAACTAAAGTGAGAAAAATACAGCATGATTACGAGCCCCGAATCAATGTGATGTCTCCCAGAGTGTTCATTTAAATTCCAGTCAATGTACTCCATTCTAACCTGAAGACAGTGGCAAATGGTTCTGTTCTGTAGGCCAGTATGCAGAGTATCTGGTTTAATAAACATGTTTCATATAAGCCTTATATTTGAGAATTGCTCTATATATTTATAAAATTATCAGAAAAGTTCAAATGTGGTTCTTCTGCAATGCCTGAGTAATTATACAAATCTTTGTGTTTATATTTGTTTTGTTTTTTACTTAGTGTGATATCGCAGTCGTAATATGGCAATGTATAATTTGTGGTCTTAAACGAAAACCGATCTTATAAATTTCAATAAATATCTGAAATATTTAAGATTTTTATGTATGAAATTTGTGAAACTTAAAATGTAGCACAAATGGAAAATGTATTTTGTTAATATATTCAGCATGAATTGGTAGTTCATATTTTTATATTGTTATTTAAAATACCCAAGAGCTTTGTATCTGAAGGTGGCTCTATAAAATTTTAACCACCCCAGTGGCTGTGGCTTTTTTGACACTTTTTCCACGTATTTAAAAGTTTGTGCACACATACATAATTATATGTATATACAGGGTATGAAGAAATAAAATCAATGAATATATAAACAAACAAACAAGTAAAGACTATGCTAGCCTCTTTCAAGGCCTTCAATGGGCAGATTAACAAACAAATTACAATTCTTTACATATTCCATATCCAAAAACAGCCATATTTTTCATCACAAAATGCATAAATAATAAACTGGCCTGCCCACTAGACCTATTATAAGTGGCATAAGATGATGACCAGTAGTATATTTCTGATCCATCTTAACCCCTTAAGGACCAAACGTCTGGAATAAAAGGGAATCATGACATGTCCCAAATGTCATGTGTCCTTAAGGGGTTAAAGGGACATTATAGTCACCAAAACAACTTTAGCTTAATGAAGTCGTTTAAGTGTATAGAGCATGCCTCTGCAGTCTTACTGCTCAATTTTCTGCCATTTAGGAGATATGTCACTTTGTTTATGCTGCCCTTGGCTCACCTCCCTGCATGTGACGTACACAACCTTTTTTAAACACTTCTTGTAAAGAGTCATCTAATGTTTACACTTCCTTTATTGCAAATTCTGTTTAACATTTCTTATCTCCTGCTCTTTTAATGCAAGAGCCTCCTGTATGTGATTAATTTCAATTAACAGAGCAGGAGATAAAAAATGTTTAAGTAAGTTAGCATCTGATTTAAAATGAAACCATTTTGTTTTCACGCAGGCTGTGTCAGTCACAGCCAGAGGAGGTGTGACTAGGGCTGCATTAACATATACAAAAGTGATTTAGCTGGCAGAGAATTGAGCAGTGAGACTGCAGGGACATGATCTATACACCAAAAGTACTTCATTCCTATAATGTTGATTTGGTGACTATAGTGCCCCTTTAAGCTAAATTTATTTTGGACCATATTTCATTCATTCTAATCCACAACTACCATTAGTTTGATGGAAATTACTTTAACCATATATGTGGTACAGCTATGGGCACAAGGTTCACCCCCAGTTATGCAAACAATTGTATTGCAGAATGGTAGTCTACCTCTATTTTGAGTATGTTAGGAAATTATCTTATGCTTTTGAAAAGGGTACATACAGTGGCAAGAAAAAGTATGTGAAACTTTGATGAAGATGAGATGACATTTTATGACCAACTCAAGCAGAAATCCAACCAATTCCAAAGTCACAAGTAGTGATGTCGCGAACCGTTCGCGAACTTCCCGCCTTCAACATGGATGCTGTCCAGGAGGTGGGAGGGTCTAGGAGGGAGGGTCTGCTGGAGATTGGCCGGGATGTGTCAGCTGACCGGAGTTCGCCACGAACGGTTCGCGACATCACTAGTCACAAGTATAGGAAAATACAATGTGCTAACACAAAAAAAAGTATATATAGTTTTTCATGTCTTTATTGAACACATCCCCTTATATATTGACAGTGTTTTGGAAAAAGTAAGTGAACACCTCTATTTAGTTGCTAGTTAATCTTTATTTGGGAGCAATAACCTCAACCAAAAATTACTGGCAGATTAGACCCACGCAATGTTCTGCAGGAATTTTGGACCAAAGAACTGCTTTGACTCATTCTTAGACTTACACTTAAATGGCCATTGGAGTAACACTAAAAAGCTTCCAGTTATTTATAAATGCATAGGAATTTGGGGTAGAGCACAGGTAACTCTTTTTGGTTCATATTCTTAGGATGGTCTGGTGTGAACAGCTCTTTTGAGGTCATTTCACAGCATCTGTATGGGGCCAAGGTCTGGGCTCTAAATGGCCACTGCAAAAAATACACTTTTTTTTTTTAAACAATTCTTTAGTGTATTTACTATGTTTTTGAGCATTGTCCTGCTGCATCACCCAACTTCTGCAAAGCAGCCCATTATCCTGTAGAATATCTTGACAAACTTGGGCATTAATTTGTTCCTTGATAATAAGTGGTCCAGGCCCTGAAGGAGCAAAGCAGCCCAACTGAACTTTGTAACCCTTTCCAGCTTTATTCACTGCAACAATTCTTGATTGTAGGTCAACTGAGAGCTTGTTTGTCAAGGCATGGCTCACATCAAAACTTGTAATCAAAGCAGTTTTATCCCACACCTCTAATCTTGTTTAATTAATTGGGCACTAGGTTTGCCAATTTACAACTCTAACTAGCTTTTGTTGAAGTCATTAGCCTAGGGTACAACATACTTTTTCCAACCTTTACTGTGAACATATGAATGATATAATCAATATATACAAGAACAATACAATGATTAGTGTTGTAACTATGAGTTAAAACAAATTGTGTTTGTGGATTACTGTAATATCAAACCAGATTTTAAGATAAATGTATACATAAATGCAGTCACTTCTAAAGTATTTCACATACTTTTCTTGCCACTGTAGATAACGTCCTCATGATCTGGTAGGTAAAAGGTAATTTTTTAACAAAATGAATTATGTTGGTCGACAATGATGACTATGGCTTGTCTTTCACATCTAGGGGAGAACAAAATTATACACATTTCTTAAAGCTTACTTTTTGTAGAAATTGTAAAACAAAGAGTAAAACCTAATTTAAACCAATTGTTGGTAACAGCTTTATTCAGGTTAGCAAGTACCATTATCTCACATAGGAAGGGCATATACCTAAATGTATAGGTAAATATTAAGATATCTAGGTTATATTAAAATTCGTCGGTCTCTGAAACTCAGTTTGATTTTGCATTTATAACAAAATATAATGCACAGATACAGTTTTATAAAGAAAAGCACTGGTAAAACACTGGTCAGATTAAATGCATTATACTCCAAATAAATATAAAAGGTTGAATTTTGGAGTAATCCATCCACTGCTAAAAACCTAGAGTTCTTTAAATGTGGGTATTGGTCGATACGTGCAGATTAGCCAAGACAATTATCAGAGTTTTAAAACCCTGTTAGAGGGGAATATTTTTAAATTAACAATATAATACATTGTACTAGTAAAACCAAATATCTTTTAAAATGCAAATGTGGAGCCCAATAAGTAAGAACTGATAGAATGTGAAAGGCTATTTGAACACCAATCAGGAATAAGGACAAAGAGTCAAAAACTGTGTCATGCAATACAAATCACAATTAAGTAGGTAGGCACTTATCACTTCACCTGGAATGTACCCGTGGGTCTGAACATCAAGGACCTTGTTCCTTGTCCAGATTAACCATAAATGTTAATGGAAAGAGTTGCAACACCAACCTTCAATTTAGAAGTGACAATTTATTTCAACATTAAAATAGTGGACCTGGCAGTGCTTCAACAAGCTAGAGTTGTATCCCTAATATTATATACAGCTGTAATCAAAATGATTTAACCCCCATTGAAAAATCAGGTTTATTGCCAAAATGTACAGACTTTCAGCTATTTGCAATAAACAAATCAAACAAAAGCAATTGAAATAGCTCAACACAACAAATGCTTCAAGTGGGTTCCCCAAATTCAACTGAAAAAGCAACTTATAATGACTTCTATTGTCTACAATTATTCAACCCCCTGAATAGAATCCCTCACAACAGCACAAATATGACAAACAGGTGTTCTCTAAAGCACACCAGATCCAACTAATCAACTGCTTCATTAATTGCACCAGGTGTGCGGGAACTGGAACATCCAGAATACCTGAACTGCTTTGTTGAGTGTCAAGTTTGACTGCATGTTAGAAATATGGCAAAAGAATGGTCCACAAAGTTAAGAGAAGAGATCATCGCCCTTCACAAACAAGGAACAGGATACAAAAAAATAGCAAAGTCAGAGACGCCATTGGAAGCATAGTTCTCAAGTTCAAAGTTGAAGGAACAGTGGTTACACAACATGAACGGGGCAGAAAAAGGAAACTATCAATGGCTGCAACAGGATTTCTGAGAAGGCATGTTGTGAAAAACCCTAGAAGGGCTGAAAAAGACCTGCAGCAAGCCTTGGTGGCAACAGGCACTGAGGTTTCAATGAGCACAGTAAGGCACGTACTAAACGCAGAAGGTTTCCATGTCAGAACTCCAAGACTTACACCACTACTGACTCAAAATCATATCAATAAGCCACAGATGTTTTGGAATTCTGTACTGTGGAGCAATGAAACAAAACTGAAACTTTTTGGCCTGATGGACCAGGAGGAAGAAGAATGAAGCATATGCTGAAAAGAACACTCTGCCTACAGTTAGGCATGGTGGTGGCTCGGTGACTCTATGGGGCTGCTTTGTATCCTCTTGGCACTGGAAATCTGTAGCGTGTTGAAGGCAAAACGGATTCATTAAAGTATCAGTAAATCCTAGGAGAAAATGTCATGTCGTCTGTGAGGAATTGGACCTTCCAACAAGACAATGATCCCAAGCATTATACATAAAAAGAAAAAAATCTCAGGCACTCACTGTGATTGTATCCAGGCAGGTTTATTTGCAACGTTTCGACCTGTCAAGGTATTTATCAAGCATACCAAGCATACCTCAAATTCCACCCAGGTTTGGTTGCATTAGTAGTCCTGGACTATTCTACAGTTGCCATCACAGTCACCTAACTTGGCTAGGAGACAATTTTGCTGAAAACTGGTAATGGTGGCCAACTATTGGTGACTACAGTGTACACATAAATGTTTCTGTCTGTTATTGCTGCAGAAACAATGCTGCATTTAGTATTTATAGAGTGCTAAGCACAGAGGCATATATTAACAAATAAACTTAAAAAAAATAAAAATAAATCAGAAATACACTTTTTGGTTTTTCAAGATTTTATATTTTAACACATTAATGTTTCCCAAAAACAAAACAAAGCACAGTAGAAATTAAACACAATACCTAAATTTGGTATCGTATAAATCACCAGCCCTTCTCTGCTAGAGAAGAAGATGAATCAAAGCACTAAAAGAAAGGGGCATTTAGGGAACAAAATGCTAAAGACAGGATTGGAAGGAAGGGACAAACACCAATAGCAGCAGAAATTCAAGCTCTTACCTCGACCCAAAAATCAGACATACGGTTGATGTAGCCAATATGGCAACTTTGCCAGCATCAACCATAAGGAGGCACTATTATAAGCAGTAACTGGCGGGGATTCCTCCACCTACTAGCAGCAGTTAAAGATATCCTTCTTAACTTTTACGAATGTGATGCCTGTAGTGCAGTTATGATTATCTTTGGAGAACAGTTTTGATAAGTATGCATGTTAATTACACTACTTGCAATACTTTATATGGTGTGTTAGTGCACATCCTAGGGCAGTGATGACTAATCTTGGCACACCAGACCTTTGTAAACATCACAAATAACTTGAATGCTACGATAATTCATCATTGCCATAGAATGAATATATATATATATATATATATATATATATATATATATATCGACAGATGTTTTTGTTTTTCTCAGGCGTACTTCAAGTACAAAAGGTCAAGATGTATTGCCAACATTATTGTTAACATTTGAAGACTGTTTTTTCCTCTCTGGACTGTCAAGAAGAAAACACACCATGATTGCAACTTGCAGAAAACACACATATTCCTCAGATTACAGTGACTTCATGTTCACTATTTCAAGCGTTCGTGCCTTAAACAATGAATAGGGAAGTATTTCTCAGTTATTCCGGACTGCTGTTACAGGAAAAATAATTGCCAGCATTTAGATGCAGTGTGCAAAGGATACAATGGCTTCCTGGACTGTACGTCCAAGCCCAATAGACTGTCAATGGGCAGAGGTAGCCATGGGCTTGTACTCTTATTTAGGTGCATAGATAACTTCTGTCTATTTTTTTTATTTGACTCCTCAACCAGCCTCTGGTTTTCTTATCCCAACACACTGGGTATCACGTTGAGGCACTCTGCAATAATTCTTCCCAGTCCTTTTCACACTGACAAGTTGTCCGGTTTTTAAAAAAAGTCTTGATCAGCCGCTGGGCGTCTTCTTTTACTGAATGGCGGGAGAGGAAATAAAAGGTTTAGAGCAGATTCCCCTACTAAGGCTTACGAACTAGACTGAAAGAAGAAAAACTAACCATTTTTCCTCAAAGGTGTCTTGTTTTCCCCTGCGAGGAAGTGAGAGAGCTGTCTTGCAAATGCTTTAAACAAATCCTGTGAAGAGCGAAAGAAAGAATCACGTTTTGGTAATTACTGCGTCACAAAGTGTAATCCCATGTCACAGACTACAGGATCAGGTTATATAATGTACCACGGAATGTAACTCTATACATTCTGTGGTACGTACATTGTACAGGACATATGTGCAAGTATGCTGTAACATAGCATTGTTATATAAGGGTTGCATCATCCCACATATTACATGACATATGATAAATTGAAAGAATGTTGCTTCCAACTAAAATCCAGCGAATGCTGTTCTTTCTCTGTTCTTATAAATTCTAAATTCCAGGAAGCCAGTCTGGGTCTGGTTGCCTTTAATTTTGTAACACCGTTCCAATATAAACATATCCCTCACACCTTTTGCTATACTTCTGGCCTTCTATTTATTTAAATAAAGAGGTAATCTAAGCGTAATCACTACAGCATGCTGCAGTGAGTGCGGGGCCAGAAGTTCCTTGGAGCTAAATTGTTTGTGAATGGTTTTACACATACCTGGGTGAATAGATAAGGCAGTGTCAGCAATTCTGATATATGATTGAGATGAACATGGCAGTAGTTGAGGCAGGGAGATGGTAAAATTACAGATATTAGTTAGTTGGACTCACCTTGGATGCAAACTTTCCATCACGGAAGAAGGGCGTCAGGTATTTCACCACTATGTCAGCTGTCTCTTTCAAGCTCACTACTTTGTTTCCAATTGGTGGCTGCAGGATTTTGGCCGTCCCTTCTTTATCTTCCGCGCTCAGTGTGGGGTCAAAAGTCACTTTCTTTTTTCCTTGCATGCCAACTCCTTTGTCGGGGTGAAACAAAATGGAAGATGACTTTATATCGGTTCTTGCTTTCTTGCTGGCTGGCTCTCCTGGATCCTGAAGAAAGAATTGTAAGGAAGGTTGGTGATCTTTAACAGTAAGATTGATTTAAAAAACAAAAAACAAAAAAAACTATTTACTAAAATTTCCAACATAACTCACGTGGACATCAGGTTCTTGTTCTGGTGAACTGGGCCTCTTGGAAGTATCTATCCTGCTAAAGAGATACGCAATCAAAAATAATACACGGAATCAAGTATCTCTAAGACAAGCTAACAATTTCAATTGTGGCATTTTCTTTTTTTTTTTATTAAGTTTTAATTCGTCACATGTCTAGCTTTCTTCACATTTTACTGACCTGCTATGCGTTGATTGCAGGGTTAAACTACTATCTTTTTGTTCCTGTAAATTGGAAGTTTGTGGTGGTGTCTCCTGAAAGGTTTGCAAAGATGAGTTGCTGTGATGTTTCTGCTGTTGTAATGGTTGCGTCACAGGCATGTCCTTAATGAGGTCACTTGTGTCTGATGCATGTGGAAATTTAATGTCCGTCAACAGATCCTTTGTTTCTGGTCGCCCTATACATGTGCTGTCACTAGACCCCAGGTGTTTGCTGTGTAGATCTAGCAGACTTGTTCCTTGACTATTTGGCTCGTGCCCGTTCACTAGGTCTTGGCTCATCAACGTATCTCTGTTAGAAGGACTCTCACTGCCACTTGCTGTGCTGGTTTGGATAGCTTGTAGAGGTTTGATTTTGGTTTGAGATGAGAAAAATTTGGAAATTTTCTGTGAGTCCTTCACTGCCGCAGTTTCAAGTTCTTTTTTCTTTTTGTTAAGCTTAATCTTTTTGCTGGGACTATCCACCTTTTTATTAGGACTACTCAACTTTAAACTTTCTTTATTTTCTGAGTTGGCTGCAGCACTCTTTGTGACCAGCTCCCGGTTATTCCCCGGATCAGACAGTATTTTTTTATCTTCTGGTTTTATAGATTCTAACATGCTGGATGCAGACTGAAATGGAGACGGTGCTCCAATTCGTTTACACTTAACCTGGATTGAAAATATAATATTAGTCATGATTAAAGTTCTAGGGTGCTAAAATATAAACACAACATTTCTGTGAGGAGTTTTATAAAAATTAAGAATTTCCAATACTTTTCACATAACCACAATAATGACATAATTGTTTTAGTGAAAAAATATTATTATTATTTATTCTATATGTTTATTCCTACGCTGGCTGAAAACATTTTAAATAGAGACTTTGGTAAGTGTAGTCTTTTTAAAGAACTTTGAAGCGACTGCAGTATTACATAAACTTAAAGGGTTACTCCAACTCCCATGACCACTTCTGCTTTTAGAAGTGCTCATAGTGGTAAAAGTCTGTATGTGCATTGTTTCTACTTATTACGCTGGACATTACAGTGACTTCATGCTCACTATTTCAAGCGTTCGTGCCTTAAACAATGAATAGGGAAGTAGTTCTCAGTTATTCCGGACTGCTGTTACAGGAAAAATTATTGCCAGCATTTAGATGCAGTGAGCAAAGGATACAATGGCTTCCTGGACTGTACGTCCGAGCCCAATAGACGGTCAATGGGCAGAGGTAGCCATGGGCTTGTACTCTTATTTCACTTTTGTGCCAAGAGCTAGTTACATCCCTGACACATGTGACTTTGGCAGCCTAATGTTAATTCTGTGAAAAAATTACCTCTGTCCTCAGAACGCATAGTGCACTCAGGACAGATTTAATGAGATTCTCACTTGCAGACAGCACCTGCATTGGGAAGCATTTATATCTTCTCCCTATATCTTTTTTTAGAAAAGTTTTTAGCTCCCTGCCTCGGCCGGGGGCAACTTCCACGTAAACTACAGCCTAATTTTATTAGTTAGTTAGTTTACAGTTTATGTGGAAAAATTGTGGTGACCTAAAGAACAATACCCAACATGGCATTATGAATTAAGAAACAATAAAAAACAAAAGCTGACAAGAGTTGCAGTAACCCTTTAAGATCATTGCACAGTGCTACGGAATGTGATGGCACTATATAAATAATAATAATCAAATGTTATGTATATACTGTGGTTACATTAGCGATATACAAATTAGCCACTAGGGGGAGTGGCATTCCATGATGATAATGGGTTATGTAATGTAGACAAGCGCACTCTTTTAAAAATCAAGGAAAACAGGTAATCCCCACTCTTTAGTGACCTGCCTGAAGATGAAAAGGTCACAACAGGCACCAGCTTTAAATTCACAAAAATAAATGTAAAGTGTAAATGACGAGGTTTTATAAAAAGAAATGTCTTCTACGCTGCACAATCATTATGGAGTGCTTGTCCCCCTAGTGACCAATTAGTATATGGCAATAGTGAGCGCATAAGGAAGCATAACATTATATTCTATTGATTATGTAATACTGCAGCTAGCCCAAGGATCTTTAAAAGGACTAGATAGAAAACAGGTTTCTGTCTGATTAGTCACTGTATAAGGTCCTCCCTCTGGCTGCATGCTGTTTAAGTCATTTGTCATTATGTAACCCTTTTGGTCATTTTGATGTCCTCAAGATATCGGTCACAATATACAAAAAAATGATTTTTTTTCCATTCTGAACAGGATTGCATTTTATTGTCTTAAACACAGGTACCGTTTGATTTTTGTGTATAACTTTGTTCTGTTGGCAGGCTGGCATTATAACAATAGTCTTCATATCTTGACATGGTTGCACAAATGGTCAGAATTAGTTCAGCCTTCATAACTGTGGCATAATATAGACCATATTTTCTATACACACCGAATGCATTTGCGATGCAGATACAAATCCACATTCTGAGGAATCCGTTTTTTCTTCTGTTTTCTGACCACAGTCATTGGATTCAAACACCGTGTGCAGCTCTCTATCTTTTGATGCCTTGTTGATTTCAGCAACCTGTGGACCAATGGAGCAAGGGTTACATTTACAGCTTATTACCAGACTCCTATAATTTGTATTTAATTGTTCAACATGACTGTTTCCACAAAGATATAGTTAGTGCTTATTTCTAAACATATAATGCACTCATAACTGCTCAGATATATTTTCGGTTAAAATGAGATGAGGTTAATCGGTTGATGATCTCATACTTCCTATGTCAACATATATCTTACCATACCTAATACTTAAATGACTCAGTCTTGCACATGTCACAAGTTCTCTCCTACATTAACCTTATCCTCCATCTGTGTCACATTACTTATCTCCTTGAGTCGGCAGGCAAGCCATACACTATTAGCTCCCACCTGTAATCACTTCCTCACCTGTTTCTATTTGTGGTCAAATGCCAGAATTGAAGGTCTTCCTCGTGTGCATCTAACCTTCACTTTGCTCTTGTGCAGCCCATTAAAGATGGCAGCATGCTATGTCATGATAGATCTGTGCCTATATCTACCCTGCTATTTCCTTGGCATTAGTAAGAAAAACTCCACTGGTGTTTTAGACATTTTTCTATTATCTTTATAATGACCCAGCTCTGACCCTTGAATTTGTTTGGCTCAGTTACCCTTATCTGGTAGCTAGTTTTCTTGTCCCTAATTCTTTGCTGCATGTGTCACCGTATGGGACGACTGACTCATCATACGTCTGATCTTTTTGCTGTGTATTCTAGAAGACTCAGCTTGGGTATGGACAGCTACACAAGCCTGAAAGACATTTCCTAATATACATTATCTTCTGGATCTATATATTCACCTCTGTGCCATGTAAGACTGTCATAATAGTCCTATGCATCCTGTCAAACAATCCAACAACCAATCATTCACCATATTACAGTAGAAGAAATGTGTTGATTTAACATCACACACTGCTCTAATTCAAGGCTTTTGGGACTGTTTCTTTGTTTGGGTCAATGCAAGTAAATAGATACAGTGTGAATCCGGGAAGGAACAGCAGCCTTCAAGGAACACTATATAGTGTTAGAAAAATAAATCTGTATTTCCAACACTATAGTGTCCTAGTATCTGATACATTCTGTAAGACCGTCATTAGAGATGTGTTTAACCCTAAAACATTGCAGTTTTGTAGATAGGTATGGCGGGCGGGTGGGCGTCACGCTGGTGGGTCGAGCCACACGCCTAGCGGCGCACTGTGTCGGCTCTGCCCACGTCTTATGATGGATGCATGTGACCCCTCCCGGAATCTGTAGAGTGGAAGGAGTGGCCATACAGTGGGAGAAGTATGGGGTTGGATTATCCATGGAGTGGTTGGCGGAAGTGAAGAGCAGAATGGACACACCCCCATCAAGTCTAATGGAATCACCAATGAAAATAGGAAAAAAGACTGACTTTTTGGCCAACTTATAGGACTGGAGGAGAAGGTGATATAGCCAATAATATTCGATCTACCACATGTGCATCCAGACAATTGAAGTTATTAAGGGGCAGTTAGCCTGAAGCATCTTAATTGGCTGAACTTAATCACATTTTACCCTAAGGGAGGGTCTTTATGCTATTTAAAGATGGCAGATTCCTGAGACTGACTAAAAGCTGACTGGAGAGGCTCAGAGGAGAGTGAAACGCGTATTGGCTGACTTTGGATATCCAAATACAGTGTGGACAGTATTTATTTTACTATTTTTAACTTTTTTTGGTTAATAAATTGATTTAGTATTTTAAAGAAATCTTTATTTTTTGGGGAAGTGCCATCCCCCTCTATAATGGCACTATACCTTTATACCTTAGAGCCGGGACCTTTGGCTCTAGATAAGGTAAGCTCAATATTTAACCTCCTATTGATTATCGATTTGATTGACATACTAAACCATATCAGTCTCTTTCTCTCTTTATTGCTGCCCTAAGAGCATACCTGCCTGATATACGCAATATGGAGTAGTGTGATGCTGCCCTAAGAGCATATCTGCCTGATATACAGAATATATATAGGCTCCGTTACATGTGAGTGGTCTGACTTTAAACTATTGCACTATTGAAATATTTTTACCATCTGTACTATATTTGTATTCTTTAGTTTTTTTATGTATTGAATTTCGTACTGTCTATACCTGGTCAAAACGGAGGTAAGTCATTCCCTATAGTTTTGCACTTTAGCGCTCCACTATAGGTACAAGTGTATCTTGTACCATTAAAAGGTGTTTATAATTTTGTATTTCATTTATTTATTTATTCACCATTTGTATCGTATAATTGTACACCCCTTACGTCCTATTTGGTACTGAAATCTCTATCACAATAATCTGAATACTTCTCTCTCACAATCATCATTTACTACAATGATAACAAAATAAACTCATCAATTCTTGCTTAATGATAAAACACCCCTTCTGACATTTTCCTCTTAAACTTCTCTTTCTGGTAACCGATGCCCAATCGTACCCTTTTCAGTATTGCTGCCTTGTACAGGTTGGACATCTTGCTGCTTCTGAAAACTTCATACTCAAGGTCCACAGCTGAGGCACCTGCGTCAAAACTGACAATGGACAAAGGGGAGCACAAGCTACATTAAAATACATGTTAATAACAGCTGAGAATGATAACATCATGTCATTGCATAGCATTTTATAAATACAATAAAGCAAATGATTGCATATATAATGTATACAGCGTAGTGTTTTTGGTTGTATGCACCTACCGGTTATCTCGGTCTGCTGTTTCCAAATTCTTGCTCAGAGCGTCCTCTAACATCTTGAGACAATGTTCCCGTGCCTGTAAGTCCAACATATATTAACATTGTTACCACCTAACCAGAGTTTTAAAAATAATTCTTCATAGAACATTGTGCCATTATCAAGACCTCTATGACGCTATGGCAAAGGTCCCCACCAAAAATGGAGAAGGGCTTCTTGAACTTCTCATCACAGGGACACTACAACCCCTAAAGCATTTTTAGCTTGCTCATTGTCATCACTTTATAAAATTATCAATTTCAGCTGCCACACTGAATTGAAGAAAAAGCCCATGCAGTCAATATGGCCCCATGTGACTATAGGACGGCTTCACAACTCCCTTAAATATCCCCCACCCACCATGCTGCAGCCAGTGGCTGCTCACTGACACTTCCATTAGAGACTGGATAGCTATTGGGAGACCAGTGCTGTGGACATCAGGTAGGGGCTACATGTTAAGAATCGGGGTTTGGACTGGTTAGGGTCTACCACATGCCCCTCCCCTCCCTCCCCCTTACACCAGCCAACAAGTGAATATTCAATAATAATACATGGGGACATGCCATTGTCCCTCACCCACCCATGGGCAGCAGGTGAGGGCTATAATATAGATATGGGGGGCATGCCTTTAATTCTCCCTTAAGCATCCACCTACAGGTAGTATTTGGGATCTATTAAATGTCCAAGAGGGATGGACATGCCAGCAGGCAAATAGTTCAGACAAAGATTTAAAATCTGGGCCAATATTTCTAGCCATCCAGCAGCATTCAAAACAGGCTGAAATTCACAATCAATGCTGGCTACTTATGAGCCAGAATTGTAAAGACCAGTCATTGTTAAATACTGTGAACAATGTCTGAATTACTCTGCAATGGAAAATCATTGGAGATCACCCAGGATTCTGGTGGTGTCACACGAACGGACAGTACATAAAATATCTACGCCAGCCGAAGCACCACAATTTTTACTGAAACTGGGCTTGACGGGCCAGAAGACTGGCCCTGCACAACGAACCAACCCGCAGGCACGAGACCCACAGAGAGCTGTCCCCTCCACTTCTGCGATGCTCCCAACCTTCTCACCAGGGACTTGAACACAGAGGATGCGGACAGTCGTGAAGCTGCAGTTCGAACCCTTTATGTTTAGTTTAACTGTGTTTACTATTTTTCCTATTCAGTTTTATTACCTATAATTTAGACTATTGTTTGGACAGATACAATACATGAGCTCGACCTAGTTCAGCTAGTTAAATGGAGCCTAACCACTCGTAGATAGATGCTCCCAGATGACAGGGTACTCACCCATACACTAAGGGGAGTGTTCTAACACCAATAATCCCCCCACCCCCTCCTGCTGCCCCCTTGGTCAGGGGAACACTTAGAAGACAGCTGAACCGCTCACCCAACCCTTGGTCACAATTCTGTGTACATAAACTATGCCGCTGAGTGCTGGGGAACTCTCCAGTTCATGTCAAATGGCTTGCAATTAGTTTGATAACAAAACAAAAAGGGACTGTACCCAAAGCCTCTTTATACCATAACTACTACAATAAGGTGTAGTGGTTATGGTGCTTAAAGAATCTCTCTAAAAAGTTGGCCATAATCTCACATTAATAGACAATGCTTCTATGTGTTGCTCACCCTGACCTACCTTTACTGTCAGTTTGGGGATCTTGTCATTAGATGCATCTTTCAAACGGCAGTCTTCATCTGTAAAGATGGAAAAATGATGCTATAAATTAAACGAATACCACAAAGCAACTGTAATGTCTACAGAACACTGCAGTGGTTATGGCGCTTGGAGTGTTCTATCAATCTACTTGTTTGAGTCCTCTTTTACATATTGTAAGATATCAGAGAGTAATGTTTTAAAATCATTGCAATAATAAGCCTGCCCCACCTGGATCAGGTGCATTAGGTCCCAACCTCCTCCCAAGCTGCAGCTACCAAAACTGCAAGGAAGGCTGTGAATAGGCTCATGGCATCCACAATTTGGCTGCTATCAGATTGTTAGGCAGTTCCATCGAGCTATGAAGCAAGTGGAAATGTGAGAGGGGACTAAATGCCTTAATCCATACATTTATCTTATAACAAAATCTCTATAGATCAGAACGAGAAGTCGTCCATCTCCTGGACTGAAATGGGTCTGCCTTCTGTTTTTGCCAGCAGTGTACAGGCAGAAGCAGCAAGAGCTTTGATGTTGATCTGCGTAGTTATTAGTTATTTGCACAGTTTGTTTTACTTTTCTTAAAACACTATCCATATACTGCATATAAAATAAAAGTGGTTATTTTTCCATAGAGAAAAGGGCAGGTGGAAAGAAAAATGGGATATTTCAAAGAGTGTCCTTTTTACTGAACAGCTTTATACAGCTCAAAAGGTTCCCTATCATTTCAAATATATTTAAATAAAAGTTCTAACGGAGTCATATGTTCTCTGTGTTTATTTGCCTCTATGATCTCGACGGTTTAGAACCTGTATGGTTTGTATTAGTAAAAGGAGAGGTAAATGTTTTCCATTGACATGATTCATGCCGAGTAGGTTTAACTATGATCCTTAAAAGGTTACTGTAAGCCTTTTTCCAACCTAGCTTTTCTAAACTTCTATAACCCCATCAAGTAATTACACCTCCATGTGTGGCCTAAAACCTGTTAAAAGAAGATCTAAACTTACCTGGAATCCAGCACTGGGAAAGCTCCCCATGTTGCTTTTCATGGCTCCTCTGTTGTCAGCACTGCTCTCTCATGGTTTAATCGAATGCTTCTCATAGAGAAGCATTTGATTAAAGGGTTTGCCCAGCTCAGAGCACATGCAAATGCTGTGAGCCAGTGAGGGATTTAAAAAAACAAAAACAAAAAAACAACAACAACAACAAGGTAAAGATAAATATATAAAACAAAGAGAGACCACAATAGTGTGGATAAAATAAAAAACCATAAAAACTAAAAACTAAGATACACTCACAAACATATGAGTAAAATAGACGGAGTGTATAAATCTCATTCAGGTACTTCTTTTATTCTTTTTTTCCCCACTTTAAAGCTTTAGGGTAAAGTAGAAAAGCAAGACATAGTGTATAACTGTATATATAAATAGGATAACTTTATTTGATTGCACTCACAAGATTAAGGTAGTAAAAAAGCCCATCAAATAGTAAGATGTCTTCAGTATCCAGAAGAAAGTAAATATACAATCAGGATAAGAAACAAACGAAAATAAAATCAGCAATAAAACAGTAAAAGCAAAGGAATCCTGCCACCCTACGCGTTTCGTCCAAAAGACTTCGTCAGGGGCGTATGGCAATTAACATGATTGTATATTTACTTTCTTCTGGATACTGAAGACATCTTACGATTTAATGGGCTTTTTTACTACCTTATTCTTGTGAGTGCGATCAAATAAAGTTATCCTATTTATATATACAGTTATACACTATGTCTTGCTTTTCTACTTTACCCTAAAGCTTTAAAGTGAGGAAAAAAGAAGAAAAGAAGTACCTGAATGAGATTTACACACTCCGTCTATTTTATTCATATGTTTGTGAGTGTATTTTAGTTTTTATGGTGATTTATTTTATCCACACTATTGTGGTCTCTCTTTGTTTTATATATTTTAGTCTATACTTAAGAAGACATAGAGGAGTCTTCGCACTACCTTTAAAAGGGGTAATTTTTATTTAATTTTCCCCTTTTAGCCACAAGGGTAAATATTGCACATTTCTGTTTTTAAAACAAGGCAAAGAACAGGTAATGGAGGGATGCAGCTTGTGGAGGGAGACAGGGAGTGGAGAGCTAGGCTGTCTTTGCAGGCCTACAAGGGAGAGACAATATCTGCCACCAGCGCGCTGATTGTAGAAATGGGGAGAATGGCAGAGAGTGATGGGTATATGGGGAGAATGGCAGAGAGTGATGGGTATATGGGGAGAATGGCAGAGAGTGATGGGCATATGGGGAGAATGGCAGAGAGTGATGGGGATTATGGTGAGGATGGCAGAGAGTGATGGAGATATGGGGAGGATGGCAGAGAGTGATGGGATATGGGGAGGATGGCAGAGAGTAATGGGGATTATGTGGAGGATGGCAGAGAGAAATGGGGATTATGGGGAGGATGGCAGAGAGTGATGGGGATATGGAGAGAATGGCAGAGAGTGATGGGGATTATGGTGAGGATGGCAGAGAGTGATGGAGATATGGGGAGGATGGCAGAGAGTGATGGGATATGGGGAGGATGGCAGAGAGTGATGGGGATATGTGGAGGATGGCAGAGGGTGATGGGGATATGGGGAGAATGGCAGAGAGTGATGGGGATATGGGGAGAATGGCAGAGGGTGATGGGGATATGGGGAGGATGGCAGAGAGTGATGGGGATATGTGGAGGATGGCAGAGAGTGATGGGGATTATGTGGTGGATGGCAGAGAGTGATGGGGATATGGGGAGGATGGCAGAGAGTGATGGGATATGGGGAGGATGGCAGAGAGTGATGAGATATGGGGAGGATGGCAGAGAGTGATGGGAATTATGGGAGGATGGCAGAGAGTGATGGGGATTATGGGGAGGATGGCAGAGAGTAATGGGGTTTATGGGGAGGATGGCAGAAAGTGATGGGGATATGGGGAGAATGGGAGAGAGGTATGGGGATATGGGGAGAATGGCAGAGAGTGATGGGGATTATGGGGAGGATGGCAGAGAGTGATGGAGATATGGGGAGGATGGCAGAGAGTGATGGAGATACAAGCGTGGGGGAGGATGGCAGAGAGTGAGGGGATATGGGGAGGATGGCAGAGAGTAATGGGGATTATGGGGAGGATGGCAGAGAGTAATGGGGATTATGGGGTTGATGGCAAAGAGTGATGGGGATATGGGGAGAATGGCAGAGAGTGATGGGGATATGGGGAGAATGGCAGAGAGTGATGGGGATTATGGGGAGGATGGCATAGAGTGATGGGGATTATGGGGAGGATGGCAGAGAGTGATGGGGATATGGGGAGAATGGCAGAGAGTGATGGAGATATGGGGAGAATGGCAGAGAGTGATGGGGATTATGTGGTGGATGGCAGAGAGTGATGGGGATATGGGTTGGATGGCAGAGAGTGATGGGGATTATGGGGAGGATGGCAGAGAGTGATGGGGATATGGGGAGGATGGCAGAGAGTGATGGGGATTATGTGGTGGATGGCAGAGAGTGATGGGGATTATGTGGTGGATGGCAGAGAGTGATGGGGATATGGGTTGGATGGCAGAGAGTGATGGGGATTATGGGGAGGATGGCAGAGAGTGATGGAGATATGGGGAGGATGGCAGAGAGTGATGGGGATTATGTGGTGGATGGCAGAGAGTGATGGGGATTATGTGGTGGATGGCAGAGAGTGATGGATTTATGGTGGATGGCAGAGAGTGATGGGGATATGGGGAGGAGGGCAGAGAGTGATGGAGATATGGGGAGGATGGCAGAGAGTAATGGGGATTATGGGGAGGATGGCAGAGAGTGATGGGGCTTATGGGGAGGATGGCATAGAGTGATGGGGATTATGGGGAGGATGGCATAGAGTGATGGGGATTATGGGGAGAATGGCATAGAGTGATGGGGATTATGGGGAGAATGGTATATATAGGAGGATTGGAGATAGTGGGGGATAGGCAATGGCAGAGAGTGATGGGGATTATGTGGTGGATGAAGGAGGAGTGATGGGATTATGGCTGATGGCAGAGTGATGGGATTATGGGGAGGGGATGGTGATGAGTGATGGGGATTATGTGTGATGGCAGAGAGTGATGGGGATAAGGTTGGATGCAGCAGAGAGTGATGGGGATTATGGGGAGGATGGCAGAGAGGATGATGGCGGGGTTGATGGCAGAGAAAGTGATGGGGATTATGGGGAGTGATGGCAGAGTGATGGGAGGAGGATTTGGCAGAGAGTGATGTGGAGATATGGGGAGGATGGCAGAGAGTGATGGAGATGGGGAGGATGGCAGAGAGGATGGAGATTATGTGGTGGATGGCAGAGAGTGATGGGGATATGGGTTGGATGGCAGAAAGTGATGGGGATTATGGGGAGGATGGCAGAGAGTGATGGAGATATGGGGAGGATGGCAGAGAGTAATGGGGATTATGGGGAGGATGGCAGAAAGTGATGGGGATATGGGGAGGATGGCAGAAAGTGATGGGGATATGGGGAGGATGGCAGAGAGTGATGGGATATGGGAAGGATAGCAGAGAGTTATGTGGATTATGGGGAGGATGGCAGAGAGTAATGGAGATTATGGGGTTGATGGCAAAGAGTGATGGGGATATGGGGAGAATGGCAGAGAGTGATGGAGATATGGGGAGAATGGCAGAGAGTGATGGGGATTATGTGGTGGATGGCAGAGAGTGATGGGGATATGGGTTGGATGGCAGAGAGTGATGGGGATTATGGGGAGGATGGCAGAGAGTGATGGGGATATGGGGAGGATGGCAGAGAGTGATGGGGATTATGTGGTGGATGGCAGAGAGTGATGGGGATTATGTGGTGGATGGCAGAGAGTGATGGGGATATGGGTTGGATGGCAGAGAGTGATGGGGATTATGGGGAGGATGGCGAAGTGATGGAAGATGGGGAGGGATGGCTGGCAGAGAGTAATAGGGATTATGGGAGGATGGCAGAGAGTGATGGGGATTATGGGGAGGATGGCATAGAGTGATGGGGATTATGGGGAGAATGGCATAGAGTGATGGGGATTATGGGGAGAATGGCAGAGAGCGATGGAGATTGGAGATATGGGGAGAATGGCAGATTATGGGGAGGATGGCAGAGAGTGATGGGGACATGGGGAGAATGGCAGAGAGTGATGGGGATTATGGGGAGGATGGCAGAGAGTGATGGGGGATTATGGGGAGGATGGCAGAGAGTGATGGGTATATGGGGAGGATGTAGGAGAGAGTGATGGGGATTATGGGGAGGATGGCAGAGAGTGATGGGTATATGGGGAGGATGTAGGAGAGAGTGATGGGGATTATGGGGAGGATGGCAGAGAGTGATGGGTATATGGGGAGAATGTAGGAGAGAGTGATGGGGATTATGGGGTGGATGGCAGAGAGTGATGAGGGACGTGCAGAGCATAACAGAAGTTTATGGGGGACATGGGGCAATAGCAAAGACACCTAAGGAAGATACGAGATTTGGGGATATTGCTTACATGGTATTTAATAGCGATTTTAATAGGTATATGTATTTAATATATACTGTTTGACATGACATCAGCTGAAAGTCTTGTGAATTAAATGGACTGGCTTAGAAAATGTGTTAAGGACTGATTTACTTAGCGCCTCAAAATAACTATATGTTTATATTCTATAGAAGTCCCACAGTAGGTAGACATTTTGAATTATGGATGATTATCTTTGGCTTATATTTGGATAGTAAAAAGCTGCCTGTCCTAACACTTATAGCAGTGATCCTATTCCAAAAACATCAACAACAACAAAAAAGTGTTATTTAAACTTGTCACTGTAAAATAAAAATGTTTAAAAATCATGAAATTAAAAAACAGTATACAAATCATTTTTCCTGCTTTTATAATAATGCTATGCCAGAATGGTCTTATTTTTTTATGTACAAACTGTATCAATGAATATCCATTAAAGGATAAAAAGCCCAGGCCATTGGATGCATCCATTTACCTTATAAGGTTGCAACTAAACAGTGATGTCATTATGCATCTTACATCATAGTAAGCTATGAGTTGTGTGTATATGACAAGTGTTTGCACACTCTGAAGCCAGTCAGTGTCTAGAGAGGACTACATTGCATACAGGTACTCGACGGATTTATATTTATTATCAGATTAACCTGAGACCTTGAAGATAATATTGGATAATGCTAATATTTCACTCTTTGTCTGAATTCCTAGCATGACGTCTGTTAAGCAATATTACTGACAAATGGACCTGAACAGTGTTTGAAGAGGATGGTAATGTATAAAAGAATTGGGTGATGGTAAATGAGTAACATTCATATGAAATAAATTTAATAGAGATCCAGGGACACACTTCTAGCCGATCGCCTTAATATGGGGTCAGGAAGGAATTTTTTACTTGGCCATATTGCTTTTAGTATGTTCAAGTTTTTTCGCCTTCCTCTGGATCATTAATTCACTAAAGTTTGAATTGTAGCAAATTAAATCTGACAGGGTTATTCACTAAACCCCAAATTTTGTCCAGATGCTTTTTATGTATGTAACCCCTCACAGTCAAATGATCATTAATAGTTTAAAAATCTTTTTAAATAAGTGTAAAAACTTTCAAAGAGAAAGAAGCTCTTAAAGATATAAACCCTTAAAAATAAATTTTAAAGACTTAAAATGAAATTGCCATACATAATTGACACTAAAATAGCTAGCCATTCCTCTGGAAGTATGTATTCACAAATATAGCACCAAAATCTGTTGCAAAAGTTCATTATAATTTGTATTAAAAAAAAATAAACAAAACAAACAAAAAAAAATAATATTCAAAAAAGATCGCTTACTGAAAAAAAATGAAATATAAAAAAGCCAAAAAAAAATGAAATAAAATATAAATAGAAGTGAAAAGAAATTAAAAATGTGAGTAGAAAATGTTTAAGGAAATAAAAAAATACTGAAAAAAATTTGATACTTTTTTTTCAAATAAATAAAAATAAAAGAAATAGAAGAAAATACATGAAAACAGCAAAAAATAAAAATCAGAAAAGAAAAAGTAAATTTAAAAAAATCACTTATTGAAAAATATATACATAAAATAAAAAAGATTAAAACTAATTAAACATGAACAAAATATAAAAATAAAAAAATAAACAAAATATAAGAATAAAAATACATGAAAAGAAATCAAATAAATAAAAATAATAAAAGAAATAGAAGAAAATACATGAAAACAGCAAAAAATAAAAATTAGAAAAGAAAAAGTAAATTAAAAAAATCACTTATTGAAAAATATATACATAAAATAAAAAAGATTAAAACTAATTAAACATGAACAAAATATAAAAATAAAAAAATAAACAAAATATAAGAATAAAAATACATGAAAAGAAAAAGAAAAGAAAATCAGAAAAAAAAGTAAATTTAAAAAAATAATCACATATTGAAAAATATATACATAAAAAAAGAAAAGAATATACAATATACAAAAAATACAATAAGAAAAAACAAATCTAAAAATAAGCAAAAAAATCTGAATAAAAAAAGTTAAAATAGAAAAGAATAAAAAGTTAATGAAAAACTATTTATTGAAAAATATATTTATGAATACATCTCAGAGGAATGCTTGATGATTAAAAATAAACATCTAAATACCTCTAGTAGTTTAATTTAAAAAAAACTAAAATCAATGTCAATGTTTACACCTCCAAGCCAAAGAGTGAATGCTTAAACTTCCAAGCCAAAAAGTGCTTTGATTAATTAACAATTCAAAGTATCGGGAGGGCTTTATAAAAACCTTCCCTGCCTTGAATTTCCAGTCAGCTTATAACCCTCTGTAACGTAACTGCTGGCACCCTGACTGGGTACCTTCTGCTGGCAGATGCTCTTAGTGCTTCCCGAGGGCTCCAAGCACTCCACCAAACACCATAACCACAGCTGACCCCACGAACCGCCGCAGCTTGGTTGGGGTCTCGCCGTCTTCCACCCACTTGGATCCAAGACCAGGATCCAGCTTTCAGTAGGTAGACCTCTCTTAATCCAGAGAGCAGGAACAGGAACAAGCTCTTACCAAAACTTAGTGATTATACCCTGGGGAGTATAGAGATTATAGCAATCCCCAGAGTGTAGTTCTCCAATCCCCCAAACATGAGCCGAAACTTCATGAAGGTGCAAGATGATCTGTTTAATGGTGGCCACAGCTTAGCCTTTTATGCAGGTCCTGCAGGAAGGGATACTACCACCGGTACCTTGTGGAGGACTGAAACACAACTTACAGTAACCAATCAAATAATAAGACCTATGTAAAACACTCCCACAGAAACAGTAAAATCTCTCCCCTCTATTCTGGAGATAATTGGCTTAAATTGCTGAAATAAACTTAATTATCTCCAGGTACAGAAAATATCTCTAAGTTTCTACTGCAACAAAACACATTAAAATACATAACTTATATTCCACAGAACTGAACCCCCACATTTATCCGAACAGCGCTCAGATCCCACGAACATAGATGGGGTTAAAGTCTTTCCACCGACCGTTCTGCAGAAATCTGTCCATAATTAGGTATCCATGCCTTTTAGCTATCAGGGTCGGTCTATTTTAAATGTCTAAGTTCCGTTCGAATGCACGAATGGGGCCATTCGTGCAAATAGCCAAGGTTAACATTGGCGTGCGATTTATCAAACGTCGTTCGACAACCGTCGAAGTCCCGGAGAGGGTAAAGTTCAGCGGTGTTCATGCTGTAGCGTTTCAGATTTGAGTTCTATGAACTCGACGACCAAACACCGCAGAACGTGTTTGACTATACGAACAGCGGCCACCCAGTCATTCGTCAATTTTGCTGCGGTTAACTACCAGCCTGGGAGGTAAATGAGCGGCACACTCCACTTGTGTGTGGTCCGGCTGTTCGGTAGTTTGTTCGTATAAACAAACACCATAGGCACAATCCATTCGGTAGTCCCATAGACTGAACTGGGGGAAAAAAAAGACACGAACAAAAGCCCTTTCTCCAGTCTGTATCCCAGTCTAATACATGGGACATAGTGCTGGGGCAAGAGGCTGGCACCCAAGCCCCTCTAGAAACTTGTGGTAAACTCACAGGAAAAGGGGAGTTTATCATACATCTTTCCTCCCAGGGGGAGAGTAACCAGGTACCTGACCTCTTGTCGGTCGGTGCCTGAGTTAATCGAATAGCCCACCCACAACAAACAATAACTGGCCTTAATGACTCTTTTAGTCGGTCCCTGTCTGGTATGTCTCAGGTTGTTGAATGGGTGTCTGTCACCCCCAATCTCTTCCGGGCTCCCAGGCATGGCGCTGTGGGTAACTAGTGGGCAGAGGCCAGTGGCGTTCTGCCCTGATGTCAGCGCTTCTGCTGGGTTGGCCGGTGGGGATTCAAGCCCTGGACAAGGGAGCTGTTGTGGAGAGGAGGTATCGTCTGCCTCCTCGTCCTGGCACTCCTGCGGTGTGGGTTGGGGATCTGGACCGGCCGTCAAGCATCCCGATAGGTCTGGAGCAGAGACCACGGTCCCATCTGCACCACTGGGGACAGGAGTGCCTCCCCTCTGTAGCTAGGGAGAGGGACTGGTTGTCTCCTCTCCCTGTAGGGTAAGCTGCCGCTGGGGAGGAAGACCGGCTGTCTCCACTCCCTGTAGGATACACTCCCGCTGGGGAGAGAGGCTGGTTGCCTCCTCTCCCTGCAATTTACTCTGCTGCTGGGGAGAGAGACAGACTATCTCTTCTCCCAATAACCCATTCTGCTGCTGGGGAGTCAGACCGGCCATCTCGACTCCTGGTAACGCTGCCTAGTGTTGAACTGTTTTGCTGCTCACTTTGCCGCTGGGGAGAGAGACCGACTGTCTTGACTCCCAGGAACGCTGCCTGGTGCTGGGTGGTGGGAGCGACCATCTCCACTCCGAGTGATGTTGGTTGCTGCAGGGACAAGAGTCAGACTGACTGTCTCGGTAGATTAGGACCAAATTGAGCTGAGGAAGTAGTGGTAGTCCTGCTCCAGTTCCCACTCTAGAGTAACTAGGTGGGAGAGGTCTCGCCCCAGCTCAATAGCTTCTGGGCATGGTAGCATCTTTTCCCGGTAACAATAAATACCCAAAACCGTGATTTCTTTAGGCTACCAAAGTCATCGTCATCCTCCATGGCCTTTTACAACAGGCCGGGGCCATCGTAGCCCTTCCCCTCCGGCTGAACACTTCCTGACACCCAAGAGTCTCTCTGGACTGCGTACCACCATAGCGCCCGGTACGAGTCGTCCAGCGTCATCTCTCTCTGGACCATGAACTCAAGATGCCCTATCCACTCCATTCGGCAGAAATCTGTCCATAATTAGGCCGATGGCTTTTAGCTATCAGGGTCAGTCTATTTTCAATGTCTAAGTTCCGTTCGAATACACGAATGGGACCGTTCTTGCAAATAGCCAAGGTTAACAGTGGCGTTCGAATTGTCGAACACTGTTCGACTCCCGTTGAAGTCCCGGAGAAGATAAAGTTCAGCAGTGTTCGTGCCGTCGCGTGTCTGATTTGAGTTCCATGAACTCGACAACCAAACACAGCTGAACACGTTCGACTAAACAAGATGTTCGACTATACGAACGGTGGCCATCCAGCCGTTCGTCAATTTGGCTGCGGTTAACTCCCAGCCTGGTAGGTAAATGAGGGGCACACTCCACTTGTGTGTGGTCCAGCTGTTCGAAAGTTTGTTCGTATAAACGAACACCATAGGCACTATCCATTCGGTAGTCCCATAGACTGAACTGGAGAAAAAGACACAAACAAAAGCCCTTTTTCCAGTCTGTATCCCAGTCTAATACATGGACCATAGTCCTGGGGCAAGAGGCTGGCAACCAAGCCCCTCCAAAAACTCGTGGCAAACTCACAGGAAAAGGGAAGTTTGTCACACCCTCCATTGGTTATGAGGAATTAGTTTTATTGTGCTGGTTTTTAAAAAAAAGTTTTGTCGGGTACTTTGCGATTTAGGTATTTATCTTTTTTTTTTATTTTTAAACAACAATATACAGGTAGCGCCAAGAAAAATACTCCAAACACAGTACTATATAATAATAAAAGTATAAAAAAAAACACAGGATATAAAAAGAGTCCACAATAAAACTTGAAAAAATAAATACCTAATGGTACGGCACAGTCTTAAAGGTGGCAATAGATCTTCTCTAGATCTAGCTATCTTTTTTTTCTTTTTCATAGCTACATTGTGTATTATGGTTTTTATTTGCTAATCTTTTGGGGGCTAAAAACCAATCATTTAGAAGAAATAAATATTGGGTATCTTTTTTTGGGGGTACAGATGCATTTCCTCCGCTCACTAATATTAGGATTAAATGGGAATGTAGGGATTTCTTCACAGGGGGTGGGGAGCAATGATTAGGGGCAATAAGTAGTATTTATACTTCCTAACCCAAAGGCAACAAGTAAGTGTGGACAATGGCATGTCCAATTATTATTTTTTTGTGGCGGCATGCACTTGCCAGCTGTCACAGAACTTAATCCTTGCACTGCCAAAGTTTTTTTTTCCCCAACTATATGCCCACGTGATACCAATACTGCTAATGGGCAAATAGTTCAGACATTTAAAATCTGGGTCTGGATTTTATGTATTTCAGCTGTCCGGCAGCATTCAATACACCTGAAATCCAGGCAAAAAATACTGGCTCATTCGGGAGCGAGAACTGCAAAATGTCGTTATTTTGCATTTCGAATAGCCCGTATACCATTTTGGCCCAATTTGTACGGGGCCATTGAGTCTTTAGTGAATAATCATGTGAACAACCAAATTCAGCCAAAAGCAGCCAAGTATATATGATTAGAGTTATATTTGTACACATTTTACCATCAGATTTTAGTGTGCTACAATTCAGAGTTTAGTGAATAAACCTGTTCATTAAGGTTTTTTTAAATTCATTATAAATAAATTAATTAAAAATAAATTATTTTCCTTCTCTTGTATTCTTGCAAAACAACTCCAGAGTTCATTCACTACATATTTAAAGGAACACTTTAAACACACAGTGCCTTGTAATGTTTAGGAGTGCCCAGGCTTTAACCTACTGTAAGTAGTAAAATCATTTTAGAATAATTTTATTTCCCACCTAGGATCCCCTGGTCACAGTTCCCCGCCACCACTACAACCAACAGAAAACTGAAAGCTCTCTGTCCGAGCTAAGCCCAGCAGTGCAGGGCTTAGCTGACTTGTTGATCAGGATCAGGAACTGCTGATTGTCTGTTGAATGTTAGGGGAAATCAGGAAGTGGTGTTTGGGAAATTATTTTAAAGGTTAATTTAAACATATTAAACATAATGTTAAGAACCAGATAGTTGTAAACCTCTATGATTGCTGGAACAACCTAATGCTTGCAAGGATTGAAGGCACCTGCAGCAAAGAGGAGTTAAAGGGACTCTCCAGGCAGAGGATTTTACTTACCTGGTCCCAACGCCAGGAGCCTCGTGAAGCTGCGCCCTCGAGTGCCTTCTCTCTCCTGCACACGCCAGACGTATTTTAATACGTCTGACGTGTACAAGGCCTTTTTAGGGCCCTACATGATAGGAAGTCCCTCTGGTGGCAGTGTGAGTGACAGCCACTGGAGGTATTCCTATCAATCAATGTAAACACTGTATTTTCTCTTAAGCTGTAGTTGTTCAGGTGACTATAGTGTCCCTTTAATGTAAACAGATGTTTACAGGAGGAGTGGTTAACAGCACAGCTATCACATACGAGTCAGTCATACAAACAGTATCGGTTACATAGGACCATTGCTAATCGCAGGTTATTTATTATTATAGCTTGGATAGTTGAGAACAGTAGATGAGTTTTTTTTTTTGTTTTTTTTTAAGGTTTAAGTTTATTTCAAAGCATCATACCCATAGTATGTATAGTGGTTTTAAGTTGTTTTTTTAGCCTTGTTTGTTTCCCTTTGGGAAACCTGTGCATGATTATCTTATAGTGCCACGGGCACAGTCATTTGTCAATATACAAGTGATATCCCTTGTTTAAAGGACCACTCTAGGCACCCAGACCACTTCAGCTTAATGAAGTGGTCTGGGTGCCAGGTCCTTCTAGGGTTAACCCATTTTTTCATAAACATAGCAGTTTCAGAGAAACTGCTATGTTTATGAATGGGTTAAGCCTTCCCCTATTTCCTCTAGTGGCTGTCTCATTGACAGCCACTAGAGGCGCTTGCGTGTTTCTCACTGTGATTTTCACAGTGAGAGCACGCAAGCGTCCATAGGAAAGCATTGTAAATGCTTTCCTATGCGACGGGCTGAATGCGCGCGCAGCTCTTGCCGCGCGTGCGCATTCAGCCCAGGAGGAGGAACGGAGGAGGAGAGAAGGAGAAGAGCTCTCCGCCCAGCGCTGGAAAAAGGTAAGTTTTTAACCCTTTCCCCCTTCCAGAGCCGGGCGGGAGGGGGTCCCTGAGGGTGGGGGCACCCTCAGGGCACTATAGTGCCAGGAAAACGAGTATGTTTTCCTGGCACTATAGTGGTCCTTTAACAAGGCATTCCTAAGGTCCCAGACAATGCCCTACTTGTCCCTATTATATCTGGGCAACCTGTGGGATCGCTTTGGCTGTCCTTTCCCTCATACATTTATTTATAAAATATTTTACCGGGATGGATACATTGAGATTTCTCTCATTTTCAAGTATGTCCTGGGTCCACAAAACATTGCATTGTTACAATAGGATACAATATTACAAGAAATACATGTGGAAGAAGTACATATGCAGTGTCACTTTAACAAAGTTTATACATTTTAATAGCATATCTGCATCTTTTAGAAGGTAAAAACTGTCTTCACCACAGTCTTCCTTTATACTTCATCGCAGATTAGTTTTTTTGTCAAACACTTTTTTATTGAATATATTGAGAGAAATACACAGAAAGTATATCATTTAAGGAGTAGCATGTCAACATTGTAGTGCAAGTATAAAATACTAACAAATGTAACGCATCACTTAGATCACAAAAAAACATGTAACGAACATCAGAAGGGAAGTATCGAAAATGGTTGGTGTTGCGGACCACTTAGAAAGAAATGGTGGTGGGGGGGGGGGACACGACAGCACCTCCGGGCTTAGACCCGTGAAGGATACTCAATTTCTGCATTCACCAGTGCCACTGTACATACATTGTAGATGTTTTTTAACATATAAAGGCTTGCAAAGTTTGCATTGAAGTGGGTGAGCTTTAAATAGGTTAGCAGGTGAATTATCTTTTTACCAAATAATATAATGGAACACTCCAAACACCATAAACACTACACCACACTAAGGAATGCCCAGGTTCACTTCAATATCAGAAATAAAGCAAAGAACATCAGCATAAATGTATTGTTATTCATAAAATAAAACAGGTAAAATTATGTAGTGTAGTATAATACGCTGTGCTATCAGCTGTGTTATACATCTTATTTTTAAAGAATTTATGGTATTCACTACAACTGGAAGGAATATGAATTTTGTCCCTTTACTGAAAACTGTAATAGACAGTCTGCAAAACAATGTTTATGATCAACATCAGCCTATCTATTCTAGGGCATTAACAAAACAAACCCCGAAACCACAAACAAAAGTAAGACATTTACTCTTACCGGGATCAATGAATTCTTCCAGCTGTTTGCCCTGTCAGATAATTAGATAATAAGATAAAATGATTTTCCAAAGATTTTGCCATTCGTCCAGCAAATTTAACAATAAAGAGTTATCAACGTCACCTTACGCATGTTCATCTGCTTCTGGTAAAAGCTGTTCCATTGCCGTTTTCGATCATCCAGATTTTCCTCAGAGCCCCCTTCTTGACTATCATCACAGCTAGAGACAGTGATGGGACATTAGAGAGATGACTAAGCTATACACGGAATGCATGGCAAATTGTCAGTAAGTAAGAGCGTAGGATCATAAAACGAATAAAAGAAAAATCTGTGTCCTATGTTACGTGCAATGTATATTAGGGACATCATCAATATAATCATGTGGTGGATAGAAAGCAGGTACAGATGTACCTTGAAAATATATATTTCCTGTAGTTGAGTTGATACTGGGTAATTACAATACAAAACAGATCAAAGATGTCAGTAGACCTGCCTAGAACTTGGAAGCTCTTCTCTACAAAAATATGTAGTAGGTAAAGAAACTGGCACACTATTTAATTGTGAATTGTCAACAAAACATCAGACGTGTGGTACGTAATGTCCATTATATATCCTGGCTTCCTGTGAAAGGGAAAAGATATTTCTAACTTAGCCTCCTGGCTCCCAAATGACTAACCAATGAAGATCGCAGTATTTGAATACTTTCCGAGCTTTGTGTAGGAAAACAGAAACCCTCACCACTGTAAGTCTTTAAGACTGTCACACATGTTGTATGTACAACATATACTTTGAATTTCACTCACCTGGCAAACCCGTAGCTCTTTTTACCCCCCTCGTAGAGCTCTTTGTCGTATGTGAATAATCCAGATGGTCCTGCTGGCTGCTGAATACAGGTTCGGCTTCTCCCACTTAGGAGGAGACCCTCTAATTGTTCTAACTGGCGTTTCACTGCCAGTGGGTTTTTACAGCAGTCGCAAGCCTTTTTACAAAGTGGTTTCTCATCCCCAAAATATCGTGCAATAACTGCATGACGACACCTACAAAAAGGTAAACATCAGGGGTAAAAATGAACGATCATTCAAATCTTGAAAAAACACAGATTTAAGATTTATTTTTACATATAAAGGTATACAGGCCTAAAAGAATAATGTTACAGAGAATGGTGGCTACCTGTCTAAAGAATTAGTCTAGCCCTGCATGTACATACGTGGAAAACTGACAAATGGCGAGGAGTGGGTAAAGACATTTTAAATGGGTGCTATTACACATTATTGGTATAAGAATGAAATGACTGGTGATGGATGATAATTTTTAAATGTGTCACCATCAGAGGATGCCACCCTAACGAACAATTGGTCACATCCCATTGTACAGCGCTATACAAATAATAATAATGTTTATTTTGCTGGAGCTGTCCAATTGAAGGGTAAGTGTTGCTATTGCAAAATGGAATCAGCTAGTCCTCTGATGGAACAGGCCACGTTAACTATAATAGACCACTGAGTGCTTGAGCATGTAGTGCCTTAGTTTGCAATTACGTGAGAGCAAGTTAATGCGGGAACTGTTCATAATTACTTTCATAAAATGATTTCGCACTGCTGAGCAGCTTCATGTAAGCCTGAGATCACCATGCACAGTGGGAAGAGTCAGCCGGAGTGGTTTAAAGCTGACACTATAACGGATATAGCTGATAAAATGGTTTACGGCTATTTTCAAGGTTCAGACTTTCACTTTTTATTTCAAGTCAAAATAAAATTTTAAAGGACCACTATAGGCACCCAAACCACTTCAGCTCAATTAAGTGGTCTGGGTGCCAGGTCCATCTAGTGTTAACCCTGCAGCTGTAAACATAGCAGTTTCAGAGAAACTGCTATGTTTACACTAGGGTTAATACAGCCTCTAGTGGCTGTCTCATTGACAGCCGCTAGAGGCGCTTCCGCACTTCTCACTGTGAAAATCACAGTGAGAAGACACTGGACGTCCATAGGAAAGCATTGAGAAATGCTTTCCTATGGACTGTTTGAATGCGCGCATTCGGCACTGATGTCGGCAGATGGAGGAGAGTTCCCCAGCAAAGGGGGCCCAGCACTGGAGAAAGGTAAGTGTTTAACCCCTTCAGCCCAGCAGGAGTGGGACCCTGAGGGTGGGGGGGACCTAAAGACCCTATATTGCCAGGTAAACAAGTTTGTTTTCCTGACACTATAGTGGTCCTTTAAGGCTACAGTAATTAATAACAGTTCAGAAAATGATTTGCTTCCAACTTTGTGACTCCACCTTGGAGGAGGCACTTTCCCCATTTAAATCAAAGCATTGACAATCCACATCCGATGTGTAAATGATGATCCATACACAAACCGTTTGTGGAGGTGTGGTAGTGCATAACTGGTTTGAACAAATGCTTGACTTGAAGCCCACCAAATAATAAACAATCTTTATTTACATGAGGAAATGCAAACTACATAAGGACATTAACAAAGAACAGTATACCAATTACAACATTGCTTATTTACATTATATAAACCGTAACAAAATGCAATTAGAGTCACGTACAAAAAGGCACACAGATGTACATTATCAGTGTTTAGTTCAAAATACAGTTATATGTACAAATGGGCACTGGAAATATAAGAATGAAGGAAGAGGTGAAAAAAAGTAAATAAAATGGAAAGATGAATGGAACAACATCCACAAAAAAAGGTAAGGACCACATATTGCTGGATTTATTATGTCTAATCTAAGGCATCCAAACTTTATGGAAATAAGGAGGTATATGATGAATAAGGCAACCAAATATTTGCATAGAATTAATTTTAGAAAATGTAGGGCTAATAGTCGACCAATGCACTTTGGGCAGCAAGGACAGTGAATGCGAGTTTATGTTTGAGGTATTTCAGAGATTCTGTAGGCTTATCAACAAGTATGAGCAAGAGTCTAGGACAGGGGTCAGCAACCTATGGCACAGATGCATGGCACTCAAGGCTGCCATACCCATACTCTGGCCTATCAGGAGTCCCAGGGGGATTCAGATATCTGCTAGTGCAAATCAAGAGGTGATTGCAGGTATTGAGAGACAATCCTCAATTTATGCATTGCAGCACTTACAGGAAGTGATCTCCAATCTGGGAACCGCAATGGAGTAAAGCAGTACAGTCCTTTTCTTGACCTGTACCTGGCCATCCTTGTCCCCAGGGAAGCTATCCGCACTACTACATATTCACAAAGCTGCAGAATAAGCCCACCCTCATACAAATAATACAAACAGCCCACACACGCAGCCCCCACAAACATAACCCCATAAGCAGGGTCACATACAATACTACAAGACAACCCAGGGGTGGGGCATGACTCCCAAAATGGCCAGACGCATGCCTAAGTAGCTCCAGCACCTGAGAACAAAAATCAACTTACAGCCACCACAACTTGTTGATGCTGGACCAGCTGCTGCACTGGGTTGACAGGGGGTTATTGAAGCCCACTCTGAGCCGCTCTGCGCAGACTCCAGCCACCGGTGTCATGAGACTAATACCCGACAGCGAGGAGAGGCGGACAATCTTCCTGCTCTGGAAGCAAATCTCACCCCCTTTAGGACCGGGGGTGTCACCCGGGTCTCCACAACTTCCAAGGCAACAAACTCCTCGTCAGGAACTATGAGACCCGTGTGGCGCGTCCAAAATGGCAGCTGAGTCGGTGCTTCAGTGCAGCCAATATTCATCCAGGAATGGAGAAAATCGTTTGATGGCATCGACTTGACACCCGTGCAGAGATACCTACTCCTATCCCACAGTCCAACAAATCTTGCCATGCAGCCCATTTCTCTTCTGGGCCAGGGGCCTGTCTGGTGAGTGTGCTGGACAGCCGTCCATTCGCCCATAGGGGCAACCTGGTTCAGGGGACCCTGCAGGCACAAGATTTTGCCACGTGGAAATGGCAGATACATGGACATAGGGCACTACCCTCCTCACAGGACCAGACCCGTAGTTACAGGGCACCAAGTCAAGGTGGACTAACACTTCCCACGCAGAGTGACACCCAGTGTTCCACACAGCACAGCTTAGCAATGAAGGGGAAGAGCAACAGTCCTGGCATGGAAATGAGCTCCCGAACCTGGCCTATTTGTGATATAGGGTGAACGGCAATGGTGGTATTTAACCCCTTAAAGACCCAACTTATGGAATAAAAAGGAATCATGCCATGTCCTTAAGGGGTTAAACACACAGCTATTGCAAATGCAGAGTGATAGGCTTAACATCTATCTTGAGTTTTTATCATGTACTTTTTCTTGCACCCAATGGCATCATAAGTAAATCATAATGTCAGTTTGTGTATCCAGCAGTATCACATATACCTCTCTATCGACAGGATTCCTCTTTTGTTTACCATATCAGCGTGTTTACTATGATGTTTTCTAAACCAACTTACTATACTGTCCGTCAGCTTAGCAGGATTTATCTACCACTTCGGTTTCCCTATCTCCTGACAAGTTCTATCTGACCATGTTTATTATACTAAAATGTGGAATTTGTATGTGTCATGATATTGCCTCTGTTGAAAAGCCTCTATGTGCTGTTGTGGCACCTCAAGAATTTTTGTAAACCTCCTGTACAGAACAATAAGGAATTTATTTAAAAAAAAAAAAAAACACACACATACACACAATACTCATGAAATATATAACATTCCACATACGCACAATTACACCGCTAGAAAGCAACTACCGATAAATAAAACAAGCAGAATACGGCAACATACACACCCCAATTTTTTATTTTTTTTTAAATCTTGTTTTGCACAGCACTACTACAAGTTGCCTACTAAAAGGTTGCCTTGGTTTAGGAGAAGTAGCCCGACTAATTTTCATTTAAACGTTGCACCTCAGGCCAGAAGGGGGGAGATATTCCGGCATGACCATCACACGTGGACAAATGTCCACATATTCTCAAACAACTTAGTCACAAACACTGGCCAAAGTTAGCGTTAATATTTGTTTGTGTGAAAAATGCAAAACAACTCATCTGAATGCCAATTTTGGCCAGTGTTTGTGACTAAGTGGCTACTAAAAAAGACTGGACATACCCCATTTGCAATACCTTGGGTTGTCTACTATTGCAAATGTTATGCCATCATGGGAGTAATTTTTATACCTGAGCTACCATACGGTCTCAAAGGCAATGTAACCAATCTGGCTGATTTAAATGTGAAAAAACTGAAACGCAAGCCTTATATTTGATTCTGTAACTTTTGAAAACACCATAAAACCTGTACACGAGGGGTACTGTTATACTCGGGAGACTTCGCTGAACACAAATATTAGTGTTTCCAAACCGTAAAACATATCACAGCAATTGTCAGTGTAAGTGCCGTTTGTGTGGGAAAAATTTTGAAACACTAATATTTGTGTTCAGCGAAGTCTCCCGAGTAAAACAGTAACCCCCCATGTACAGGTTTTATGGTGTCTTGGAAAGTTACAGGGTTAAATATACTGCTAGTACATTAAATTCTCTGGCAGGTCCCGCAAATTGTAATAAAATTACTTAATTATGTAAAAATATTACATAACTATATATGTAGAATTAAAATATATACTTTATTACAGGCAGCAGTGGGACTACCTGTCATTCCAGGCACACTGCTGCTTGCACTGCTATGGACGGCTATTCCGTCCATGTGATCGTGAGGTCCTCACAAGGACCTCGCGATCACATGGCCCAGGAGGGCCGGATCAGCAGGAGGGGGACTCCCTGGGATGCCAGGTAAGTCGCCCCTTTGCGATCACCGGCGAGCAGGTAAGTCCCGTGGACGGCGTGGACGTGCTATGTCGCCCGCTGGTGTTTAGAGCCGGGTCTCAAAGGACGACATAGAACGCACACCGTCCTTAAGGGGTTAAACCCACCTCTTCCCGACACCCACTATAGGCACTTCTGCCGCAGTGGTCAGTCAATTAATAAAATGTTCTCCAATGGAGAAGCTTGGAAACAGCACATGCGTATTAGGTCCCCTCTATGAGGAGAATTCCCCAAATCATTGCCGGAGCAGGCTATGCTTCCTCAATGATGTCATAGAAGGCAGAGAAGTAAGCAGGGCCGAGGGAGTTTCAGTACTGGAAAGAGGGGACTAAAAACATTATTTGATTAATTTTAAGAGAAAAAAAGGGGGGGGAAAGCTGTATATGACAATGGATGAGGGCACTATACATTTCTATTCCTAACACTACTAAAATTTAAAATAAAATACTCTCTATTTCCAGGGAAAGTGACTGCTGTCTCTAGGAAGAATCTGTCTCTGTCACTTGTCTGCCATCTCTTGGAATAGCCACAAAGATCTCTTTCAGGGCTAGTCCTTGCATGAGCCGAGCTCTAATTTTCACATTGCAAACCAAAGAAAAGCTCCTTTCACAGGCAGCGTGTCAGTAAACAGACAAGAAACTTCTCTGTGCAAGTAGCAAGCATGGTGTAGTACAGAAACAGCATTTGCCAGCAGAGTGCTTTAACAGCACTAACAGACAGAATGTAACAGAGCGATGCAAACAGCTTGCTTTAACTTCTTTCAGTTCTTTCCATTCAGAATAAGTTAAAGCAGTAGGAGGGGGATCAAACTACCGGCTGAACAGATCTTTCACAATAGACAATGAGGGCGAGACTGTGAAACTCATCCCTACTGTCAGACCAACAGAGCTGCCCCAGCTGTTAGTCTCCACATCCCTTTGCAACCCAGAAACACAAACTCCTGCCCTCCTCTTCCAGGAGGGACTGTAACATAAAACCTCCCATCTCCAGGACAACCAAGGGAGCTAGAAAATAGTTTAGGGAACAGGCAGCTGTCAGAGAAGCACACTGGTCAGCTAAGGGGCTGCATGGGGGTGAAAGACAAATAAGGAAGATCCAAAACTGCAGCAGGAGGCTAAGACGTCCCGGAACAGAGGGGTAAGACGTACTGGAATAACATGGCAGGTTGCACTGGTGAAAAAATGAAAGACGTGTTGGTACAATGGGCAGAAGTATTTTGAGGGTAGAGGGTACAGATGGGTAAGGAGAAAGATATGCTGGCAAACGGGTCAGATTTACTGAAGCTGAGTGAGTTACACTAAAGCAGAGGGAAGCAGAAAGCTTAGATACACAGGCGTCTAAGCTGCATGTGCATGTTTTTCAATCTATAAAATATAACTGGGACAAAATAATTAGATCCAGGATGACAAAATTACAAAAGATTTAATTGATCCTTTGTGGCAATCCAGTTTTGTTTTTGTTTTTTTTGTTTTTTTAAATTTGTGACAGTTTATCTAAATAGTCACTCCATATGCCTTTTGTAAATGTTTATTTTAGAATACTGTATAAAATTTGTAAATGTGTATCTTTGCCAAGATACTTGTAATCAGACTTACAAGCAAGCATGTTGCGAATAACCCATCAGGGTTCTATTGTGCTGAGGAGTCTAGAATGGCAGGGTGTTTTGTTTTGGTTACACTCAAAGTAGAGAAATCAATAGAAAGGCACGACTCAATGAAAACTGTTTTGTGTGTGTAGACACTCACTTAGCAGCTGCAATAGTGGAGTTATGCATTAAACAAGTAACAGGTGCAAGCAGTGAAAACACAGCGTTTCACTACACAGCACACTGCCAAAAGCTTTCTTATCCATTGTATTCCTGCTGTAACTCCATCAGAATTTTATCAGAGATTCCCGTGATAAACAAACCTGTCTGCTTTCAAAACGGTCATCATTAATAATGACAAACAACCCAGAGAAAGCTGCATGCTAGCATCACGAAGCTCTGTTTATTAGAATGATAAATTTTGGCAACAAGTAAATCCCTGCCCCTCCCTAAGGCGCTCTTACATTTAAACGATGAGAGTGCTTCATTAATACAAGGGCACAGAGGGTGGGAAACTGGGTGGACAAATAGTAATAAAACAAAAATGAGTGAGAGGGGACAAAAAGCTGGGGGAATAAAGCTATTAAAAAAGGGAGTGAGAGAGAAGGGTTGTCCATGCCATAGTTTTAACCCTGCGATCTAAATTATTGCTGTTATTTTTTTAGGAAAGGTTATTAGCCAGCAATGTTGTGTATAAAACACATAAGAATTAAAGAAGGTGGGAGGTCTCCCAAACACAAAGATTCAAGAGATGCAGAGTAGTGGGATGAGTCAGTAAAGTGACGTAATAATATTTTAGAAGGATTATATAATGAGCACAGCCTCTACAGACAAAGGGGTGAGAGTCATGAGTGTAGTGGGTAGCAACCTCCGCAAATTGTTTGCCACCCGTTGTGACAGAACTAAGCTACTCGAATAACCCTGTGTAACTTGCTACAATAATATCGCGGGATCGAGAGTCAAGCCCAGTTATTCAATCAAGTGAGGATCCAAAGTCTGAATTTCAGTTTTAAGATCATAACAGCCAAGTTGGAAAAATTCTCTAAGTTCAGCTACTCTGACCTTAAAATAAAAATTCCCTTTGAAATTATTTTTAGTAAATAACCCTAAATGCATTGAAGTGTATTATGCTACCAGAGATTTATCATCTATTCATTCTTAGTATGAATATTAAAATAATAATTCTGTCTGAAAAATATATATATATTCGCCTTGACAAGTGAAAGTTTAGTCCTGTGTGTAGAAATACACCTCTGGTGTGTGACTTCATCAATCCTCCAGTCTTGCAGCGGCTTTTTTTTTTCTTTAATACTTTATTTGTTTGGCACGGGAAAACTGCCACACAACATTGTAATCCAACATTGTTGGATTACAGCCTTGTGAATGCAGTATACAAGTACAACAGTTATACAGTTTAAAGACAAAGGCATGGAATTCAGAAATATTGTATTGTAGACAATAAACACGGTACACGAACAATTTTCTGGAGAGAAAGAGAGATTAGAAACTGGAATAGGATTTAGATTCCCAGAGTTCTATATTAAACGGCCACTCCTTTCACCCTCAGCCAAGTTGACCTTTAACCCCTTAAGGACACATGACATGTGTGACATGTCATGATTCCCTTTTATTCCAGAAGTTTGGTCCTTAAGGGGTTAAAGGTAAGCTCACTAACTGTTTTCAACCCAGAAAGAAAGTAGAACTGCACTCAAGCATTGTTCAGTAAAGTATAATTTACTGGGAATTCAAAGTGGATTCAAAGTGACTTTCCAATTTTAGGCAAAAAGAACCAGATTGGAAAATTCACTTTGGGGTATATTCACTAAACTCTGAACTTGTAATATTAAATTTGGAATTGACAAATTTCGGTTCTAATAGCCAAGCTAGGATTATAGCAGAGTTGGAATTTTTTCCAGATCAGCTACTGTTTCTGAATTTTGACTTTTGGATTTTATTACATTAAAATTTAGACTAACAATGTTTGTGCACATTTCAATTAATGACCCTGAGAATTGTTTTACCTTGCCAGTAGCATACACTAGGAGGAGGTTATTTATATCATGATACCTAGCGACTGAAGGTGAATTTCAACACACACATGTGCTGAACAATGTGACATTGTATGGTACTTAATATGACTGTTTATTAACTGGCTTAGACACGGTATAGGAGTTCGGCAAGTTTCTCCCTAGGAGGCAAATCTTACTTTTAACCCCTTAAAGACACAACTTCTGGAATAACATGGAATCATGACAGAATATTTCCATCATGTGTCCTTAAGGGGGTTAAAGTATTCAAGAAATACATTTTCCTTTATGTGCATAATTATATGGCCAGCCTATGTTTATATACAGTGACAGATAGATATCAAGAAGTCCAAATAACACATAATTATCAGTCTACTCAATGCAGCATTGTCAGAAAATATTTAAGGCCTGTCTTTAGGCCCTGTCAGTGCTCTCGCTCTCTCTTATATTTCTCTTCAAAATTTAATTTTTTAAAGTTTGCAAAAAGCTATGTTTGTATACGGCGAAGAGGAATAGCAAACAGGAACCACTTCACTGAACACTACTGCAGGCAGCTTAAATCACTATAGCAAAGGGAATGCTCACCATAATTCATCTACAAAGCAACACTGGCAATATTTAAAGGGACACAAACTACCATAACCACTCCAGTACGCTGTAGTGGTTATGGTGGTAATTACCCTATGACACGACCCCACAGTTACAAGTAGAAAACAGTTTGTCTCTCAGCATTGTGATGGTGCTAGGGGACTCCTGGCTCCATAAACTCTACAGCTTGCTGCGTGGGTATTGCTGTGGAGCTTTGGTAGCTGGCAGCTCAGACATTAGATGTAGATTTCTATCGGTTGTGGAGGAAGAAGGTGGATATTGGTGATGTATTTGTTGTTTTTTTTGTTTTTTGTTTTTAATGTTACATGTTGAAGTTGTTTCTCAAAGCAGCCACCTGATGGAAAAAATCAGAAGTATAGTACTGTGCAATGATATTTAGGGGAAGGGTTGGGCAGTCACCTGGGGGGGGCACCAGAACGTTGCTATTATTTCGGCAGTGTGTCGGGATCGCATTACCTGGTTATGTGGCATGTGCTTGTTTCTGGTTATACTTTGAGGACTTGGGAAGTATAAGTAGAACAGAGAAGGGGACATAGGATAGGTGGGTTTATGTAATGACATATCCCTGCCTCTCTTTTAATGTAGGGGTCACCAAGTTTTGCTTTGGGCTGAAGCCCCATGTGTTTGTGGAACCTAGCGATGGCTCTGGCTTGTTGTAGTGAATGTAGTCCTTAGAGTGTCCCTTTATGTGACCCTGCTTCATCCATTGTTGAATGGTAGATCAAGGATTGGCTAAAATATCCCAGCCACTTCCCAATTGCTACAGTCTTTAGCAATTGGATTTGTTGGTGACAACCTGTGTGTTATCTAGATAATGTGTCCCACTGTTAACATAAAACATCAACACCATAACTTTATTTATAAAATGAACGCAAAGTAACTACAAGGACAAAGAATGACTTAGAATGTGAAATTGCAACTTCACAGAAATATGTGTAGAGAATCATTACGCTGCTGACCTCTTTGGGGGGGGGTTGCAATATTTACAAGGTTATGATGCATCAAGCTGAAGCCAGAAGCAGTTTAGGAATGAACTTCTCTCCTACTAACAACTGATGTCAAAGCGCTTTGTGGGTGCCGCCATATTCCAAATAAATGAAGAAAGGACAGGGCACAAAAATGGACTAAATTGAAGGAAGATTTATTAAAGAATACTGTGCGGCGCTTCGGCTCACTAAGAGCCATAGTAATCTGAAGCACTGCACAGTATGCCTCAATAAATCTACCTTGGATTTAATCCAATATTGTGCTCAGGCCTTTCTGCATTTATTTGTGATTGTAGAGTGGAGCCACTCGGCACTGGTGGCAAGTTTTTTTTTTTTCTCCTTATTTTAGTGTGTTTTCTCATTTTATTATAGTTGCCATGTCTTCCCAAGACCTAAAGATGGAGATCTCGGATATGGGGGAAAAACTTTTGCAGAAACTAAAGCAGATTCCCCAGGCAGATACTGTAGAGATTATATCGTTCTCCATTATCCTAACGTTCATTGGTGAGTATAGAAGGTGTATGTGTCCTGCTGTATTAGCAGATACCAAAGCAACCACCATTATTTTGGTTCATGAAAAACGCAGTAAAGTAACAACGCAAGCAGTCAGCAAGTACTGCCATTTTGGCAAATAGTTTAATGTTATGCAAGGCAGCTTTATAATACGTTTGGAAATGTAACTTTTTATTATTATTAATGTTTAGAAGATTTTTGTTCCTCCGTGCCCAATTATTTTTAAACTCAGGAGATTAAACGTGCAGAAAGCCAACACGCATTTCCTCTCTAACACCTGGAGAATTAAAGGACTACTAAAGGCACCCAGACCACTTCATCTAAATGATGCTTTAGTTTTAACCCTGCAATCTAAATTATTGCTGTTATTTTTTTAGGCAAAGTTCATTGGAGTAGAAAACATATCTAGTGGCTGTCTTTCCTTCTCGCTACGCCACCATGCCTGAGATCATCAATCAGATAATGATGATCTTAGCCAATCCAATGCTTTTCAATGGGAGGCTACTGCGCATGCGCAGCTAAATGTTGTGCTGCACCAATCAGTATCTCCTCGTAGAGATGCATTGAATCAATGCATCTCTATAGGGTTTTTTTGTTCAACCTGGACTGCATTGATAGTCTGAGAGTGCTGGGCTTCTCACTCACCAAGACTGTTGCCAGTTACCACCATCCAGGTCGAACAAGATTGACACTGATATGTCTCCATGTAGTGTCTCCATGTAGAGCACAGATACTGCACCTTGTGCAGCACTGGAATAGGAAGCACCTCTAGTGGCTGTCTGAGTACATTGAGCTGCAGTGGGTCTGGTGACTACAGTGTCCATTTAACTATAACACAGTTTTTAGATTGCCACAAAACAGGATAAAATTTTAGCTAATAATAAAATACTTTTGATGGCACAGCTCCTAATGCAATTCAGTCAATTTAATGTCCAGAAGCAAGGCACTGTTCTAAGTGATATTTACAAAAGTTTATTTTTCTCAGGTGTGGTGCTGCTGATTGGGGTATTTGCATGCTCTCAATGCTGCTGTACGAGCAAGAAGCACCGTGTGGACAGGGTGGTGCCAAAATCTGATGTGTAAAGCCACCTGGAAGAACATGCAGTAGAATGTGTCTAAAGCATGTATCCACGGACTACCATGATATGACTTCCAACAAGCAAAAACATAGGCCAACTATATGGTACTTGACATCCCAAAGAGGACTTATCTTAAAGAGCAATAGATGCTGCTACAAAGTGTGGAAAATTGGATGCAATGAAATTTGAGAAAAAGTGGGGTCTGACATTTTTTACTGATGTTTAAAAGAAAACTAATATACCACGCCATGGATTAGAAAAGTTTTCAGTGAACTGGTAGGGTGAAGGCAACACTGAAACAAAGAGCGTATTAAGAAAACATCTATAACATCTCCTCATTCCTTGGAAACAGGCAAAAACAGATCTATCTACAGACAAAATATAAAACTATAACAAAATGTCAATGCTCCAAGGGAAAACTACACACTCGCGGTTATTCTTATAATCTTAAAACAACAAAAATAGCAACACAGAACAAACCACGAAGGGAATGAGTTATAAAACCTGGCAAGAAGTCAAATTATCGCATTAGAATTGTTCATTTAGTTCAACCCGGACTGCACTGATAGTCTGAGAGTGCTGGGCTTATCCCTCACCAAGACTGTTGCCAGTTACCACCATACAGGTAGAACAACATTGACACTGATATTGCAAAATGTAAATTGTGCAGTATCAATGCAGATGAAAAGGTGGCCTTCAGGGGCAGGGAAAGCACCTTAACTGTTTGACAAAAATCCAGGGGATGGTCCCAAGAAAATATTTGAAAAATAACCAATACACTGAGCTGCAGTGGTTAGGTTGCTAGCAGGCCACCTTTAAAGAGTCACTCTTAGCACCATAACCCCCACTTCAGTGTTTTGTAGTGGTCATGGTACAAGGACCCTGTGTGTGCAGGAGTTCAGTAAGAAACGCTACACACATACTGAGATGTTTATTGCTGCTCCTGGAGGTTTAACTCCACCTCCGCGAGCCTTCCGTAGCCTGGCTGGAAAAAGAATTCCATCCTGGCTAATGTTTTTTCTGTGCATAATCTTTGACGTTCATTCATTGGCTAAGATTGCACAACCAATGAACAGTTAGAATGATATGGAAATTTAAAAAGAAAAAAAAGTTAACATAACAGCCATTAGAATGTGCCGTTACCTCCAAACAGACTTTTAATGTTCCTTTTAGACAGGCTTGAGAAGTTGAAATTCTTTATATCAGCAGAAAGAGCCGTCAACAGAAGAATAGTCAAAATTTGGTATTTGATAACTACACAGGTTGCTCTGTCGAGTCAAGAGATATATTTTAATGTAGTCTAAATTTTTTATAAGCAAAGTACGATATACAGGAATATAAAAGTTTGACTTGATAAAAGTTTCCCCTTAAAAGTTATATTTTGTCTCTCTATGAATATTAACATCCACTCTGTCCCGTTTTATCTGAAATAACACAAATATTGTAATGTAAGAATACATTGGCCATAAAAGGTAAAGGAACACTATAGTGTCAGGAATACGAACATGTATGCCTGTCACTATAGTTCTAATAGTGATATTTAGGTCCCGGGCCACTGTCAGACAAGTAAAAGGTATTAAACTCACCTTATTTTCAGCACTCTGTGGGTCTTGTAGTGGCTGGCTCCGCCTATTTACTGAGATCGTCAAACTTTACAATCTCAGCCAATCCAATACTTTCCCACAGGAAAGCATTGGAAGCCTATTGCGCATACGCTACAAAATGCCATGCTGCGCCAATCAAAATCTTTTCATAGAGAAGCATTGAATCAAAGCATCTCTATGAGGAACGTTCAGCGCCTCCGTGCAGAGCATGGAGACGTTAAATATCAACCCAGGAAGCCCCTCAAGTGACAGGCTCTAGACACCACAATAACAACACTAAACTATAGTTGTATTAGGTGACCAGATGTCCTTTTTAAGGGGCAATTCCCTGTGAGAAACCTTTCTCCCCTGTAAACTATATACCCTAAGATTCCCCTCAATTAGTATAGATTTATTAACAAAAACATAAAAAAAATTACTTTAACTTTAAAGCACTTAAATGGCAATAAAAACAAACTGTATTAAAAAAAGTATATTTAATTTATACATTAGTATTTATGAAAAAATGGCCATAGTAGCCATTGAAACAAATTTGGTCAACTTTTATATACCGCCCAGGGTTTCTGTGAACCAAAATTCCAGGGTTCTACCCTAGTACGAATAGACCAAAGAGTATCATTTTTGTGAGCACCAAAGCGTCTTTTTTACATTTTGTAACTGGAGTTTTGTTTTACAAGAAATAAAATACAGGATGAGCGAAAAAATATTTGATCATCAATGTGCCTTAAAAAAAGTTTGCAGGGTTTTTTTTTTTTTTGACAACAGCTCACTATAAATAAATCACTTGAAAGATGTGTTTCTCGACAGAAGAATGCAATAAGTTAGATGCACTCAGCTGGAAAGCAGACATAGCTTTACATAGTGAGGAAAGGGGCACATCATAGGAACTAGAAGAGATACACAAGCAGCTTTGCCATTCTGTATTATAAATGAGAAGTAGCCAAAAGTACAAAAGGAACTCAAAGAAGTCAAAATAAAAAGTGCCAGTTTAAAGACATGTCTTTCTAAAGAGTTCACGGGGTAGTCAGGGTTGCAGTACAAAGTGAATTTGATGTAATGTCTTTTCTGTGTATGCATGTTTTTGCTGTAAATAGGTCTTGATTTTTTTAATAAAATATTTTACTCGCATTTGAGAATAAATGTGGTCTGTTAACCCTTCACTGCTAAGCACTTTTCAAAGCACCCAAAAACTGTATTTATTTATTTCTAGGCTGATGAAATGAGGGCAATCCATACAATCTATTCGGCCGAGGAATATTGGGAATACAGTCATGATAAGAGAAGGGGCAGTGGAGGAATATCTGAAGTATAGTATGGGACAGTGGAGAAACGGTTTTAATTTGGTACACAGACTCCGTTCTATTTTTCTGCCTATAATCCCTGCTTTTGGCCTTTTTAGAAGGCTGGGGGGAGCTACACAAAAGTAAAGCTTCTTTGCTGCTCCTGATTCAGGATAGGGGGTGAACAATGTAATGGGGTGCGATGGACTCCAAGCTGTCTTCTTGTTACATACAATAATAATCTATTATCTATTAAAGGAGCACTATAGGGTCAGGAACACAAACATGTATTCCTGACCCTATAGGGTTAAAACCACCATCTAGCTACCCTGGTCCCCTCATGTCTCCCTAAATATAGTAAAATCTTACTTGTATTCAAGTCTGGAGCTGTTTGCTCTATCACGGTTTCCTTTGACCTGCCCCCCGCCTGCTGACATCAGCAGAAGTGGTAGCCTGATCCAATCACAATGCTTCCCCATAGGATTGGCTGAGACTGACAAAGAGGCAGATCAGGGCAGAGCCAGCACAATTCAAACCTGGCCAATCAGCATCTCCTCATAGAGATAAATTGAATCAATAAATCTCTATGAGTAAAGGTCAGTGTCTGCATGCAGAGGGAGGAGATACTGAATGTTTGGATGCATTTTAGGCCCAGGAAGGATCTCTAGCAGCCATCTGAGGAGTGGCCAGTGAAGTTATTACTACACTGTAATGTAAACACTGCATTTTCTCTGAAAAGACAGTGTTTACAGCAAAAAGCCTGAAGGTAATGATTCTACTCACCAGAACAAATTCAATAAGCTGTAGTTGTTCTGGTGACTATAGTGACCCCTTAAATATATTTGCTCTATCGCTAAGTTTGTACTTTTCATCTTTTCAATTTTCAAAATTGTGGATTAATATTTTATATCCTATTGAGGCATATAATAGGTACATATAAAAACTTTTATTATAGATCGATGGAAAATGTATAATAAGGACAATGCCCTGTGAGAGAAAAAGTTTTTAACTTCCGCCATCAAACCAGATGGGAGGTAATCTGAAAACCTTCTATAGGATTTCAGTCTTTTCCGATACCAGAAGTGACACATCAGACACTCTGGTTTGATCACTGTTAGTCTTAATATCTTTTTTTTCTAAAACAGATAGTTCTACAATTTTGGTTTGCATAACCCAGTTCCTTCTCCATGCACTATTATGGCACTGAAACTATTTTTTGAAAACTATTCTAGTTTTTTTTGTGGACGGAAGTGACGTTGTCATGTTTATTTCACAGTAAATGGTAATTATGGTCATGTTTTTTGTGTTCACCTATAAATATTTGAGATACTGGTTGGTGTATTGTGCTTGATGAAGGTTCTATAGCGGAGCTGAAACGTTGCTCCAAAAAAGTCGGCTTACTTATTTTATCGTGTGCTCAGGAATTTGATTATTAAACATCTACGTTAAGTCAAGAAAAATAACTTGTATAGCATCTTGTGCGCAAACAAAATATCAGATAATTACTGCAAAGGCTCTGGAGGGCCTGGTAATAAAGAAAGAAAAGCTCTCTCTGGCATAATAGTATGTTATGGTTCTGATGCAAGCAGTCTTAACCTGGCTTAGAACACTTTGTTCAATACTTCATTAAATCTTTGCCTGACACAATGGCCTACAGTACATCAGTACATCTTTCTTGCATGACAAAATCACTTGATGTAACTTAACCTGGTGTTTTTTTATTTTGTATTTTTTTAAATAGCATTTGTTCTCATGGAGATCCAATAGGAGAAATTATACCTTAATAGCATCAGTAATATGTAGGAGAACCAGTCACCCAACAGCAATTGAAAAGGGATGCTCATGTATTCTTCTTTCACCTGGGTTCCACAAACAAGGGTGTGGACACAGCAGGAGGCATAAAATACTAAGAAATATTGCTTACAGACTGAGTTTCTAGACAAGCTGGTACTTGTTTAGGGATGTACCTTTGTAATCATACAGTATACTGTATTCCGCTTAGACAATGACAATGCTATTCACATGTCAAAGTAATAAAAAAATTCTGAAATACTTCTGTGATGTCAAAGAAGAGGAGAGTGATGACTGCACTAAATATTTAGGTTCTTTGATTGTGATGAATTATCTTTTGCAATTTCCCACACTGTCTCTTTCTTTAGATCTGTCCCTTCTCTAGCAAATACATAAGCCAGCTACACTTTTCAGTTTTAAATTTTCAATTCATCTGCAAAGCCGCAAACTCTTCTTATACAGCTTTCAAATCCATCTCCTACCTTTAATAAATATATCTTTTTCTGACCATTTAAAAGAGATATATATATATATATATATTAATTAAATAAACGCATACATTATTATTAAAAATCTAAAAATACCCTAACATAATATATAATAGTCTTCTCTGGATAATTTGTGTTTGCAATCAAATTATACACTCACAGCTTAAAATGTCAAGTCCTACTCTAGCCAGGCCTTCCACTGCAAGCTTAAAGAGTCCATGCCATACTCACCAGTGCTAAATTTAAACTCGCTGATGGAGTATATACACACATATATATATATATATATATATATATATATATACACACACACACACACACACACACACACACACACACACAGTACACCCCTCACATTTTTGTAAATATTTTATTATATCTTTTCATGTGACAACACAGAAGAAATGACACTCTGCTACAATGTAAAGTAGCAAGTGTACAGCCTATATAACAGTAAATTTGCTGTCCCCTTCAAAATAACTCACACAGCCATTAATGTCTAAACTGTTGGCAACAAAGTTAAGTACACCCCTAAGTGGAAATGTCCAAATTGGGCCCAATGTTTCAATATGTTGTGTGGCCACCATTGTTTTCCAGCACTGCCTTAACCCTCATGGACATGGAGTTCACCAGAGTCTCACAGGTTGCCACTGGAGTCCTCTTGCACTCCTCCATGACGACATCACAAAGCTGGTGGATATAAGAGACCTTGTGCTCCCCCACCTTCCATTTGAGGATGCCCCACAGACGCTCAATATGGTTTAGGTCTGGAGACATGCTTGGCTAGTCCATCACCTTTACCTTCAGCTTCTTTAGCAAGGCAGTGGTCGTCTTGGAGGTGTATTTGGGGTCGTTATGTTGGAATACTGCCCTGCGGCCCAGTCTCTTAAGGGAGGGGATCATGCTCTGCTTCAGTATGTCACAGTACATTTTGGCATTCATGGCCATTCAAGTGTAAGCTCACCTGCCATGTCAAGGCAAAAGCTTTTAGGTAAGTCCTACACTAACATTTCACCTTGACACCGTCTGAACCAAGTATGCTTATCTTGGTCATATCGGACCACAGGACATGGGTCCAGTAATCCATGTCCTTAGTTTGCTTGTCTTCAGCAAACTGTTTACAGGCTTTCTTGAGCATCATCTTTAGAAGAGGCTTCCTTCTGGGACGACAGCCACGCAGACCAATTTGATGCAGTGTGCGGCGTATGGTCTGAGCACTGACAGGCTGATCCCCCACCCCTTCAACCTCTGCAGCAATGCTGGCAGCACTTATACATCTATTTCCCAAAGACTACCTCTGGATATGAATCTGAGCACGTGCACTCAATTTCTTTAGTCGACCATGGCGAGGCCTGTTCTGAGTTGAACCTGTCCTGTGAAACTGCTGTATGGTTTTGCCAACCGTGCTGCAGCACAGTTTCAGGGTCTTGTCAACCTTCTTATAGCCTAGGCCATATGTAGAGCAACAATTCTTTTTTTCAGATCCTCAGAGAGTTCTTTGACATGAGGTGCCATGTTGAACTTCCAGTGACAAGTAGGAGAAAGTGTGAGAGCGATAACACCAAATTTAACACACCTGCTCCCCATTCACACCTGAGACCTTGTAACACTAACAGGTCACATGACACCGGGAAGGAATCATTACTAAATAGGCGCAATTTGGACAGTACTCACTTTTGTTGCCGACGGTTTAGACATTAATGGCTGTCTGTTGAGTTATATTGAGGGGACAGCAAATTTACACTGTTATACAGGCTGTACCAGGCTGTTATACTGGCTTGTAGCAGAGTGTCTTTTCTTCAGTGTTGTCACATGAAAAATTATAATAAAATATTTACAAGGGTGTACTCACTTTTGTGAGATACTGTATGTGTGTGTGTGTGTATATATATATATATATATATATATATATATATATATATATATATAACCAAAAAGGTATGTTGGGGAAAATTGTGATTGAAAACCCCTTCCACCTGAAGTCAGTGGATAGTTAATACAATGTTAAACACAAATCTGCACACCAGTCAAGCCATAAGGCTTGCTTTTCCCACAGAAATTACAAATGTGCAGTGATGTTACTACCGCAAAGAATTCAAGACAAACAGTTCAGACACTGGGTATTTAGCAAAAATAACAAATAATACAAAAATAAAGTACTCACCACCCATCACCAATGATTGCCGTGCCCAATGCTGGCATGCACTATGTATATCGTTAGTAAAGTATGGACAACATGAAGTGTAGTATACTTACTGGTAAAAGTGAGTAACTCAAAGCAGCCACAATGTAACCAATAAAGCTTTCAATTACTTCACTATATGGAAACAACCATCACTGAGATAATACCAATGCAATGCTGCCTAGCTGGTAATAAACCTCACTAGAGGAGGTCCATTGTAACAATTGGGGACATCATTAAAGCTCACAAGTGGCAAAGAAATGGGAAACCCGATGGCAATCCACATCAGCATCATAACATATTGTACAGCACAGATTGTAAGCACCCCAATTATATAATACAGAGGGTAAAGATCGGGGTTTGAAAAGGGCAGTACATGATACAAGTAGACATAGAAGAGTCATAAAACTGAGGAATAGAAGTGACAGCATAATGTATTTCTGATTTGGAGTTCATTATATATATAGTTTATGTTTGTAGCTATTTTCCACTAAAGGTCGTGTTCTAAAAACATCAGAGTACGTTAGAACTTGTGGGTTAGCATTAAAACCCCCAATGGAATAGTCTATAAAACACATGCATGAAGGTAGACGTTGTTTTAGTTTGCCAGTTGGCCAGAGTTAAAATGTGCATATAACCATTATGTGGTGAGGCTTGGAAAGAGAAAGCATTTGATGTCTTCCCAAACAGTCCAGGTGTTTGCTAAGGGAGCATGGGGAAATTGGGAGACTTGTGTCTCTCATAGTGCTAGCGGAGATGATAAAGTCGATAAACGGACTAAAACACTATGGTTAGGACTAAGTTCCATGTCGCAAGAAACGCGTTAAGCCGTCTAAATGGGGCATGCTTTTGAGTGGTTTTTTTTTTTTTTTTGCTATGTCCATGAGTTTGCTCATTTTTTTTATACTATTTCAGTAAACATTACGTTTCATTTTATCATGAACTGCATCTGCTTTTTACATGGATTAGGGAGTTAATAGATGTCTCCCATGTGATTCTACTAGCACGATTATGCATTTAAGCAGTAAAGTAGGAATTGTTGCAAAAATCTAAATGAACGCTATAGTTTCATGGAATACAAACATATTCCTGACACTATAACTGTAAAAACATACTTTAGGTTCTCGCCAACCCACCCCCCCACAGTTAGAAGAGCGAAAGGTTATTTTACTCCCCTTATTTCCAGTGCCGCACAAGTCTTCTCACGGCTGGCTCCGCCCATTCTGCCTCCTTGGCTGAGATCATAAAAATTAACGATCTGAGCCAATCCAATACTTTCCAATAGGAAAGCATTGGGTGGCTATTGCACATGCGCTGCAAATGGCCACACTGCATCAATCAGCATCTCCTCGTAGAGATGCATTGAATCAATTAATCTCTATGAGGAGTGTTCAGGGTCTCCATGCAGAGCGTTGAGACGCTGAATGTCAGTGCTGCACACTGTGACTACCACAAGAGGTTACTAGGCAATAATGTAAACACTTCCTTTTCGCAGAAAAAGCATTACGCTGTAGTTGTTCTGATGACTATAGTGCTCTTTTAAGGCCAAATTAGCCAAAATGGAAGCATAGTTCGCTTGGAGAATGTTTCCAGTTTAGCTATCTTGGCCTTAAATTTAAAATTCACTTTGAATTCCTGACAATTCTTATAGTCCTTTCAAAAATGATTTATATAGAAACAATAATAAGCATACTACTGCAAAAGAAAAAAAAAACTTTGCAAAAGACACTGAACAGATGTAAGGATATATTTGGCTTATCTTGACAAAATGAACAAACACGGTCAATAAAAATATTTAAAGAAACACAAATCATGCTTATGATAATACTTATTAGGGAGTGTGCTATACACAGGGCACTGCATGGACCAACAAGAGAGAGATTTTGATTAAAATTAATGAAATGCAACAGTGTAATAGTAACTATGTTAGAAAAAAAAAGAAAAGAAAAAAAAGATAACAGCAAAATGGTTTCCAGGCGCCAAGCAATGTTCACAATAAAATGCAACGGGAAAATATGATCATAGATTTTCAAAGAGCCACATTAATATAAAAAACACTATTTCATTACTACCTGCTATAAAATGTTTTTAAAGGTATACATGGCACAATTACTTGTGCAAAGTTACCTTTAAGCAGAAAGAAGCAAGGTGAATTGTTAGTGTAGGACTCCCCTAAAAGGTTTTGCCTTGACATGGGCAGGTGAGCTTACACTTCAATGGCCATTGAAGCCGTTAAAAAAAAAAAAAAAAAGGGTTATTTTTATATAGTTATACATGATACAGTGGCAGACTATAGTATTTAAGAGGCATTGTAAGTCTCTGTGTTTTTTTTTTTTTAAAGTGCGGTGTTTGGCAGGAAGATGGTACTGCAAGCCCATGGTAGTGTTATGGTGCAAGTTGGCTATGGGAGCCGTCTCCTATTCTGTGTCAGTTTTCAGGCAGTTTGACAAAAAGCACAAGGGTCCCATTTGCTTGCCATATTTATACACCTCTGCATCGGCAATACCAATTTCATCCATTGACAGACTTAATAGGTCAGATATTGCAAACAGAGTTGTATTTTTCTATAAAACACAGTGTTTTAAAGAAAGATAGTTTATATTTTTCTAATATTAGTGACTTAAACCAATACCGCAAAATGCTATGTATAGCATGGGTTCCATATTATAGGTATAAACACCACTAATTATTAGCATACTAAAGCCTTAAATAATTTTTGTTAAGCAGTTTTTATTATATTGTTAATTAAAATAAATATTTGAGTATATTTGAGTATTCTAATTTGAACAAGAAAAAACTTTTAATAAATAATTATGAATATTAATAGTTAGTCTGTGGTTTTATACCCCACATTCTCTAAAATGTAAGCTCATTTCAGCAGGGTCCTTAATAAGCTCTTGGATCTGGTTCCAAGCAACATAACCACTACTGTAGCTATTGATGTGAACACTTATAATAGCTTGACTTGTTATATCTACATTGCATTAGAGCATCTCCACTTTGTCTATTAATGGTAGCACAGAATGCCGTTTGCCATTTCTGAAGACCTACCAAAAAATCTTAACGGCACAAATCCCTCATTTTATCACCTAATCATAACCAAGTGGGAGAATTCAAGGATGTAATTAGATAGATTCTGCATCATCTTACCTTTTAAACAACTGGGTTTTCTACAGTCAATATTCTTAAGCATGAATTGCAAGGTATTTACGTTCAGGCTTAGTTTGAAAAGTGACATTCACTGGCTCTCATAAAGTTACAAAAAGATAACTCACCCCAACTCTTCACAGAAGTTAACCATTACTTCAAATCCAGCCATGGAAGCTTTATCAGATGCCTTGGTGTCTCCTCTTTTTGACTGGAAAATTAAAATTTTAGGTATTTTTACTTGATTCTGGGTAATACACTAAACATAGCCTTAGAAAAAAAAAATCAAATATTACATAGTGAAAACAGAGTAGTAAAAAAGTAACCGTAGTCAAGATTCAAACAAACAGTTCAAATTCATCCTAAAGGTGGCTAATCCCTGAATGTATGAACTAGCCAAAGCAATGTTTTAAATGTGCAGTTAGGTATAGATTTACTGTTGGATGCAAACCTAGGTCTGAGCTGCCACTAGATGCACATTATTATTATTATTTATATAGTGCCAACACATTCCGCAGAGCTTTATAAATTGAGTATGGGGATAGCTGACATCAAGTAGTTGACTTGTAAAATAATAGCAGACATAAGAGATGAAGAAGGTCCCGCTCAAACGTGTTTAAGGTCTATGAGCAATTCACACTCCTGCTGGCGGGTGGATATATCTTCAAGCCTGGGATACCCCTTGAATCCATGACTGTGCCTGGGATTCCTTCTGAAACAGAGGTTGGGTAATAACTACTTAATGAAACCAAGGTCAGTATATGCTGCCTCTTGAAATCAGTTCAGGCCTGGGCTGCGCCCCAAAACCAAGGGCAGGACCTGGGCTGCGCACCGAAACCAAGGGCAGGACCTGGGCTGCGCACCAAAACCAAGGGCAGGACCTGGGCTGAGCCCCGAAACCAAGGGCAGGACCTGGGCTGAGCCCCGAAACCAAGGGCAGGACCTGGGCTGAGCCCCGAAACCAAGGGCAGGACCTGGGCTGTGCCCCGAAACCAAGGGCAGGACCTGGGCTGCGCCCCAAAACAAAGGGGAGGATCTGGGCTGCGCCCCAAAACCAAGGGCAGGACCTGGTCTGCGCCCCAAAACCAAGGGCAGGACCTGGGCTGCGCCCCAAAACCAAGGGCAGGACCTGGGCTGCGTCCCGAAACCAAGGGCAGGACCTGGGCTGCGTCCCGAAACCAAGGGCAGGCATAGGCTACCTACTGAAACCAAGGGCAGGCCTGGGCTGCGTCCCGAAACCAAGGGCAGGCCTGGGCTACATACTGAAACCAAGGTCAGGACTTGGCTCACTCCTGTATAACTAACTATAACACCAACAAGAATATTGACTAAAGGGATAATTCAAAGTAAATTTCAAATTAAGGCCATTTAGCTAATGGCCTTAAATGTGAAATTCGCTTAGAAAAAAACCCTGTTAGACTTTTCTTTTTCTGGGAATAACTGCACAATATAGGTCACAGATGGGACTCTATAAAGCCTTTCCTTTTTCCAGTCTGTAATATAGGAGTCTCATACACACCTGAGCTTGTGTTATTTCCTTCTTGATGAGGAAACTGATTTGATCTCTGTCAGTTCTGGAATAATACAGACGGCAAAAGGACTGCTTTCCATCTCTGCCGGCCCTTCCTGACTCTTGGTAATAGCCTGCCATTGACTTGGCAATGTTCCAGTGGACAACAAACCTGCCACAAATCACACAGAAAATCAAAAATATATATTTTTTGTGGCACATTACTCAAGAACAATAAATACATCAATGATTGCTTTACTCGAAAGAATAATCTAAGACAGGGGTAGGTAACCCCTTCCTAGCAGTGTGCCAAAGTAAAACCTTGAAGTCACTTTTTTTCTTTTTTTTTTTTTTTAAAGTACCAACTTGTGTAATATATGGGTGTGAAGGATGCTTTGTGAGGTTGTATCTGTGTATATGTGGGGGCTGTTAGTACTGTGTGTTATGCATGCGTGTAGGATGTCTGTGAGGTTATGTGAGTGTATTTACAGGCTGTGTGTAGTGTTGTGTACGCACTGTGGTAAGGTTTGTGTGGAGGGGTTGGAGTGTAGAGGTATGTGTGTGAATATGGGCCATTTGTGGTCCTTTGCGCATGTGTGTGGCAGGAGCGGTTTGTGAGTTATGTTTGTATTATTGTGTGTGTTTAGGTTGCCTGTTGTGTTATGTGTATACCCTGTTTGTGGTATTTATATGTGTGTGTGTGTGTGTCTCTTTGGTATTGTGCATGTGTATGTGGCCTGTTTGTGGTAATTGTGTGTTTGCTGTATCCAAGAAGTGTATTTACAGGAGTTGCTTCTAGTATTTGTGCTGTAGACCTCTCCTAGTTGACAGGAGTATCACCGCCAGGGATTCCCTTTCCCCCCTTAGTAAAGCCCCCAGAGTGATTCTAACAACCCCCCGAGTCATCAGCCGATGCTTGATGTAAGGATAAACACACATTATTGAGTGTCTGTCCCCTTGTTATACACAGGCCCCAACAGTGGGTCACGTCCGTGTGTCTAGACACAATGAGGTAACTTTTTTAACGATCAGACACCCAGGTGCCTGACTATAATGTACCCTGAAACAACTCATTCCCCTGCCCACATCCCCAAACAGCTGTCACCCCACATAGCTTACCCCTAGGAAGGTACTCTTTCGAAAAAGCGCTGGGATCAGAGGTGCCTAGCTCAAATAGTGCGACAGATAAGTTTTGCCTGGGCCACGAGCATCCTCCAATCTGCCATCTCGTTCCAGTGCAATGGGTGGAAAAACCCAGAACTCCCACATGACCTGTGTGTCTTTAGATTCCTCACCACCTCCTCTATCACCCCTCCAAATTGCGCCCTGTTTGGTGGTCCTGGGGCCATGAGCCACCTTAATGACCAGACCGGACTTACCTCCTAGGAAGCTCCTAGTCGGGCACACCGTGTCTGTGTGAGGTCCCTGTGTCAACGATTAGGTGCTCTAGCTGGGAGGCACGATAGGAAGAGGATTTGGCTGGGTGATTACAGTCCTTTCAGGAGAAGGTGGTGGCTGGTAGACATGTACTAGTCTTTGGTGACTGGGCAGCCACTGTGTGTGGACTATGAACTGACTGTTGTGAGTGTATGTGGGCTGTTTGTGGTGTTATGTGTGTATGTGGGCTGCCGGTTGTATCGTCCCTAGAGTGTGGACTGTCTGAGGTTTTATGTATGCTCTCTAATGTTAAGTGTGTTACTTGTAATATTTGCATGTGGTGCAGGCTGTCTGTGGTAGTGTGTGAGTATATGTGGGATGTCTGTTGTGTTTTTATTTGTAAGGGCCCCCTAGGGTTTTGAGTGTGTACTTGAGTGAGTGGTGGGAGCTATCTGTGGTGTTGTGAATGTAGGCTATTTGTGGTATTGTGTGTTTGCTGGCCGTCTGTTATGTTAATGTGTGCATGTGAATTGCTTCTAGTATACTCACATATATTCTATAATCTCTCTTCAGCCTAATGGCATTGAGGTTCAGTCTTACAGACCCTCATTTTTTGGATTCATTTGTTTTTATTCACAGGTCAGCAAAACAAGACTTGACACTATATTGTCAATGCTTTACGTAGCTAAAACATTCTAAAAAAAAATGCAGAAAAGTAAAAGTAATGTAAAAATACTCCCTTTCAAAGACCTTGAAGATGAATGGCTTAGAGAAGCTGACTTCATCATCCCACACAGGTAGATTCGGCAGACTCTCCAGACTCTCTCTCTCTGGGGTCTAATTCTATCCCATGAACATCAGTCCAGGAGTTGTATTAGATATGCAGATTATGCCCCAGCTGCACTTAGCTTAGACTTAATACACTGGATGAGTAGAGCTGCTTTACAAACTGATAACTGTCATTATGCGGCTGCTAGCATTTTATAGATCGGTTTGTAGTATTAGGAATGGCCTCTCTACAGTGAAGAGAAACCTGTGTTTACAACTTCTTTGCCGTGTCTGAGCTAAGAGAGCTGGCTGAGAGGGGCAGTGATTTTTACAAATTGCTTCAGTTAAAAGCCACTTACAGATTCTGAGGGTGAGTACAGGGAATTCTCTGCATCTATAGCTTTGCAACAATGCAAAGTTGTTATGGTATTTAGATTAACCCTTTAATTTGTATTGTTCTGTGCAAAAGTTGCACATTTTCAATACACATAAATAATGTTAGCTTGAACTTCATTTAGTTTAATTAACATTCCAAATTGGAGTTATTACTCTATCTTTTTCGAAGGAACACTCCAAACTCAAAGCAAAGCTTGCTGTAGTGGTTATGGTGCAACGTAAGAGTCGAAACATAGAAACAAAGAATGGGACGGCAGATAAGAACCATTCAGCCCATCTAATCTGCCCGATTTTCTAAATACTTTCATTAGTCCCTGGCCTTATCTTATAGTTAGGATAGCCTTATGCCTATCCCACGCATGCTTAAACTCCTTTACTGTGTTAACCTCTACCACTTCAGCTGGAAGGCTATTCCATGCATCCACTACCCTCTCAGTAAAGTAATACTTCCTGATATTATTTTTAATCTTTTGCCCCTCTAATTTAGGACTATGTCCTCTTGTTGTGGTAGTTTTTCTTCTTTTAAATATAGTCTCCTCCTTTACAGTGTTATTCCCTGTATCAATTTAAATGTTTCTATCATATGTTGTTACTGTATTTTGTTCCTGAATAAAAGACTGCCTTTTTAAATAAACCACTATGGATGCCTGGACTTTTGTGTAATTTTCCAGTATAATTTTGGGGGATTTGCCCAACCTGTCTGGAGCACCCTGGTGGGATAATTCCATGGCAGCATGTGCATTGTCCATTTTCTGTTGCAAACCTGAATATCCTCAGTCAAACAGTTTGTCAACTTACAGACATGGCACCAGTCACTTCCTCCACTGAAATTCAGTAACACCTGCATGGAGCTTCCGTTAGCTCTTTTGAGCAAAGTCCTGCTCTGCAGGGCCAACACATAGGCTGGAAGCTTCAACAGATCTTTCTCAGCAAATACCTGCACTAATAGACTATCCTAGAGCAGAGAGCTTCCTGCTCTTAATGGTGGAGGTGACCAGTGCCCACCTGTACTCAAGTACAATGGTTTGACTACTTACACTGGTGGGTGCCAGGGCACTCCTGGAACCATAACCACTACAGTGCCACGGTACTTATGGTGCTTGAAGTGCTCTCTTAATACATTATGGAGATAAAGCAAATAGTATAAAACAACACAATAAAAACCTTATTTTGGCAAAAAATGCTGATTTGAAAAGGTTCACCAAACATAGCCACAGCTTTTATTCCTCACCTCACATTGGCTTTATCGACACCCATTCCAAAACTGATAGTAGCCACAATGACTGGAACCACGTCTTCCATCCACTCATTTTGAACGGACACTCGGTCACCTGCTTTAAGGCCTGACAATGATACACAGGACAAATTAATCAATGTGTTGCTATGTACATAACTAATCTGATACACTTTAAGCATCAGACTGGGACAATGTACACATTAGGGTAGATTAGATTGTGTAGATTACTTTATTTGGCTAGATGGCTTAAATGACTCTTTTAATGCCTAAGAACGGGGACAATTCCAGCTTAAAGTGTTTAATTTAAAAGCATCATAAGTCTAATTTTTGAAAAGCTTTAGAAGTTAAGAATACTAAAGGACCTGGTTTTCTCTTCTGAAAAAATGCTTGCCTGTCACTCACCAGCATGATATGCTTTAGATTTGACCCCTCGTTGGGATAGTTGAGTAGCCACCTCCTCACAAGTATCCCTGGTCCGGCAGTACACAATTCCACAGCCTGAGAAACCCTGTGTGAGATTGGGCAGCACCGTGAGTTAAGATTCACTTAAAAAAAATAGACTAGACTGTTGGCATATTTAGAACAACCTTAATTGTCCTTTACATGAAATCAATGTTTTTATACAAAATAAAAGTAACAAATCTCTACAAAATAAATGTTTTCACACAAAATGAATGTAGAAATAAACACCTCTTTACAATGCAATTGGGCATCAAGTTGTAGAATAATGAAGCATTGATTTCTACATAATTTATTTTTCGCATCCTGTAAATATATATTTATTAAATACAGGGATACATAATCCTTAGTAATGAAACCTGGAAAGGGCCAGTTCCCCTAATGTATGTTTTATGGCTGCGATGTGTACTTTGTGCCCTCGTTTGTCCTCTTATCTGGACAAATATATAAAAAGCCATTCAATTTCAATCTAAAATAGCAGTCCTACTAGTCCAAACTTTAGACTATAAGATGGCCGCATATACCAATGATATTTACTAAACCTATGACTTGATTTCCATTTATGTTTTGTTGGGTAATCTAAGGTTTTATATGTATGGAATATAAATATAATAATACCCAACAATGACATAACAGTTTGATCTAGACATGTGCAATTCGTTTCGGTCCGAATGCGAATTCGGACAAATTTTGGGCACCCGAATGTCCGAATAGCTGAATTGCCGAAGTCCCGAAGTTCCGAAATTACCGAATTTCCAAAGTGTAGAAGTTCCAAAGCACTAATACTAATATACTTACCCAGTGGAAGAAGAAGAATGTTACACTGTATACAATTTTAAATAAAAAGTACACAAACATAGCCAGGATTCAGCTGTAATCATTTGCAACACTTACAACAATCAAGTAACACACATTCATATAAAATGTAAGTTACTTAGCCAGTCAATGGAATGACAGGAATGAATAAGTAGATAACTCCCTAATTCCCACAGTATTAGGGAGCTATCTACTAAAAGGCTGAAAGACCTAAATTGGTCTTTCAGACAAATTTACTTATACTATGTAAAGATTACTTAGTATTAGTAAATGATGCCCCTACTCGCTATACTGCGAGTAGGGGCATGTCTATTAAACAGTGAGCAGCCTGTTAAAATAATAAAAAATAAGGTTCCCCCCTCCTGAACGGCAGGTGGGGGCTCTAAAGTAAAAAGGGGGGGGGGGCCTAAACTTCGGCACTTTGGAACTTTGGCATTTCGGGACTTCTATTGCAGCCGCTTAGTAGATAACTCCCTAATTCCCACGGTATTAGGGAGTTATCTACCAAAAGGCTGAAAGACCTAAAAGTTAAAATTACTTAGTATTAGTAAATTATGCCCCTACTCGCTATACCGTGAGTAGGGGCATGTCTATTAAACAGTGATCAGTTCCCACCCTCCTAAGCCCCCACCTATTTTTTTTTTTTTTTTTTTTAACAGTGAGTTATCCCTTTTGGTAGATAACTCCCTAATACCGTGGGAATTAGGGAGTTATCTACTAAGCGGCTGCAACAGAAGTCCAGAAATGCCAAAGTCCTGAAATTTGAAATTCCGAAGTGCCAAATCGAACCGAAAATTTTCCCCATGCACATGCCTAGTTTGATCCTTTCAAAAGTACCCAATATCTGTACAACAACAACTCCCATTCCCCCTACTACCACCACCAGACACATCCAAAACTACCTTTGAGCTGCCAATAGTACCAATTCTTTCAATGGGCATCCATTGATAGTCTGAGAGTGCCAACTGCCTAGCTAACCCTTCCTCGTAATGCATTGCAGAGAGGAAGGAAGCTGGGAGGAAGAAGAACCGGTCGCTGGAGCCCCAACTTTCCATTTCCAAATGGATTAATCCCTGAAGATAAGCAGGTGCCCAGACACTCACGCATCCAAAACAAATAAGTTATTGGGTGAGTGGGAGTGTTCCTTTAAAAGTTACAGGTTAAATCTTGTAATTGTGTATGGCTTTGTGGTTTCTTACCCCTTGAGGATTTTTATCTCCCAGTGCTTTCAGGCAGAAGTCCTTTAGGTTCCCATAAGGATCGCTAAGTAGCTCCTTCATTTGAACATCATAGAACAGGTTGTACCGGAAGCAGGGAGTTTTAAATATAGCGATGGGTTGACGCAACTTTAGTGCAGCCATTATATCATTTTGCACTTGCTTGGTGGCAGTGGCGGTTAGGGCTATACATGGAGTTTGTGGTATCCGTGCACGCAAGTTACCCAGACGCATGTAATCTGGGCGGAAATCATGACCCCACTCTGAAACACAATGCGCTTCATCAATGATGAGGTAGGACAGAAGGCCGCGGGTAAGAAGCAATGTTAGGGTGGGCTGAAAAGATGGTGAGGATGCCATCTCTGGGGTGATATACAGCAGTTTGATTTGAGGGTGCTCACTTTCCAGGTCCTGCAGAATTTTCTTGCGTTCTTGAACTGGCAACTTTGAATTAAGAGAGCAAGCTTTAATCTTCAAGCTTAGCAGATGATCTACTTGGTCCTGAATAGGGATAGCAACAGGAAAAGATGATGTTAAAAGAGACACGAATAGCAGTTTAATTCTAAATACAAATTAGACCGTTAAAGGGACACTGTAGGCACAATAGTCATTTCTTCTCACTGAATTGGTTATAGTGCATGGTACCGTGTCTCCATACAGTGCTAAACTATTTTCTAGCAATTTAACACTAAATAAGGGTCCATCCATAGCCCAGCCTCCACTGGAGTTATGCTTAAAGCTTAGATTGCACACTTCCTTGTAGCCACACCAATTAATAACAGCTATGGTGGCTGTGATAGGCTAAATGCAGTCAGCTGACACTCACAGCCAATCACCACCACCCATTGCTGCTCAGGCTAATGCTTCATTATTAGCACAAGCAGTATACATGCCGCTGGGGACTGGTTTAGCACTGAAACCTTAAAAATGGTTTATCACTAAAAGACAGGATTGCACCAGGGAACTCCAGATACCATACTAAACTGCTGGTATCCAAATGGGTGGCATAATTCTCTAATATTATGAGAAGCCAAACCCCTCAACAAACCAAATCTGCTGACCTTTTAAAGGGACACTGTAGGAACTATAACTATTTCATCTCATTGAATCGGTTATAATGCCTAGAATCTCCTGGCGCTGTACCTGAGAACTCTCGTATAGGATTCAAATATAAAAAATGGTTTGATGCTGAATGGAAGGACGGTGCCAGAGGACTCCAGATACTTTAACCACTTCAATGAGATAAAGTAGTAACACTGCCGACAGTTTCTCTTTAAGAATGGAACATTTCTTAATTAATCTTAGGTAATAGACTAGTTTTCAGTGCACACTGGCCTCCACCCTACTATACTAATTGGTTGTTGATCGCTTTTTCAAGCTGATTGGCTGATTCTTCCCCCTGGCGATGGACCATGCCCCACCTGTAGTGATCTATCCCATGAGTATACAGTATTAAAGATGTGCTCCAAAGATAGCAACATGTTAGCTGCCATATGACAGATGGAAAAATTGAAAGACACAACAGTCAAAAAGGGTTTTACACAGGGTAAGCTTCTTTCAGGACTGCAGATGTTGAGGTCTACAACTCCACTGATGAGTTTCCAGTACCATGGCTGTAAAAGCATTATGAATGATGTAGTCCACAAGATCTGGTGTGCCGATGATGGCCTTCTCCTGGTCTAACATTTTACAGCAGAAATGGCTCACCAGCCAAGCCAAATGTCATAAACTGTTAAAATTCTCAGGTTCTGCATGACTGGCAGAGGGACCATACCTGAATCAGAGCAATGAGAGGAGAGATGACCACGGTAATTCCCACGGCTAGAACAGCAGGAAGCTGGTAACACAAGGACTTTCCCGCACCAGTTGGCATGCAAACAAACACATCTCTTTCACCTAAAGAGTAAATAGTAAAATATGGATTAGGTTTTCTCATATATAAATGGTAAAATTAAACACTTTTTGAATATTGGTGCTCAAGAATGCCTGGAAGATCTTAATCATACATAAAAAAGGGTCTTCACCAAACTTTGTATACTGTGCCGTATTTTCATATAAATAGGGTCTCCCTTTGGATTTGAAAGCAATAAAATAAACAATATAATAAGAATCAAGGGTTTGAAACAAGTGTTTGAATTTTCTCCAGGAATATAGATTTCGGGAACACCAAACTGGTTCTCAGAAAGTGTATGTGTCAAGATATTCCCCACATGGTAGCAAAACACTGTTACGGCGCCTGCCAGGTGCACTCCGGTGTAGCACGTACCGTGAGCATACAGAAGCTGTCCTGCTCAGTCCCATGTCCTATGGCCAAGTTGTGCTCCGCGTTCTGACTGACAAATGGAACCCTCCAGTCTCTGCCCAGATTCTTGACGCAAACATGCGTGCGTCCTCACGCAAATGTTACACACACACACACACACACACGTTCCATGTATCCCTGCCATTTTATGGCCATCTAGACTTATTTGGATCTTTTCTCTGTGCCCTGTCGTGATTTCCCTTGTGGTTATCCGAGAGAGCATTTTATTTATTTAGTCGATTGTATTTTGAAACGGATTGTACCTGGACTATTTTTCCTTTTGTATTCCTTGATTCTGGACCTTTACCGACTGTTGCTCCACCTCAATATTAGTTAAAGAGGTGTTCAGCAAAACCCATGCAGAAACGTTACCATCACACAGACCTTATGCCTGTGCTACTGATCAACTACCAGGTACCATGCCACCCAGAGTCCAGACTTTTTCTCCCCCATGAAAGCAAGACACTATTGCTAAAGGTTTTCTATGTAGATCATCCTTTCCGGGCAGTGCAGCGTTCTTCTTTGCCTCCAAGAAAGAGGGTGAGCCAAGTCCATGTATAGACTATAGGGGTCATAATAAAATAATGATCAGGAATGTCTACCCCATTCCTCTTATTACAAAGTTATTTGATAGTCTACAAGGGTCCAATATCTTTACTAAATGCAATCTTAGAAGTGTGTACAACCTGGTTAGGATAAAGGAAGGTCATGAATGGAAAACCGCATTTAACACAAGAAGTGGGCATTACAAATATCTAGTAATGCCATTTGGTTTAAGTAATGCACCAGTGGTATTCCAAGGCTTCATAAATAAATGTGTTAAGGAAATATATCCATATGTCCAAGTTGCCACAATCATGGCAATTGGTCTGACCTGCTCTCTTGGGTAGAGTTTGCACGTAACAACTCTACACATGAATCATCTAGGCACAGCCCTTTCTATGTTACCTATGGTAGACATCCCTCTATCATTCCTACTATGTTCAATTTTAATTTGATGCCTGCTCTCGACCACCATTTCAATAGTAAAAAAGAAAACTGGTTCAAACACTGGGATTGGTTTCTTCTCAATTCAAAAATTCATGCTGAAGAGCGTATTGTGGCTCCTAGTTATCGGGTTGGGGACAGGGTTTGGCTTCCCACAGATAACATCAAGTTGAAGGTAGCCACAATGAAACTAGCCTCGAGAATCCTTGGCCCATTTCGAGTTTGCAGAAAATAAGCCCTGTTTCGTATGCTTTTGCCCTTCCTCCTGCATTGCGCGTACCAAATTTTTACCATGTGTCCTTACTCAAATCTTGGTGTGCAATCACTGCATGAGGCCCTCAGTTCATCCTGCCCTGTTGGGATCAATGGTCAGGCCAAGTATAAAGCCCGCTCCATTATTGACTCGAAGCTCACGGGTTCTTGCCTGTGACGTGCTGCTCATCTACTACACTCCTTCCATGTAATGTTTCCACATAAACCTGCTCCTTCCAGCCTAGTAAGTGGTTTTCAGGAAAAGGCACGCTCCAGTGTTCTGCATTTCAGTGCAACTCGTGCTAAAGTAGGAGTTGCCGCGCTTGCTAATATGTCCTCTGCCGCACTGTACTCCAGCGTTTTGACAGATGCCCTTTTATGGCATGGAAGTCTTGGCCCCGATTCTTGATGCAAATGTGTGTGAGTCCCTCCTCACGCGGATGTTACACACGTATCCAACGTCACATGACAGACGTGAATCTATCCCTGCCCTCTTCAGGCTGCTTAAGCTAATTTGAGTCTTTTCTAAGTGTCCTGTCGTTTATTTCCTTGTGGTTATCTGACAGCACATTATATTTATTGATTCTATGGTATTTTGACCAGGCTTGTACCTGGACTATTCTTCCTTCTCTATTTCTTCATTCTGGCTTGTCTTACCTTTTATGTTCTCTCGGTCTTCCTGACCCTCGCCTATTCTATATTATTAGACTCAAATCCAGTCAGTCATTCTAAAGTCCGGTAATACATTATAGTATTCTGATTATATTTTATTTGTTGTTAACTTAAGTTCTGTATGTTCGGTATTTGCTAAATCCTGACAAATACATAGTGAAAGCCTTCCACATACAAATATCGAGGAGGATGGATCCAAAGTAAGACATCAGTGAATAAGAACACAACAGAATTCTCCATAAAATAAAAAAAAGGTAAGAAGTGTGGACCCAGGTTGGCCAGGGCAACAGAGAAGAGGGCAAACAGTGTCATACAAAGTGGGACTGGCCAGAGTAGCGAGGGATGTCCAACACATTCAAAGTCAGGCTGAAATCAATGCATCTCTATGGGGAACGTTCAGTGCAGAACATAGGCACTGCACACTGTAACACTGGACTAGCAAGCACCTCTAGTGACAACCACTAAAGGTGTAAACACATTAAAAAACTTGCAGGGACAAGCTATAGACACCAGAACCACTACACTAAGCTGTAGCAGTTCTGGTGACCATAGTGTCCTTTTAAGATCTGTTATTTTTGTTGTTGAAAAGAATGCTTTGTTAGAAAAAAAAAACCCAAAAAACCTGGCTTCTAACTTTTTTAGCTGACTTTTAGATTCAAAGCAAATTTGTCAAGCCCTGGGATCATGTATATACTAAACGAGTCAGATGGTCAGAATTCCCTAATGTCCTACTCAGACAGTCTTTAACATGCACTGGGGCATTTGAGAAAATTTGAATTGCAAGTAAAATATTGTTTTATCTTGGATCTTTCCCAATCTGGAATGTGAAAAAGTTTAACCTCAGAATAATGTTACAGGAGCCACAATTAAGGCATGGCAAGGTCCCAAAGTTGGGAGTGGAAAAAAAAAAAAAGCAGTGAAACAGGCCTAGATGGGCCAATGTCCACTTTAACTAAACAGTCTTGCAAGTTCTTAAAGTATCTACAGGTACAGAGAGGTGAACTTTAAAATTCAGTAACATTGGGGCAACTTATAATCCCCCAATGTGTGTTTTATTTTTGAAGAAGATAAGGTAGATAAACCTTTTGAAAGCGTTTGGGGGATACTATAGGCAACCAGACTCTTTCATCTCATTCAGTGAAATTTGAATTTTAGAGAAACCTCAATGTTTACAATGCAGTACTAAGACTGCCACTAGAGGCGCTTCCTGGTGCTTCATGGAGTTTGACACACTTAAAAGGTAATAAGGTGCTAGTAGACCCTAGGCACCATAATCACTTTACTTTTATGAAGTGGTGTTGCTGCCCCGAGTGTCCCTTTACAAAAAACTACATATTGCGAATTAATGTATAGTTGGAAGGCTCTAACAAAACTATACATATAAGTACAGCAAATTAGTCTTGAAACATGTCAAGTCACAGAAACCTATGTGAGTATTTAGTTGGTAAAGTAATAAATCTAATAAGTTTCCAAAGTCTCCAAAAGACTTCTAAAACACAATGAAAGACACATTGCAGTTCTAAAATCCAATAACGCCTTTAAAAATAAATAAATAATGAAATAAAAAATAAAAAAGCTTTTTTTAAAAATAGTATGCCTTTTAACTAAAGTGTGAGCTGTCTGGAAAGTGAAATTAAAATTTTAGGATCATAAACAGGAAAAAAATTCTCCAGCAGATTTATTGATTGAATTGTAGCGATTTAAAGCAACATTATAGGCACCCAGACAACTTTGGCTCATTGAAGTTTTTTTTAGAGAAACTGCAATGTTTTCATTGTAGTGTTAAACAGCCACGAGGGACTGCCTACCAGACCGCCACTAGAGCCGCTTCCTGGTTTTTCACAGAGTTTGACTTTGTGAAACATAAGTTCTACATGTTGAGCATCTTTGTGTTAAGTTCTGCATGTTGGGTATTTGTTAAATCCTGATAAATACATAATGAAAGCCTTCCACATCGTGAAATGATGCAGCACATCCTCACACTCAGCGTCTGGAAAGAAACGCACAGCAAAGCAATGCTTTCCTATGGGGAATGTCTAATGAGCTCACCTAGCATGCTCATTATGTCCATACCATCGGATGATGTTGAATGAGGCGGACCTCGGTGCAGGAATTGGGTAAGTGAATAAAGGATTATTTAACCATTTGCAACGCTAAGGTGGGCGGCTGAAAAACATGTTAGAGTTAGGAATACATATTTGTATTCTATTCCTAACACTAAAGTGTTTCTTCAGTGACGATACCATCAAGTCTGGTGTTGGTCGTATCTTAGTCAGAGACGTTCCTACGTACTATTATGAGTTAACTACGAGGTAGGGTGAAAGATGGTGAATTGCTATAATATTTTACAATCAGTGGGTTTCAAGTACATGTCAGTCTCCAGCCTGTCATTTCTCTTATACATAGTCAAGTCATGAAAATTGATCTGGGACCCATCATGGTGCATCAAAAATGTAATATCACAATCCGCAAACCTAATGATTTTTAAAAATTCGATCAGTTGATCAAATGGCCTGCCACAAACACCAAAGATCTAATCGATGTAACATCACCAGATGCTGGCCTAGGTCATAAACAGTGTGCTGGGGTAGAATCATATAAATGTCAGCAAAGGGTAGAGCCATCGTGGACCCCGTCATAGGTCCCTTGACTTGTCTCCAAACAAAGGAATTCCTATTAAGGATTAGATCAAGGATTTGCAGAAGGAAAGTAGTAACGTTAGAGTTCTTAGATTTGTGGGACAAAAGTTTTTGCAAAGCTGTGACATCTGGAGACTGGAGATGCCACACATAATAAAATACATGATGGGACAACATGATAGTCAAACAACTTTCTGAGCAGATCAGTGCTATCACGTTTAAAATACTTTCATTTTTAAACGGCTGAAGAGGGCTCAGAGCCTGCAAGTATTTTGTGAAAGTATAAAACAGGAATTACGAGATTTTGTTTATAGAGAAACTGTTTTAATTCTTCGCCAATCAGGCCTTTAGAAAAGACTTGTCAAACCATATTATCAATGTCCCTTAGTAGATCAAACATTGGATTGGGAAAAATAAAAAATATATATATATATACACTGTTTTGAAGGTCCAAGAAATATTGCCGTGTACTGTGCTGTAAAAAAATAAGTGATAAAAGATAAATAAACAGAAGGAATGGAAGATCAACATTCAATCACCTTTCACCACAGTCCTTGTTGCATTTTCCTGGAGATCTGACCGAAATGAATTAAAACCAAAGATGTCTTTCAAAGCCACCTGAACACAGCATTTGGAGCGGGCAGATGAAGAGGTAGAAGGCTTGGCACACATTTTTTCTGAGTGCATGGATGGCACTATTAAAAAAAAACAAAAAAAAAAACACAAAGTCAGCATCAAGATGTATAATAACTGTACCTACTCTATACTCCCCACATTTGGAAACTCGCTAAACTAGGAGCTGAGGAGGATTAGCGAATGAACTGCAAAGTTTAACAGTTAATGTGCTCCTTACCAATTGAGAATTAGCAGTTCACCCCTGAAATCTTTACATCCACAATTTTAGTTAATACACCCAATTGTTTGCTCTCCACCTCTTGGTGTAACCCACAGGTTTCTGCTCATTTGGACATGTGGAAGTTAACATATATATGGTACATAGAAATGCTCTCATTGGAGATGAATTAAACATTTCAGTGGATAAGCAGAATTCTATAACTAGCAAAGATATTGTCAGCAGAATTAATGAAACCCTTGATTGTACTAGAGGAATTTTTTTTTTTAATGGAAAATGGAATGACAACTGACTGAGAGAAGAACATATGTTAACATTCCTATTCTTACCCTGGGATAGAAAATAAATGTTAATAATTTCTTACACTTACAAATTTTTCTCACCAGGGAGCCACAAAAGTTATCTAAAGACATTTTTAACCTCCAAAATTAAAATTGTGGCTTACCACCTTCCCATATCCATTGACACGGAGTTACATTTTCTACTGCCCAATTAATAGTTACGGTACAATATCACTAATCACTGGGGGCGTTTTCATTCTTATGACACCTTGATGAATTGTTGGTATGGGAAAGCTAGAAAAGGGGAATCAAGTCATCCTCTCTCTAAATATTTAAGATGTAGGAACGTAGCCAGAAACAGATCGGTTTGATTATTAAACACCAAAGTATAGTGAACTGTGACTGAGTTCACAACTTTTTTCCAAATCAGTACTCTTTGCACAAACGGTGTAATTCGGGTTTCAATTAGTAGTGCATAAACTCCTTAATCTTTGATACTATTGTGACTAGTGTTCTACTTTATATGTGAACACCTGGGATTTAAAATGTTTTTATTTTAGATTGACTCAAGATGACTTAAGTAGAGTCCCCAAGTTGCTAGTGCAGTTTCCTCTTCTTTGCTACCCAGAAGCATTTGGGTTTGAGCACAAAATGCAGAAGCATTTGGGTTTGAGCACAAGTGATAAGACGAGAGCACCATCTGACTCTCTTAGTCTATCACTGGCCACTCACTGCGAATAATGCTTTAGAAATCTATATTCCTGAAGCATTACTCACTATGGGCAGCCAGTGATAGACTGAGTGTCAGCTGGTGCTCCCAACCTATCAGTGGCATACCTCCAAACATTTTAAATGGAAGGGACACATTCATTTTAGGGGTGTGAGTGGGGGTGTGGCCTGGTACAGCGCTGCTATGAGAAATTTTAGGCTACTTTCTAATAATTTATGCAACTATTAAATTTAATTTAACTTACAACACAAACACAATATCTTATTTACAGGCTGATTTATAGACAAATTCATTGTAGTTTAGACACATCGTGTGGAGCTCTGTTTTACACTCTGGCAAACCAACAATGCGGCTTTCATAGAAAAGAGGAACATTAGGATAGAAAAGAGGAAGAGAAGGACTTGTGCCCAAAACAGGGACTATCCCTCCACTTAGAGGGGTATGCAAAGGTGATCAGGAGAGGAGAGTAAGATGGACTCCACATAAGTATTACACCATTTGAAAATTATTTCACACTTAAAAGGTAATAAGATGCTAGTACACTCTAGGCACCATAATCAATTTATTTTATGAAGTGGTTTTGGTGCCACAAGCGTACCTTTAAAAAACAAACAAAAAAAAACTACATATTGCTAAATAAATTATTGTTGGAAGGCTCTAACAAAACATATGAGTACAGCAAATTAGTCTTGAAATCTGTCAAATCACAGGAACCTTTGTGAGTTTTTAGTTGGTAAAGTAATCTAATACGTTTCCAAAGTCTCTAAAAGCCTTCTAAAACATAATGAAAGACACATTGCAGTTATAAAATCCAAGAACTCGGGGGGCGGGGCCTGGACATCATGGCGGCTGGACGCACATCGTGTGAGCTCCGAGCTCAATTCCTCAACTAAGCCTGAACCTAGCCAGCCAGCCAGCCATAACGCATAACGAAAAGAAACTTACCTACCTCTGGAGCCAGCAGAGGAAACCCGGGTCTGTTGCCCGCAAGTACACTGCAAGGCCGACGGAGGTCGGAGGAGTGAGGCCTAGCACGGCCGTCGGACGGGGGAAGCGGCCGACCCCCCGCTCGGTGTGCAGCTGTGCAACCCCAAGCTCTTCTCTCAGCCCTGTTTCCCCTCCCTTTGGACCGGCGGGGGTCATCCCGGTCCGACCAGGCTAGTCTCAAGCACGAACCAGCACCACTAAACTACAACCTAGCAAAGCGCACAAAATGGCGACCTGTCGTACCCAGTGGGAACCAGCCATCACGCAGTCTGAGACGGAACTGCTAACTCCAGCGCAAATAACGCAGAAGAAACTGGATGACATTTTCAACTGTTTCTGGGCTAAGCTGAAAGCCCGTCAAGCCACAGCAGCATTCCAACACGGGGAGGCTCACGATAGGGTGGTGAGTTGGCCCCCTCTGATCCCCCACACATTAAACATACACAAGCCGATTAGTCAGCAATCACCTAGGCCGAGGGCCAAAACAGGCACAGCCCCACGGCATCACCCACGCAGACGGAAGATCGCCCGCAACCGGCAGCGGCATACCACCACGATCTCCCGTCTACCCCATACAGGGGAGGACTGGGACCTTAGGAGCCCACACGTCCGGGGCAAGAGGATGCTGGCCTACCAACTGGCCTGGGGCAAGAGGGATGCCCAACTAAACCGCCTGAATGTTGCAGCCACCCTAGCCCCCGAAGTGCAAGACTTTCGATTTCCTGCTTCGGGCATTGGCTAAGCGCTAACAAGCTTCTTACAGCCGCACCATCATTGGAGTCCTGATCACAAGCGGCAACCGTCACGGATGGGACTCGCATTCACTATTGCCAGCCTCACAGTACTTCCTCACGTGAATACAATCAAAGGCATCCAAACGTTTCTGTCCATGGTTAATTATTTTGTGCTACCTCTGTGAGATGAGTCATTCACCCTATGCCTCATACAGTCTCTGCTTGCTGTTAAGGACGCTTTCCTGGATCCCCTGAGAAATGCAGTTTTACTCCTATGCTCATATGCTATGCCCTACAACTTACACGCTAACCTATTGCAATTATCTTGTATTCCTATCGACTAACAACACTAGTACAAACTTGTGCCAAGCTTTCAACAAAGCTCATCCTCTACACACATTTTCTAGGGCTATGTATGATGATAATGTTCAGCCTGCATAATTTTCACAGAGCTATACATTTTCTAGGGCTATGTTTACTAACAGTGTTCAGCACCCCATAGCCTCAATAGACTTAGCATGCTCCTACCTTCCTGTATTAATCCATGAAACTAGGCAAGTTAATATGACACACAACTGTTTCTCTATATCTATGTCTTTAATTTGCTATCACTACTAAGCTTACGTTATTATCTTGTTTATCTAACTACTTTCAAAAAAAAAAAAAAAAGTGCAATGTCGTTAATGCCATGTGATTAAGAATGTATGTAAACTCGACTGTACCAGCTATAGTGGCAGTACAAATTCGCCTGTTACCCTCATGCACGAACAAAAATAAAGAATTAAAAAAAAATTAAAAAAAACCAAGAACTCCTTCATAAAAAACCAAAAAAAAAAAACATTATTTTAAAAATAGCAGGCCTCACTAAAGTGTGAGCTGTCTGGAAGTCCAAAGTGAAATTAAAATTTTAGGATCATAAACAGGAAGAATTCTCCAGTAGATTTATTGAAGTTTGAATTGTAGCCATTTAAAGGGACACTATAGGCACCCAGACTACTTCATCTCATTGAAGTGGTCTTGTACAGTGTCCCTGTTCACTTAAAGGACCACTCTAGGCACCCAGACCACTTCAGCTTAATGAAGTGGTCTGGTTGCCAGGTCCTTCTAGGGTTAACCCATTTTTTCATAAACATAGCAGTTTCAGAGAAACTGCTATGTTTATGAATGGGTTAAGCCTTCCCCTATTTCCTCTAGTGGCTGTCTCATTGACAGCCACTAGAGGCGCTTGCGTGCTTCTCACTGTGATTTTCACAGTGAGAGCACGCCAGCGTCCATAGGAAAGCATTGAGAATGCTTTCCTATGCGACCGTCTGAATGCGCGTGCAGCTCTTGCCGCGCGGGTGCATTCAGCCGACGGGGCGGATCGGAGGAGGAGAGGAGGCAGAGAGCTCTCCGCCCAGCGCTGGAAAAAGGTAAGTTTTACCCCTTTTCCCCTTTCCAGAGCCGGGCGGGAGGGGGACCCTGAGGCTGGGGGCACCCTGAGGCTGGGGGCACCCTCAGGGCACTATAGTTTTTTAACGAGTATGTTTTCCTGGCACTATAGTGGTCCTTTAACCCTGCAATGTAAAACATAACATTCAGTAAACAGTGAACTGGGCAAAACTATAGTAGTATGGCTGCTATCAGTTTATTGAGCAGTTCCAACCATTAGATGAACTAATTATCCTATAATCCCTTGCTATACAAAGAATTACGGGACAAGATCAGTCCCTACAGACCAAAATAAGCTGCTCCTAATTCCAGCATTTCATTCTAATGTGGAAAGCATCTGGCTGCAGCTGAATGCACACTAAGCAGTGCACCAAGGAAAACACATCAAAAGGTGAATATTTTGTTTTTAATTGTAATTATTACGGCAATATTTTAGCCCAGCATTTCAATTTTGCGTAAGTAGAAGGTCTTGTTCTTTTTAAGTATATCAGTTTTGTGCAACTTTTCATATCACTCATTGGCTGAGAAATGTCACCTGACAGTAAACAAAACTTATGTCACTAAAGCAGAATGGGAACTTTCACTTTAAAGGAACATAAACATGTATTCCTGATCCTATAATGTTAGAACCACCATCTAGACCCCCTAAATGTAGTAAACTCGTACTTTTAGTCAAGTCTGCTGCTGCCTCTGATCTGTCTGCTTGGCTGACATCATTAGAAGTGATTCTCTGAGCCAATCACAATGCTTTCACATAGGATTGGCTGAGGCTGTCAAGGAAACAGATCGAGGGCAGAGGCAGCACAAGTAAAACACAGCCCTGGCCAATCAGCATCTCCTCATAGAGATGCATTGAATCAATGCATCTCTATGAGGAAAGTTAAAGGACCACTCTAGGCACCCAGACCACTTCAGCTTAATGAAATGGTCTGGGTGCCAGGTCCTTCTAGGGTTAACCCATTTTTTAATAAACATAGCAGTTTCAGAGAAACTGCTATGTTTATGAATGGGTTAAGCCTTCCCCCTAATCCTCTAGTAGCTCTCTCATTGACAGCCACTAGAGGCGCTTGCGTGCTTTCCTGTGATTTTCACAGTGAGAGCACGCCAGCGTCCATAGGAAAGCATTGTAAATGCTTTCCTATGTGACCGGCTGAATGCGCGCGCAGCTCTTGCCGCGCGTGCGCATTCAGCCGGCGGGGCGGAGAAGAGAAGGAGGAGAGCTCTCCGCCCAGCGCTGGAAAAAGGTAAGTTTTAACCCCTTTCCCCTTTCCAGAGCCGGGCGGGAGGGGGACCCTGAGGGTGGGGGCACCCTCAGGGCACTATAGTGGTCCTTTAACTGTCTCCATGCAGAAGATACACACTGAATGGCATTGCTGCCCCCAGGAAGCACCTCTAGTAGCCATCTGAGTAGTGGCCACTAGAGGTATCCCTAGTCTGTAAAGTAAACACTGCATTTTCTCAGGAAAAAGAACAGTATTCTCAACATAAGGAAATGATTATACTCAACATAACAAATACAATAAGGTGGTGTTGTTCTGTTGACTATAGTGTCCCTTTAACCCCTTAAGGACCAAACTTCTGGAATAAAAGGGAATCATGACATGTCACACGTCATGTGTCCTTAAGGGGTTAATGATAGCAAAGGTGGGAGTCTACTGGCAACCCTGGTAAGTGGTTCAAGAGTATTTTTACTCCTTACTGTGAGCTAGTGCCAGAGGACACCTGACACCATAGTGTCCTTTAAAGAGGAACTGTCACTTCCAGAGAAATTACAGTTCCTTGTTCCTTCAGCTCAGTAAATATTCTTGCAGCATTTACTGGAGTGAACAATGCAGTAGAAGTAAAAATAAAATGTACTTACTTCCACCGCATCGCCTTATTGTGCCGACATGATGTCTCCGCATTGTCTCCAGCAGTGACATATGCGCACATGCGCCATGAGTATGGCACTGCTTAACTAATTCAGATACTTTTCCGTGGCAAAGCAAGTAAAAAAAATAAAAAATCCACAAAATATAAATATTTTTTTTTTTAAATAAAAGTAGCGCATCCAATTGCAAACTTTAAGGTAGCTACTACATCAGGCTAAAGAAAATGACTGTTCCTCTTTAATGTGATAAAATGCATGCTATGGATATCTGGTCATAACTCATGAGGGTCAACCCAAGAACTTACGTACAACTAAATATATTATTAATTTTTTGTGATAAAAAAGGTTAAGTTGAAGAATGCAATCAGGTGCACACTGGTTGCACAGGGGGGTTAAAGGTAAATGTTGGGACTATTAAGGGCAGCAGGGAGAAGGGGTTACCAGCACAGGGCACACAGGTATAGTAAGAGGTAATTTAGTATTAAATTGAATCAGACAGCTGGGGAAATAATATTATAAATATATTATAAGGGCCATGTTTTAGCTCTTTGTAAGAGGTCCAGCTGCTGCCTCGTATTTAATTTAACAGGGTGCCTGTGCTCTGTGTGAGGGGGTTAGTGTAACGCGGTGCCTGTGCTCTGTGTGAGGGGGTTAGTGTAACGCGGTGCCTGTGCTCTGTGTGAGGGGGTTAGTGTAACACGGTGCCTGTGCTCTGTGTGAGGGGGTTAGTGTAACACGGTGCCTGTGCTCTGTGTGAGGGGGTTAGTGTAACACGGTGCCTGTGCTCTGTGTGAGGGGGTTAGTGTAACACGGTGCCTGTGCTCTGTGTGAGGGGGTTAGTGTAACACGGTGCCTGTGCTCTGTGTGAGGGGGTTAGTGTAACACGGTGCCTGTGCTCTGTGTGAGGGGGTTAGTGTAACACGGTGCCTGTGCTCTGTGTGAGGGGGTTAGTGTAACACGGTGCCTGTGCTCTGGTGTGTGAGGGGGTTAGTGTAACGCTGCCTGTGCTCTGTGTGAGGGGTAGTGTAACACGTGCCTGTACTCTGTTGTGTGAGGGGGTTAGGTGTAACGCCGTGCCTGTGCTCTGTGTGAGGGTAGCGTAACGTGCCTGTGCTCTGTGTGAGGTGGTTAGGTGTAACACGGTGCCTGTGTCGTGTGGGTTAGTAAGTGTAACACGTGCCTGTGCTCTGTGTGTGAGGGTTAGTGTGTCACGCCGTGCCCGCAGTTAGTGTAACACGTGCCTGTGCTCTGTGTGTGAGGGGGTTAGTGTAACAGGGTGCCTGTGCTCTGGTGTGAGGTTATGCAACAGGGTGCTCTGTGTCTCCGGTGTGTGAGGGGGGTTAGTGTAACACGTGCCTGTGCCTGTGCGGTGAGGGGTTAGGTGTAACACGCCTGTGCTCTGTGTGAGGGGGTTAGTGTAACACGTGGCCTGTTGTGCCTGTGTGTGAGGGGTTAGTGTGTAACACGTGCGCCTGTGCTCTGTGTGAGGGGGTTAGTGTAACACCTGCGCCTGTGCCTGTGTGAGGGGTTAGTGTAACACGTGCCTGGTGTGCTCTGTGTGAGGGGTTATGTAACACGGTGCCTGTGCTCTGTGTGGGGTTAGTGTAACACGTGCCTGTGCTCTGTGTGAGGGGGTTAGTGTAACGCGGTGCCTGTGCTCTGTGTGAGGGGGTTAGTGTAACGCGGTGCCTGTGCTCTGTGTGAGGGGGTTAGTGTAACACGGTGCCTGTGCTCTGTGTGAGGGGGTTGGTGTAACACGGTGCCTGTGCTCTGTGTGAGGGGGTTAGTGTAACACGGTGCCTGTGCTCTGTGTGAGGGGGTTAGTGTAACACGGTGCCTGTGCTCTGTGTGAGGGGGTTAGTGTAACACGGTGCCTGTGCTCTGTGTGAGGGGGTTAGTGTAACACGGTGCCTGTGCTCTGTGTGAGGGGGTTAGTGTAACACGGTGCCTGTGCTCTGTGTGAGGGGGTTAGTGTAACACGGTGCCTGTGCTCTGTGTGAGGGGGTTAGTGTAACGCGGTGCCTGTGCTCTGTGTGAGGGGGTTAGTGTAACACGGTGCCTGTGCTCTGTGTGAGGGGGTTAGTGTAACACGGTGCCTGTGCTCTGTGTGAGGGGGTTAGTGTAACACGGTGCCTGTGCTCTGTGTGAGGGGGTTAGTGTAACACGGTGCCTGTGCTCTGTGTGAGGGGGTTAGTGTAACACGGTGCCTGTGCTCTGTGTGAGGGGGTTAGTGTAACACGGTGCCTGTGCTCTGTGTGAGGGGGTTAGTGTAACACGGTGCCTGTGCTCTGTGTGAGGGGGTTAGTGTAACACGGTGCCTGTGCTCTGTGTGAGGGGGTTAGTGTAACACACAGCCCCTGGCATTGGTCCCCATTATAATAACAATAACAGACAGTGCCAGTAGTAGGACCATATGGTGTCCTAGCACATTATCCAGCCATGGAGCCCACCGCCCGCATCCCAAACATGACCTACACAGCCGCTATGTGCACACAGGGAAACCTCACAGAAACTGCCTGCGCCAGTCACCGCCAGCCGGACCGGCGCGCTCTGATGACGTCAGCGCCAGTCCCTGGGCAAAGAGAGAGAGCTGGAATGTTACCACTCACTCACTTCCGGCGGAGGAGAGGAGGAAGTTGGGTCATAAGTGCGACCTGGAAGAGATGGCGGCGAGTAAGAAGTCGGTGCTGTCCTCGCTGGCCGTGTATGCGGGGGACTCGGAGCCCGAGCTGGAGAGTGATGGGGAGATTGAGGGTGAGTGAAACTGCCAGGATAATATAGAGCAGGTCAGGAAACCTTCAGCACTCCAGGTGGTTTTGGACTACATCTCCCATGGTGCTTTGCCAGCATTGTACCTGAAAGAGCATTGTGGATGGTGTAGTCACAACATCTGGAGTACCAGGGATGAGCAACCTTCTCCCCTCCAGATGTTGACTACATCTCCCATGATGCTTTGGCTGTAAGAGCATTGTGGGAGTTCCTTCCCTTACTGTAAACCAGGGGTAGGTACCCACATGCACTTATTCTAGCATCAGTGGCGGCTCTAGACGCTGTGAGGCCCTAGGCGAAACTCCAGCACGAGGCCCCAACTAACACCCAGAGTGAAACTGGTTCTCCAGTCTGCAGCTCCACCGGGCGTGAGCTGCAGACCACGAGGTAAGTGTCTCGCAATCTCCCGTCAGCACTGCCGTGGTAACCCGCAGCAACGCTCTGCTTGGCTGGAGATCGCGAGACGCCTCAGTCTGCAACTTACACCTGGTGGAAGTGCAGACATGAGGCTGGCTCTCTCCCAGGGCACACGGCATGAAGATGTCTCACACTTGGTAGCATAAAGGGCAAGCTGCTGGGGCCCCACCTACTGTGTCAGGCCAGGCAGGTCAGTCTGTCTTAAGGCAATTAAGGCGGCTGTCTAAATCGCCTAATTAGAGAGTCGCCTCTGGCTGGCAAAGCATGAAGGGTGATGTAGTCCACAATATTTGGAGGGCTGAAGATTTCCTACCCCTGCTATAGACTTTCAAGTTGTTGTGTTGCAACCATTTGTTTGTTAGTTTACCTGTTGTGCAGTACTGCAGAATTTGTTGAACTGTTTTTGAGTGGCATGAGAGAAACTGAGAATCCCTCTGGCACTTGATTTTCTGGTTTCTTGAGAATCTTTAGGCTTATTCAAGCAGAGTTTGGGAGTGTGCAACAGAAACAGACATTAGCACGTACAGAATTAAAAGGGTGCTCTATAATTGACATTCATGGTTAGATGGACTCGTGGGCAATGCTAAAGTGTAATTTTTAAGTTATTCATAAGGCTGTGGTTTTGATTCCTAGGAGATCCTCAATTTTGTAATACTGCTCCAAAATGATCTGACAAAATATCGTGGAAGGCACCTTTAGATCATTTAAGCAGGGTTCAAAATTTCACTGCTAGCCAGACCTAAATGTCACGTGCCACTGCAATTCTGAAAGGTCAATGGCACACTAACCAGGGGTGAATTTTCACTAGCCAGTGGCAAGTAGAAAGAGTGCAAATTGTGAGCCCTGTTTTAAAGTCAAATGTGCTACCATCAGCTCCACCACACAGGCTCGCTTCCTAGGTGTTCTCTTTGACTCCGACCTCTCCTTCAAGCCTCATGTTCAATCTATCGCCAAATCCTGTCATTTCCATCTCAAAAACATTGCGCGCATCCGCCCCTACTTAATGCCAGATGCGACTAAGGGGTTGGTCCATTCCACTGTCCTTTCTCGCCTTGACTACTGTAATCCGCTTCTCAGTGGTCTTACGTGCTCCCAACTAGCGCCGTTACAGTCCATAATGAATGCGCGGCTCATCTTCCTGTCCGCCCGCACCTCCCATGCCTCACCCTTCTGTCAGTCCCTACACTGGCTTCCTATAAAATATAGAGCTCAATTTAAAATTCTGGTTCTTGCTTTCAAATCTCTACAAAATGCTGCGCCCACTTATCTATCCTCCCTTATACACAAGTATGTCCTGTCTAGGCCCTTACGATCTGCTGAAGACTTACGTCTATCTTCTGTCCGTACTCCCACCTCTGATTTCTCGAGGGCTGCACCGTTCCTGTGGAACTCGCTTCCCTCCTCTGTTAGATGCTCACCCAGTCTCCACTCCTTCAAAAAATCGTTAAAAACCCACTTCTTCATAAAAGCGTATCAATTAAACTGTTAAGAGCTCCTGACTCCTCTTCTGCAACTGTCACTAGTCTAATACTATCCTTACCTTTTTGTGTCATTTCACCCCTTTCCCTCTAGCGTGTAAGCTCATTGAGCAGGGCCCTCAACCCCTCTGTTCCTGTGTGTCCAACTTGTCTGGTTACAACTACATATCTGTTCGTCCACCCATTGTAAAGCGCTGCGGAATTTGACGGCACTCTATAAATATCATAATAAATAATAATAAAAGGCGGAATTAATGGTAACTTTTGCAAGTGTGTTAAGTGAGTGCAAAGAAATATAATCGGAACACTTTGTATCCACACACTTGTTTCTCTTCTTCTCTGACAATTTTTATTTTTTATTTTTTTCCCTTTAGATGATATTGGGGGTCTGGTGTCCAAAGCCTATGGACAGGATGACATATCGCGGATTGAAGAGGATGGATCCAACAAGGAAGATGACGACACCAGCCAACAATCGGTATGTTCCATATGATCTTTCTGTATTTGCATGCTGACTAGGATTGTTTTACAGGAAGATTTGGGTTATTGTATCTTTTAATAAAGTAACAAAGTATCATATTCAGCTTTGAAAATAAAATTACAGTAGTTACAATGTGAACAGCGTTTTGCTCATCTAACTTGCATTCTATGTTACCAGATGAACGAGTTGCTAAGCTTTGCATAGTTTTGTTGAATGGGTTGTTGGAGTGAATAAGAATTTGCAAACCTCTTCTAAATACACTGACTTTGTTTCATTTAAATATCCTACTTGGGGAATCTGTAATATTGGGAGATTGTTTGCTGATTTAAGTGATGTGCATGGGGTTTGGAGCTGTGTTGCATTTGACTGTTTTTGTCTAGCAAACACATTAGACACACTGAGCCAAGGATGCTATTCCTTATTACTAAAATAAAGTACTGTTTTTGTACTACCTATGAGTGTCTAGCCATGTTTTTCTAATTTTACACCGTTGGAGGTGATGAGTTAATAACCAGAAGAAGAAAACACTTGTTTTAATGTTTTTGATATTATGTATTCTATTAGTTTATAATATGAATACTTTTTTGATGACTTGGCTGTGCGGCAGGATCAGACCTATGTAGGTGATTTGACCTCACAACCACCAGTGTTCTAGTTTCCCTTTTCCCCAGTCTATTACAGCTCCAATAAATCTCTGGCTTCATGTGTGGGGTGCAGTAAGCCTTTCGTAAACCATGCAAATTCTTGTTTTTTAGGAAGAGGAAGATTCAGAGACTGAGAATCAGGAGACTGGTGACACAAAGGTATTTGTGTGGAGGGGAAGCAAATATTGTTTGTTTATTGCATATGTTGTTCTGTTAAAATGATGTGAAATTTTAACTTTGAAAAGACATTTCATGTACAGTATCTTATATGCCCAATGTATAGTTTATGATGCAAGCAGGTCCCCTTGCAATCAGTCCATGCTGCAGGCCAAATGACCCCACCTTGTTAAAGCACTTATTTTAAAATATGTATGAAAAGGAGGCTTCTACACTTCACAAATAACAACTTGCAGGCTGTGGATACACAATGAAATGCTTAACATGCATTGGTATCATACTAGATCCGTCAGCACACATCAGTTCTTATGTTCACAGACCCTGCATATAAATACACCCCTGTGTTTTCCACACTTTTTTTTCAGGACAAGTAGATTGAGCTACTTCACTTTCCCCTGGACAAGTACTTTTTAAATTTCCACATAACCGTCTAAAGGAACTGTATGGGCACCATATTAATTTCATAACAATAAAGTTATTATGGTGCACAGAGGTCTTTGGCAACTTTCTTACCTGAAAAAAAAAGTTGCTATCTAGCGTTGGATCTCCCTGTCCCCAGCAGTATCCAATTTCTTCAAAGCAGTTTTTGGAAGTGAGGAGTGCTGTTGACAATTTATGAATGGGGAGCTAGTGTTTGGCTTAGTGAATCAGCTGACCGCTCTAAGCCAATCAGCGATGCCCCTGCCCTGAAGCACTCTGCGCTTCCTGAAACTGCTTTGAAGAAACCTGATACCACTGTGGACAGGAAGATCCTGCGTTGGAGACCAAATTTGGCGTTTAACTTCGGGTTAGAAAATACCAGGGACCTCTGAGTTCCATAACAACCATATTTTGATGAAGTTGTTATGGTGCCCATACATTTCCCTTAACTTTAGTGTCATTAGTAGAAGCAAAACTGAAAAGGCTATTATCACCTGAGCGATTTAACATTTATTTTTATCTCATTTCTATCTACTTGGGCATTGTCTTGCAGTCAATCAAGGTCTGATCACAACAGAGTGTGCTTCCACTAGTTGGCAGTGGATGGCAACAAACTTCACTGACTAAGCTCTTTAGATGTGAAGTTGAAACGGTATCGGAAACCTAATCTCGTCCAATCATTTCCATATAAAAATAGAGATGCTCTGTTAAGTAATGTGGCATGAATGTTCTCTTCCTCCCGATATCGTCTGCATTTTTTTCCTTTTTAATGGGCTAGTAATGTTCCAAAAAATTTGCAGCTGAATTGCAATATTTGCATATGATAAACTGTATCTGCAAATTGGCATTTCTGTAAATACTACTTGGTTTCAGCTCTTGTCCCAGGATTTACATAATATATCCATGCATTTACATTTGAGTCGGTTATAAGAGAAGCTGAAATAGTGTGCCAATTGTAACAATTAGACTGCTTATTGTTGCCCTAGGTTTAGTTAAGTGAGACAAATCCAGGGCAGAATCTGGGTTGCTTTTTAGCTGTATCTGTTGCCAGCAGGCAAACCCAAGAGGGGTGGTGGGATAAATCATATATGGGTCCCCAGGACCTTCCAAGTATCTAAACCGTATTCTATTCTTCATAATTAGAATAGAACTCTAAACACTGTCACTTGTTGCATTCCTGTGCTTTATTTCTTCCCTATGACCCACTCACACAGTGGTATATAAGGGTAAAATGGAAAATTAACTTTCCTTAAAAATCCCCCCCTACTGCTAGGTGAAAAGAAGCTCCCATGATAAGTAGAATGATCCTTCTTGCACACGTGGAATGTGATGCCATAGACCTCCCGTGTGCCTGCTGATAGGTCATTGTAAAGTTAGAGGTGTCGAAATTTACTAAAAAATCTGTTTGTCCAACGGACTGAAGAGGTAGCCCAATCACTTGTCCATCATGGAAATCTAGTTGTCCTGACACGCAAAATAATTTCAATTGGGGCACCTGCATAGAGACCTGGACTTAGACTGGGTTATTCGCTAAGTTTCCAAATAGGAAAACTGAGACAAAAATTGATCGAGGAAAAAATCTCCAACACAGCACTATACACAACAATTCAGAATTATTTTGTGGAATTTCAGAATTTAGTGAATAACCGTGAGTGTTTCATCCTTTGTCCCTCTATATGTGCTCATGCTTGTGCGTGTTGGTTGTGTGTAATGTACGTGCTGTGTTTTTGCCCTCTCCTTTGCATTTGGGTGGTCCATCGGGGATTGCTCCCTGGCAGTACCAGCTCTTACTGAGTCAGTGTGCAGACTCTGTGAAATTCCAACACAGTCTTTATGAGCTTTTTAAAAAGAATTTGTCACTCAACAAAAAAAGAAGCAAATCATAAATATATATATAAACACTTTTCTTCTCTTTTGGAATTTGAAAACCTTTTGTAGTGCTATAGCGTATAGACATGTTCACAAATTCAGTCTTGTTTTCATCAGACCTTGGGAACCATTCCCACATACTTGCTACCTCCCCAACACGTCGTTTGGCTGAATCCAAACATGATTATGTGGTGATCAATCTACAGTAATTCTAGTAAACCAGAAAACCACATAAGTAGTGCAATCATGCCATCATGGGGTTTTATCTGAACAGAAATAATGTTATAACCCCCCCCTCCCCTCTTTCTGTACAGTACCAGGACTCTTGGATATATGAAATGATGATATTGTTACTGACACCTGTGGTATGCCCGCACATTGATAAGATGTCAAGGGCAGTTTCTGGCATCTGATCACTTCTGTTTGGTTCCTGGATTGTTTGGCTCAGTGAAGCTAAACTCAAGTGACCGCAATTGCTCAGAGCACTTGAGCTGCGCCTGTGATTGGACAGCCACAGAAAGGAAGGGTTTGCATAGGATTTTGACAATAAGAGATCTGCTGTTTTTGCAAGTGGTTTTTATTGCAGTATAACTACTAAAGAGGGATTTATAGATGTATATTATATAAAATTGTATTTCTTTTTGCAATGGAGTGTCTCTTTAAAGCACTAAATGGTGGTGATTTTATAAAAGGTTAAGGCACCATGAAAAAGGAAAATCCTTTTATTAAGTAACTGTTTGCGCAAGTTGTTTGGGGGGGGGTTTATATTATGACCTCAATATAAAGCTCCATACCTGTTTGTTTTATTCATAGTTCAATAAGTTGTGATAGTCCTACGTAGATTTGTGTGAAAATTGTAGAATTTGTTTCCCATGTTTTTATTCCATACCTCGTCATGTCTTGAATTGGACCACTAGGTGTCTCTCTTACACATTGTATGTTTTAATTTTGTCAAATGCCTTTTTCAAAGCGCAGCACACCGGTAAACACAAGTGCACAAACATTTTATCTGAGTCTAAATTCAAAGTAACCAGTCTCACTTTCCAAATCTCACGCAGTTAAGATAAGTCTGGCCCTTATCTCTGCTGTCCATTTCACCCCTGTAAACATTTGGTTACTAGGATGCTTTAACTTTATTATAAAACGAGGCATTGTAGTTACTCTTTAGTAATAAAATGTAGCATTAGACTCTACATAAAACCTTTTACAAAATCTTTCAGAAATAGTGAAGACAAAACAATTTAAAGGTACAATTCTTTTTCCTAGCTACTCTTAAGAAAAAAATAACTTTTTTACACACACCCCCTATAAAGGCTGTTCCTTGTATTACTGTGTGGAAATCACTAAGGCTTATTATAACAGCGTTACTTGGTTACAAATACCCTTTGTTTTCTTGTGTATGTGAAAGGCTCTTGGAAATTTTCCTACCAGAGGGAGTGATCAAAGCTTTGATTTCCTCTTATAACCGAGGTCGAATTAGCCAGCGGGTGTACAAGTTCTTTCTTCTGGGACGTCTGCAAGGGTTGGGCTCGGGAAGTGTAGCTTGCAGGCACACACTTTCTGATTTTCAGAGCAGGGTACAAATTCATGACTTTCTTTAAAGGGACTCATGGCACACATTAAAGTCCTCTTATGTAGTGCTGAAAGCTTACCGTGCTGGTTAAACGAGTAGGAAATGTCTAAAAATCTGTATCTTCATGTATCTATTGATGCACATCTGTTGATGAGCTAATTAACATAGGTAAAACTGCAAAGATGGTTACTGTAAATAATGAGTCCCCACAAGTGTAGCCCACATACATCCTGTGGGTGCATGCATCCAGAAGTAAGCTCTTTACTAAAGCCTAGGACAGGGATAGGCAACCTTTGGCACGCCAGATGTTGTGGACTACATCCCCCATAATGCTCTTGCACCCATAATGCTGGGAAAGCATCATAGGAGGTGTCCAAAACATCTGGAGTGCCGAAGGTTGCCTGGCCTAGGATATGCTGTGACTGTCAATTCTGCGTTGGGGAATATCAGAACCTATTCATAGTTGTGAATATAACTGTATTATGCAGTGTCCATTCATTGCTTGCGTGCCATGGATAGGGACATAGCGGAGTAGCTCCAAAATTCAGACTTTGTTCCGTGTGACTTCTACTTCACAATAAGAACTACTTTAAATAAGGTGTATGGCAGGGTGCCTTGAGTTTTGTACAGTCACTATCGGTAGATCCAAGCCTGTTTTTGTTATTTTGGTGGGGTTTTCGGGGTTTTGCATGTGTGTATTTTTTGGGGAGCAGGGTTCTTCTTCTTCTTTGTGTTTACTGCAAGTATCCAAGATTTGTGAATTATGCAGGGCTCTCCACCAGACAGTTATTCTCTTATAGAACTCCTGCACAACGGGGGGGTTTTTGGGGGGGAGGGGGGGTATACAAGGATGGAGCTAGTTATGGATGCAATATTGGCTTTTTCATTTAAAGCTGTAATGAGGCAATCAAAAGGTAGCAGGGACTATTATGATGTATGCCTATTCGGCAGGGATTGAGTTACAATATAAGTAAATAGCATTATGATCTTTGCAAGCTTTTGCTATAAGAAGCAACCAAATGTAGACATGGACGGGCACCTGGCCCATTTACACATGTAAGCCAAATAAAAGGTTTATGGTTTTTACAGTGTCCCAATATGTCCAATACTGTTTAGAGCACTATATGGCACATGAGCTGCAATAGACACTGTATGTGGTCACAAATATGCTGAATGGTTTTATAGAAATCTATAACATACATACTGGATGGTAAACTGCATTTTATTTGAAAGATAGGTGACACGTCACGGTTGGCTGCATAGTGTTAAATATTGTCCCATTCAGTGGTGTGGACTCAGCCCTTCCGCTACACTCACCTCTGAGATTGCTCATTCAAGAAATCATTAACCCACGGTGTTGGTTTACAAGTCTGATTAATGTACCACACCTTGCAGAATGCCTCTTCCAGACCCTTTATACAAGCCATCTGGTGCATATTCACATCATAGACATTGCAATCTTGGAGAATAAATGCTATTTAATTATTTAAGCCATTCCAAATCATAAGTATTACTACAGAAATACAAATTATGTTATTTCTTTTGCTGGGATAGGAAACTAAAACAATAGAGTGCAGACTGTCAACGTCAAAGCTACATTGCAGGCTCGAGTTTTAATACTTTTTTTCTATATGATGAATTAAAAAAAAAAAAGACAAAGTACAAACTAAAGCAAAAAAGAAATGATATATTTAGACTTCTCTCATTGTGCACTGGGGTGTGGACTCATCCCATAATCCTCTATTCAGCAGGGGTTTATGGGATATGTAATTATGTGCCCCTTCCCTCCCCTGCTCAGTGAGCTTACATGCTAGAGGGACACAAAGGGGTTAACAAGTGTATTTTAACACACCTAGCTGCGGTTATTCCACATTTTGGTTCTGTTGTATTTTAAATTGTGGTAAAGTTTGGGAATCCTTACTTGGGTCACTGCTGCCTGTTTCCGCTTTTTATTGTAGTGAGCACCTAGCCCTTTTTTTTTGTGTTTTATTATTTCACTGGACTAAGACTGATTGGAACGGAGAATAATGCACGGACGTAAATGGGAATTTAAGACTACTTGTTCAGGATGTTGAGAATCTTCCTTGGCGATGCTCTGCCTGGCACATACGTCGGACTTTCCATTTGGTTTCCATAGCGATTGCTTCACTTTAAAAATATTGCTCCATAATTGCTTTATGTACATATCATCTTTGCATAAATAGGGCACTAATTTCTGCACAGTTTATGATTTACGGGAATAATTTCCCTCAAATTAAAGTGGCCAGCCTGCACTTTATTTTTTTAACCATTGCTTTAGTTGCCATTTCTGGTACAGCTGGGAGAGGTCTGAGCTGAACAAAGTTATTTGTTTATAGCGGCTTTGATTTAAATTTAAAAAAATATATTTTAAAGATAGCCTATGAGAGTCATGCAGGTCATGTATACGAGCACCTGAACCAAACTACAAACATAAGTGCAGGAGAAAATGGGATTAAAGCTACACACGGCCCACGAAATAATGTATCGAGAACCAGATATGCTATTTTTTTGGCAAATGAGCCCATACCGGGCAATGTTATGTTTTTCATGCAGGCATCTGCATGCTCCTACATACCATTCCTTCCCCGCGGCCCTGAATACCTGCCATTGCTCATACAGGCGTGCCTCTACAAACGCATGCAGACAGGGAGGAGAACAGGAAGTGAATTGTATGGAGTATATTTTCTATCACCTTTGGGCATTGCCCCATTCTTGGTGTGGTTCTGCGTGAAGCATTGCTCATTTCTTGGGTTTACAGGCGTCATCCAGAACTTGACTAATGCAAAGTTTCAAATATTTGTCACAGACCAAGTACATCAGAGTATAACCTGTGTGTTGTGCTATAATAAAGCAATAAAGTATGCAGTGAATTTCTTAAGGGAATGTTCTATTTTTCATTTTTTTTTTTCTTGAGTTGTAGGCTTACCTCTCCAAAATTATCAAGTTATTTAACCAGGGGAGGTACAGTTGTCTCTCTCTACGTTTTGCAACTACATGCTGGAATCTATATTTTTAATTCTAAATTAGGTCCACAAATCTGTACATTCAATCAAAATAGCAATAACCTCAGCTGTATCACTATTCTTGGCAGATGTTAAATGGATACTCTTATGCACCAGAACAACTTTACCTCAGTGAAGCAGTTTTAGTGTATAGATCATGCTGCTGCAATCTGACTGTTCAGCTCTCTACCATTTATCCACTTTTGTTTGTGTGAGTCACAGCCAGGGCTGCATAAACAGTCTTTATGAAGAAATGTTTTTGCGTTTTTAAATCTGGTGTGACAGCATGGTGTGTTTACTTTAGAAGTTATATACGGCTCTTTTTTTTATCTTTAATCACACACAGGGGGCTACTGCAGGCTAACAGAGCTGGAGATAAGAAATTCTACATTAAACAGATTGAGCAATAAATTTAAACCTTTGGTATCTATTTACAGTACATGTTTTGGGAGATTATAGGTCACATGCAGGGTGGTGTGGCTAGGGCTGAATAAGCAAAGTGATTTAACTCATAAATGGCAGATAATTGAGCAGTGAGACTACAGGGGCATGATCTATACACCAATACCCCTCCATTAAGCTACAGTTGGTTATTTTTTTTTTTTTTTTTTTAATTCTTTATTTTTGAAGTGCACAGAAAGGAGCATAAGCAGATAATGACACGATATTGATAGTTAATGTGACAAAGGAAATTGCAGGTCCATAACAGGTCAGTTATGTTTTAAGGCTTTTATTGTCCTTTTAAGTTATCAATCATGTTTACAGTTCTTTTACCCAATCACTGGGCCTAATACATTTAGTACATGCTGTCATCCATTAAGGTGTGAACAAAATCAAACCTTTTATTTTTACAGCTGCAGTGTTTTGGAATCTATTGAGATGGTGGAGCTCCTCCCTCTTACATGTAATCTACCTGCGTGAGGGTCTCCTCAATGCAATGCTGCTCTGCTAACCGGGAGCTCTTTATTACTCCTTTATGGATCCCGTTCTTCTCAGTTTATTGCTTTGTGCTGGGGCAAAAAAGCAATCCGAAAGTGAATAGCAGCCACAAGCTAGATTCTTTATAGAAGTTCTGATTTCACTTGAAATCATACTTTACTAATGTGAGAAAGAAGGGGACACTCTCTTGATAATCCCTAAAGTACATCAGCCCGTTGCAGCACAATAAGGGTTTGGCGTGTGCCTTTAAGTGATGTTATCCATACATTGAGTTGGTGAAATCAGTAGAAAAGATATCCGTGTAAAAGGACTTTTAAACATGGACTCATACTTGTACCAAAGATACCTGCAGTCTGTAGTTCTGGCTCTTATCACGGTAACACTGTGCTGTTTTGCACGGGTAATGACTTGCATTGATTTCTTCCTGACCCCAGCCTTCATAGAGATTGCATTGAGAACATGTTTTGCATGTGGTCTAAGCTTTCCCTACATGCTAAGTGTGTGCAGCCCTGTACTAGGCATGACACGCATTGTGGGAGTGTCCAGATAGGGAGCATAGTTATACATTACATTGCTGAATGCATAGATATTTTCCACAAACTACAACTTAAAAGGGTTCTCCAGTGCCAGGAAAACATATTAGTTTTCCTGGTACTGCAGGACCCTGTAGTGCCACTCTCCCTCCCATCCCAAGTTGCTGAAGGGGTTAAAATCCCTTCAGTGACTTACCGGAGTCCCTTGGCGCTGGTCAGGCCCTGCCTACTATCCCGCCGGCGGGGGAGACCTAATGCCATTGCCGCGAACGCGCATTAGACCTCCCCATAGGAAAGCATTACTCAATGCTTTCCTATGGGAATTTCGGTGACGCTGGAAGTCCTCGCATATCGTGAGGACGTCCAGCGTCGCTTAAAACACTTTTTGTGTTCTAAGAACATGGAATTCCCTCTAGTGGCTGTCTGATAGCCACTAGAGGAGGACTTAACCCTGCAAGGTAATTTTTGCAGTTTATGAAAACTGCAATAATTACACTTGCAGAGTTAAGGGTAGTGGGAGTTGGCACCCAGACCACTCCAATGGGCAGAAGTGGTTTGGGTGCCTGGAGTATCCCTTTAATATAAAATTGAAAGTATATTTTAGTTTGTGTCCTGCTTATTGATGGAGTATACCTATTGCTTTTTTTTTTTTAGTGTCTGTATTTTTTTAAATCTGTATGGAAGAGCAAAGCAGGGGATAGTTAGAAACATGCCACAAATAATACAACTACGTGCCAGGATTGTTTGCTATCGTAAAACCTAGTGGGGTGTATACACTTGTATTTTTGTTTTTATCGTTGTGCACTGCTTGTGTTGGGACTTTTCACAAATGTTTCTTTCTTTTCACGGACCTGGTTTGGCACATGTCTGAACAGATCCCCTGTCCAGCTTGCATTCTCGGACAATATTTTTCAAATGCCTCTCCCATCCTCTTGTTCTATGTAGTTCTACCCTTTGCTGTGTCTCTGTGCCCTCCAACTCCTGCCCTTCAAAGCTGGGCAGTTTGCCTGCAGAGACAGGATACAGTCAGGAAGCCTGCAGGTTGTAGATCACACCATCCCAAGGGGTAGTGACTGTGTGAATTTGACCTATCCCAGCCATTTGGCACACAAAAGGGTCCAGGGGATACAGTACAGGTCCTGTCTGTCTGGCTTATTTACAATAGAACGTGTCTCATTATCCCAGACGGACATAAATCATATATATGGGTAGTTTTGTTCTGTGTTTTTATTCTTAAATCACAGTGACAACAATGTTTGTCCAACAAAACTTCCCAATCCGCCTATCGTGGGTATCTAGCAACCCAAAGTCGTATTAATAAAACTCCGTAAAATAAACGGTTAATATATTTACACAATGCTCTCCATTAAACTGGTTTAAAAATTATTTTTGTTTGATAAGATCTACAACTTGAAATAAGTAATTAAAATACATTTAACGTTCATTGCTAAATCAGCCAGGCTGTCTCAGACATTGCCTGTATTGGGATATATAACCACTGTTGATATGCCTTGCTTTCAACCAGGAGCAGGCTAGGTTCAGGATTATTTTGAGGAAATTATTTATATATGGTTTTAGTTCAGTGTGATACTGAAATAGAGCTACCTCTAACCTGATCACTACAAATATATGAAAAGTTTAAAATCAAAAGTCATCGTCCAATTTCCACCAATCAATTAAATTATAACTATTTTCTTATTTGAATCTCTCAACTAATGTATAGCTCCCAGATTTATTCTGATTTCAGCAGTTATTGGTGTTAGCTGTTAGTTACAGCGTGATATGTGCATTTGATTGCGAAAAGCGAACATCTTTTTTTATTAGTGGTACTCGACATGGCGCAAAGTCAGTATTCCTAATCCCACGGCATCAGGGAAACCCCATCAGGCTACTCAGCACTTCACATTCCCCTGTATTATTATGAGTGAGGATGCAAACCGTTTTCGTTGTCCACTGCGCAGTACCCCTTCTCCTTTCTGCCAGGTTACTAGGCAACACTGGAACACTTTGTGTGACTGTCATGAATAGCCACAGTGTCTGAGAGAACGAAGAATCTCACATCTTTATGTTCTCTCTTCCAACCCCCCCTCACCCCGTATCCACTTTTTGTTCAGATTTGTCTTCTATAGAGTGCAATGAGATTATACATTGTGCTGGCACTGGGACGGGTGGGGTGTCTTACAGATGTCCATGTGATCCCACATCTAATGTGACAATATGATGCTATTCTTGGCAGCAAAGACAAAAAGTACACACTGTGCTTCCTACAAGAGAATTCAAATTTTATTAAATTTGAAGGAATAAGTTTGTTTTTGTTTGTTTTTACACTGTAATCTAGGTAGTTTATTTTTTTTTCATTCGTGGTATCATTAAACTTTATCTGTGAGCCTTTCTGCGGCAGACATCCATTGAGATAGGTTAGTCTTTCAGATTTGTCATGGTACGTATTTGCTTAAAAGAATACATATTTAATCCTAAGGAGAGTGGTTCGTCAACTCGTACAGAGTTAATCACTATAGTGAGAATTCAAACTGGATTTCAAATTTAAAGCCAGATCAGCCGAACAAAAAGCATCGATGACTTTGAGATTTTCCCCAGTTTGGGTATTTATTTTTACCCTTTGATTTCTCACTTTATTGAATCACTCTGTTCATTTTTCCTATAGCCGCTAGTGGAAACAAGACCTGTTGATTGTAAGCTCCTTGGACCGGGCTCTCCTTATTCCTAGTATCTGTCAACATTATCTTATCTTTCATTTACTATATCCTCAGTATGTATTTATAAAGCACTACATAATTTGTTGGTGCTATATAAATACTACCAATACATAATATAATGTACTATATTTAAATCTTCTGAAGTATAACAAACGTAAAATATTCTCGTGAGTCTTGATAAGCTGTTGCAGGATCTGATGCCGACTGTGCCGTGTAATAATCAATACATCTGGTAGTTAAGGGTTCGGGATTTACTGTATTGGAGTATAATGTGGGGTTGCGATTCCCATGTACTAGTCCACAAGATCTCAATGATGTACAAAATATTTAGGGATGCTGTTCTGTGGAAAAAATAGTTTTTCAAACCATTTTCTGCGTAAAGTGTCCTGCATTTTGTATTTTGTCAATATTCTTTACATCATGTTCCATGTGAATTGGTATTAATAGCCATAGGGGAAAAACATATATCCAAACCATTTAACGCACTCATTCTGGAGACTTTTCTGTGCCCCCTAAACTTCCAGTTGACCTGCAAGGTAATGCCCTGTCTCCTCTTTTTTTGTTGCAGGAACAATCTGAGCTTGAAAAGAGAGACCCCCAGGAGCTTGTGGGTGAGTGTGCAGGCTACATCTGCTTGGTCCCTGTATGTGTGCGTGCGCATAGACAAAAAATGTAAATGTATTTAATTTGCATGACAGTCGTGCTGAATCAAGAAAATGTATAAATCACTGTTTTATGTAAACTATGCATTGCTGTTAGAACTTTTTTTTGGGGGGGGGGGGGGGTTAACATGTTCTATGCCTTTTAAATTTCTATGGCTCGTACTGTCTGTTTCTATATAGAAGAACACTGGATTCACAGTTCCTCCATCATGAATAGTCAGATATTTTATAGTTCAAAAGTACTGCCCGCTAGAAATGATGTACTTGCTATACCTAGAGGTCTTCTTATTACGGCAATTACCTTCAGGGCTCACTCACTAATTCATTACGTAGGAATAAACGTGCTGTCTAATATACTGCATCTTATGACCTGTTGGGGCAGAGTGGAGCTGTATGTGACGTGTTGCTGTATTGGGTGGTTGGGACATGTCTGTAAATGTGAATAGACATGTAATTAAATTAAAGGACCACTATAGTGCCAGGAAAAAACTTGTTTTCCTGGCACTATAGGGTCATTAGGCCCCTCCATCCCGCTAGGCTGAATGGGTTAAAACCTCTTCAGCCACTTACCTTTCTCCAGCACCGGGCTCCCTCGGCACTGGGGAACTCTCTACCCCCTGCCGACGTCAGATCCGAATGTGCATGCGCGGCAAGAGCCGCGCGCACATTCAAGCCGCCTATAGGAAAGCATTACTCAATGCTTTCCTATGGACGTCCAGCGTCTTCTCACTGTGACTTTCACAGTGAGAATCGCAGAAGCGCCTCTAGTGGCTGGACTGGATTAACCCCCAGTGAAACATAGCAGTTTCTCTGAAGCTATGTTTTCAGCTGCAGGGTTAAAACTAGGTGGACCTGGCACCCAGACCACTTCATTGAGCCAAAGTGGTCTGGGTGCCTATAGTGGTCCTTTAAGTATATTTGCAATTGCTGGGTGGATTGTTTGTCTGCTCTTTAAATAATTTTCTATGGGACTATTATATAAAATTGTAAATCTCCTTGTTTATGTAGCCCTAGCCTCACTTCCCCTGGCTTAGACTTAACAAAGTATTTCATTAAAAAAGTAAATTTTACAGCACAGACATTGACATGCAATGAATGTCAAAAAATTTTTTTATTTTTTTTCAGGAAGTGTGTTGGGAGGTGTGGCTAGGGCTGCGAAAACAAGTGGTTTAACTCCTAAATGGCAAAGAATTGAGCAGTGAGACTGCATGCACATGATATATACACCAAAACAGCTTTTTTACGCTAATATTATTTTGGTGCTTAAATTGTCCCTTTAATTATAAGAAACATTTTGTGTATCATTGCTTCTAATGAGCTAGCGTTGTAATGCATAATGATCTCAGAAAACCTACCTAATCCATTGTGCTGAAAAGGGTATAGATAGATAGAAAGATCATTAGGTGACTGGAGGTTTTCCATCCTGTCTGCCCCCGTCGATTATCACACGATGAGGATAGGTGATGCAGAATTTGCACATCTGTTTTAGGAGTTACTGGTTGTTGCAAAAAGGGCTTGGCTAATCCTATAATAGCATGAGAGACTTGATCTTAATCTTTTCCAAATGTCATGCATATTGTCGAACGATGGCAATCTGTGTCCTTTCCAACCCCATGCCAGTAACCACACACTCTGCTGTACAGAACACAGTGCTGAGATTGTATAGAGCACTGTTCCTTCTCTGGTGTGTTGAGCGCCTTTTACAAAGCCAAAGCAGAAAGCTGTACCCTAGCACTAGTGTTTGCATGACCTGTGTACAGCATTGAAGAATGTCCCTTTTGTGTCTACACTGGATGTTTCCATCCTACAATGCCCGTACTGCTTCAGGCAAAACTATATGATTTATTATCGTCTTTAATATGTAGATCTAGCAAAACTGAGCTAAAATAGTCGTCACATAACTCTAGCATTAGCTACTTTGGAGATTTAGCTGCTATTCAGATTCTCATTCTTTCAAATTTGTGTATCCTGTAAAATGTTAAATGGCGAAAATCCGCTTCTTCACTCCATGGTATCTCCGCATTGGATTAACAGTCGGAAGTGCTCAATACAGGCAGAGACGTAAAATTATTATTGGGTTGTCACTGGTAACTCCACACTGTTGTACAGAAGGCAATTGTTAACAGCGTATTGTGAGGGGGAGTGGGGGGGTTAAAAAGCAATTTGAGCAGAATAAGCTCTGGCATTTCTGTTCCCTAACCCAGTCCCCCCCCCTTTCCACAGTGGAATTAATCCGGTGATTTGGCAGCACTGTAAATGTCATGTTTATCACTATCCGTTAACTCCTTCCCAGCTGTTTTTGCTGGTGAATGCTATAATTACTTTCCTTCTCTCAATTCATTATATAACCTTTTTTTTTCCCTGCAGCATCTTTCTCTGAAAGAGTTCGAAACATGTCACCAGATGACATCAAAATCCCCCCAGAACCTCCAGGCCGCTGCTCTAACCACCTACAGGTACATAGCACCTAGACATTATCTCGTATCTAAAATCTGAGCTGTATGTAAGCCGGCTTTTCAGACAAGGTTATTGTGACACACTATCTTACATTACGTCAAGGGCCGGACTCCTGCAGTGCCCAATCTGACGCATATTTTATTTTGGAAACAGCATTTGACAGTAGAATTTGGAGGGCCACGCACAGCTGTGTGGAATGCAGAATGTAGGTGTGAGAAGCCACACTGAGCACAGAGACAGCCCATTTCTTTCTTCCACCCCAGAACAGTACGTGATGCAACATGTCTAGCACAGACCTGAATATGCTTGGGTAGCAGAACAGCTCACTTCCTCACTGCTGTATACCTGTATTCTTAAAGCTTCATCCTCAGGGCTTGCAGGATCTAAATCTATACCCAAACGTCTGCCGATCTGTAAATGTACAAAATTTGTGAATGCTTCCTGCCAAAGTTACAACCTCACAAAATGTAAGGCCGAAATCCGTGACCTGGCAGTTATTGCTTAAATCTTCACAATAGACAGTAAGCTGGTTTAAGTAGAGGCTCCTGCTCCTTTGCAAAGATCTGCAGATTATGTTGGTTCTCTATAAATGCTGATGAGCAGTGTTAATTTTGGTGGCAAATTTCAATTTAGTTTTAATTATAGTCTTTTGACTAAAAAGCCATTTTAGTCATCTGAATCGGTGTTGGTTGACTAAATCTCCAGGAGATATGAGTCAGCACAACTAAAATCTAATGGGTTTAGTTAAAGCCTCTATTTGTCTCTTTTGCCCCTTTCCCAGCCCCTCTGTCTCTCTTTGTGATTCTCCCAAGCCTTGGTCTGTATCTCTTGCCCCTTCCACAGTCCCTCTGTGCAGTGTTAATTTTAGGGGCAAATTTCTATTTAGTTTTAGTCAGTCTTTTGACTAAAAAGCCATTTTAGTTTGTTGTATTTTAGTCATCTGAATTGTTTTAGTCGACTAAAATTGTTAGTTGACAAAATTAACACTGGTGATGAGATGAGTAATGATCACATGCTGAACATTGCACTCTTATGGTAAAATATATTCAAAAAGGGAACGTGTTTTTAGTGTCAGAACAATATGTGTATCTTCTCATCCACCCCCCCATAACAAAAGCCAGTATGATTTATGTTTTGGTGGCAAGTTATCCCAGAACTCTCAGCCAATAAATGTCAATCCGATTGAGTGTGAATGACATGGAAGGTAGTGTTAGTGTTTTTGCAATTGTTTTAAAAGTGAATCGTGGCACAGCACCTAAAGACTCTTGGCTACATAACTGTCACGGTGGCTATGTTGTTTAGTGTTCTCTGTGAAAGTTAGTTGCTACCAGTCAACCACTGGTCACGGGCTCCTGGTGTTCGTCAAGCCCATGCATAGGATACTGATCTAGCATGTTGCAAAGAATAGTAAAATTAGATTTTTGCAGCAGGTAGGAAACCATGTTTGTGTGTGTGTGTGTGTGATATATGTATGTATGTATGTATGTATGTATGTGTGTATGTGTGTATGTAATGTGTAACCGATTCTCCTTCCCACCCCTTCTTAGGATAAGATTCAGAAACTGTATGAGAGAAAGTTAAAAGAAGGAACTGACATGAATCATATTATACAGAAGAAAAAAGAGTTCCGGAACCCCAGGTGAGCATGCAGTAATGGGAGATGAGGCTGGGCTGCAAATCTCAAGGATGTTGTTTGTGTGTCTGCCAAATATCGCTCACCGCTAATTGTGTGTTTGCTCCTCTGCAGTATCTACGAGAAACTCATCCAGTTTTGTTCCATTGATGAGCTAGGCACAAACTATCCAAAGGTTAGTGTGAGACAGAAAAAATGCAGCAAGTGCAGGTCATACCTTTCCACAAGTGTTTTGAATTTGCCTTCTTTGGACAGAATTGACGAAGAACGTCCGCTTTTCTTCCAATGAATTCTGTCCAAATTTGGACAAAAAAGATATTGCAAAACTGAAAGGGAAACTTTTTTGCTTTAGTAATGCCTGTGAAGAGGGGCCAAACGGTGGATGCCCAAGTGCCCCAGGCAAGTGATGAACTATTCGAAAGCAGTTTGACTCTTAACAGTAAGGATGGTGCCAATAAACTCCGGGCACCATAACCACTATAACACATTAATTTTATTCAAAAGTGCTACAAGCAATTAATGGAAAGTGTAGTTATCCATGATGATTACCAAACCTTTCAAGTAATAGTCATAAAAACATCACAAGTAATGCAAAACTCAGCTTAAACACCCACTTAGAATTCATAAGGTTAGTAGAGCAGTCAGATCAGTAGCTTATTGAAAGCTCTCTCAGCTTTGTAACGAATAATAATTCCGGTCCCTGTTTTGTAGTTTCTAGGCCAAGAACTTAAAGCGCTTATTATCATGGAAATGCCATGAAAGGAAAGCAAGTAATATCAACAGGATCACAGGTTATTCTAAGATGTATTACAGTATCATCATGACGATGAGTCATGAGACTCTCCATGGTAAAAGGGACACTCCTGGAGTCTGTACTACATTAATGCATTTGATAGGTTTTGGCCCCATTAATATGCTGTATTTTTTTTTTCAATGCTCAAGTCTTTATAGATTTTGCATATAATACATTTTGCGGAATGCTGCGCCTTAAGCGAACTTTCCTCTTTAGCCACACACCCGCACTCTAGAAAAAACACTTCCTTACTCCATAAAAAGACTTCCATACCTTAACCCCTTAAGGACCAAACTTCTGGAATAAAAGGGAATCATGACATGTCACACGTCATGTGTCCTTAAGGGGTTAAAGGTATGCGCGCAGCTCAGCCACTGACGGTACTGAACAACAAAACAATCTACATTAGGAGAGGACCCAGTGAGACCTGTAGTAAGAATATCATTTGTAGTTTCTCTAAATAACTGCAACCTAGTTGTGAATTAAAAGCTGTTTACAAAGTGCGGCTGGGACTGAGACTGTGTGCATATTTTTGATAAGGAAGTTTTTCTGGCATGAGGGGTGTGGGTGCTATAGGCACCCAAACCACTTCATCTCATTGAAGTGGTCTGCATGCAGTGTCCCTGTTCCTTTTTTATTTTTCTTTAGAGAAAATGCAATGTTTACAGTGCACTGTTAAGACTGTAGGTGCTTTCTGCTGTTTCACGGAGTTTAACTCACGTTTTGCATGAGGACGTGCAGTGTCTTAAAAGCATTGATTCATTGCTTTCCTATGGTTAAGGTCTTACTTACTTTACTGAATTTTATTACTGGACAGAGTTTTACATTTTTTTTAAAGAAAATGCAATCTAGATGTAATGTTGAGGAATATGCCATTTAGAGGAAGTGCCATAAGCTTTATGTATAACATAATGTCACTACATATATTTCTACTACTAAAAAGGAGTTTTGATTCTGATTTCCATAATTAACAATCCTCTCTTCTTTTCTTAGGATATGTTTGACCCTCATGGATGGTCAGAAGATTCTTACTATGAGAGCCTTGGTAAGTGTATGTTGCATGTTTCATTGCGTTTTCCTCTGCTATTTGTTTTCCTGTTACCTTGCGATGGTTATTTCTGGTTTACAGTGAACCTGTCTCGGAACGGTTTGTATACGGTGGGGAAGAAAATATATATTTATTTGTACTATTTAAGGTATAGAAAAGCAAAGTTCTCTTTCAATCAAAGGTTTGCTACAGCTAATTACGCAGATTTGTTCCCTACGCTAGCCACCTCCCACACCACATATGATGACCTATAAAGTCTATCCTCAATGCCACTTTATATGGATCCACCTAATTATTTGCATATGTTACATTGATATTTACAAAAGTGCAATGAGAATACCTTTCCACTGCTGCAAATTTCAACGCTTTCATCCTCTTCCAGTGAAGTCCATTTTGGCCGGAAATCTCACTGACTTTCTGCTCCCTTCTTTTTGAGGAGGAAAACAAAAATACTGGTGCTTAAGTGCTTCTCACATGCCCAATATAGCTGCTGTTGACAACGAAAGTCAGTGGTGTGTGTGTGTGTGCTTGGCATGAGCAGGTTTCTTCCTAAATATTCTTTAAAAGAAAATGCTGGGTGTGCATTTTAAATGTGTACATATGTTTGGAAAAGTTTGGTATGCTTCTAATTTGAAAAATAATGCGTGGTTATTTAGCTCAGAATTGTTTTATTTTTATTTATTTTATTGCAAAGACAATCATAGGTAGAAATTGTACAGATCGCATATTTTGAGCTTTCATGGTTGTGGAGTCAATTAAAGGAGACATTCTACTTTCACGTAGTCTACATTGCATTATTCTGTTTTGTTTTTTTGTTTGTAGCTAAAGCCCAGAAGATTGAAATGGACAAACTGGAGAAAGCAAAAAAAGAAAGAACAAAGGTTAGTCATTATTAACACGTGATAGTCAGGGAAAGTTGGTTGTGGTGTGCCGAAACAAACGTCAGAGTGGGCCTGTAAATAAGAGGGCAAAGAGAAGTTCGGAAAAACACACTTTATTGCATTTATTACATAACTAAATTCCTGAAGGCTTAGCAGAGCTCTCTTTCCGGTCGTGGAATGTACGTATTGTATATGGAGGATTTCCAACGACCCAGTTTCTTGATGATGTGGACCGGGGGGGTTTGTACTAGAGGCTGATTAAGCGGCTCCTATGCGGAAGGAGTGCCTGGATAACGAAGAATATATATATATCATATCTACTTTTATCCTCTCCTGCCTCCCCCCGTCCCCTTTCACCACCTTATTTGAAGCAGATCATCCTACACATATCAAATATGTTCCTGTCCTCACTTGTTTCTCATGCACTCTATTAGTTCCTACAAAGTCATCTTTTTTGCCGAACCACTTTTAGTGGATGCTACACACAAAGTTCTAGGGTCCTTTCTTTTCACATTCCATCGCGCTCATCTTTCAAAAACCAAATTATTTGGAGATGACATTTATATAATTTCCCTTGTTCACACTTGACATCTCTGGTCTCTCTGAAACCACAGTCTTGTGGTGCCCCCAGTTCCTAAAATAAATCAAGCCAAAACCAAAGAGTTTCTCTCCAGCATAGTGTGACAATATTTTATCATAGCTTATCTTCACTGCACTTTTATGAGGAATATATATATATATATATATATATATATATATATATATATATATATATATATATATATATATATATATATATATATATATATATTCCTCATAAAAGTGCAGTGAAGATAAGCTATGATAAAATATTGTCACACTAATGCTTATCCCAGACACACACAGTGGAAGAGTAACTAAAAGAACAGCAACGTTACGGACTTGAATTATGGGATTATGCTCAGACAGACACAAAAATCAGGCCTAATGTTTTAAACTGCAATATAAGAAAAGTACAACTGAAATGAATCAAATCAACCATAAATTTAGTAGGAAACAAGCAAGTGTTCCCAGTTGTTTATATTTTATTTATTTAATTCAATTTTTTTTACCTCTACTATTACAACTTTTATATATTGGGGAGTCCCAATGCAGATATCAGATTAATTTTGCAATTTTTTTTTTTTATTTTATTTTTTTTTTTTATACATCTCTAGAGCTTCAATTTGTAGATATGAAATATTCTAGAGAACATCATTGATATCATTTATATAATGCTATAGCAACCTATTTTAAATACCTTATTTTTTTCAGCTTGACAAAAGTGGCATGAGCCATAGAAAGCGATTTCGGCTTGCGCAGAAGCCTGTTGGTCCACATTATAATTGTACATATTTATACATATTCATACAGGTGTCATTGCAGAGCAAATCCAACAATCTTCGTGGCGATGGGCTCGTTTGGCCACTTGTCAAGGGATTTTTTATTTATATAATAAAACTTGATTTTTAACTGAAGCACTTGACATGTTCACAATACCTGGTGAGCAGTACTGTAGATAAGCCATTCCAACCTTTTTAAACCAAAATCCTGTTCACATTTCCATTATTGTTGTTAGCCATAAGAAATCCATGTTTGTCAAGTTACATTCATTTGTCTGTTTGTTTAAGTATAACAATAACTAAAAAGTCTATAAAATACTTATGTAACCTGAGCTGACGGGTCAATACACCCCCACCCCAGCCGCACTCTCGTCCCCGTCCCCAGTAACCCCACCACTTCGACAAGGTACTAGATTACACGTCAACACAGGTTTAAGAACCGATAGCCAGTATTGTCTAACTTATAATGCTTGCCAATGTACTACAATACATCAATATGTACCCTGCGTTGGTACAAACCTGACTGACTGGAACTGTCGTACCCCCCCTCACCCCCCCCTTATTATCTTCTGTACCCCTTCCCTTGATTACCGATACAAACACAAAACCGATAAATAAAGAATGATAAAAAAAAATACTTATGTAACCATCTACCATAACTTTGCGTATGGTGGATTCTGTAGCATACTATTTCTCCGTTAGTGGTAGGGTGGAAGAAAGAGTTGAAAGTAGGAAAGAGAGAGTAGAGAGGGTTTCTCATCAGGTTAGGGGGCGCCGGTTACCAAGCGTTTGGTGTTACGCTGTCTCTCGTGACAGAGGCCTTGTTAGTAACCTATTTTAAAGGCCGGTACAATGAGTGTAATTTTTTTTTATTTTTATTTTTTACCATTTATAGATTGAGTTTGTAACTGGCACTAAGAAGGGTACAACCACAAGTGCACCTACTGGAACCACCAGCACCACTACAACTGCCACTGCTGGTAAGATTATTCATCTTGGGTTGTTGTGGTTATGGGGCATAGATCAAGGAAAGTTATTGGTTAAACCGATCCGCTAATAACCAGTTTCATTTTATTTTTCATTCCATCCAGATGCACAGAAAAGAAAGAGCAAGTGGGACTCTGCTATTCCAATAACCACCATTTCGCAGCCCACAATCCTTACCACCACTGCTACACTGCCATCTGTCGTTACAGTAACCACCAGTGCTAGTGGCTCAAAAACTACAGTCATCTCTGCTGTGGGTACAATTGTGAAAAAGGCCAAGCAGTAAAAGAGAAGGTGGCCGACCGACTGAACATTTGACAATAAAAATGACTCTGTACAGCCTGGAACTCTTATTCTATACATGTGTTGAGGAGATGCCAGGACTATCGATGAGCGCTTTATTACAATTTATGATCGGACAATGATCAAAGGGAAACTGATCCCCCTATCCTGTTTTTGGATGCTGGAATTGTTTTCTGGACATTTCATAGTGGGTTGGAAGTCTTTTGATGGTTTATAAACAGCGGGTTTCCTGTCTACAAATTTTATTTCTTTTAATTCTTCATTAAATTAATTTTTTTGTATATTCATGGCTTCCAGCTCCTGAAGTTCAACATCATATCTTGCAATGTACGATACAACTCAGGATAAGCATAGGAAAAAAGTAAAAAAAAAAAAAAAAATATCCTCTCTGCTTTCTGTTGTCCTTAAACTGAGGCGGTCTGTTTATTTTATCTTTTCTTTTATAACAGGGTGCTTTATTACACATGAACAAAAAAAAAAATCATCATCATCCGGTAGAATTAGACTATATCACTATTGGCTAATAAGGAAATTACAAATAGATGTCAAGATGCTGGCTTTATTTTAAGAGTTGAAGTAATTAAAAGGTATGCCCTTCATGAGCTGTTGGTGAGTTGCAGAGATCGTGAAGGAAGTTGCTGATTTGAAATAAATGTTTGTTCCATGAGCTGGGCAAGAAGAAGAGGTGTGTGTGTGGTAATGGGAAGGGATAACATAATGGAGAGAAACTCTTTGGTTTTGGCTTGATTTATTTTAGGAACTGGGGGCACCACAAGACTGTGGTTTCAGAGAGACCAGAGATGTCAAGTGTGAACAAGGGAAATTATATAAATGTCATCTCCAAATAATTTGGTTTTTGAAAGATGAGCGCGATGGAATGTGAAAAGAAAGGACCCTAGAACTTTGTGTGTAGCATCCACTAAAAGTGGTTCGGCAAAAAAGATGACTTTGTAGGAACTAATAGAGTGCATGAGAAACAAGTGAGGACAGGAACATATTTGATATGTGTAGGATGATCTGCTTCAAATAAGGTGGTGAAAGGGGACGGGGGGAGGCAGGAGAGGATAAAAGTAGATATCTGATTATGAACTCTGAATTTGGAAAATTAGGTAAAAGAGAGTGTTGGGTTGGATGTTAGATTTGAGAGATCTTGCAAATTATGTGTTTTTTTTGTTTTTTTTGTTTTTTTTTTAAGATGTTGATACCTGCACCATTGAGTAAAGTTAGTCACCAAAGAAAAAACACAAATTTTGACAGGGATCTGAGATGAAAGGAATGTAGGAAGATCCAAATTATCCAAATTATGTATTATTCCTATTTGGAGGCACAGGAGAAGTGCATGTTTTGCACTGCTGCAAAAGCTATAAAACGTCCCTATATGTGCTTTTCATTTGGGGGCTGCTATTTTGAATTCTGACGTCTACTAATGTAAACTTTGAATACTACTGCCATGTGCATTTTACACATTCAGTGGTATTATTGTGAAGTATAAAAATATTATGTGCAATTGACCATCTTGAACTTACAATGTAGTTATTGATTTATAAATATTCAGTATTATGTTATTTTTGTGCAAATTATGATCTACATTCTACACCAGGGGGTCCAAACCCAGTCCTCAAGTACCCCCTACCAGTCCCGGATTAAGGGATTACCCTGTTGTGTCTAAAGGTTTTTTTGGGTTTTTTTTTTCCACAAACACCTTAGACACAATTAAGTAATCCTTAAATCCTGGACTGTTAGTGGGTACTTGAGGACTGGATTGGGAACCACTGTTCTACACCAATAATACTCTGTGGCTTTCTTATCTTACCAAAGTTTGTGTTCTTTGGGTCCCTCTTTAATATCCTTTTTTTTTTATCTGTAGGGCAATGTTACATAATACTACAATGTAATTTTGTAGTGATTTGTCACTTGTATGCTCACTATCCTGCTACCATGCTCTCTTTTAATGATAGTTTATATAGACATTACCACTATATATTGCTTTGAACTATATTACCAGCTTGATAGGGGGTAGAGCACCCCATATCCTGGCACAGATTGTATTACCCACTCTTTTGATGTCCCACCCTCCAAATTTAAGTTTTAAATTAAAGACAATCCATGCTTTGGTTGTGAGGGCACCCATCTGTAACTTTTTATTTATTTTTATTTTGTTTAATGCAACCTGCACCACGTCATTTATTTTGGTCTCACAGACTTTTTTTTTTTATTGGTTTACTTAATTGGGCTTAACTGGAATACTGGGCACCACTTGGCCAATATTTATATAAACATTATAACCTGTAGTGGTTATTGTTCTTAGAGTGCCCCTTTAATAAAGTCTATACATTATAATTTTATTACGTTTATTTAAAACCTTTTGGTCAATGTTTAAGATCATTTCAGCCCATCTATCATAGATAACTTAATTCCTGAAGCATTCTTGGCTTAAAAAGATAAATCCTATCTGAACCATGAATTTTATAGCATATTTGCAATAATTTAGACAACTGTACCCTTATCCCTCCTCACTCTTATCCCCCCCCCATCCCCCCCAGTTTGTGCTTGCTTGTTAATCTGCCGCAAAGTTATCCCATGTCTGTCTGTAATGAGTATGTTGCACCGGTCAATATAAATTTAAATTCTATAGTCCAGAAGAACATCACAGGCCAATGTCTTTCTCTGGAAACCTGAACCTGCCAAGTAAATATCCACTGTGCAGAAAAAGTGTCTCTGCTGCATATGATAATATACTCACAAGGTACAAAGTGATATTAATTAAACAAATAAAGTGCAAATTCAGTGGTGTGAAAAGGTACGTTACCTTAAGTATCAGCATAAACGTCAGGAAATAAAATAGTGTTGACTGTTATCATCTATCAATGGCAGCATTACAAATGTGTAATAACTCTGTAACTAAAAAAGGAAGGGACCAGATGAAGAAAAATAAAACCGAAAAAACTGCAGACAAATCTAATTTAAGGAAGAACACAGATGAAAATTTCTCTGCCAAACAACTGAGAAGAGGCAATACGAACTTCGATCTGATAATACCTGATAAATGTATTGGCAGAATCCCAAATATGTGCAGATACCATCTTCCAAAAGACACACATCAGCTGCACATGATGAAGAGCCCTGGTGGAATGAGCTTTCAGTTTAAAAGCTACTGAATCCTTCTTGGCCTGGTAGGTACGGAGTATAGCCTCCACAATCCATCTGCTGATAGTAGAGGTGGTAGTAGATTGTCCATTACAAAATCTTCCAGGAGAGACAAACGATTTAAAACACCACCTCCATTTAACCTTCCATTGATTTTCAGTAAACGGATATCTGGCCAATTCAAGTGACGATCAACATTCTACCTCCTTAGAGGACAGAGCCATAAAGAAACTGGGGAGAACAATCTCTTCTTTCAAATCAATCTGACGTGGCCTTCTGATGGAACTGAGTCAGAACATAAGACCACACGATCAGCATGAAAACACATACAAGATTCCTCGTTAGATAAAGTTGCTCATTCAGACACACCTCTGGCTGAGGTTAAGGCAACAAGTAGCAGAGTCTTCAAAGTCAAAAGATGTAGTGACAAGTCTTCCAAAGGCTTAAAGGGGCTGGAGGTCTGAATCTGCAGAACTAGTGCAAGATTCCATGGAGGAGAGAAGGAATAAACTGGTGATATAATTTGAAACCCTGCCCTAGAGAAATTGAATATCCTTGGCTCCTGGATTCAATGCGTACTTGTCAGAGCAGAGGGGGTTGACACCTTAAGTCTCAATCTGCTAAAGCGGGAGAAATTTAAAAACCTACTTCGGAGAGGACATTAAGCAAGGAATCTGTACTCCACACAAACCTTCCAAATTGGTAATAGAATCTTTATGAACCTTAAAAGGCCCAATACGGTTAAAGAGCTCTGCTTAAATGCCAAGCTGTTAATCTGAACTGGTAAGGGTCTGGGTGGAGAATTAGACCATAAAAGAGGGGGGGCGTGGCTTGGACGTCGGCCGGGATGGCAGCTTGAACTGAACGCTCCGCTCCACCGGCACCCAGAAAGCCCTATTAATTTGCTTTAATTAGCTCTGATGGGACGGAACCGACGCGGGGAACCGACTGGAACCCCCAGGGGTTCTCAATCGAACCAGCAAGGTCCAATGGATGGATTCCTGCACAGCCCCGCAGACACACGCGGTGAGGCCTCGGGATCCAAGATGGCGCCCAATCCCTCCACACCCGCAGCTGCCGAAACCCCCCAGGCTTCTACTTTGGATGGCATCGGAGATGAACTCCGCACCATAGCAGCCTCCATGGCCACGAAAGCTGACCTCCTAGTACTCACAACAACCATACAAGACGCCCTCCGGGCCGAAATGGCTGGAATCCGGTCGGAGGTTACTGCGCAGGGGCTCCGAGTACAGGAACTGGAACGCTCCCACGAGACCCACAGCACCAGGTTAGCATCCACTGACACGGCACTAGCCAGGCAAGGGGATATGCTCCTGCAGCTCAGACGCAATGTAGAAGATCTGGATAACCGGGGGCGCCGCTGCAACATTAGAGTGCGCGGCATACCGGAGGTGGAGGGCGAGGAGGACATTGAAAGCACACTAACGGCCCTCTTCCACCTTATTTTGTCCGATGATAACCCGCTGGACATTCGATACGACAGGGCGCACAGAGCACTGAGGCCACGCTCGCTGGAGGACGGCCCCCGAGATATCATCTGCTGCCTGCATTCCTTTAGTACAAAGAATAACATAATGAAGGCAGCGAGAGACCGACCCACATGGGAGTTCCGAGGGGCACACATAACACTATTTAATGACCTGTCACCGGTAACCTTGGAAGCCAGGAGGGCCCTGAGACCCATTACCTCGCTCCTCAGGGAACACAAGATACAGTACAAATGGGGCTTCCCATTTGCCCTCTCCGCACGTCACCAGAACGGCTGGGCCTCGATCCGCTGGCCAGAGGAAGTCCCCAGATTTCTGGAGGACATGGGACTGCCACCGGTACCGGTCCAAGACTGGATCCTGGGACCGCTAGATGCAGGTCAGAGACCCCAACGGGCACCCCGTCGCCGCAGAGGAAGATCACCGCAGGGACCCCAGCCTCACCGCCGGGACATGTAAATATAGCAACCGTCGCTCTGAGGTGTCAACCCGCCAGGAAGGATCTGCCTCCCCCCCCCTCGGACGACACCATGACATTGGCCCGGCAACACTAATACTCTTGGGCTCACTAGACTTTCTGACATCTGGCCGTTTACACCACCCTTAACTATCATGACCACAAATGTTAGGAGACTACCGCATGGATCCCGAGAGGGTCACGCTCCTATCTGCACCATGGGCCCATTTTCTCCAGGTATGAATACTGGCCCGACACACCCGCACCGGACATCATACACTAGCTGACGGTGTCCCCCCGACACAGTCCCTCCCTCCCTGGCGGAACGTTATGCCTCAACACCGATTCACCTACCACTTGAGCTACTACCCCCCCCCTCCCCCTCCGGTGACGCTGCGGGGAAACCCTGGCCAATTCATTGGGTGGTGGGAACTTGGGGGGGTGAGGGATTTAAGTATATGACCTTGGGTGTCCTCCCACCTCTACTGCAACCCTTGTGGACAACGCACACTGTAACTTGAACGGACTTGATCGGGTCACCTCGCTGGAACATTGGATACCGGGACTCTCACCAACCTGATAAGTAACCTCCATTGATATATGACGTCATGATCACCTGATAGGTTGTTAGCACAATATATTATACATACGCATTTGCTTGTTATGTTGTGGGACATCCTGGGACGGTAAATAGGGAGCTTGTGGGACTGCAGTGGTGATGGTGCAAGGGGTGGGTGGGTTGTCAGAGGCACGGAACATGATCGGGACAGACGTGAGAATAGGGATGGGGACTAGAGACGACACTTCCCCTGACACAATCAGCCACGACCTGTATGTTACTTAAATGAACACCCCCACAAAAAAGGGGGAGGAAGGCGAGGAAAGATTGTTCGCACTCACAGTTACCATAGGGAGGTTCCCATAACCGAGAGATCCATGGGATGCAGACAGAGACCCACCCATGTCCAGACCGGGCCATATTGAGCTGACAAGGGGCGTGGAGACCAATAATATAATGTATTGACTGGGCATACCTAGACCTTTACTTTAGCTTTATGATCCCTAACGGTCAACATCAGGGTATGTACGCTCCATGGGGGCGACGCCAGGATATGAGGTGGATCCACCTTTGGGGGACACACGAAGGGATAGCGAAAATTGCTTTAAAAAAAAAAAAAAAAAAAAATGTGTTTACTGTTATTAATGTTTAGGAATTAGCCCATGGTTTGTTATTTGGCTGTTTTCCAAACTGTTTGCTGCTTCACTTATTTACGTCCCACCTGACCATACACACTTGGGCTGGGACCCGGTTGGAGCGGGACACTTCCTTATACTGTCCCTCTCCTGGCTTAGACTACGACCACGACTCTACACATTCACTTGCATGACTTTCTCGGCGGAGCCACAGGCCTGTCCACATACCGATCTGAAGATCGGGGCAGTTTCTGGTCACTCCGACTGAGACGCAGGTGAACCTCCCTCGGAGGAGAATTCGGGGTGATCACCTCCCTCACCCCGCTGGGAACAACCCCAAGGGGGTGGCCCTTACGACCCACACCCCATTTTAACTTTAACTTAACGCACCATTTGCAACTTCAGCTATCTACCCTAACCCCACTCACGAACACACACATACACCGAACCACACGCACACTCCCTCCGACAACCGCGGTACACGTTCAGGCTTGACGCAGATTTGGTGAGGCGACACCCACGTAGATAACCGATCACAGTCAGAACTGACAGGACACCCCGATATATATATATATACGTACGCAACCCTACATAATCACCGCTTGAATTATTCGGGAGAACACCCCTGATAGAGAGTTGACCCATAGGGCCTACACGGTAGGTCTGACCCACATCTCCACACGGGCGCACCCCTCGCTGCCTCGCGCGAATAGTTGCGACCCATGGCATACGATCGCGCCCCTCTGTCCGTCATAACCCTTAACTGCAGAGGCTTAAATTATCCGGAACGCCGCTCACACTTACTAAGGGGCCTCCACAACAGACACATAAAAATAGCAATGCTTCAAGAGACTCATTTTAAAGAAGGGGCTGCCCCCAAACTCAGAAACGCTCGCTTCCCGCTGAGTTATTGCAATAACCACCCGACCGCCCGTCGAGCGGGAGTAGCTATTTTGATTGCTGCAGACCTTGGTTTCCGCGAAATAGACTAACCGATGATCAAGGCCGCTTTCTCTTTCTAAAAGGATTAATAGCGGACAGGATATATACCCTAGTGACTGTGTACGTCCCCAATTCGAACCAAGCACAATTCCTACGAGGAATGGTGAATAAACTAAAGGGATTTTCGGAGGGAGCTCTGATCGTTGGAGGAGACTTCAACGCCCCACTGGACCCCCTCTTAGACTCCTCCACGGGCCACAGCTGCATCTCACAACCCCGCATTAGATCTATTCGCAAAGCATTGGGGGAACTGTCGCTGGTGGACTGCTGGAGGGCACTTCACCCAACGGACAAGGACTTCACACATTACTCGGTATTACACAACCGTTACTCTCGAATAGACTATGTGTTCATTAAGCAAGGAGGATTATCCCGCCTACGAACGGCGACCATTGAACCTTCCACTTGGTCTGATCACGGACCAGTTCGAATTGAGCTGGAGTCCCCACTATTTAAGCCAACAACATGGTCATGGCGATTGAACGAATCCCTGCTCCAAGACCCAACAGTGAAAGAAGAGATCTCTCAGGCAATGGAAACATACTTTGCGGAAAACAATACGGAAGGGATGACACCAATAACGATATGGGAAGCGCACAAGAGTGTACTGCGCGGCATTATTATTAACCTCGCAACCCGCAAAAGAAAAGAAGCAACTCGCGCGATGGCGGACCTATATGACACCATCAAAAAGCTGGAACTTCAACACAAAAGGTCGCAACTGAATGAAACATACAGTGCATTGATGGAAGCTAGACGTAACCTGACGGCCCTCATCGCGAAAAGGTATCATCGTTCGCTCCAACGCTCAAAAAACTTCTTTTACACACATGCCAACAAAGGCGGGAAATTCCTCGCTCGCCTCTTGAAAGGGGATACACCACGCACGCAAGTGCAAAAACTACACCTATCTTCGGGTAAAGTATCCCTACACCCAGAAGAAATAGCGGAGGAATTTCGAACTTACTATCGCTCCCTATACAACCTTCCTCACCCAGAGGCCCTGATACGAGAGAGGGATGTATCACCTAACATTCGAATGTATCTCCAGGATACCATAAGGAATCATATAGACCCGGCAGCAGCATCTGTACTCGACGAACCGATTGCCACGGAAGATTTAGCAGCGGCTTTAAAAAACACGAAGACAGGACGCGCCCCAGGACCGGACGGATTCTCCACGGGATACTATAAAATGTTCGCCACGACATTGCTACCATGGTTGACAAAGGCCGTTAACGCAGTGTCGGACGGAGGACACTTTAGTGGGGAATCCCTGACAGCAACCATAACAGTCTTGCTCAAACCCGGGAAAGACCCAGAACAATGCTGCAGCTATCGCCCGATCTCTCTGCTGAATGTGGACACGAAGCTACTAACAAAGGTGTTGGCGACCAGACTCCAACGGATCTTACCGACCCTTGTTCATGCTGACCAAACGGGATTTGTCCCAGGCAGGGAGGCCCGGGACAGTACACTTCGCCTATTTTCAATACAACACCATGCACGGAAATATCAGAAACGCCTTCTGTTGTTGTCCACAGATGCAGAGAAAGCATTCGACCGGGTCAACTGGAAATACATGTTCCGAACACTACGGTGGATGGGCTTCGGGCAGAGAGTTATGGCTTGGATTACAGCTCTGTATAGCACACCGAAAGCAGCAGTCCGCGTTAATGGGGGGCTTACTACAAGCTTTGGAATTGCAAATGGGACCAGACAGGGATGTCCCCTGTCCCCACTCCTATTTGCACTCTCCCTAGAGCCGCTCCTACAAGCTATACGAGACAACCACGACATCCGGGGCTACCTGTGGCAAGATGAAGAACACAAGGTGGCCGCGTATGCGGATGATCTTCTATTTTTTGTTTCCCAGCCCCGAACCACACTGCCATGTTTACTATCCGAGATAGACAGGTTTGGTCGACTATCAGGGTTTAAACTCAACTTGGCGAAATGTGAAACATTGAACGTCACCATACCCTCGGAGGAATATAACACCCTTAGCCTAATTTTTCCGTTTCGTTGGTGTACAGGGGCTATGAAATATCTCGGCATCTGGATCCCCACGAATCCCCAAGACATCTACCAACGTAACTTCGAGACATTATTACGAACCATTGAAACAGACTTGGCACGGTGGTCCTACCCACACATCACCTGGCACGGCCGTATTGCGGTCCTTAAAATGAATATCCTCCCTAGGGTCCTCTACCTGTTTCAGACCATACCAACAGCCTTACCGACCTCATTCTTTTCGACACTGAAATCAGCAGTCATAAAATATGTCTGGAGGGGGGACCGCTCCAGGCTGCGACACGACATACTCTGTATGCCTCGACATAAGGGTGGTCTGGCTTTACCAGATTTTAGGAAATACCATCAAGCGGCGACATTACAACGAATCCTTGAGTGGCATGAACTGGACACTACCAAACAATGGGTTGCACTGGACCGAGAGGGAGAAGCGGCAAAATTAAAAGCGATGGTATGGATGCGACGAACAACCAGAGGCAGTAGAAGGAACGAGGAAGGACCCGTAGCACAGACGCTACTTTCCTGGGAAAACGTTAGGGAGCTGCCACAAGTTTCCCCATCCCCCTGCCCCCTACTTCCGATCCCGCACAATCCCAATATCGGGGGCGGAACGCCAACTGAAGCCTGGACATTCCTAGGCGACACAGACTATATACCGATATGCAAGGTCACACAGGACGGCAACCTGAAGACTTTAGACGCGCTTCTGGAGGCGCGACCACGATCTCCAATGGCGACCTTTAGGTACATGCAACTACAACACTACTACAACTCCCTCCCACACCGGGAAAAATTACATAGAGACCTGACGTGGTTTGAAGCCCTATGTCACCGAGGCGCATCACTTGGAAAAGCCATCTCGCTCCTTTACCAACACTTACTCATCAACCCGAACTCCGAAAATGACACTTTCAAACACCGCTGGGAACGAGCCATGGACACAACATTTACTACCGCGCAATGGGACAAAGCCTTGATTTGGCAACATAAGAGCTCCTCCAGCTCCCGATATCAGGAGGTGAACTATAAGATACTTTCCATGTGGTATAGAACCCCAGTACTGCTCCACCAAATATTCCCCGATGCCACTCCAACGTGCTGGAGATGCCAGGACGAGAGGGGGACTCTCCTACACATATGGTGGGAGTGCTCACATATCGTCCCATTCTGGGACCAAATCAAAACCGACATACAACAGATTCTGGGGAATGACGTGGCTTGGTCAAAGGAATTAATTTTGTTACACATTTCACAGCACTCACTATCCACATATAAAAAATCCATCTTACGTCATCTACTGAACGCTGCAAAAGCACTCATACCTGTATACTGGAAGAAATTAGACATCCCCACTCGGGAGGAATGGATCCACAGAGTGGAAGATATCAGAGCAGCCGAAGCCCTGCAGGCTGAACAGACGGGCAGGGGGGTGAGATGCGCGGAGCTTTGGGCTCCGTGGTTCACATTCCGCGCGCAGCGATAGGGGGGTGCTGGTGGGGAACCGGGGCTGACCGGAAACACGGGCCCCGTGGCCTGCTTTCACACAAGACGCATCCAACATTGTTCCCTTGTGGGTAACAAGCACTGACGACATGTCCCATGTCCCCTCCATACGAACAGGGAAGATGAAGGGACACAATTCGACAAGACAAACAGACGACCCCACAGATGCGCATGAGACATATTCACGAACAGGAATGACTCCCACGACTAAATGGGATACCACTGCTTGTACCTATAAAGGGGGAAAGAGGAACACCATGCTTACACATTGGTCCCTAGGATCGTATGTCATACCACCCCCGCAGTGGTAAACCGGTACCTAGTCTATGAACGTGTACGGCGGCAGGAGGATTCCACACCCCCCTCCCCACACATGCTCCCACACGCGTTACTCCCTTACCCCCCTCCCGAACTTCTCATACCCACCCACCCCACCCACATAGGGCATCCAGGCCCTCACAACTAAAAATCCCCCAACCCCTTCCCCCCGCCCCCCCCCCAAGACTCCTAGTCTCTCGCAACACTGGTATCACGCCACGACACACACCTGCTCACCTCAGGAAATCACCAAAAACTCCTACATACATTCTTTCTTTACCAACATTGACAAATTTTACTATAGTTGCGGCTCCATGACTATCAATAGATAAGACGACTTTACATATTATCACAGAATGTAAACTGATAACGGAATAAGATATATAAGAATAACGGAATGAGATATTCTGCTATGCAAATATGTTCAAAATGTGTATAAACACTGTTTCTATGTTGTCACTATTTTATGCAATTCTGTTGAGTTGGGCCTGCGTGCCCATAATATGCTCCACTGTCTTGATAAAACTCTAAATAAACAGATTAACAAAAAAAAAAAAAAAAAAAGAGAGAGCATTGCGGAGTAAGCAAGAAACGCTTGTGGATTCTCTGACATCCTCTTTAGTGGAGAAAACCAAATCTGACTGGTTCAGGTAATATAATGGCAATCAGTTCTGCCTTTTTTTTTTTTTCTTAGATACTTATTGAGAAGTGCATAATCAAAAGTAATATATGCCCAAGACAAAAGGAGCACGCTTTCCCCAGGGCTTTGGTGTCATTGCTCCCTGAAAAGAAATGAGGAAACTGGCAGATTTCTTGGAGTCCACTTCTGAACAAACTGATTTGGCACAGACAGAAGATAATCATCAGATCAAGCACCCATTCTAAATTGACTAAATTAACTTTGCCAGAATGGTCAGCTACATAACTCTTCTTGTCTGAGAGATAAATTGAGAGAAATTGAGGATAGCCTCTGAGTGGTCTCTTGAACTATGATAGGCTGTGTATACATTGAATTACGGTTGTACATATGTAGATGAACTCCATAGCCTATGAGCAGATACTGAAAATTAATGAGAGTCAGACGCATTGCTCTGAGCTCCAGAATGTTGAAGCAAACCTGGCCTACAGGTCAAAAGTAAATACAATGGACAACATGCTGGCCAAAATGAGCTCCCTAGCCGAGACCACTTGCATCTGTCCTACCATATGACCAGTGGATATCTGATAGAGAAGGATTCAGCCACCAATTGAAAGCAAGATTGACTGACTTGTTTTCAGAAGAAAATCTTCTGATACAACTCCTTTTTACACTTGTGGAACTGTGTGATAAAAATACCCATAAGGAAATCTGGAGATACCAATGAGCTAGGGATGTGCATGGGCCAAAAATTGGTTCAGTTTGGAAATTTGGGTAAGTTTAAAAAAAAAAAAAAAGCGTGTCTGCTTCGGCAATTCGAAACTTCAGTAATTCGGACCCAAACCCTAAACCATTACCCACTTCAGCAATTCGGTTCAGTACGGCAATATAGACATTCGCAGGCATCTGAATTTCCGAATGTACATTCGGAACAAAACAACTACACTGAGCCCAATGTAGCAGTATCGACAAGGACATTGACTCCAAGAGGTTTATGAACTCCCTGGCAGTAATCTACTTCATATAGATCACAGGGAGAACCTAGGCCTGAAGATGGTTCTTCAGGTCATCTTGAGAGCTGTACCTCCTCTCTCTAGGTGTCAAAAAAGACTCCTAAGACTGCCATTTGTTGAGAAGGCTGAAGTTGGTCCTGAACTAACTTAAAATTCAAATATCCTCTTCCTGATGAAGTTCTAGAAGTAGAGCAGATAGAAAGACAATAACAATATTAGGATAGTGAAATATATTTATTCCTGTTACATGGATGGCAGCAAAACAGATACCAGGATCTTGTAAATATTTCTCAAAGCAGTTCCCAAGCCAAAGAGCATAACTCTAATTGAAAGTGCAGGCACACCGTGACTTTTCTGATTAGGAAGGAAGATCTGAATATGACATATAAAACTTTTTCTCAAACAAGCCAATGATCTGATTTGGTGGCAAAACCCTAGGCCGCCAAACTATTGATCCCAGGAAGAATAGGTTCAGTAAAAGCTGTTTTGATGTGCAGAAGCAGAGGTAGTATCATATTTAACACAAGTGCTTCTTCTCCAAGTATTTTTTTTTTTTTTTTTTATCACAAGCTATACATCTAGCAATCCTATGCTTCCTTTTGCGAGTCCTGGTCTGATGGACTGTATAAGCATCCATGCACTCTTTGAACAGGAAATTAAGTACTTATCCAAGACTTGGCTTACCTTTCGTCGGGGGCCCTAGGCAGTCGACTAGCATCACCTTACAGTTAATTGTGCCCTGAAACTCCCTCAGAGACAGAGAACCCACCACTAGCAACAAGCAGAGTTCCTGGCAGCCAGGTACCCAGGTTGTAGTGGTTATGGTGCTTGGAATGTCTCAAATCTCTCAGGTACGAAGTGGGTACCACTCGACATCCCGCCATGCTTCTTTCTTTTAAATCTCATTTTCTTCCAAATTCTAGTTTCTTCACTCATTTTTCTCTTATCAACCTTTCTATATTTTATCTTTTAGCGTGTAACAATGTATACTTGTTTATTACTATATTACTATATCACAGATAATCCTTGGTATTTGTTCTGTACTTTTTTCCTGACATGATAAATTTCACAATAAAAGCCATATTAAAGGATTAAAAAAAAGCAGAAATTCCCAGGATAAATCAAATGCCTGCTAGTTAACCATTTCCAAAGATCACAATGGCACTGTGTGTTTTCCAGCAGTTTATCAGTGGGCGAGTTGGCTAATTGGCTTTGCTCTAATTTGCTATCACATTTTGTCTGTGAGAATCAGTTCCTGATGTAGGAGATTCAGTCACTGTTGCTGGCAGATGCCTTGATACAGAAGTAAACATAGCAAAACCCAGCCCTGTCAGAGGGAGCCCTGCAGGATCACCCTGTACAGAGAGTCCCTTGACGCGTGTCAGGACTGCCCCTCCCTCATTCCTCTGAATCTATCGCCTACGGCAGCGCAAGCCTAGACACATATTTTGTACTAACTCATAATTCTGTCCCACGAGAATGGAGCTAGTGGCAGAGCTGCCAATACTAACTTTTTCTTATGTGTCTACCAGTCACCTTGTGCTCACTGATAGGGTCATTTATCTATTAAGTGTGGAGTGTCGGCAATTAAAATTTTCAGCTCTCCCACCAAACATTATTTACCATTTGGCTATTTTGACCTCAAACTTAAAATTCACTTTGAATTCCTGAAATGACACAATTCATAGAAAAACCCTGTATGGGATAGACACCCTTGATTATTATTATTATTTTATTTACATTTATATAGCGGCGACAGATTCCGCAGCACTTTGCAATATCATTGAGGAAGGGTGAGGGTATTGTTGCTAAACTTAACAAAGTTGGCGCCACACAAACATGTTCTTCAGTTTTGAGCTTAATAACCATAACTAGCACAGTCACAGAAGGATGGGAGACTTGAAAAAAAAATCTATATTATCAAAAAAATGGGTAATTCTTGCATTTTGAAGGGATTGTGCATGAATGAATTAATTTTCATGCAGAAGGTGAAATCTTGCTACACTAATAAAAAATGATCTATCTCAAGATAAATAATAGTGCTATAAGCATGAATGAATGTCCACAGCACATCTATTGCTTACTAGTATACATGAATCCCAAACCCTCACCATAAAGTGCTACGTGCTGCAAAATACCAAAGGAACTTATCTTTTATCTTTGAAAAACACATTTTTCCCCAGGGGATATCAGATATCGTCCCCTCTCAGAAGAGCCAATATACAATGTGTATGGGGATACAGCTGTAAAAATACAGAAGAAATAAAAGTATAGGTAATAAAGTTAAAAACAAAAACCATAAATTGTGCTGTTTGAAATGCACTCACAAGATGAAATGTTGATACAGCGCCTCTACATGCCTCTCCTCAAATTCTTGGCTGGCTATTCAATGTCATTCCCCAGACTGTCGCCTTCACTTTAGGAACAATTGTGTCTGGACTCAAAATAGATATCAAATTATTAAATTTATTATACAATTATAGTAAAGTATAAAAAAATAAAGTGCAAGTGTCCAACGCGTTTCGTCCTCATACTGGACTTCCTCAGAGATCAAATATAGTGTAAAAAACATAAAATTACCATCAAATGCTGATTGGGAACATTTGCCTGGTGACCCCAGCTGAGTGACTCTATGGAAGACAAATGATTAAGGCCTCACGGCCAAAACGTTGTATTTTTGTTTTATCTCCTGCACCATAATATACTTTATCCTGCACTGTGTAGTCTGTGCCTCTATACTTCTGGACTTTATGGAAGAAACCTTTGATGACAGGACAGGGGCACTCCAGACAAAGCTAAAACCGTTACGAAGAATAGTTTTCCACATAAACTTGGATTTTTCTGGGCACACAGCAGATTCAAAAACGTTTCCTCTTTCTTCTATGATGGAAAGTTGGGTGGCACTCGACAAATTGCGGATTCTTATTCTTTGATGAAGATGACAAAGTAACTTTTTCTTATGTGTCTACCAGTCACTGAGTGTTTGAAAATTGTAATGCAGTTCAAAGATAACCATTTTTACATTTTAATATTAATTAAAATTTGAATTTTAAACTCATTCATGGAAAGTAAATATGAGTGATAGTTTCACCTTTACACGGGTTTTTCTGGATTAAGATAGTCACCCCCCCCTTCCATACTCCTTAATTCGAAATCAGATTCCATGAGATGTCATAATTTTATTATATGATTAAAAAAATAAAGACGGCAGGTAGTGTCAGTAACACACAAAAATTGAAGAAAAAAACTGTAATATGAAGACCAGCACTGTCGGATGATACAAGACCATAAAAACACATCAAATAAACTTTAAGAAAGAAACTAGGACAGAAAGACTTTAATCTACTATACCTGGGGTTATCTTTCGAAGATCCTGCTACACATCAGCATTCCACAAAGATTTCTTCAACAGGAAAACTGAGAGTATCCAGTAACCAAAAAACAATAAGTAACAGACATCTATTTCTAAATGTAAACAGCACTCAATGCTCTGAAGAACAGTATAAACAGCCCTCATGAAAATAACAGATAAAGAAAAAATAAAAAAAATAATTACAAACATACTTTCCCTGCGCTATAAAAGTTACGAGGGTCATTATAGACGTTACAGAGACCAGATACATTGTTAAAGGTAATTGAAAGGAAAGGTACGGGGGTTTTTTGTTGGTTTTTTTCCCCCTTTTTTATTTTTGTAAATCAAATTTGGTATCTGGTTCAAAAGGTGTCACGAGCTAAAAAAAATACCTCGGTTAATAAACTTAAAAATGTTTTTTTTTAAATTGTGGTTTTATTTAGCTTTTCAGATAGAAAGGGGTACTATTTTATAAAATTTAAAGATTGTGCATATTTGTTCAATTCTAAATAAAGTGATTTTTTTTTAAAATGTATATTATTGTATATTGTATATTATTGCTTATTATTAATTCAAATTTACTACCACCATAAAATGGGGCCGCATTAATAATATCATGAAAAGTATAGCTAAAATAAAATGATTAATCGTGTGGAATTACATACAAAGTTACTATTTCAATGGCGTCTCATCATGCAGAGATTGTCCAAAACATTTACCACATCTTAGCTAGTATGCTTTAGGTGTCATGGACACAAAGGTGCCATATCACTTGTGGTGGTCGTATTCAAGAATTGCCCCACTATGGTCTCAGATACATGCTCTTTTGTAGACAGTAAAACATGTCCCATTCTCCCAACAAGTATTTCAATGTAAGTCTATTTGAACTAACCCAAGAGCCAGTTAGATATCCACTGAAGGGTGTTTGTATGTCATGTATCCACAGCAGCTATTAAAGCCCTAGGAAAAGAATATTTATTGGACCCTGTATGCCAGAAATTATTTCACTTTTTAGCTTTTAATGGACCATAATAGCCATGTCGACCACTACCATTTTTGGAAGCGGGCCTATAAATCTATAAATCTAAAAAAAAAAATTTAAAAGAGGGGGGATCTTGTTGGAACATATATTGTGCCTCTCTAGCAGCACAAGTAAATTAAACATTATATTTTGTCCTAATTTTGACTGCAATGATTGGCTGAGAACCCTAGTGTAGGCTTCGCTTGCCACTCTCAGTTGAGATAAGGTGTTTAGGATTTAAGTCATAGCACCATGAACACATCATTTTGATAGACATATGGAGACAGACACATTTAGGCTCCATCAGATATGCTGTCTGTTTCAACTAATACCACACAGAATGAACATTTTATATGTTTTTCATCATCCAAGTCTGCATTCCCCAGACATGTGAGACGATCATTCATCTAATCATTTGGTCAGACCAGGCAGATGTCTTCATGCTACTCCCTATGTTAAAATATAAGATTCACAAAATACCAAAAGGAATGAGTTTATTTCCAAAATCCTCATATACTGCTGGAGCCAAGAATTCCACTGTAAACTATTCTAGGATAAATAAACACCCAGGTAGCGATCCAAAAACGTTTTAGGTGCACACAAAGTAGTGATAACAGAAAAACAAAAAAATTGTGTCCTCGTGAGTAACGGCATCATGAAGGAATGTGCCAGTAGGCAGCTACCTATGTTAGGGGCTCATGACCTAAACTTTGTACATATATTTTGATATAGTTTTTCATTTACCTATGTGCTGATAGCATTTTTTTTAATTTGTGGGCATGCTTAACTGCCTGGGTGGGGTAACCCTCCTACACATAGAGAATAGGGATACAGTAGCTAGAATTAAGAGATACAAAGAGTGAGATATGTATACCGGACTTTAAAGTGGCCAAGCTTTACAGGTGCACTAGAAATTATATAATACAGAGTCAGTATATAAGCCAAGGTCAAGGATTCCAGAGGTATTCAAAACACGATTAAACAAGCTGGGGTCAAGAATACAGAATAACAGGATGGTCACTGCAAAGCCAGGTAAGTAACAAGAAACACCAAGTCATCAGTACGCACTCTCGGCCAACAATAAACCACGACAGGGCAATGATCCTAAGAAAGAGGGAAGTATTCATTGGTACAACCCCAATACTATTGAAAGCATCATCACCCTGCACCAAATCTCATAAAGAGGTGTGTCCCACAGATATGACCTTAAAAATTTTATTAGAAATTGACTTAGAATTACAGGGTCGTATAACTTTAAGGACTCCTGAAGGTGTTGCGAGGTTTTCATGGTGATCCAGCAACCTAGCAAGATTAACAAAGTGCTGAGCACGCGGAACAGTCGAACTTCGACTTGGGGTTGACCAAACGCTCAGCATTTATTTTGCCTGAACGTTAATCTTTTTTTCTTCTAAGACCACTGGTCCTGTTACTTCCTGGTTGTTTAGCTCAGTGGAGATTAACTCAAGAGACAGCAATTGCTTAGAGCACTTGTTTTGCCAAGACTTCTCATTGAGCTGCATTGGGAAGTCTGTGATTGGACAGCCACAGAAAATCAGGACTCTGGAAGAAGGGGAGGACTTGTAGAGGCTTCAGACAAGAAATCTACAGCTTTAAGAAGTTGTTTTAGATAAATCCCCAATAAAAAAAATAATTACTGAACAGTATTTTTTTTTTTTTTTATTGTGGCCGTGGAATGTCCCTTTTAAAGGAAAGCCAAGTCCCAGGTTTCTTTGACCCATGGTCAGGATTTTTTTTTTTCTTTTTGAAGCAAAGTTTTTCTGATGCCTTGAGATCAGATTAGATTAAGAAAATATAAAAGGAATGGAAAAAAGTTACATTTATTTACTTCAACAAATGTATCCCAGAGGAGATATGATCAAATGTAAACAAATATACACAAGGCTGGTATAAACCGCTTTCTAGTGACCTGTTCAGTAACAGGACTGGGCAATTGAATTCTTCCGAGTTCCAACCATATTCATTCAGAAACAAGATTGACAGCTGTTATTTAAAGGATCACTATAGGGTCAGGAACACAAACATGTATTCCTGACCCTATAGTTTTAAAACCACCATCTAGCCCCCTTGGGCCCCTCATGCCTTCATAAATATAGTAAAAATCTTACTGTATATAAGCCTGAAGCTGTAACTCTGCATGCTGTTTGCCTCAGAAAACAAGCTGTCTACTGACATCATCAGAAGTAGTGGCCTGATCCAATCACAATGCTTCCCCATAGGATTGGCTGAGACTGACAAAGAGGCAGATCAGGGGCAGAGCCAGCATGATTCAAACACAGCCCTGGCCAATCAGCATCTCCTCATAGAGATACATTGAATCAATGAATCTCTATGAGGAAAGTTCAGTGTCTGCATGCAGAGGGAGGAGATACTGAATGTTTGGATGCATTTTAGGCAGCCATGACCCAGGAAGGATCCCTAGCAGCCATCTGAGGAGTGGCCAGTGAAGTTATCACTAGGCTGTAATGTAAACCCTGAATTTTCTCTGAAAAGACAGTGTTTACAGCAAAAAGCCTGAAGGCAATGATTCTACTCACCAGAACAAATTCAATAAGATGTATTTGTTCTGGTGACTATAGTGTCCCTTTAATAGCTGCAGGTGTGCTAAGTGGTACTTGATGTATTACTACCATTACGTATACTAGCTTTGCATAAGGTGGTATAGTTTAAATAAAAAAGATTTCCTGAACTGTCAAAATTAATCTGGCACTCTAGGTTCACCTACCAATATAAAAGCTCCCAAAGCACTACATATATAATATATCAAGTATATAAAAAGATTTTTTTTTTTAGGAGCTGTTATAGCATACTTACCTGCAGCCCCTTGCTCCGGCATCACCATTCTTGGAGGCCTGTGGGTGCTACTGTTCTGTAACACTTACCCTCCTTACCGCTCCTATCTGCTGTGATTAGCCCTGCTTGGCAATACTTCCATTCTCCATGTTGACACAAAATGCTGGGTTACATTGTCAGCACATTGGAGTCAGTGCGCCCCATACTTCCCCAGCAAATGTCAGGAATGCCTGTTTTTCGGGAGTAAGATAGTAACAGAAATAAAAAAAAACTGCCTGAGTGAGGATTCTTTCCCCGCTACCTTCCTCGGTATTAGACCCTGTGTGCCACTGGCAAAGAGTTCTAATGCTGAAGATTGATTGACATGTGGGGTGTCAACAAAAAAAAGCCCATGACAAATAATGCTGTAAACATTGTTAAACATTTATATCCTAGTAAATTTCAGAAATGGAAATCAATATGTTTGTTTGTTTTTTTAAGGCTTTTAGTAAATAATAAAATGATATTTCCATTTCTCAGGTAGAATTTAATCTGCGTCTGGTTTCTGACATTACACATATTTTGAGTTATACCGGACGCCTCTAATCCCTCTGTATGGGAGCCATGGATTTGACCCTGTCTGATGGGAAGCTTGTTCAATCCTAAGAGGGTTATTGAAGTAACTGGATCTAACCCTACACAAGGACAAGCGATGAGGCCCTCATTTGAATCATAATTGATCTTTTCTTTATTGCAATGCGTTGCCAGTGGCTTTGTGAGTAGCTGTGAAAAAAAGTGGATGCCAAGAGATTTCCTTTCATGTCAACGAGCAAACGTTAGAGGGAATTTATTAACATGAGAAATAATGACAATTTAAGATCTGAACCTGTTCATATGCAGTCATGTATGTAAATCAAACTGTGTTACATCTAACTTGTGTGTGTGTTTATTTGGGTATTTGCATATAATTGGAACGAGATTTTGGGTTGTGGTTTATTTATTTAACATTAAATTGCAGCAAACAGGAATCCAAATGGCAAAATGTAAATTTAAAAAAAAAAAGCTCTCGCTATAACAGAGTTTGAGAATTTTTCCAAATCTGCTATTTAAGTCTGCATGCTGTTTTTTACGTTTGAGTAATTTCACAGTTGCAATGATTTTACAGTCCAATTGATGTACCTGTGATGTATGTTATTTTACCTTTCCATTATATTTAACTGCTTAAGAGCATCTTTTGGTGGTTTTTTACTTGTCTCACCTTGTACCGGGGATAGGCAACCTTCGGCACTCCAGATTTTTTGGACTACATCTCCCATGATGCTCTTACACCCATAATGCTGACAAAGTATCATGGGAGGTGTAGTCCAAAACTTCTGGAGTGCCAAAAGTTGCCTATGCCTGCTCTAAGTCATACCCTATTACAGAGGGATATTCCCTATTTCAGACGCAAATCCTTCTGTCCTTCTTTTCTGTCCCTCTTTTATAGGGGCTCCATATTGTTGGCTTTTATTACATGTGTTTACAAATCAGTCTGTATCAATAAGATGCATTATTCTTTTATAAATTATTATTAGTAGTAAGTCAACTAACATTTCTCAGATTAACCCCCACCCACCACCCACCACATTCCCACTCATACTTCTAAAATTAAAGTGTCCTTCTTTGTCCAGGTGAAATGAATGCTGGGAAGTAAGCTCCAGCACCAAAACAACTTTAGCATAATGAAACAGTTTTGGTGTATAGATCATGCACCTGCAGTCTCACTGCTCAATTCACTACCATTTAGGAGATTAATCACTTTAGTTTCTGTTTATGCAGCCCTAGCCACACCTCCCCTGGCTGTGACTGACAGCAGCCTGCATGTAAAATTGGTTTCATTTTCCATCAGATGTAAAAGATTTTATCTCCTGTTCTGTAAATTGAACCTTAATTTCTCCTGTAGGGTCTAGCAAGCTATTAACAGAGCAGGAGATATGAAATTCTAAATTAAACATAATTTGAATAAAGGAAGTGTAAACATTAGATGACTCTTTACAGGAATTGTTTAGGAAGTCTGAGCAAGTCACATGCAGGGAGGTGTGACTAGTGCTGCATAAACAAAGTGGTTTAACTCCTAAATGGCAAGGAATTGAGCAGTGAGACTGTAGGGGCATGATCTATACACCGACACAGCTTCATTAAGCTAAAGTTGTTTTGTGACTATAGTGTCCCTTTAAGAAATATCCATATTGCAGGGGGTGACCGTGCCGCTTTACATAAACAGGGGTCCCTTTAAATCTGCAGTGAGTGGCTTTGTCACTTTCTGGGGGCTTGGCATATTTTGCAAAAACCCCCGATGGTCACATCACCACTCAGAGTGAGGAGGTCTGGTGGTACCACCATCTTCAAACTGCAGCTTCTTCAATTCAAGGAGTCCATGTCAGTGCTGTACCTCACCATGTGACCTACAATATTGTTATTATTATTTGTACAGCACAAACTAATTCTGCAGAGCTGTAGAATAGGTGAACTTAGAAACAAGTAGTGGACACACAGAAATTGTGGGTGCCGAGGACCCTGCTCAAACATGCTTATAAATATACACCGTATTTACTCGAATTTAATGCTCACCTTTTATGGAAAATAAAGTTTTCAGAATTTGAATGTGCATCAGATTCAATGGCGCATTACATTCGAAGCAAAATTTTAAATTTTCTGGCTAAATTTCATTCCGGTGAATTGAAATCGGTGAATTAAAACAGGCGGATTGAAACAGGAGAATTGAAACTGGTGAGTTCATACCGGCGAATTCACACAGGCAAATTTTATGCCGACGAATTCACACAGGCAAATCCTGAAAAGGGGTTTAAGAAAGAACAGACTTAACATGTAACACTAAAACTGAAACATTTTCATTGTAGCACAATGTTGTATAGTAGTATCTTCTTATATAAATGCACTTATATTCACCAGCAAACACAAATTTTAGCTTCCGGGTTTCAAAAATTGAGGTGCACATTAGATTCGATGGCGCATTAGATTCGATGACGCATTAGAATCGAGTAAATACGATAACTCTCAGCACAAATGTAAAGGTTAATGGCTAAAATGTGAATTGGCAGAGATCTGAATTTCAGTTTGAATATTTTAGTCTAAAATTTGAAATTCATATAAAATTTCTAACGTTTGTGAATAACCCTGTAAATGCGTAATCAGAAGAGGGTAGAGATCATACTGAGATCAACTATTTTGTGACATTTTACATAAGTCTCACTTCATTTTCTCTCTCTTCACATCGCTACACCAAGTTCTACGTAAATAAACTAGCTTCTAACTTCTTCTTTAACCCCTTAAGGACACATGACATGTGTGACATGTCATGATTCCCTTTTATTCCAGAAGTTTGGTCCTTAAGGGGTTGAACTAGCTTCTAATCAAGTTTCTATCTTAAAATATCTCTAAAAACTCCTTTAAAGGAGACAGGGAGTAGTGCACAGTTAACGTCAAACCTGTTCTAAAATGGTTTGTCTACATACAATGGAGGGACACACGGTCACTTCTGGTACCATAACCACTACAGTGTGATATATTGGTTATGGTTGGAGTGTACATAGAAACAAAAATACGCAAGCTATAACATAATATTAAAAAACACTTCTAATGGTTCTAAAATCTGTATAGGAAGATTGCAGGTAACAAATGTGTAAGTGATTATGGTAGAGAATGCTTGACTCTGTTCAGATTTCGGACTACTGGAGTCAACAGCTAGTAAAATGAACTCTATAAAGTGATAGCCAGACATTTTTTAATCTAAGCTGTTCATGTTTCTGTTGGTCAGGGCGAAGATAACAGCGATATCTTTAAGATCAGAGTAATTAAGGAAGCAAGGGTGTGCTCTAAGTCTAACTCTGGAAGACTGTGTGAGCAAGCACCAAAGGGCAACAGACATCCTGCAATTACAGGTCAAAAGGAACCTTGCTGGCTGAAATTCTTAATGTACTACATAAAACTTCATTGTTTTAGCAAAGTTTAGGTCAGTTCGTGGAAGCACCTACATGTAGTGTGTAATTCTCTCAAACTTGTTGTGATTTTAGAAATAAATTAGACTTCCAGTTAGAATACTGGAAAGGAGATTTCACCTACACCACTGGAATGTGTATTTTACAATGAAGACAATAAGTATATGGAAATTACTGTCTAGAGAGGTTATGCTGTCAAATGTACGAGTGGAACTTTAAACGTTATTTCATCATGTAAGCAATGCCTGGTGCATTATGGGAAGATGGCAGACTCAGTAAACAGATGTGCTGTAAAGGTAGGTGTGTCTTTTTTGTGAACTCCACTACACTCCACTACCATAAAATACTTCAATTGCTTTTTCTTAGGAAAACAGGAATTGTCATCAACTTGCATGTGACAATTCCTCTTTAAAAAATAGGCTGGGTAACTTTTTTTTTTTTTTTTTATTGCAGGATGTACAGGGCTATAGCAGATAAAATGGATATTACAGTATTAAAAATATTTTTTTACAAGTACCTTTTGTGATTATGGGGATTGTTTTTTTAAAATAATTTTTGCGTTCTCGTCTTGTTGTTCCACTCCGGTTCCAACAATTTAAAACTTGCAGGCATACCTCTCAAGTGTCCCTGTTTATGGAGGTTTGTCCCTATTTTTATCCTAGATCCCCCTGTCTCTCTTTTCTGTGAGCTCCATTTTATGTCTGATTGTGTTACAGATATCCACAGCAATAATTCTCACAGTAACGCGTATTTAACCTGATCCTGCAGTTAGTATGTGTCATTACGTCCTGAATAGCATGGGCTTTAACCCCTTAAGGACCAAACTTCTGGAATAAAAGGGAATCATGACATGTCACACATGTCATATGTCCTTAAGGGGTTAAAAACTGTTTGGATTTTTTACTAGCGGTTTAGTAAATAATAATCCTGGCAACATCACATTGTTTCAGATTTGCAAAAGAGAATGGGCTTCATATGTTGTTGGTAGTTTGAATACTTTATGAAATTTATACATTTTTAATCGTGAAAAAAAGTATATAATTGCAAAGAGATTTACATGAAAAATGAGAAGGCTAACAAAAAAAAAACCCAGGTGTCACTTTAAGGAGGAATGTGACAGTAGATTCTAAAGATTCATTCACTAGAACTGCATCATTTCCTGCTTGGGAATCAGATTTTTTTTTCATTGTCATTAAATTATGTACGAAATAACAACATAAGCCATCATTGGCAAAGTTACACTTTTAGACACCCTAAGGCGGTGAGGTTGAGGGTTAGAGAGGTACTCTTTGCAATTGCAACAGATTTTTTTTTTTACATTTTTTAAATGTTAAATCCTTTTTATTGAATATATTGAGTACAGTATACAGGTCACCTATGGACATATTCATGCAATTCTCCTACCACCTTTTACCTGTATCAGGGTTATTCAATAAAGTAAGAATTGGCAGGTATTCAAAGTGTATTAAAAACTTATGGGCGAAATTAGCCAGAGTGAACTTATTCTCTTAAATCAGCTATGTTTCCAGTTTGGATTATTGACTTTAAATTTGAAATTCTCTTTGAATTATTCCCGACAATTCTCCCTTTGGTAAATAACGCGCAGTCGGTGTAGCTATCCATCACTATTCTATGAAAAATAGCACTGTCCTATTTCCCCTGCCTTTTTAAACTTCAGATAAGGGCTGATTGTTCTTTCACCTCTCTCTCTGGAATATGCCTCGCAGCTATGTGTTATGGAACCTGTACTGTCCTTACGCAATTTATGTCAGAGTAAATGCCTTGAAAATTGATGCAGGTTTGTTGTAAAAAAAAAACTGATTCTTGATAGCTGGTCAGCCCAGTGGGAGATCAGTCCAGCATGGCTGTTAGTTTGATCCTAAATCAATCTGCATTCTGTGTAGAGGGGGGGAGGATAGGCTAATTCACTCGTTCGCCTTTTGTTCTCCCCCCCAGCTCCCCTCCCTGCACTCCACCCCACAAACAATCAGTTTTTTTTCTCAGTAAGTCTGGTTTTAAACTGAAATCTGTCTCATTTCCAGCTAAATCCAACAGGAGTGTGGAGAGAAAGTGAGAGGGTGCAGTGGAGAAGGGAGTCAGGGAGGGGTGGGGGGGTGGATGTTCCAGCTTTGTACCTGCCCTCCAGGTGTGCTCACACGTTAAGGAATGTCAGATACAGGCGAGCAAGGTCTGAGTCACGCACAGAACTCAATAAAACTCCCTCTTTTCCTTTACTCTGAACTTCTCAAGAAAGAGGAGAGAAAGACTTGTCTCTCCTGAAAGAAGCGGTGATCCTAATTTTGCTTTTGGAGACTGTTTTTTTTAGTGGGTGAATAGATGCCATCAAGGGTTAGGAAAGCTGCACAGATTTAACGTACCTTTACCTTTTTACTGAACGGGATTCAGAAAAGTACAACCTGGTTCTATGGTTCTGAAACGGAGAAAATTCACCTTCGGTAAGTCTAGAAGAATATTGTCCAAAGAGTTTGGTGTTTACAGCTTTTTGAGTCTTGCTAAAACTGAAGGGATTGTTTTAAGTTGGAAGGTGGAAGCGACAAAAGTGTTTTGTTTAAATGAGCAGATATAGTAGGTGCATGGAATAGCCTTCCAGCAGAGATGGTTACAGTTAACGCAGTAAAGGAATTGAAGAATGCTTGATCTGGTCTAGTGCATAGGGCAGGGATCGGCAACCTTCGGCACTCCAGATGTTGTGGACTACATCCCCCATAATGCTCTGACACCCATAATGCTGTCAAAGCATCATGGGAGGTGTTGTCCAAAACATCTGGAGTGCCAAAGGTTGCTTATGCCTGGCATAGGGCATTTGAAAAACAAATAGGTACAATACACATGAGATTTCTTACTGAGCAAATTGTTCTTATTTACCGTCAGATTCTGTATATCTTCATCTTCAAAACAATAAATATTTTTTTATAGCAATGTGACATTAAGTATGACTTGGGGATTCGGCACAAAGCAAGTTCTGTAAAAATCGCACTGAATTAGCCAAGCATAAGAATTGAAAGAAACATTTGTTCTTTTATTTATCTTGCATGACCACTTACTGTCGTTCTACGAAATCTCTGCACTTCAAGGGTCCATTACTAATGCTGTCGTTAAGTGTTAGCGACCAGACGCTAATTGCTAAAGTGGCTATCGCTGACCTTATCGTATAGTTTGTTTCCAAAATGCAAAATATTACCATTGGCGACTCTGAATTTCCAGCTGCCGTTGATGTTAACAACTGCCATAGAGCCTAACGGGAGCCGTTTGCAAGTACTCGCTGCCGGGCTAAAGTTTACCCTCAATATTTCAAAACTGCACTTGCCTGGTGAAAAGACACAAAATCCAGTTAATATTTACTGCAAAAGCTCCATACATCCTTTAGGAAAAAGGCATGCAAGGTATTGCTATGGACAAACAAATCGATTCAGTAGGCAAACTGTTTGTTCGTCCATAGATTGGTAGACATTCGTTCGACGCAGTCAAAATGGATTTGTGCTCAAGTCTACCAGGTATATAGAATTGCATTTGAATCCTGAAGAACGTATCAACACATATTAAACTATATTGTACACTGCAATTCAAATAAATGAAAAGACTAGATATGTGGATTAGAAATAAAGTCGTGGAAGGCAATATATTATAATAAATAATAATAAAAAGTATTACTAGGTTATGCATGCATTGCCAATATGTTACTGCTAAAACGCAGACAGTGTCCATAGATTATAAGCTCAGAGACTTCCTCAACCCTATCTTTTTTTTTGTGAAGCACTGCGCAATTTGCTGGTCAAAAATAAATACTAATATTACTACAATTAATATGAATGGAAGTTAATACACTTACCTCTTGTGTAACTTTACCCCACTCTCTCTAGAATGTAAGCTTGTTTGAGCAGGGCCCACTACACCCTCTGTTCCTGTGCGTCAAACTTGTCTTGTTGCAAAAGCTTGTCTGTTAGTACTCCTATTGTACAGTGCACACAGTTGTTGGAGCTTTATAAATAATAATAATAGTGGTAGGCCAAAAACCATGGGAAGGAAGATTGTAGGTAATTTGTATCCATTTATACCTACTGACTGTTGTTTATTAAAACAGTTTATGGTAGATATTTACCAGCAGCACTGGAAACAGGAAGCAAGTCAGCCTCAGTGTGTTTAAACTCGATCGTTATTCATGTGCTGCATTTTCCCATTGTACTGCGCTGTGGAATGTGTTGGCGCTTTGTTAATGAATACCCAGTGGTGAAAGCATCTATTTTAAAAAGGCAGCTAGAAGTGCATGGGGGATGGTTATAGAACAGTTTTTGACATTGAAGTAGACTCCTGAACTGTATAGGAAATTAATAAAGTATGAAATCGGTGTACAAAACAATTAATAGAGAGTAGACCGCAGGTTTTACAGCAGGTAATAGTGCAATGGGCAGGCTTTGCATTCCTTATCTGTCATCAGATTCTTAATGTCTGTATTTACTTAGGTATAATAAATCTGTGTTAACCCATGCATTGCCAGTATGGCTTGCAATGCTATTGCTTTTTGTTTTTGTGAACACTGCATTCCACTGCTGAATGTCATGGTTGAAAAAGCCAATTTTTTATCCTTGTCTGAAGAGCTTGCAGTCCATGTTTATCTTAGTGTGACCGTGCGCTCATACAATGGTGGGCGTCCAGTAAGTTGGTGAAGGTTGCTATTCATTGTAGGCAGAGCAGGATTAACCATAAGCTGATCTTAGGCAGCCGTCTAGGGCCCAGGGGTCAGACAGGGGCCCCCACAACCATATATTTGGTTCCATTCACCATCTGTGTGTGAAACATGAATTGGGGGGCCTCAAACCAATGCTCTACCAAGGGCCCCGTGGAATTTTAATCCGTCTCTGATTGCAGGTGAAATTTAGATTGTAAGCTCTACAGTAGAAAGATCTCAATTGTTTGCCTGTTGTTCTTCACTGTCATATCTGCATCCTAATGGTGTTTTTTAATTTGTTTTTTAACATTTCTTTATCGTTACTGTACATGGTTTACACTGCAGGTACCTTAGGGAAGAATACAATTTTGATATTGTGAATTGCAAAGTTGTCTTAATCGAAGTTCTAACTCTCTTTGTTCTTAATACACAGACATGTTAGGGGTCATACAATGTGATTGCTAGCTTTGACTTCTTCCTGTTCTGCAACTGCAATCTGTAAGGAAGTGATCATGTACCTACTAAGTGAGATCAGAAACTATACCTGCAGGGAGTGACTTTTGTTACTTATCGTTGTGGTGCAGACTACATAATATGTTTACTTTAATAGGAAGCTGGGCCTCTGAGTACTGCCGCTTTAATAGAGAGCTGGGCTTCTGAGTGCTGCCGCTTTAATAGAGAGCTGGGCCTGTGGGTGCTGCCGCTTTAATAGGGAGCTAGGCTAGGCCTCTGAGTGCTGCCACATTTGGTAACTGTTCTACAGAATGCTGTGTTTCTGTTATATTTTGAGATAGTTGCTGCTTTACCATGAACCTGGAGCATGCAATGCTCTTACACTGACAGGGCCTGAGGCACACAATGCAGCAGCTTCTAGTGGGTCCTTGGTCATAGTTTGGGTCCAGGAAGCAAGGGCATCCCATCTTGCTATTTTATCAGTAATTTGGGTTATTGGCTGCTTAACAAGATTTTCAGGCTTCACTGCTTTGCTACCAGTGATAGACAGTGCTGCTACTTGAGAAGTGACTGAAGGCCCCAAAAGTGCTGGTTCTGCAGGAAAAAAAAAAAGAGACCACTTAACATTGCATTATTGTTAGGGATGATGGGAGAGGCGAAGATACGATTTTAGTAGAGAGCAGATATCGCATAAAAGGCCGTTTTCGTATGGGATTTGTCATAGCTAGTTAGTAAACGGTCAATGATTTAGGTAATTTTACTATAACAGATTATTGCAGTAATACAGGTTGGTGGCGAGTTTTTATACAGGAAATTACGTCTGGAAACAATTGGCCCAGTAGGTACAAATTTGCAAGTGTTGCATCGGAATTGAGGTGAAGTCTCAAATCAGTCAATTTAATTATATGGAGGCAGAGATAGCCTGAGGCATCTTGATTTCCAAACAAATGCCGTGGGCAAAGAAATCTCAAAAACACAGAGTTCAGACCCAAGGAACTTAGAGTCACATAGCAAGGAATTCTGGACACATTATTAAATCAGGAGATCACATGTTAACCATAGTCATATGGCACTAACTGAGAAAATGGAAGGCCAGGTTTTATACTAGGTGTGTTATTTCACATAAATTAGCCGGATATCTCAACGGAGACGTTTGAAGTCTGCAGACAAAATAGTTTTTTTCTCAACTTCTGATAAGAGTTTTCTTTGATAGGTCTCCGCTAATTCTACCAAGTAGAAAGGTCACAAAATTGGCATTCTTTTAATCAAACCCGTTGGCGATGATTTAAACCTCAACAATAAAGTCTAGCAATGGGGGTTCCGGTCATGGCTAATCATCAGGAATTTTTTCCACTTGTTGAAAAGGGATTTTTTTAATTCTTCTCCCTGAATTTCATAGACATTCCCTGTTTCCAAGGATGAATCATCTTTTTTCAAATAGGCATTCCCATAAGCAATGCTGCCACTACAATGCTTGACTGCTGGGATGCTGTAGGTTGGTCAGAGAGAATTGTCAGCCTTTAAACCACATCTACATGTTTTTGATTAATGACTTCTGTCTCCACCATCCCCCAAGACCTTTCAAGATCACAATTTGTAGAGGAACTTCTTTAATTATAGTGAGGGAATTCAAGCTTCCATATTAGATACAAGATCTTTTTGATCTTCTTGCAAGTTCAGTGAAAGCTTTAAAATCACCAGAATCAGTTAATTGCTAGCTTGTATACATGAACGATATGGAATCTGGGTGGTAGAATCCCCTCTGCACGTGCAAAGACTTGGGAGTTTTTTGTTTTGTTTTTAACTCAGCTGCAAAGGCTAATGGACACTTTGTACATGTTCTTTCGGATTTTTACTGGTTTGTCACCCTCTACGTGACCTTATTTAAAAGCTCCTTCTAAGTTCTTGGCTGTATCTCTATGTGAGCCAGTCCTGGAGCTTTACTGTGAACATAAAGCAAGCTCTAATTACATAGTCTGAAAAACATGGAGAGAAACTTAACCCCTTAAGGACCAAACTTCTGGAATAAAAGGGAATCATGACATGTCATACATGTCATGTGTCCTTAAGGGGTTAAGGACACTCCAAGCATCAAAATAATTTCTTATAAATCAAGTGGTTTTGGTGCACAGATGATTTGTAGTTAAATGTTGGCATTTTCTTGAAATTAACATGGGATAAAGCAAGGGAGGTATCAGTCGAGGACCCTGCGATATACGGAGTGCCAAGAAGTTGTTCAGTAGCCACACACACTGGCCCAGATGTTGAGCCACCAGTTCTACACTGTCAGTGTGTAATAGTAAACCCTTCATGTGAGGGTTGGTAGGGTAAGTTTTTCTTACCTTTTAGAGAGCAAAGAACGGGGCGCAAGAGAATACTGAGAACGGGCAGCAGGTGAAATAGCCTGCCCTTCGGTGGGTCCCCGCTTAGATCTCAAGCTGGTTTTAGCTCATTTTGTGCCATTACAGAGAGAACATCTCTGAAACATCAGACTGGTCCCACCCATATGGGCAGTCCAGATCCGAAAAGTCCAGCAAGTGCCCTCTGCACGAGAGACACAGCAACCCCAGATGATCGTTTCAGCCTTGTTAGGCATCATCAGTGAGGCATAGCTGATATCTCTCTAGGCACCGTGAGTAAGGGGTCTACGTCTGGATTACCCTTTAAACTTATGGAGAGAAAAAAACGGGACTCTAGTGTCAATGTTTTCGGTTGCAGGGTTAAAATGACAGGAACATTGAAATTAAGTGGTCTGGGGGCCTCTAATGTTCTTTTCATGGTAAGCATGGAAATCTCAAAGTCAGTCAATTGAGTTGCCTGTAAGCAGGCATAGGCCCTAAATCACCAAAATTGAGTGTTTTTGGTATATCGATGCTCTCCCCTTGCTCTAGCAATATAAAACATTGCCACTTCTGAGAAAAATCTATATGAACATTTTGCATAAACATGGGCACTTATTCCTTAACAGCTTTGATTTTTGGTGTCGTCACACAGAGAAGCTTATGAGAAGAGATATGCATTGTATTGGACAAAAGTCATCAGAACTTAAGACGTCATCAGAGGCCCTAGCCAAATTACCTAGGGCTTTGTGGGATCTAGGCATCCCAGTATAGGGCTCCCCTTGACTCCTAATATAGCAACACTGAATAGCGCCAATCTTGACCAAGCAGCTGCATAACATTGGAGTTCCTGTCTAACCTTGACCCTAGAAAGCTGCCTTAGGCTGATTTATGGCTAATCCTGTAATGAAAACATGTGCTGAGTTTTGTGAAAACAATTAATTTTAAATTTTTTGTAGGTAAAGCACAGCAATGCGTGCGCTAACATGTAACTAGAATTTTACAAGTAGTGTCTATTGCAATTCATACAAATGTCACTTGAAATGTTGACAACGTTTTCTTCACTTTTCTTTGTTTAAAATATACACTATAGTCACCCAGACCACTTCAGCTCAGTTAAGTTGTCTGGGTGCAATGTCGCTGTCCCACTTAGACCTGCTGTGTTAAAGCATTGCAGTCAATCAGACAGCCACAGAGGCACTTCCTGGCTGCTAACAGACTCTAGGTCCCCTAAATGACGCTGGACATCCTCATGCTCTGCATGAGGACGTTATGCATCAATGAAATCCCCATAGGAATCGCATACGCTTGCATCGCTCACCGAACATGTGCCTTAGTCTCCCCCCTCCGTCGGATGACGTTGGATCTGCGGCCCCCATGCCGAGGGACATTGGCTCCGGAATCGGGTAAGTGACTAAAGATTTTTTTAAACCTTTTAGCTGCGGAGGGGAGTGCCGAGGGAGGAGACCAGAGGGCACTATAGTGTTAGGAAAACAGATTTGTATCCCTAACACTATCGAATCCCTTGAAAGGAACACTATAGCGTTAGGAATACAAACATGTATTCCTAGTGCTATAGTGTTCTGCTCACTAGTTGGATTCTTGGGCGCTCCCTGCAATGTTTAAAAAAATAATTACTTACCTTATATTCTGCGTCACAATGGTGTCGCAGCGGTTGCCCTGCTTCCTTGACTGAGATCATTAATTCTGCTGATCTCAGCCAATCCAATGTTTCCCCACAAGGAAGCATTGGGAGGCTAGTGTGTACGTGCACCAAATCGCTACACTGCACCAATCAAATGCTCTGTATGAAACGCTTCAATTGGTTATCAGGAAGACATTTACTAGAGGTGTGTTTAACCCTGAGATGCAAACATTGCTACTTCTACAAAATGGCAGTTTTCTACATTGCAGGGTTAAAAGACATGGACACTGCACTCAGACCACATCATTTAATGTTCCTTTAACTTCCAGAAGTGAGTTTTACATTTCACTTTTTATTATCATTATTATTATTATTTATAAAGCGCCAACAGCAGTGCTGTACAATCGGTGGACTAACAGACAAATATTTGCAACCAGACGAGTTCGACACACAGGAACAAAACTATTTCACATTATCGTCATTCCTATCCCTCAGAAATAATACCAGCCTCAACTGGATTGAACCAATTATACAAATTAATCTACAATCTTGTGATTTCTTTAACTTTAGTCTTATGTTTCACTTTTTTTTTTTAAATTTAAGATCAAAATTAATTTCAGGATTTGCTCTAATTCCAAAAATTGAATAAACACTCTATTCTATTTTGAAAAATACAGTACAACTACACAAAGTGGCATGAGTTAAATTATTTTTTTCATATTATTCCCAGCACTCTGAAATACAGCGTCATGTAAGCCACATTCCTATGTTACCCCAGTGCCATTGCTATTTAAATCAAATCAGACTTATTTTTGTAGCAGTTTTATTATGCCGCTGGAAGGGACACTCCATCGAAACATTTGTTGAACAACTTAGTGTTTAGATCCCCAAAGAAAGCATGCATGTAATTGTTTTTGCATGTTTTCTTTGGGGGTGTATGAAAACATTGCTTGCAATAGCTGCAGATCTAGCATCTGCAGCGATTGCTTCTTCCCCTTGCGCAGCCTTTCTCGTGTCAGTGTCTGTTCAATCATAGACTTATATATGTTTTACAGGTCAATGAAAAGCCTTTGCAAGGCAGGTGCTAAGGGCAAGCGAGCTTAGCTCCAGGAAAAAAACACTTCCTGCTTGTCTGACAGTGACACTGGAATATAAACGTGCCAATTTCTATTTCTGTTGGCACTTTTATAAAATTACATGGATTTTATATAGTGCTGCCGTATTCTGCGGCGCTGTACAATAGGCAAAAAGACAAACTCTTAATTTTACCAATCATGGTTGACATACTGGAACAGTATGAGCTTACAATCTAAAATGACAAAACGCAACAAACTCTTCACACATAAAGCACTTAGCAAGCTGAAGTGCTCTTTTAGGACAGGGCTGTCCTGAAAGGTAGATCCCCAGATGTTTTAAAAATATAGTTTTGCCATTCTAAAGGAATGCAAAGCATCATGGGAGTTATAGTTCTACAACATCTGGGGATCTACCAAACTGGACCTGAAGTGCTACCAATAACATGATACAAAAATATGGACCCCCCTGTTTTACATTACTGTTTTGCCAGTGAAAAGGGAAATACTATATGCACCATAATCACTTCATTAAGATGAGGTAGTTTAGATTTTTACAGTGTCCCTTTAATTGACATATTATTTTACAAACCTCTTTTTGTGCGTGAGAATTTTATCTACTCTAGAATAGTGTTCTAGTTATCCACTGCCATTCCTGGATTTTAGAGATTATTTCTCAGTTTTACATCATCCACTACCCATTAAAAAAGGACCGTAATTTGGGGGGAAAGGCAACTTTTTTGTTTGTTTCACTTTCCACTTCAAAATCATGCTATATTTGATGTCCCGCTTATCAATACTCGACCATGGTGTCTGCGCCAAAGTCTCTCTCTTTTTTCCGCAGACTGTTCAGTGATATAGCCGCCCAACCAAACATCAGTCGAAACTTAATGAAGGGGTGAATATAGGAATGTTTTGTCTGGTTATAGCATACAAATTTATAACCAGACCCCCAGTAGTAGGTCGTAAACTAAAACAATACAGATCCCACCCTGTCGCCTCTGTCTGGGAGAGGACTAGATCAAGAACCGCTAATCTAATTAACTCCCAGACATCAGCTTTTCTGTTGAATTAGGAGGGTCTCATAACAAGTCTATTGTGATAAAATAGCATGGCTTATTTAAAAACAGTTGTCCATTAGTTCCTTCTGATTTAAAAAGAATTTTGGAGAGAGAGAGAGAAAAAATAAGGATGGATAGGAAATCTGAACACTTGTTAAAAAAGCAAAACGAAAAAACAAACAAACAGTTTTTCTCATACTACTCCTTGTATACTTTAGGTCCTGAGGGACTATTTTACACCCTAGCTTACTGGGTGATTGATTCCATCCTTCAGTTGAGCTAAGTTAAACAAGATCCTGAACCTTTGAAAGTAGAGATCAGGCCTGACCTTCCTAAAATGTTGACGGTGCCTCCTCGCAGTTAATTGTTTATAGTAGATTTGTAAGGAACCACACTGACACTGTGAGCTTTGTACATACCTTGCGCACAACCAGTGGTAAAAATTAAACACTACAATGTATGAAACTATTATAAACCTGGGAAATATCTGATTAATTATCAGATATTATTAAGTGCATTCTCACTCAGCTAGGCCATCGGTGTAGACATTGCGAACAATGATAGTGAATGAAATCAGTAGGATAAAAGTACAAAATTGCACTTGCAGATAAATACCAAAATCACTGGTATAACCACTGTTATAGTGGAGAATCAGAGAAATAAAAGATATTAGGTCGCGCCAAAAGTTATTGGAGAATATATAACAATTCGTGTGTAAAAAATAAATAAATGAATATAAAAAGGTAAAAAAGAGCAACATAAAAAGTACTCACATATACAATGGTATATAATAACAAAAATAAGTCCTTAGATGAGTATAGGGTGGTATAGTCCACTTGATGAGTTGTAAAAGGAGATAATAATCCAAACGAGGAAGTAGTCAGGAGTTTCTTGTTCCAAGTAACGGTATATAAAATAGAACAAAAGGAAATTCCAATAGTGTAATCTGTCACTTAAAATTCCTTGCGTGAATTCAAGATAATAGAGTATCCCACTCACCTATTTGAGAGCTAAGATAAGCTCAAATAAACTTCGCATCCAGTGGTATAGATCCCCCACTGATGGGATATAGGCTTGTGCACGTAGAGAAAAACCTCGGAGAAAGTGGAGAATAACACACAATAGTGCTCACTGTATAATAAATGTGACGTAAATATAAAAGTATATAGGCTACTCACATTTAGGTGAGCAGGAGAATACTGCTCACTAATATAGCGTTGGTGGTATAGTCCCCACCTAGGATTCTTGAGTACAAATTAAAAAGAGCATAAAATAAAATAAAATAAAAACCAGGTCCAAGAGTAAAATAAATGAGAATAGAAAGTAAAAATTATAGGAGTATGGCAAAAAGAATATATTAGCCAATAATCCTTTATTAGTGCAATATAAGATAATACAATAGATAAAATAGCCAAAACGCGTTTCGCCACACAGGGCTTTATCAACTGGCAATTGTAGAAACAGAGACCTGGTATAAAATGGTTTATATAAACTATTAGCCCATTAACAATTTTGAAATTGGCGCCAAAATTACGTCATAATTTATGCACGAAATAGTTCATAACATATATGTGATTAAAAATAAGTATAACATTAAATCCAATTTTAGAGACATATTATTGGGTTAAAAGACATGTTAATATAATTTTATTATAATATAAAAACATTTAGAATTAAAAAGAGATAAAACCGGGTCATTTCCGGTTTTAGGCGATCATATGACCGGAAAAGTAGTGGAAAAGTAGTTTGTCTCTAACATGGATACTAGTGCATTATTTATTGTAGGCACTATAACAGCTTCACTTTATTGAAGTGGTTATAGTGTCTGGCGTGTCCTGGCGCTGTCTTTCCATTCAGAGTCAAATCATTTTGAATGTTTTAATGCTAAATGAGATTCCCTACCCGCCTATCCCCTCTGTGCTACTTGGGCTAAGACGGAATCATTAGCTTGATCAGCAATGGGCGGCTGTGATTGGCTGAGAGTGTCAGCTGACCACATTCAACCTTTCACTGTGCTATTACTGGTATGAATCGGTATGGCTACAAGGAAGTGTGTCATTTCTGACATAACCACACCTCCACAGGTGCCGGGCTATGGGAGCCAGAGACCCTCATTCAGTGTTGAACTGCAGCTGCTCCAAAATATTGGTCAAAAATACTGAATGGAAGGACAGTGCTAGGGGACTCCAGGCACACTAACCAATTCAATGAGATTAAAAGGCTAAAGAGCCTATTGTGTCCCTTTAACTGAATGGTTAAAAACAGAGACATATATTTGGAATCTGAAAACACAAGTCCTTCGATTGGGATTCCATGACAGTTCTGCCTGTGACTATCTTCCCCTAAGGTGACACCAAAATGGAAGCAATTTGATGACCAGTCAGAACTCTTTTTCCACACACTGCATTAAGTTGCACTCTAGAATCTCGTAGTTTAGTTTAGTGATACATAAATGAATGTTTTTCTTGAAGCGTACCTCTTGAAGGATACATTGTATAGCTATAGCTCCTCTCTGAGCTCCTCTCAAACAGTTATTATGCAGTGTGCTATATAATAGTTTCTTTTCAGGAATGAAAAATGTGTTTTGTTCAAAGGAAGGAGGAACCTTATGCACTTCATAATAACCAAAAAATTAACAGTCTCTAGATTTTTATATATTTTTTTGGCTTACCAGCCATATTGATTCTCTACTTGGGAGGTTCGTAGGCATCCACTGCTACTGTCTCTTTGTCTTTGTGTCCTTGGTTTTGTAGGCAGGACTACACGTACATTTTATTTCAGGTGAAATGGCAGATTTACCAAAGCTTAGTTTTGTATGAGAAATCTTAATTTATTAGGTACCTTTCAACTCGGCTTATAGACAGAAAGGAGAGTTGTAGGTTTCTCATAAACCTGTGGAGAGAGGCTTATGGGAAAAGGACTTTTCCCCATATAGTTTCACTTATTATCCTCTAAGTGGATGTGGGCCCTTCCAACACCAGTAAAAACTATGCTTCATAAACAGGTGTCCCAGTCCCAAAAAGAGACAAACTGGGAACATTTTCAATGTCAGCTGTCATTCACTAAACTCCAAATGAAAGGAGATTTTATTCCAGATAGCAAAATTTGAGCTAAATCAGTCACTCTGTAACTGTAGATCAGCAGGAGAATATTTCCAGTTCAGCAATTTTTTTTCTAAATCCATAGTTGCCAAGTGTCCCAAATTTGCTGGGACAGTCCCATATCCTGGGCGCCTGTCCGAGGTAAAATGATACCAGGGGCAGAACTACCAGCAGCCCCAGAGCCCACAGGAAGGAGGCTGTAAATATGTTTCCTTTATTTGTTTCTCTCTGTGTATCTGTGAGTGTCAGTGTATGTATCTGCATATGTGTGTGTCAGTGTGCATGTGTGTGGGTTTTGTGTCTGTCATTGTGTATGTGTCTGTATACGTCTGTGTGCGTACTTGCCACAAAGTGTCCCTGGAATTTGTTTTTCAAATGTTGGCAACTATGAAATTTACTGTCAGTGAGAAACAAACATTGGCACAAATAACTTGTAAAAAGTGCAAGATGAAAAATAAATTACACACTTGATAAACACAGCTCAGAATGAAAATATTCTAAACGTGATGTTGGAATATCGTTGATGCATTAGCAACAAAAAACCGTCTGGGAGACTCGAGTTACATCAAATTAACAAACTACATAAGAGTCGGTACCAAACTCTGTAATTTGCCCATTCATCACGACACGTGTTCTCCTTAAGAACGATTTTATGTATGTTCCAGAACTGAACCAGTTAACAGATGAACCACACCCTGCAGCCTGAGTACTTTTATGAAAGGTTTATGGGTGTGGCTCCCTCTGTAACTTTTATAGTGTTGGACTGAATACAGTACCTATAGGGCACACTGTCTGCGAGCCTGTTATCATCGTTGGCAGACAATTTTTTATAGTATTTTTCAATATGCAGAGATTGTTTTACTGATAGTGTTTTGTGCTGAAATAGAATTGTTGTGAAGCACATTGCAGCTTCGAGCTTTCAGGCATACGTTTTTCACATTGTCTAGCACATATCTCCCAATAGTCCTGAATTCAGTGAGGCAGTCCTGATTTTGGGGTAGTGCCCCACCACCCAGGGTTTGATGCCTGATGTGAACTTCAGGATCCCTGTCTCACGATCACGGTTGTTTTCGTTTACCATCTAGATTTTGGAAACATTCAAAAAAAGTCTAAAAAAAACATAACTTAAAGGGACACTCCAGACCCCTAGAGCACTTTATCTTTATGTGTGAAGAGTGTGTCTTCTTTTTTCATTTTTCAAAAAGTGCTCATTTTACTAGAAACTGACACTTTTATAAATTAAAAAAAGAAGAAGAAACTTCTAAGGCTCTGTGTATATACCTATGGAACCACCCCAAGAAAAAACAGGGTAGTAGCTGGTACTACACAGAGACTTTAGTACCGATAAGAGACTCCAGGTGTCTCAATAGGGGCCTAACCCCGAATTAAACAGAGAACAAAAAACCATGCAAAGATGTAACCAGTCTCAGTGTAAGGACATTCCTGGGACTAGTTACATCACCTGGAAATAAATATAGCGATGCAGTGTAATAAGAGCCTAGCTACCGCATCTATAGTAAATACTGTAAGAGACAAGCTATCCAAATGGTCAAACAAAAGTATATACAGGTGGTACTAGTAATTCTATGCCAACCACAGAGGGAAAATGTGGGAGTATAAATATAACATACATAATAGTTCCCCAACCCTGAATACAAGCTTTATTATAGTATGCTAATTGGGAATGAGAAACGCCAAATACCTATACCCCAGTCATAGAATCCTTCTGGGAAATGTCTAATATAATAATCTTGTAAAGACCCAAAGTAGGACTACCTTTAGTCCAAATATCCAAGAGATAGTTAATTATAAAAGCCTTATCAATGAATTAATGTTCATAGAAGGGCTTAATTGTAGATCAGTAATTCTTTGGAAAACAAAAAAATAGTTGTAAGATTAAAGGTCCAATGTCATATAGGGAGAGGTATGAAGTGATAGATAGTAGAAAGATCAGTCTATAGCAGACTGATAAAGTTCGATTATAAAGCCTCTCTCCCTGTTAACCTAACTAGACAGGCATGGAAAGAAAGAGAAAAATAAATAAAAAGAGTAAAAAATTAATTAAGTGACAAACATGGTGCTACAACCACCAGTGCCCAGTGCTCATATGAAAGATATGAGAAAAAATGCCCAACGCACGTTTCGGTGCCTAAAGAGATGCACCTTCGTCAGGGCCTGGATCTTTCTACTATCTACACTATCTACCTAGGTCCTGCCTCAATTTTTGGTGTTGCTAATCCCGAAGTTCCTACTTCCATGTTAGTAAGATCTATTCTACCCATGCTTGGACTGAATTCATTGGCTGACATCGTCAGCTGACACTTAGCCAATAAAGTTGGTCAAAATAGGGCGGAATAAATATATACAACTAATGTCAAAAGGGAACGTCTGCTTTAGATATTTCAAAAATGGAGGGTCACATGGTAAACGTCAAACGGATCAAATACATTTTGACTACTTACTGAGGGTTGTTGCCAGAGGGCTCCTAGTACCATAACCACTATAGCAGGCTGTAGTAGTTATGGTGCAATAACCATACAAAATAAATAAATACAAATTACATTAGAAACAATTGTCATAATAAAAATGTAAAAGGGCTTGTATTTTGCTTTCAGACTGTGGAAAAACAGGACCCGGTGCCAATAATAATATAACTTTCACGTGACGGATATGGTATTTTTCCAGTGAGGTGGAGACCCTATCAGATAGCTAGAGGGAGACTTTTTATTGCAGTCAGTCATATTTTTCCTCACATTCCTGTCAGTCAGTAAAATAACAGCATATGAGGATCAAAGCTTTGCAAACCAACATCTTTTACCTGAACGTTTCCACTGTTGTCAACATAATTTAAAAAAGGAATTGAATGCATTTCCTTGCGTAAGTTATGGTAAGGTTGCCAGCATCTGTGATGATGTGCAGGAATTGAAAAGTGCTACCTTGTAAAATGCACATTCTGCAGGTGAAATTAAAAACAATTTTTTTTTATAAAGGCAGGGGCTTATAGATTGTGCATACCACAGGATAGTACATTTTGTTTTACTGACTTTAACAGTGAAAAGTGATATGTGGTAAATATAACAGCCGGTTTCCATCCGGGGAAACCAAGGAAGAGAGACATCAAACAATATATGTATATGAAAGTTATACCAAATTTATTGTTCCATCAAGTACTGATTACAAACTAGAGAGGCACAGAACAAAGCGCTATGGCCTTAAAGAGATGCTATTGTGCTAGGAATACAAAAGGCGTATTCCTAGCACTATAGTTACCTCTTGTCTCACCCCCACCCCCTTTATTTACTTACCTGATTCCATTGCCAATGTCCCTCGGCACTGGATCGGTGCTCAGACGTCACCTAAAGTGCTCTGGATGTCCTAATGCAGAGCGTGAGGACGTCCAGCGTCAGACGAGCAAAAGTCGCCTAAAGCACCTCTAGTGGAGGCAGTCTTAGTTCTGCAATGTAAACATTGTAGTTTCTCTGTACTGCAATGTCTGCACCCAGACCACTTCAATTAGCTGTTTTTGCCAGAAGACACTCATTTGAAAACTTGGGACAAAATAGCCAAGTTAGAAAATTCAAAGTCAATTCTGTTCTCAGTTTGGCTATTTTTGCCCTAAATTTGAAACTCACATTGAGTTCACTTTATTTCAGATGGAGAAGCCATGTTGGGTGAGATTGTACTGGTACCTAACCAACTGCTGCTTACTCTAACTCGGCTTCTGTTTTGATTGCTTGTTTGCACAGACAACAGTAGACTCTGACCCAACACGGCGGCTCAGCCGGATAAAAAGTGAAATATTTGTCAAAAATATTTTTAAAAATGTGCATCATTAAAAAAAAAAAAATCAATAAAAAAAAACACATTGGTTTCATTAAATTGCGTAAACTTTTTTTTTTAAAGTGATAATTTAATGACAGTTGTCCTTTAATGAAGTTAATTAAAATAATCAGATTTTCATGAATGAAACTATTCATAGTCTAGTCTGCCATGTTAAAAAAAAAAAAAGAGGATGTAAAAAAGCTTTGATTCACTTGTCCAGTGATGTGGTGGTGTGGTGGGGAGACTATAACAGGAACAGAGAAGACCTGTCATACTACAACGTCCGATTTAGGAAAACTGTGAATAAAACTTACTCTAAAAAATAAGCATGTCACAAAGACACTTTAGTTTCACTGGCCCAAGTAATTAATCTCCCACTGTACAGGGATAGCAAAAATGCAGGATAGCAGGTATATCTAACTGCATTAGTGGACTAGCCTCCAACAAGGCAACATTGAACTTATGGTGACAAAACCAAAACAATGTATAATGCAGGGTAACAGGTATGAAACTTCAAAATAAAATGTCACCTCTCAAAAGGTTGGGGAACGATTTAGGAGAACAGTGAATAAAACTTACTCTAAAAAATAAGCACACTCTAACTTAAATTGCCCTGGTATGCAGATCTATGCAAATATATGCAAATTCCCTATCTTAAACATTCAAGGAACACTATAATGTCATAAATACAAACTTGTATATTCCTGACACTATAGCGCTAAGATTGCCGTTTAGGTGTCTGGCCTCCCTGTAAGAAGCTTGAAAGGGGAGTTAGATTTTTCTCACTTTTTTTGCTCACCCTGGTTGTTTTCCAACAAGAGGTCATTGGGCTTACGTAGCTTTTTTCCCCCCCACATTTTATTTTACAAACACTCTGTTATTACCTAACACTACTCTACATTTGGGCCTATTTGAATCTTGTGGCTACTGAATATCTTCATATAGCACATCTACCATTCTTATTATCCAGTACATGACAGGTGTAATGTTGCCATCTGGGCAGGAGGAGATAGATAAAACCCAGAACCACCCCATTTATTGTACCACTCGACTTATGTTGTACCTATGTTTTATTCTGCCTAATTAAATATATATTTGAAACAAAAGAAGGCTGAGAGCCGAACTACATATCCCAGAAACCCCTGCTTTACAGAGATTTATGGGATATATGTAACATTATGGGGGGAAAGATATTGGCTGAGAAATCTTACAGAGTTATTTAATATTCATATAATATATATAGATTTCACTGCTCGTGAAGGTTACATTTAGAGGTTTGGTTTGGATGTGTACAGTGAATATGAAGTTTACAAACCAAAAAATTGCATATTCTCTCTGGTTTAAGAACCTTCACTTTTTTAACACAAATAATTTCAGACATTGACACCTGGTCCTGAGACAGCATTATTTCGTAACATGACTGAATACCCTGCAGCCATTTTATTGCATGTCGAGGCACTACATTAAATGTCTGATTAGCAGATCAGCTAAAGCAAACATTCTGTAATACATAATTGCAATGGAATGTTTAACATACATTTGACTAAATATATACACAAAAACACGCTGAAGCATGCTGAAGTGGTTATGGTGCCAGGAGTGTCTTGGCATACCCCATTGTAAGGACTCTAACCATTTTAGAGCAGTTTAACTTTTTATGAGGGTGGGCTTGGGATGGCGCCACACCCTTTATCCACTACAGCTCAGTGAGTTAACCTCAATGAGTGCATATATCGCTTTTTGACTAAGAGCGATCAGCTGATACTCTCAGCCAATAAGCTAGGCCTACACTGCAGGGCTTAGCTCAGGAGAGCTATTGGAAGCTCCTGAGCTGGACATTTTAGCTCACTGTGAGCTATAATGTAAGCAGGGATTTGTGAAGGTGTTCTTTTAAAGGGACACTATAGTCACCTGAACAACTTTAGCTTAATGAAGCAGTTTTGGTGTATAGAACATGCCCCTGCAGCCTCACTGCTCAATCCTCTGCCATTTAGGAGTTAAATCCCTTTGTTTATGAACCCTAGTCACACCTCCCTGCATGTGACTTGCACAGCCTTCCATAAACACTTCCTGTAAAGAGAGCCCTATTTAGGCTTTCTTTATTGCAAGTTCTGTTTAATTAAGATTTTCTTATCCCCTGCTATGTTAATAGCTTGCTAGACCCTGCAAGAGCCTCCTGTATGTGATTAAAGTTCAATTTAGAGATTGAGATACAATTATTTAAGGTAAATTACATCTGTTTGAAAGTGAAACCAGTTTTATTTTCATGCAGGCTCTGTCAATCATAGCCAGGTGAGGTGTGGCTAGGGCTGCATAAACAGAAACAAAGTGATTTAACTCCTAAATGACAGTGAATTGAGCAGTGAAATTGCAGGGGAATGATCTATACACTAAAACTGCTTTATTTAGCTAAAGTAATTTAGGTGACTATAGTGTTCCTTTAAACTCAGACTCTTTACAACGGGGGAGCCAGGGCACATATGGATTATTTGTTTTGTAGCTTTTTGTCATAAATGTCACTCATTATACATTTATACAATAAAAACATACCATAATAACCTTTAGCACAAAATATTTAATTGGGAAATTGTTGTTTTTTACAAGTCAATATTATTTATTAATAAATGGAATGTAAATTGAAATATAATTATTTCTTTTAAGTTCATACAATACATTTTACTTAAAATTTAAAAAAAAAAATATATTTTTTTCAATTCTATTTTCTTTTGCTCATTATAACCAAATATAGATGATGGCTTAAATTCTACACCACCACTAGCCAAGTCCTAAATGTTACTCACCACTGCAAAGCTGGAGGGTGTATGGCACTCTCACCAGTCACCAGGGATAACCCTCTACTAGCCAATGGCTAGTGGCAAGCAGAAATTTTAAACCATGGAATACAGACGCAATAAATTATGATACATTTCATGTTTAGCCTGTGACATAAATAGGTAACAAATATGTTTGGTGCAGCTTACAACTCCAATTTAACAGCAGGCGTCTAAAAACAAGAGATTAAGAAACAAATGAACAATTCTGAGCATGCGTGGGATAGGCATAAGGCTATCCTAGCTATAAGATAAGGCCAGGGACTAATGAAAGTATTTAGAAAATTGGGCAGACTAGATGGGCCGAATGGTTCTTATCTGCCGTCACATTCTATGTTTCTATGTTTCTAATTTTAAGGTGACTTAATTATTAATATTATTTTAACCTGCGTGTCTCCTATTTTGCTATCCCATCGCACTGTTGTACATTTTCGATGACACAAATAAAAGCCGTTTGAACCCTGAAAAAAAAAATAGTTATTAATATTATTTTATTACTTGTATAGCGCCATCAGATTCCGTAGCGCTGTCCATAATAACAATTTATGCAAATAATCTAATTTAGAACAAGAAGAATTTATCTTATTTACACATTTAGACGTCACTCTGAGTATTATTGCTGTGGAGCTCTGTTATACTCTCAGACGCACCAACAATATGGAGCTTGTAGAAAAGATCGACATTAGGATAGAAAAGAGAGACAAAGGTTTTTGGGTCCAAAATAGGGACTGTCCCTCCTAAATAGGGCCACTTGGGATGTATGCCTTCACCTGACAATATCAATACCTGATAGGTGACAATATGGTATTCCTGTAAACTCTGAGGCTTGTCCGTCTCTGTAGTGTTGGAATCCATATATACCAAGCCTGTACCTGGGATGTAATACATTGTCGTTCTCATACACTCTGGTGCCACACTCTCTTGCCAGAATACTGCATTCCATTTTCACCAGGCTTACTATTTATCTGTAAATTAATACAAGTTTTTTTTCTGTTTGACAGGCAGGGATATGCCATTCCTGAATATGCTGGGAGTTCTCCTGCTGCTCCTTATCCCCCCACTATCTGAAAGTCTTAAAGGTAAGTGGCTTATCGGTGCTGTTTTTTTTTCCCAGCAAAAGAAATGTAATTGGATCACAGATAACAGATTTATAACACGAAATGCAAAAATTGGGGGGGAAAAAGGTATGTTATGTTTTCATTTAACGTATTTTTTCCTGAAATATAAAATTTCTCTATATGTGCAGTGTTTCAAAGCAGAACGCTACTCATAAAGACTCCAGGCACCATAACCACTTCAAATCACTGACGTGGTTATGGTGCATGGAGGAAACCTTTAACATTTTAGACCTAAATAGCCAAGGTGGAATTATAGCCACGCTGGAGTTGGATATGCGCTATATGCTATGATAAATTGCTATTTTGGCCAGATTTAAAATTCCAGATCTACCCAATTCACTATTTACAGGGTTATTCAGAATGGCAGCAATTTAAAGGGAAATTCAAATATAAGGCCAAAATAGCCAAACTTAAAATTGACTTGGAGAATTTATCTAAATTTTAAAATTCACGTTGAATTCCCTGCAGTTCTCACTTTGGTAAATAACCTTGTGTTTGTTTAACCATGCTTGTATGTAGAGCCTAATCCCACGTTGATAGGAAAATGAGTTTCTATGTGTAAATGTTGAAAGTCACTACAACGTGATTTATGTGAACACGTCTATTTGCTTAACTGAAGAATTCTTTGCAGAAGACAAACTATGAAATAGAACCAAGGAATTATAAGGCTGTGAGTGAATCCAGTTACTATAAACTAGACTGAACACCGACATCCACTAAGGAATTTAAAGATGTGTATTATTAAATTACATAGTAGGCAAATGTAGGATCAGATATTCTGCATAAATCCTTTAAAAGGCTTTTGCATAAAAAGATATTGGAGCAAAATTTAGTAATTTCTTTTGTGATTTTATTACTTCACCATAGATTGAAATTTTACTTTAGTAAAATAGATGGTTTTGGCTGAAAATAATTTCCTTTGCAAAACAATATTTAAAGCTTTTACTGTCTGGGAACTTAAAGGAACAATCTAAACACTATAATTACTACAGTGAGCTCTTATGGTGACAGGCAGTGCCATTGCTCTCAACCCCGGAAATAGGTAGTCAAAAATGTTTAGAGTGGTTTGGCTTCTTACATGGGGTCCACCGAAAGTCGCTCCCTGCCTCTTAGAGAGTCAGAAGGGCTCTGCTGTAGCTAAGGCAGAGAGGTGCACTGTATTGATTATTGTATTTTAAGTGTTCCCTTAAAGTGGCACTGTCACCGTCTGGGGACTTTTCTGAATTTGCAAAGACCCTGAACTCGTGAAATCTCTGCTGGGGATCCAGTGGCTAGGGGGGCAGGTGACTGTGAGATTACTTACCTGAACCTATCCCTCGCGGGCGCCGCCATCTTGTTCAGTCTGCTCCTCTCCAGCACTAGGAGCCGACGTCTCATGTGCGCATGTCTGAGAGCACAGCATTAAGGGTCTGTTGAAGATCTCGCAGTCCATGGACACAGCCAATTCCCTGTAGCTGTCACTGGTGACAGCTGTCGGGATTAACACTTAGACTTCGCCCTCACTTAAAAAAGAAAGTCTGGCAGAGGAGAAATACAGAGACAAAGTAGTCCCTACGTTCTCAGTATACCTCTTGCCTGGGTTGAAATGTCAGTGAAATTCCAATACTGTCAAAATGAGTATTTCATAAAGATACTATCAGTGCCGCTTTAACATTTACATGGGATGTGTGCTCTGTATTAGACCTGCAGTATTCCACAACATGGTCCTGTTTTATAGGTCTCAGGTAATAAGAAATGAACCATATTTGTGGTAAAACATCACTCTCGCTAGTCTATTTCCAGCCTTGTAAGGTCATTGCAGATACACATTACAGACTGTGTATTGTCCTTTTTTTGCAATCTCATTATCACAGACACAATGAGTCACTGTTTATCCGTCTGTAGATAGATGTTGATAATTGTAACAGTAGAGGAAGTGACTTATCAGTATTCTGAAATAAAATATCTTCAATTGAAAGAAAAATAAAAATCAACACATGATCACTATACTTAGGAATTTCGTGGACTAACCTGAGATAATATGGTGGATATTTGGGGTAAGTGCACCATTGTCTGGTGCTCTTTAAAACAAGTAATTCCTTTCGATTACTTCCACCCACATGTAGATGAGCATAGCCAGGCACTTATTAATGATGAAACTGACCATTTATGAACCAATTACAATCCATGAAAATTCATTATCTGGTCCTCAAAGACAGTATGGAATCTCTCACCGATTTACCATCAACAGCATCAAAGAACCTTGCTCTTGCGAAATGAGTAGGACGTCCCATGTTTTTAACTAGCAGGCTACTGTGTTGATTAAGAATATAATTAGTTAATTGGGCAGCACAAGCATCATAACCACTACAGGTCATGCTGTGGGCGCAATTTTATCATTTACAATTTAATTTTCTTGACAAACTGACAAAGAAAGAAAGTTTACCTGGTACCAGCCCCCTTTTCAGCCATCTTATTCTATTTTTTCTGTGTCATGAAATTCTAATTGTTTAACATTTCCAATACAATCTTAAATTCGCTACAATTTGGTCTTCAGTTAATAGAGCCCAAACAGGAGATTGAGGCAAGTTTTAATAGGGATAAAGTCTTTATATCACATGGTTCACTCATGCCATACAGGAATGCAATGTATTACTTTGCAAAGCAAACTATACAATAAAACACGAATTAGGGAAAGGAATACAGGGCTACAGAATTGGGCCTACTGGCCTTTAGCTTGCCACACGGCCGGTGCAAGTTTTCAAATTAAATAAGTGGGTTTTGTCTGTTTCTCTAACCGAGTAGGAATTAAATGCAGTCAAGCATTTAACTATATATAATTTGCAACCGGGAGGGGGGATAAGGGGTATAATTTGTTGAAAGTTGGCAAAAGGCTTCAAAGCATTTAACCCATTTGTCTGGTTGCCATGGACACCTCTCTCGCACTGTAGAGATATGCATGGCATGTTCCATTTAAAGAAGACGTGCAAAGCCCCCAAAAAATTGCATTAATCAATAGAGCCTAAAATCTGTCCTTATGTTTTGTGGGTTTTTTTGTTTTTTTAACATGTTCATAATATATTTTAGGGATAGAAATGGTCCAATGTGCAGTTTTTAAAGCCCGATATCGCAGATATTTATGGGTGTTTTTTTTTTTTGTATGTCTGAATATATTCACTATTGAAGTGTTTACTGAGACGCAATTTATAACGGAGATAAATAAAACATTTTGTCTCTGCACGCTAGAGATAGTGAGGGTTTCCTTCTCATGACTTCTCATGCTGGCATCATGTATGGGGGTTCAGAGTTACGGAATTCGGACAACCTTTCAACAGGCCCCCCCAACCGTCTTGTTTCCAGTGGGTCAGCCCCAACTGAGCAGCAGACACTAGGACCATGCAGGGAGCACTTCAGCAGCTTGTTGGTGGATGTATGCCCCCCTATTATGCGTGTGGCTAGTGGCACAGTTTGCGTCACTGGTGACGTCCTCTCAGGGCCCAGCCACACTCCGTTCCAATTCTCCCCTCCCAATTGTTGTGTGGTATGCTCCAATCGGCAAAAATTAAGATGAATTGCCATTTGTTGGAAACTGAGTGTACAAATTTAGTTTACGTAAATCAAAAGCAAAAAAAACAACCAGTAACCAATTACTGTATTATTCATTTCTTCCACATACCTCCCAATTGTCCCCATTTAGGAGGGACCGTCCCTAAGTTTCGTCCAAATCCCTCTGTCCCTCTTTTCTATCCTAATGTCCTTCTTCTCTAAGAGCTCACAGTAATGTGTCTTTAAACTACAATAAATATGTTTAGAAATCAGTCAGTGTAAATAAAATGCATTTTTCTTGTTCTAAATTATAGTTTTTATATACATGGACTCAAAACAGATTATCTACAAATATTTATATACATGGACTCAAAAGAGATTATCTACAGAGGCAAGAAAAAAGTATATACAAATAGACTCGTCTCGTGAATGATGAATTGTAGTGAACTTTGTTTTTCAATTCCCCATTTCACTGTATAGGGAATATTAACTCTAAAAAGGTGATCATGGTGAAGATTTGCAGATTTTAGGAGAAACTATTGAAATTGGAAAAATAGATGAGTCTGAGAATATTTTACTTTGACTATTTTGGCCTAAAAATTTTGCATCTGAATTCTCTGCAACACCAAGTTTAGTGAATAAAAAAAAAAAAAAAATGTCTTCTCCTTCTTCCAGATTGAACCAAACATGATTATTCACCAAAGTGAGAATTCAAGTGAATTCAGAGTGAATTTCGAATTACCCAGTGTCAATTTGCTCTAGGCTAGGGGAAATGCTCTAACCTTTCATCATAATGGAGGACGTGCCCTGCGTGATTCTGACACCTTCTCTTAATTGGTTGTACTAATTGAAAACTGAAGGTCTATGCCCTGTAGCATGTTATTGTCACTGTAGAGACAAAGAATTTAGCGACTGTCAAATATAATGAGCTTGATGTCAGCTACACTTTTCAGGCAAACTACTGCCATCTCCATGTTCACGTACATTGGATAGATCCATTTGTTTATACAAATTATTAGTATATTGCAACGAGTACATCTTAAATCAATACTCCAAGGACCATAACCAATACAGTTTGCTGCAGAGGTTATGGCGCCCAAAGCGTCACGACCCCTCATGCCACATGTGAAAAGTCGAACTGTTTAGTAATTGTTTTATTTCATCCCTGCGGTCCACTTGGCTGCACTCCATCACCTCTTCCTTGCCAGAATTTCTTTTCATTGAGCTAAACCCGGCAAATGTTTTGGCTCCTTATATTGGGACACCGTGGTACTACTGTCACCATAACCACTACAGCACTCTGTAGTGGTTATGGTGCTTGGGTGTTCATTTAATATTACTGAGTATTTGTGTCAATCTATGTTTTATGTGTCCACTCTGCATAATTAACTATGTTTTTGTTTCCAGTCAATCGATGTGTGGCATCTGGGGCACAAACTTGTACCGCATGTATCCAAGTGGACAAAGATTGTTCCTACTGCATAGATGAGGTAAGAGTTTAGAATAAAAAAATAAAAAATCAAATGCAACATTTAGTAAAAAAATATATAAGTACATTGCAATCCGCGTCAGTAACCGATCAATTGCATTTTCTGGCTTTCATGCAGAATTACACAACAATTTGAAAGCGATAATAATCTAAACGTTATGGGTCATATTACCCCTGCCAATGCTGCTGAAATCATAAAATATTATTGCGTTATAATTGATCTTAATTTGTTATGTACGCGTTTATTCATGCAGTGTTCAGCTTGACTGGCTTTTATCTCAAGGTTAACAACAACAAAAAACAAACAAAATGTCTCCTTTATAGGATTTTATATAACATAACAGCTGACTATCCAGACAGTGGAGTCCACTGATGGAGCTAATTGATTAAAAGTTTGTCATTAACCTATTTCTATTTAATTTCTATTTAATTTACCCCTAAGTGGAGATTTGTTACTGTGCAATGTGTGATTGTTATGCTATCAATTTTGCTCCGTTATGTTGAAGTTACAATAGTTATTCGTCCTTTAATTGGTGTGTATGATTAACAAGAAATCATTAAAGTTGGTTGTACACATCATAAAGCCAGCGGAGGTTTTTGTTCCTCGTGTGCTAAATTTTTTGGATACTGGTTAACTGTTTTCAGTGACTGTTCAAAAATTTCATCGAGGGGATAAATTCACTGTCAACTGGTTCCATTATTATGATGACAACTCGGATGATAGTTTATGGTCCCAAAAATAATTGTTTTTTTGGGGATTAGAAATTCCTTTCTATTTCTCTAACATCTCAATCATATCAGATCCAATGCTTCTCAAAAAGAAGCGTTGGGGACAAGATATGCATGCGCCGCCAACCGCTGAGCTCCATCTTGATTGGAGAACCAGGTTTGATTTGGTTATGGAAGTGAAGCACCTCTAGTGGCTGTCAGGAAGACAGTCATTAGATATGTGTTTAACCCTTCAATGTAACTTTGCTGTTTCTACAAAACGGCAATGTTTTACATTGATGGGTTAAAATGACATCACCACTGCAACGTGACCACTTCATTGAAATCATGTGGTCTGATTGACTTTAGTAGGTCTTTAAACTTGCCGTTTTTAACACAAGGTATGAGGTCCTCCCTTTTTTTTTTAATTAATTTTTTTTACCAATCTGATAATAGCAAAATGTGCCAAATAGAATTGGAACAGACAGATTGTGATCACTTAAATATATATCAGTTTTAACAGCTGCCAGTGGTTAGTTAACAATTTCAAGCGATAGATTGTAATGAACCCCATAGACTGGAAACTTTACAAACAAAATTAAACTCACCAACATATAGGATTGGGATAAATCGCCCAATTCTTGTGCTAAAATTATCTGCGTTCCCAGGCATTGTACTAAAGATGTGTTTGTATCATATCTTAAGAACATAGAAACATGGATTTGGACATCGGACAGTAAGCGGGATTCTTCTTTAGATTCCCTTTAGAAGAGATTTATATTTATTCACACCAAACTGAGAACCAAAAACTGAACTGCAATGTTTACAGTTCGGTTTGTAGTCACAACATTTTGACTTAATTTAGCAGTTTGGTTTTCAGCCTACCACAATTTTGGTGTTTAGTGAATAAACTCAAGAGTGTAAATCACAGGCTTTCTTGAGCAGTTTCCTTGTATTCGTCTTCACCAACACTACTGGACAGTTCTTCTATGGATCTACAAATCTTTTTTAAATAGTATTTGATAAGACATTTATCCTAATGCATCTCTCCAAAATGTGGGACATTCTTGACTTGGTGCCCATATTCCACGACTGCAGTCCACTTTTTTTTACTGCCCAACATATGGACAGTCCAGAAATAAATATTTATGATTTCTCCTAGACCACATTTGTAGATGTGTGAGCCTACTTTCAGAAATTTGGCAATTCTTTCCGCAGAGCTCTGATATGCACGGACCTGCTGGACGGTTATCACATTGTGTGTCATTTAGTTGCACACGTGCCAGACAGATATGCCTCCTTTTTATGTAAACTTGGTGACATGAGGGGACATTAACATGAAACTAACATCCCCCTACAATAATAAGGGCAAGTAGACATTGCTCTGAAGCAATTGATAACAATATATTAAATGGGAAGAAAGCAAATTTAATCACAATAGGAGACTGAACTGAAACACAGGAGGAGCATACTGGGGTTGTGGGATGCAGCCTCACATTATTCTTCTTAAAAAAAAACAAGAGGTACGTTGAGAAGAGAAAATAGCATGGTCAGTAAAAAAAAGGGGACAAAACATTTTTTAGATACATAAATGAGAAAAGGAAAGTAAAACAAGGATTAGTTAGATTTTAAAAAAAAGGAGGAAGGTATGTAGAAGGATAAAGGTCTAACTGACTGCCTCAATTAATATTTCTGTTCAGTATTTACAGATGAAAATGAAGGAAAGGGGCCTCAGTTAGGAAAAAGGACAAATGAGTCATTTGTTACATGTGAGTTTACAGAGGAAGAGGTTCTATTTCAACTGTCAAAAGTAAAGACAAATTAGTCAATGGACCTGATGGAATACATCCAAAGTTATTAAAAGAGCTTAGTGGTGTACTAACAAAACCATTAACAGATTTATTTAACCAATCATTGTTAACAGGAGTAGTCCCAGAAGATTGGAAGTTAGTGAATGTTGTGCCCATTCACAAGAAAGGTAGTAGGGAGGAGTTAGGCAACTATAGGCCAGTAAGCCTTACTTCATTAGTGGGGATAGTAATGGAAACCATGTTAAAGGATAGGATTGTTGAACATCTAAAAACATGTGGATTTCAAGATCAGAGACAACATGGGTTTACTTCAGGGAGATCATGCCAAACTAATCTTATTGATTTTTTTGATTGGGTAACTAAAATTATAGATCAGGGTGGTGCAGTAGACATTGCTTACCTAGATTTCAGTAAGGCTTTTGACACTGTTGCACATAGAAGGCTTATCAATAAACTGCAATCTTTAAGTTTGGATTCCAGTATTGTTGAATGGGTAAGGCAGTGGCTGAGTGACAGGCAACAGAGGGTTGTAGTCAATGGAATATATTCGAAGCATGGGCTTGTCACCAGTGGGGTAGCTCAGGGAACTGTTCTTGGACCCATTCTCTTTAATATTTTTATTAGTGATATTGCAGAAGGGCTTGATGTTCCAGGAGGGCTAGGCCAAATGGCAAATGATTTAGGTAAACTAGAAAAATTGTCAGAGTTGTGGCAACTGACATTTAATGTGGATAAGTGCAAGATAATGCAGAGTACACAATATTTGATAGAGTCCTAACCTCAACATCTGAGGAAAGGGATTTAGGGTTTAATATTTCTGATGACTTAAAGGTAGGCAGACAATGTAATAGAGCAGCAGGAAATGCTAGCAGAATGCCTGGATGTATAGGGAGAGGTATTAGCAGTAGAAAGAGGGAAGTATTGGAGTATTGTAGGCAGTACTGGAGACCGTATCTCCAGAAGGATATTGATACTTTAGAGAGAGTTCAGAGAAGGGCTACTAAACTGGTTCATGGATTGCAGGATAAAACTTACAAGGAAAGGTTAAAGGACCTTAACATGTATAGCTTTGAGGAAAGACGAGACGGGGGATATTATAGAAACTTTAAAATACATAAAGGGAATCAACACAGTAAAGGAGGAGACTATATTTAAAAGAAGAAAAACTACCACAACAAGAGAACATGTGACATGTCTTAAATTGGAGGGGCAAATGTTTCAAAATAATAACAGGAAGTATTACTTTACTGAGAGGGTAGTGAATGCATGGAATAGCCTTCCAGCTGAAGTGGTAGAGGTCAACACAGTAAAGGAGTTTAAGCATGCATGGGATATGCATAAAGCTATCCTAACTATAAGATAAGGCCAGGAACTAATGAAAATATTTAAAAAATTGGGCAGACTAGATGGGCCGAATGGTTCTTATCTGCCGTCACATTCTATGTTTCTATGTTTTGTTGTAAGGTAAAATTAAGTACAACGTATAAACCCAATGAACACCCATTATTGAATACGTTAGTATGAAATAGTTCTATAGAAATATTGACAATAGTGAAAACCCACAAGTTGTATTATTTTAATATTTTGCATAAGTTTTGAAAATTGGAAACCGATATTGTCTTACAGCATCGAATGACACAAAAAAATAAGTCTAACGTTCTTTTACTTTCTTCACACATCTACAAGGGTTTTCGTGATGGACGATGTGATCTATATGATAATCTTGTGGAATATGGCTGTAGTGCAAGGGGGATTGTGTCTATGAAGAGTGAAGTTTTAACCAAGCAGGTAAGGAATCAGTTTGCATAACATTACCCTATCTGTGTATTACAGTACTAAAAGGAGAGAGGGCATTTTGTTAGTCTGTGCCCAGAGGCCATTCGTCTCTATTCATATTTGGAAGCGCCAACTTGTGTTTGATCACCAGCCCAAAACCCAACCTCTTCAAAATAATTAATAACCTTCCCTACCGTTGCAATATTATCACCACCTCTTATATAAAGAAAACGCTACATATTTTAATATAAAATACTTGTTGCTTAGTTGTCACTCCATTTGCCTCTCTACAGAGTATCCGCATAAATACCAGCTTGAAGAAGACACAAGTTTCTCCCCAGCTGATGTCCATGCGTCTACGTGCGGGGGAAGAGGCTTCATTTGACTTGCATGTGTTTGAGCCACTGGACACCCCTGTTGATCTGTATATCTTGATGGACTTCTCCTACTCCATGTCCGATGATTTGGACAATCTTAAGAAAATGGGACAAGAACTATGTAAGATAAAAGTCGATATTAAAGATAGTAGGATAGAGTATGAATAAAAGGTCTGGAGAATCTGAGAAGGACAATAAAAATAAGGAACATACTTTTTAATGAATGTGTTAAAGTTGATTGTCACTTCTACTTATCTTAGTAGAATACTTTCTCTTTTTGTTAGCTTAATGTTTTTTTTTTCTCTGTTTCACCATCACCATCAAATTTTTTGTTTTACAGCTAATGTACTCAGCACCCTCTCAAGTAACTACACCATTGGCTTTGGAAAGTTTGTGGACAAAGTATCCGTCCCTCAGACAGACATGAGACCGGAAAAGTAGGTACCAGGGAACAAATTGAAAGCTGGGTTCCGATTGTGGGATTGTGGAAAAGGAAGGAAGGCATAGGAAGCCTATATAAAATGAGAAAAAGTTCTGATTTTAATGATCGTTCAGCATTGTGAGCAGTGTTAATTTTGGTGTCAAATTTCAGTTTAGTTTTAGTTATAGTTTTTTGACTAAAAAAACTGTTTAGTTTAAGTCGTATTTTAGTCATCTGAATTGTTTTAGTTTTAGTCTACTTTTGGATGACTAATCTCCAGTATATTTTAGTCGACTAAATCTTCAGTAGGTTTTAGTAAACTAAATCTTCAGTAGGTTTTAGTAAACTAAAACTTCAGTAGGTTTTAGTTGACACAACTAAAATCTAATGGGTTAAGTTAAAGCCTCTATCTGTCTGTTTTGCCCCTTGGCTCATATGGCAGATCATATGGGTGGGCATTGTGATGGGGGTAGGGCAAATTTTTGTTTGCCTAGGGCAGCAAATATGCTTGTACCGGCCCTGATCGGAATTGTTTTAGTTTTAGTCAACTAAATCTCAAAAATGTTATTTGACTAAAATCTGACTAAAATCGTTAGTCAGCAAAATCAACACTGATTGTGAGTTAGAACTGTAAAGTCGCATTTGTTTACACAAGAGGTTGGATGGAAGTTGGGTTGACTGAACACAAAACCTGCTGGAATGAGTATATGAGCCCATGAATTAGGGTACATCGAAAGGGTCTTGTGTCAAAATCTGGTACATTAAATCATTAACTCAATATCGCTCTTCAGGCTCAAGCAGCCGTGGCCCAACAGTACCCCCCCTTTCTCCTTCAAGAACGTCATCCGTCTGACAGAAGATATTGATCACTTCCGCCGGGAACTGATGAAGGAGAAGATCTCTGGAAATTTGGATGCTCCTGAAGGCGGATTTGATGCCATTCTACAGACAGCAGTATGCACGGTGAGAAGGCTGTCAGCAGCAGAGGAGCAACTATATATTGTATAAGTGAATGATAACTTTTCATAGTACTCAAGTTTATAAGTAATAGCTGCAAATATAGTCCAGTGAAAAAACATAAATCCACATTTTATAGTTCTTTGTTTTCCATCATAATTGACTCCTTTTAAACATTTTCCCCACAATTTGTGGTTATAGACATATTCTTTCTCAGTGAGCAGAAATATCAAACATTAAGAGTATAATCAAAGATAAAGTCTACACTGGAATCCAAAAATGAAAAAATACATGGGTACTAGAGTATTTTTTGTGTAGTCGGTGAATGACCAAATGCAAAATTGCAAATATCTACCATAATTGGAGCTCCAGCTGAGGAGTGATCAAAGACAAAAGTACAATACGGACTCACTTTAGTAGTTCCAAGGTTGGCATCGCTGCCAGAGAGGTGTCCATAGAAAGATGCCTATAATTCTTAGTTGACCAAACCAGACCTGATTGGAAAGTTACAAGTAAGGTGATTTTGCACTGTACTAACGGTATATTGTGAATAACATATGTTCTTCCCTTAGAATCAAATTGGTTGGAGAAAGGGTAGCACCCATCTCTTGGTCTTCTCCACTGAATCTGCTTTCCACTACGAAGCCGATGGCATGAATGTCCTGGATGGGATAATGCCAAGAAATGACGAGCATTGTCATTTGGACACATCGGGACTCTACACCCATGACACCATACAGGATTATCCCTCTGTCCCCACCCTTGTTAGAGTGCTTGCCCAAAACAACATCATTCCAATCTTCGCAGTGACCAACTACTCTTACAGCTACTATGATGTGAGTGTCACATGTGCAGACAGGAACTGCAACATCTATATAGCTCAGTTAGTTAGTACACCAGCTGTAGTAGAATTATTATCAGTTCAAACCTGAAGGTTAAAATGGATTTTTAACTTTCCAAGGTTGATAAAATGGGTGCCACTGCTTTGGGTAATTATATATATATATATATATATATATATACACACACACAGGTAATTACTTAAAAGTAGGCTGGTTCAGAGGAGGAGGCAAACAGGCCAGGAGAACAGGATTTGTCACAAGTACTTGTAAGAATGGTTTAACCCCTCAAAGTAAGCAGGCATCCTGGATCTCCCGACAACGTATCAACTTGAAGTAATTATGTTGCCTGGATTATCCCTTTAACTTACCTTTTTATCACTGTTCTACTCAGTCCTCCCCAAAGAAACTGTCAGTCTTTCCTATCTCAAGAGAAAAAAGGACAATCGTGGCCATTGCCATGAATGCACCAGTCAAATGTGATCCTGATGATCGCTTAATAGATTGCTTCTCATAGGGAACTATTTGTCTAATGTTTCCCTATGGAAACTCCCATTTGCACTTGAATGATGGTTCAAGCCGAGTGAATCAGGAAGCCCTCCTGGCTGTCAACGTGACTGCCAGAGGAGGTGTTCCCAAATTAACAACTGGACCACCTTCAGTTATCCCCTAAAGCACTTCTTTATGGAATAGGAATGGCATTGTATATATGCTAAAAATGCTGTGGTTAAAACATTAAAATAAATGGTTAACAGGTTGTTGTTCTATTAGTTAACAGACCATTTATTTCTGGTGCAAGACTCAAAACTGACTCATAACTATCCCATGTCAGAGGCTGTTGAGGGACATTCTGTAGATCTCACTTTTCTAAATTGTTTATACCTTCCATTGCAAGGCATATTATTCAGCACATATTGATTTATTTCTATGTTTCCTTTGGTCTTACAGAAACTTAGCAAGTATTTCAAAGTTTCTGAGATTGGTGAGCTGCAAGAAGATTCTTCCAACATCGTAGAACTTCTCCGAGAGGCCTTCAAGGTGAGTGAGGAGATATGAAATGGTTGGAGATTTCCAATATTTTTGTAATATTTTACCTATGTCCTTGTGGATATTTTTTTCTGAAGTTATCTGTTTCAGGGTACTAATCATCCTCTACTTTGTCTATAGCAAATCCGTTCTAGGATGGATATCCGAGATGACTACACCCCTCGTTCCATGAATATCACAGTCTCATCAAGCAAAGCCCAACTCACAGAGACAGGATCCTTCCAGGTCACCCGTGGAGAAGAGGTAACTTCCCCCTCCAAAAGAGTTTTGAGTAACCCTTTAAACTATGGCTTATGTAAGTGATACTAGTAATTTGAAAGTTGGAAAAAATCTACTAAATCATTTTTCCCATCCAGGGTATATTCCAGGTAAAAGTGAAAGCTCTAGAACAGGTCGGTGGGCAGCATGTGTGCAAACTTCCTCCACAGGACCAGAAAGGAAACGTACTTCTGAAACCATCATCCTTTACAGATGGACTTCAAATCGATGCTTCAGTAATATGTGATGTTTGCCCCTGTGAGCTGGTGAGTGTCTGAAGGACAGGGACATGGTGTTTAGAAGTATCTTGTTAGTTAGTTGAAGGAGTATGCTAGGAATATGAACATTTATTGATAATGTTAGAATACTCTAGCAGTGATATAGGTTATTCAATCCCCCTTAAAAAGAATAATAACCAGTAGTCCCCTGGTGCGCTGGTTTCAACTTGGCTTCTACTCTGGCTGAGATCATCACTGCAGAAATTTCTATAGGGAAGCATTAGGAGGGGTGGCTAGAGTGCATGCGCCACAATTGCCATGTTGTGCCAGTCAACAACTCCTTATAGAGATGCATTAGATCAATGTATCTCAAAGGGGAGCATTTGTTATCTTCTGGCAGTGCGTAAAGGCGTTAAACATCGTCCCGCCCCAAGTGTCTATCACTGGATGTGGCCTTTATAAACAAATATAGACTGTGCCTTTTCGCCGAAAAAGACAGTGTTTAGAATTGTCAGCCAGCAGGAACAGGTTCTTTAAGCACCATAACTACTACAACGTAATTCTGGAGCAGAGTCTCCCTGTAGACAGGTACATAGATGATTACACGCTATTAATAATACAAAACTCACTGTGTTATCTTGAAAGTGAGAACATAGAACAATGCTTAACGTGCATTCTTGTTTCTTAACTTACTATTCTATTCCTCATTTCCTAATCTTGATCACAATTTCTCTCCAAATTCTTCCCGAACCTCAAGCCTGCTTTTCTCAAAATTCTAATTTCCCAGTTTCTCTTTTAGTCTTTGATGTCATTTTTCATAGTTTCCAGTTCTCACATTTACTTCACTCATGTTCATGCATTGCATTTTATTCCTTCAGCAAAAGGAACTGGACTCTCCTAAGTGCAGTTTCAACGGGCACTTTGTTTGCGGACGCTGTGAGTGTAAAGATCGCTGGTAAGATTGTGTGCATCACATGCTCTGTTATAAAAATATAAGCTACACTCGTAGGAGTTGTGTTAACACGGACACTAAACACAAATAAGATATATCAAGTAACATCTGTATTACACACAGTGTACAAATTTTTCCTGATCATAGGAGACTATCGGACATCTAGCATGTATGTAAGTGTGTTTTATTATGTAACATGAAACATTGTTTCTACATTGGCCAAGTTGAATTAATACACTACAAATAAGTAGTGGGTATTATTGAGAGGATATTGTTGATTATGTGCTTATTAGTATTAGTTCTGAAAAACAGAATATAGTTATCTCGTGTAGTGTATCGTGTAATAATAAACAAAACGTGTATATTGTATCATGCACTATGTCTGTGTATCGCAGGCGAGGGGAAACCTGCAACTGTTCGATTGACGACAACACAGACAGCAAGTCATGTATAGCCCCTGGAAGCCAGGATATCTGCTCTGGACATGGAGAGTGTGTCTGTGGGGTTTGCCAGTGTATTTCAGAGTCCCAGCACCAGCGGTATGAGGGGGAGTTCTGCCAATTCAACAACTTCCAGTGCCCACGGATAGGGGGCTTCATGTGCAATGGTATGATAGCCGAAAGTGACAATATATGTAGGGTATTAGGGATTTGTTGAATGACATGTCTTTAGATCACGCTGTAGTGGTCATGGTGCCCATAGTGTTTTAGTAACCTACCAAGGTAAGTTGTCAAACAGTTTTAGAACAATCTGACAACTTACCTAAGGTTTGCCAGGTGCAAGTCGCCTCCTCCTCCTCTGCCCCCAGAACCATCAACTATGTTGCAGGAAGGTGTAGGGAGGCGTTCCTTGGCTGAGCATGCTTGGTTAACTCTCTCAGCCAATGAGACAGCTCTACGTGGCATGGTGTGGCTCTCAATTAGTTTGATTACTTCCCCTGGGAGGGTGTCATGAATCTCCTGACATCAAAACTACTACAACTGCAACCTAGACAAACTATGACATTATACTCCCCTCTTTGTGTATTGTACTTCTACATTTTATGCCTAGCCTGCGTGTAGTTATGGTGTGCATAAAAACTTACAAAATCACTTTCTATTTTCTGCCTACCCTGCATGTAGTTATGGTGTGCATAATAACATACAAAAACACTTTTCTATTGACTCTGCTCTACAGGACAGAGTCCCCATTTCCCACCTTTGTGTTGTAGATAATACAGAATGTAGGGGTGGGGGATTACTAGTCAAAGATCTACAAAACAGTCTGTGAGTTCTCATAATAACATTTCAATTTCACCTGCAGACAGGGGGCGCTGTTTTATGGGTGGATGCGTATGCGCGGCTGGCTGGGAAGGCCCTGGGTGTGAGTGTCCAATCAGCAATCAGACATGTCTGGATACAAACGGGGTAAGTGCATTGGTAGGGTGTCTCAAAGATGACTTGGGAAGTGGACAGAATGGGGACATTTTTAAATGTTTGGAATCGTGTGACAGTCAGAAATTCTGAGATTTAAAACAAAATAATCTGTGCTAATTACCTTATTTTTCTTATAGGGTCTGTGTAATAACCGTGGGAAGTGCGTGTGTGGGCGCTGCCAGTGTGACGAGGTGTCACAGTATACCGATGCCACATGTGAATTTGCAAACTCCCTGGTATGTTCTTTGAATATGCGTACAAAAATACTCAAATCTCCCTGACCAGATTTTAATTAAAGGTAATGTTTAGGTTACAAAATAGTTTTTTTTAATATATTTGAACAACGCGGTGTCAAAATATGCATCTATCCATCTATCCACACTCTCTTAGCCAATGGGACAGCTCTACAAGGCATGGTGTGGCTCTCATATCTATTTTAAAATAAAATACAAGAATATAAATACAATAAATATAAGAAGTAGCCTTATTCAAAACAGGCGTACCATCATCATATAGGATATGAAGTTGCCCATGAGTAAATATCATATTGGCAACCAATAAAAAAATAACTTGGGATAGAAAGAGAGATCGAGATGGAAGGGAAGTGTAGGATAAAGCCACCACGAGAAGGGATTTGTGTCTCCTGTTACCTCATGAACCACCTAGAGTATGTCATCCCACTGCGTCCGTATTATAAAAGGAACTTATGGTATTTTTACACAATGGCAGTCAATTTATCTATTAGAACATGGGTTCCCAACCAAGTCCTCAAGTACCCCCTACTAGTCCAGGATTTAAGGATTACCCTGTTGTGTCTAGAGTGTTTTTTTTTTCCTTCTAAAAACACCTTAGACACAACTGGGTAATCCCTAAATCCTGGACTGGTAGGGGATACTCGAGGACTGGGTTGGGAACCACTGTATTCGATTGTTCTCTGCTATCTTAGTTTTGATTTTATGGAAGGGACATCTGATCCTTATCATTTAACTGCCACTGAACTTCTGGCCACCAGTGTGATGCTATTGTAGAACGTTTGAGAGCGTGTAGGGAAGCCCTCCAGGGGTTGGGATAATAGGAAAGCAGATGCAATTTGTTGCTTCTAAATCTGATTTAAAACTTCTTTTTTTTAATGGATAGCTTTTGCTTGGTGTGTGTGAAGACATTAGAACATGCGTGCAGTGCCAGGCGTGGGGCACTGGAGAGAAAAAAGGCAAAAAATGTGAGGAGTGTATCTTCAAGATAAAGATGGTGGATGAACTCAAGAAAGGTAAACAAGCAGAATAATACCCTTCATTTAAAAATGTTTAATTACTAAAACGATTATCTCTGCAACACATGGCAAGCCAATAATAAACAAACTTCAGGAATATTGGAGATGAACATTGTGGCTCAATATCACAAAACATTTTGTTTAATATAAACTTGGGATATACAGGTTAACTGCAGCTGCTGTAATGTTATAATCTCAGCGAAGTCCCAACAGGTAAAATCCGTTTCACCAAGCTTCGAAGAAGATATCTCATTAATATCTCACAAACTATACTGAGTGAAAAACCACTATTGGGTTTACTGGTTACATTGGTTATACTTCAATATGGAATATCCCTTCTGGCTGGTGCATTTAAAATGACATTATTGTGTTATATTTTCATTATCCTATTTAAAACTATACAGCTAGAAAACAAGTTTAGAACAACATAGACAGTGAATTAAGATTACACACGGTCCAAGGCAGGTTACTAGACTAGAGCTCCCACTTCACCAGTAATATGTTTGTTGTATTGGGCCAAGCTTGGCCAAATATCTTCATGACATTGACAATGTCCCTAGAATACCTTAGATCACCTAATGCAGGGCTCAAAATATCAAGACATGCCCTACTAGACAAGCCAAATGGTTGCTTGCTTCTACAAGCCTAGAAGGTCCACTGCACACTAACCAAGGGTGAATTTCTACTCGCCATGGCTGCATTTTCACTGGCCTATGGTACTAATATTGAGCCCTGACCTTATGGTTAATCTAGCAATGAAAATAGATAGCATATATTTAATAAAATTGTAACTTTATTGCTGTATTCTTGAAAGAGTAGCTTTGTTTAATTTCATCTTTCTGAAAAAGTTATTGACATATCCTCTGATTACATTGCTGCCAAGAGGCAGAATCCATAATTAACTCAGACACATCTCTTTTAAGATATATGAGGGATAAGTCAGTTTCTGACCCATTGACCAGTGTGTGGAATTGCTGCACAGAAACTGAGAAAATTGCTACGGCAGATATTTCTCCTGTGTGTAATGTCCTATTCTTGCTTTCGGTAGTGAATGAAGCTACAGAGAAATGTACATTCAGGGACGAAGAAGATGATTGCACCTATCACTACTCTGTGGATCAACAAAGTGCTACCCCTTCTAACTACACAGTGATGGTGCAGAACAAGAAAGGTCAGTCCCAGAATAATAGACTATTTCTCACATTTTCATCACACTCAGTGGTATAACAATCTATACAGACAGGTGTCCATATGGTTCCCTTTTACATATATATTGTTAGACTTCCTGCAACTTATATCTCTTCTCCTAACCCAACAGAATAGCTACCTAATGTGATGGGAGATTTCTTTCCTCCAGATCCTATAATCTGGCTGGAGAAGAAACCATTAGGTGGAACCAAAATGGTGTTAGGATATGGGCAGAGATGCCCATATTATTGAAATCTTAATATGTATCTCCTACAGTTATACCACTAATAACTACACTTGTGCAAGAATTTGTTTCAAACGGTCTGAATCAAATTTCTCTTAATCCAGGCCTGAACGAATTGGTCATCCACAAGTCCACTCACAAGCTCGGTTATCACATGTACCTTACACACACACGCTATTTAAAAAAATCATTTTTTATGTATCTTTACCCATCATTACTGTTTTCCTCATCTCACTCATTATGACTATCCCTGTATTCCACCTGGGATACTTTCCAAAGTTTTTTTTTTTTTTATAAATAACTTCCTCAATATCCCATGCATCCTGGTATCGTTTTTAAGATAATATGTGACACACCCACAACCTGCAGAAAATAATGTTGAACTTGGACAGTTTACAATAGTAACAGGAAAAAGAAAAAAGCATACAATAGAAAAGTATGGTTGAACACAATTGATACACCTTGTATAACTATGTACGAGGTTACTATAAAATCAACACAAAGTGCCAATTCATTGTTAGAATAGCATGTGGGGAGTAACCCCTGGGCCAAGGCTCTCTGGCCTAAGATATTGCCAGTGTCAATTTTACGATACATCTTGTTTATAAACTATTTTATGTTTATATACTATAATATATTTTTGTTCATCATTTAGAAGTACTTTACTTTTTACTTTTCATCATCTGCTTATTCCTTCTACCTTCTGCTCACAGCGTTCTACCTAACCATTTGTGGCACATCTTTTGCACTTGTCCTCAGTATTTTAATACCCTTTGTTTTTTGTAGAGTGTCCCCCCGGTGCCTTCCTCTGGCTCATTCCTCTGCTCATCTTCCTCATGTTACTTCTTGGACTGCTTCTGCTGCTCTGCTGGAAATACTGTGCCTGCTGTAAGGTGAGTAGTGTAAGCCTGTAGGACTTTATGGAATATGCAAACCATGAAAGGAGACCACCAAATGGCCTGTGAGATGCTTGGTGGTGGTTGGAACTCATATTGGAATCAAGGATGATTTTTAGTTTGGAGCATCTAGAAGGATGGATAACGAGTTGGAAGGATTTATGGTAGTTTCAATTGACTATAATGCGGTTTATGAAGCTTCTGTATCGTAAAGACTTGCCTAGAACATTTTAAACAGAATTGGACACAGATGGTATTTTGAATAGTAAATAACAAGTTCAAGAATTAAGATGAGTGGAGTAGAATGGGATGAGATGTATAAGTATGCTTATGACTACAATGGACATTAAAGGTGGCCCAGTTTAAGGGGATTTGAGAATGGTCGGAGATAATGATTGTAATGTCTTACTACTTCAACTTGATGATGATGAATAATCTGTTGTATCTCTCTACAGACATGTCTGGCTCTCCTGCCTTGCTGTGGAAAAGGTAAGAGATGACTCCAAAAATGCAAAGTTTAACAGCAATATTAAACTGTCTAATTGTTTGCACAATCATGACAAACTAACATTAAAAGGACACTATAGCCACCAAAACAAATTTAGCTTTAGCTTTTTTTTGTTATGCAGTTCTAGCCACAACAACCCTGACTCACACAGTCTGCATGAAAAATAATGTTTTCATTTTCAGTCACACACAGGAGGCTCCTGCAAGGTCTAACAAGCTATTAACAGTGCAGGAGATAAGACATTCTAAATTAAACAGACTGTGAAATAAAGGAAGTTTAAACATTAGATCTCAATTTACAGGAAGTGTTTAGGAAGGCTGTGTAAGTCACATGCAGGGAGGTGTGGCTAGGGCTGCATAAACAAAGTGATTTAACTCCTAAATGGAACAGAATTGAGCAGTGAGATTGAAGGGGCATGATCTATACACCAAAACTGCTTCATTAAACTAAAATTGTTTTGGTGATTATATAGTATTCCTTAAAGATTTTGAGTTTGTATAGGACAAAACAGATATAAATTGAAAAAAAAAGGATTTTTTTTTTAAACACAAAGAAACTACATACAACAGTCTGATCTTTGACACTCTTACTCTAAACCCTGCAGGGCGCTCAGTAGGATTTAAGGAAGACCATTACATGCTGCGACAGAGCTTGATGTCATCTGATTATCTAAACACACCACTTGTACGCTCTGGGAACATGAAAGGCGGGGATACCGTGAGATGGAAAATTACCAACAATGTGCATCGTCCACTCCCTGCTCCAGGAGACCTGAATCCCAAGGAGCTGGGTATGATGGGGCAGCATGTGCTAAAATACAGTGTTTGTAAAATTAGATATATAGTTTAAAATGCTCAATTTATGTTATGAGAAGACAGAATAGATAAAACATTGGTCAAGCGATTTGCTGAATTTAGTTGCATCCCTAACATCTACATCAATGCTCTTCCACAGTTCCATATGGTGTCTCTTTACGATTGGCAAGGCTCTTCACAGACAACCTGTCCAAGCCTCAGACTCGTGAGTGTGATCAGCTACGTCGAGAGGTGGAGGAAACGGTGAGAAAAAAACAACGCGTTTAGGCTACACAGAAATGGCTAAATTCCTCCAAAAATCTAGTATTTGAGCCTTGACTCTGGTTATTACAAACGGTGGTTATCCCTAGCATATTTTAATGTGAATCTAATCATATGTGGGAAGTATATTTTTCTTTTTTGTATGATGTATTCCTGTATATCTTATGATAAATCTCTGAATTTTTTTGAATCACATTTGTCAGATGAAAGGATAATAATAAGGTGATATCTAATGGTGATACTATTGTAGAGCTGTGAGTGATTGCACAATGTTAAATTCCATCTTTGTGATTATTCCATCCTCTCTCAGCTTAATGAAGTATACAAGACTATACCTGGGACCCACAAAGTGAAGCAGACCACATTCCGGTAAGACTAAGTGCTCTATTAATACTGAGCTATCCCTGAAACCAACAGCAATATAGAAAAATGGGAATATCCAGCACAAGCCTTTATATCCTAAGATCTTTTATTTAAGTTGCCAAAAACAGGTCACATTTCAGCCATGGAGAGTTTGAGAAAGGCCCTGCGTGGCTTAAATGTCTCCATTTTATTGGCACCTTAAATAAAGGATCTTTGAACTTAAAGGTTTGTGCTAGACATTCCCATGTTTCTGTATTCCTGTTGGCTGTTGGTGGAGCCAGGGTTCTTGCAACCTAAGTTGAACAGAGTCTTTGCTGTTGTTATAATTCCTGGAACCACCAATTGCTCTATTGATAATATTATTTTGGTGTTTTTTTTGTCTCCATTCAGGCTCCAGTCTAACGCTGGGAAAAGGTAGGAACAGTAACTACTCAAGCATTGGTTGTTTTTTTTGCACCTTCTCCTCCCATGACACAAATCTTCTCTCTACTCAATTCTTGATTTGGCCCATACCATGTCCTACTCTCGCCTTAAACCCTCTTAATTTCCCACACACATACTACTCTTTCCTCTGAACTACAATACATCCATTGTATTTTATTTACTTTTTTGCTTGTTTTTAGGCAAGATCACACTATTACAGATACAGTCCTTATGGCTCCACGAGAGGCTGAGCCTGAGATTGTAAAAGTGACGGAGAAACATGTAGCACAAGAAAACTTTCAGGATCTGAAGGTGGCTCCAGGATACTACACCGTGACATCAGACAGAGGTACAGTAAAATCACTAACTTTGCCACCGTTGGTTATATTCTCCTGAGCAATGAGCCACGGTTAACACACACAAATATTTCTCTGTATGCTAGATGCTCATGGTCTGGTGGAATTCCAGGAGGGTGTCGAGCTGGTGGATGTACGAGTTCCTCTGTTTATCAGAGAGGAAGATGATGATGAAAAACAACTACTAGTTGAAGCTTTGGAGGTGCCCCAAGGAGCTGCTCGTTTAGGGAGGAAAAATGTCAATATTACAATCATCAAAGAACAAGGTGGGCAGATGTGAGAGATGTGTAATGATATAATATAGGCACTGGGTCATTTCAAACATATTTCCCTGCAGAAGAGTGCGTTCTTGTGGTCCTCACTTGCTCACAATGTGAAGCATTTCTCTTGCATGTTAGCTGGCCATGATAAATTTAATTCATACCTTCAATAGCAATCAAAATATATCTCCCAACATTTAATTTCAATTCTTCATCATAACTGTAGCTTCTAGAACTATCTCATGAAGACAGTTCAAAGTGTTTTGACAGTCAGGTTTATGTCACTATTTTATTGTTACAGCAAAAAGTATTGTCACCTTTGATAAGCCTGCGTACACTTACAGTCGTCACGATCAATTGGCTCGTGTTCCTGTGTCGCGTGAAATCCTTCATAATGGCAAGACTCAAGTTACCTACCGCACACAGGACTTAACAGCTCGTGAGAGCAAGGTGGGAAGGGGAACAGAGGGGCTTTGTAGTTGTGCTTTTCTAGATAAATACAGGTTAATTAATTATCTTTACTATATGCCTGTATCTAGGGTTCAAATTTCCACTTGTCATTAGCCACTGGCAAGTACAAATTAAGTGTGTCATGGCTTAGCAATAATTGGGTAAAGAGAGACACAAACAAGAAGCAGGAAGATAAAAGACAGAGGAATAACAATTGTGGGGGATGGAAAGACAGGACCGAGAAATTCAGGAGTGGGGGTTAAAGGGTGGCATTGGGGATATGCGAAGGATGCGAGAGGTGATCACATTTTCATTTAGGCTTTGATTAAGTCTTAGGTGGTTTTGAAACCTTTTGAAACCTAGCAAAGCATCTGCAGCTATAATGGGGGTTAGGGCGGGGAGGGGGTTTATATTATAGTTTTATGCCTCATTACTGATATTTTATGTTTTGGATAGCCATTGTATATTTAATTATACCTTGATCCATACTCTTAAGTGATTATTCAGGTTTTTTTTTTAAAGTGAGTTAAAAATTTTGGGTCAATCTCTGAGCTGGAAACATAGCTTAGATTTTGTTATTATGTCAAAAATCTGAAGTTCACTTTGAATTCCTGAAAAGTCAGACTTTTATGGTTAAAACTGGCTTGTTTACCTCTGGATGTTATGACGTTATTGTGTGTGTGTGGGTGTTCATTTTTCCACCTTGTAACGCTACTTTTTTTTTAGGATTATGCATTTTCTGAGGGAGAACTCACTTTCCAACCAGGTGACACTCATTCTGAAATTTTGGTTCCGTTGCTCGGGCGCTCTGAGGTGGACACTCTGCTAGGAAACAGGCAGGTCAAGCAATTCCTTCTGGAACTTAGTAACCCAAAATATGGGGCTAAGATTGGCAAATACCCACAATGCACCATCACCATCGATGACACTACCGGTGAGCAACAGAACATTATACATACATACTATTTTTAAGGCATAAAAAAAAGGAACTTAAGCATTAAATAACCAATCCTCATCTTCTCACAACTATTACAGAGTTACCAAAGGTAACACAAGTCCCTTCTCTCCAGTCACCTCGAGGAAAGATAGGAGCTCCCATAAATCTAAAAGCTCAGGCTATCACCGCGAGAAAAATACGTGCCAACTGGGCTCCTCCACCAGGCAAAATATCAGGGTACAAGGTAAGCTATTTTCTTCTATATTTTTTTTAAAGATATTTTCTAATCTATTCTACCCAGGTACAAAGAATAAAAGATAATAAATATAAATAAAGGCAATTGGCAAGGGAGGAACTACATTGACTAAGATACTGGAAAAACAAAAAAACAAAAGAGTAACTATGTACACAGTTCGCAAGTTATCACATTCAAATAGAACAGTATATACATATAAATAATGATGATCTCCATATGGAAATTAATTAAAGAAAGATGTTGGAGCTAAAAATAAAGTAAAAAAAATATTGGAGAAAAGGAAAGAGGAAGAGAATGGTTACAAGTAAATGGACAACTAGATAGGTAAGAGAATACTTAACAAGTTTAGTCATTTTCAAGACTCACCTTCTTTTATGCATACAGTAACATTGGACAGTATTTCCTGTAGTCATTCTGTATGGACACCCACCACATGCTTTTCAGTTATTTTGTTTTGTTTTCATTAAGTCATTAAGTTCACTAAGTCAGTGAGATATTTGCTACAAATGTAAATTCATGTCATCTGATTTCTGAGGCATTTTCGGATGTTTCTGTTCAATATCATGGATAAACTCTTGACCTGTAGGTGCGGTACTGGATTCAAGGAGACTCGGAGTCAGATGCCACGGTCATTGACACTAAAGTACCTTCCGTAGACCTGGATAATCTGTATCCATACTGTGACTATGAGATGCGTGTTTGTGGATACAATACACTTGAGGAGGGTCCCTACACAGATATAGTCACGTGTCAAACTCTAGAGGATGGTGAGTTCCACAGTTTGGGTTCGAGAATCAGCTTACACAATGGTATTTTTAATTTCTTTTTTTTTTTTTTAACAAACCTATGTATTTACCTAAAAAAATAACTTTCCTTTTGTCTCTCTACAGTGCCAAGTGAGCCAGGTCGTCTAGCCTTTAACGTCATTTCAAGTACCGTAACACAACTGAGTTGGGCAGAGCCTGCCGAGACCAATGGTGATATTACAGCGTATGAAGTAACTTACGGCTTGGTCAACGAAGACAATAGTAAGGAAGGCATCCCTCCAATTCATCTGTCTAACTCTACTTTCTCACAGTTTACAACTTTAGTGGACAGATATTTTTTTTTTCACTTTTGGTGAATCCTATCTCTTTCCTCATCTCCATTTTACAATCCACAAATTATGTTAGCTTGATCAGGTTAAAATGAGAATGTAAAATTATTTATATTGTGAGTCTATAAAGTGAGTCAATCGAAGTGTTACTTCAATATCAAAACTAAAGAAACCAAAATATCCTTATTTATTTGGCACTCTGTTCCATGTATAGATTCTCATCTCCAGAATTAAGTTGTTTATTCCAATGGTGCCGTTACCATTGATGGTGAAGCCCGACCACCACCATAATTAAATGATCTTTAAAAACCTTATTCATCTCTAAGATTGATATTAATTAAATTAAACAGCAGGCTTTTGCTTCTAGCATCCAGTTCATCACTTAGGTTTTCACTGCTATCACAGGTTACAAGTGTCTTCTGTGTGTTCTTATATGGGTCATTCTATTGCAGCTCCCACTGGACCTGTGAAGAAGGTCCAAATCAACAGCCCAAAGAAGCGCATGGTTCTTATTGAAAATCTGCGAGAATTCCAGCCTTATCGTTACACCGTAAGGGCATGCAACAAGGCAGGATGGGGCCCGGTGAGGGATGCAACCATGAACCTAGCCACCCAACCTGCTCGTCCCATGTCTAGTAAGTTAAACGCAGGTTATAAATGAAACCATCTAAGTTGGAATATGTAAAATGACCAAACATGATACAGTCCAACAGAATTACAAACAGTACAACACTGAAAATTCCAGTGTAATTCTACATTGATATTAATCATGTTTTTGAGAGTATGTAATTGACAGTTTGCTTTTACGACTAGTGTAACAGTTCTTTATTAGTTCTTTACTATTTTCCACAGTTCCCATTATTCCAGATGTCCCTATTATTGATGCGGAAGCTGGAGAGGAATATGACAGTTACCTGATGTACAGTTCCGATGTTTTACGCTCTCCGGTGGGCAGCAAGAGACCAAGTGTGTCCGACGAGTCAGGTAAGGATCATCCTGTAATCTGCTACCATATAGGAAAAAAGGGTGGACTGGAGATCACTTTGTTTCCCACTCTTATGTAATTGGGTTTTCTATGTCTGTGGTCCCATGTCAGAGACTATACATATTGCTTATTGTGTGTGAAGCAATGCACTCCAGTCTCAGTCTACTGGCTGTTAGCACCACACTGCCCTCCTGGGCTAGTTTAGTGGAGCTCACTGTTCCTACTACACAACCTCTATCCCCATATCTATTTCTCTCCTCCAACCTGTCCTCTGAAGGCCAGCGCTGGAAGTACGTTCCACTCCTGGGCTCAGAATTGGACCTGCGTCGAATCACCTGGAAAGGTCCTGCAGAGATCATACCTCGTCTGTCCAGTTGCAGTGGTCTGTCCACGGATACGGAAAGCACACAGGACCAGCATGATAGCGCCAGTTCCGTGATGAGAAGAGGAACCTTTCGTGCAACACCAGAAGGTGACAGAAGGACGGTGGGGGCGGGATCCATTTCAGTCCAATTAGATCCCCCTTACACCGTCATAAGTGTGAAGTGCTAACAGCCTGTAGCTTGCATGGGGTTCATGTCTGCATTGCATGTGTGTTGGAGAGATGGCGTAATGGTCAATTTACTATGTTTCATCCAACCTCCTTGATTCTCCAACAGGCAGGCTAAACAGAAGCTTCTTATTGAGATGAATAAATAGCTGAAATGTAGCATTCTGGGGTGCTCTCTCTTGTCCATTAACTGACAAATGAAGTTGCTTCAATAAGTTTTGTTCATGTCTTTTAAATATTTAAGTATATTGATAATCATTTAGAATAAAATGATTTTAAAAAGTGGCAACACTCCAATAGTAGATCAGGCTAGAGTTCCTTCAGTACCACCACCGGACCACCAGGGTTTACAATGCTCCCCTCCCTGGCCAAAGATAAGAAGGGAGTTATAGAGTGTATTTATTTAAATAATATAATATATAATATAACATAACAAAATGCATATTTGCTCCCATTTCATATCCCTAGGCTGTAATGTAAACACTGTCTTTTCTCTGGGGAAAAAACAGTGTTTACTGCAAAAAAGCCTTAAGGGAATGATTATACTCACCAGAACAAATACAATAAGCTGCAGTTGTTCTGGTGACTATAGTGTCCCTTTAAAATTAAAGTATCCAAATGTGAGCTGAATTCTGGACCCCAGACGGTGTCAGAGCTGCTTTAATATACAACACATAATAATATTGTATGTATGTACAAAACAATTACATGATAACATTTTATTATCTTAAACACCTTAAAGTTTTGGAGAGGCTTGTAATTGCCACGTGTGTGGTCCATCCAAACATGCTGAAATACCCAAGTTGTGTTGCCTAATTTCTGTTACCACAAGTTTTGCTTGGGGTCCATATTACAGGATCGGTAAAGCTTGAATAAGAGATTCTATGGCTATTTATTTATTTAATTGATACTTTTATTTTTTTTAAATTTCTTTTGTTAAAATTTTATGACCGCACAAATAACACTGTTACATACACAAGACATATACGGCGGGCAACCACGACTGCATAGCAGAGAAAAAAAAAAAGTAAAAATACTATTACAATACAGTCATGGAGTACAACTGTGTCACCGTAAACAGCCTGGTATCTTCACACATATCTCAAAAGAGATAAAGTTGTTTCATAAACCAGGGAAGAAAAGATACTGAATTCATAATATGATAAAAAAAAAAAGACTACAAACAACACAACAAACGAACGTTAACAGAGTCTGCAAAACCCCATAAATAAGTAGGTGGATAAGAAGGCAAACAAGGCCGAGACTGGTCCAGTAACAAATCATCAGGCTACTCCGAGCAGGTACCATATGCCTTGAGTCTGGTGATATTATATTCATTCCACATATCACAAGGTACCGCAGAAGGCGTAGAGGGGCTTGAGATAAAGGAGACCAACGTGTTCAATGTCTTACTGGTTCTATAGCTGATTAATACAGTTACAGTTCAGTAGGAGACTATGATGTTCTCACCCTCTCTGTTTATGTTTCTCTCCTTCCATTTTCTATAAAAAAAAAATTTCATTTTGGGGACATTTTGGTGCTCTTAACCAATGTTAGAGGTTACTGCATGTCGCCAGCTCTGAATAGAATGTGGTTCTGCTGTCACTGTCATAAACTGTTAACTAACAATCGTTTCTACATGAGTATTTGGTTAATGTGAAAACAAGAATTTAAGTGTTAATATTTGACGCAAAGTGTAAGCTGACAACAGGATGTAAGTGATCCTCTATTTCCTTTTGTACTCGCTTATATCCATACCTGGAATCTAGAGAACAATAATATCCCGAAGAGAGCCCTGGAAATAATAACTAGCCAAAAGCAGATTATGCACCAACACAGAACTTTTAAGTCATAGCGGTCCTTGTGGAAACAAAAATACAAAATGTACAATAGCATCAATAAGAAGAATCAGATGTCAGGACAGGAGTAAAAAAAAAAATCACTCAAGGTCAACTTTTCAGAGTTCCCTGGTTTACGTATGTGGAAGTCACACATTACTGAATACATGATTACTATTCTGGTTAGATATATTGTAACACCCCATATTTTTTTTTAGAACAACTCTTGAATGGACGTATGGACTTTACCTTTCCTGGGTCGGTAGGAAGCCTGAACCGGTCCGAGACCTCTGGCTACCACCAACTCGGTAATGTTACGAACCAGGAGGCATACAGGTTTGGCAGTACCAGCTCCCAGTATACAACCATCTCATCGGTACAAGGTGAGAAATTACAGCGGGTAGAAAATATACAAGGGTCAATAGTGTTATTGATGTATTTGTCATTCGTAACTCTTCCTTGCTCCTTATTACTTGCTTTTTGAGTATTCTCTTCAACCTATTACCCAACTAGATGTGTTGACCTCACACTCTTGTTTTCCTACCTTAATTTCTCTTTCTCCCCTTCCATCTACTCTCTTGTTCTCCTACACCATTCGAGCCATGTAATACTCTCTCTGCCACATATAATGGCTCCTACAAAGCCAATCACACTTAACTTATGGTTCGATTTATTTCTACAACTCCATTTTTGCCCTCTTCCTTCCTCTGTTTTCTCTGCTCTCCAAATTGTGATACAACTTTTTTCCAATCAGTTCCTCACTATCTGTTGCTGTCTTTTTTTTTTTACCTGCCCTTCCCGCAGAGCGGGTTGGTGGGTCCTGGCCACGCATACAGGTAAACCCTAGGAGAAATCTTGCGTGCCCACTGGTGAAGGGTTTCCAACTCAACTGTTCTGCCCGGGACTCAATTATCATGCCTGACATTCCTAGAGCAACACACCTGGTGATAGGTACCATGGGAATGTGCCATGTCCATGCTGATTCATCATGCTGATTCATTTCATGGATGCTTAAACTCCTTCAGTGCTAAACCCTTGAGCAATGAACCCTCAGTTCCTCCCAACAGGCCGTGCTGTGAACTGTATTGATCCTGAGTATACCTCTACTCCTCTATTCTCCTGATAGTGAGCTCAATTCAAGGATACACATGGAAACGGGGTTTTATGGGGGAAACGTTGGCTTCAAAAGAAAATGCAGTATATAGGGTACATAAGGTATACTCAGCATTGATATAAATGCAGCACAACAGTTTATTAAGCGTGTCTAATGCATGGTCATGCTTTTGCTCCCTAAAAGTCAGAAGAGTCTGCGATACATTGTAATGTATCTCTTAAAAGCCATATCTCCTCTTCAAGGGCAGAAAGCCTTTAGGACCACTGTGGGCTACCTCACCCATGATGCTTATCCATCCTGTGAGCATCATGGGAAACTTAGCTCACAACACAAAGGCTGGCCGCCGCTTGACATTTTATTAATTTTAATGTATATGTTTTCTTGTCTTGCACAATCTCTGAACGTATCGAAAAGGTATGCACTATTTTTTCAGCAGGATGGGTGTAGCAAGGTATCCCTTGAGTTATTAATTTGTTGAGCATGAGGTTGCTGTAAGACATGAACGATAGTTAAAAATGTAAATAAATTTGCTTCCCACCTTTTTTCAGAGACCGCAAGGTATTGAAATGTTATAATGTTATGTGCGATATGAATGTTGTGAAATGTAGACATATGGTATCCTAGCTTGATTTGACTCTTTCAGTGCCACAGTGGATGCACTTATCTGGCACTCAAATGGTTAAATGTTTTGCAGACTCCTCTGATAAATAAGGGTTAACCTGATGGCTGAATGATCACCCCAAGCTCAAACCTGCACGCAGCAAAATCCCCCTTCCTACATAGCCAAAGAGAATACTCATGCGACCATCTCTGGGCAAGGAGGGTTAACCACGAGCTGCTATAACCACCACATCTTCAAACCCTGGACCTGATCATGCATGAGGGTCCTACTGCGAGACATAGGTGCCCTTAAATGCCTTCCAAGCATGTGTGTTTGTAATGAGCATTGCCACCATAGGGGGTCACTTAATGACATGAAAGAGAGCTGCTGAAAGACATTGTGGAGCTGAGCTGCTAATCACTGTTCTGTTGTACATTGCTGAGCACAATCACAGAAACAGAACTGTTAATTGACATCTCTGACTTCAAGCAGGGTTTAAACAATAGAGGAGCTTACATTGTACAAGTGACCTCTTGTTTTCTGCATGTCCTAGAGTCAGTTGGACAGATACATTCTGAGACATTGCCAACATTCCATTATACGTAAGCTGGACGGATGAGGCCTACTTGCACTGTGCCAGTAAGGTCCATTTGTGCCATATTTGCTAAGCCCCACTAAAACTCTTGTTCCATTTTTCCCTTACTGCACAGGTGCATCAGGACAAAGCAGACTAGGACTACCACCACTAGTACTTGGAGCTGGAAGGGGGCGCACTCACTCAGAGGACGTGAGGGATGCCCTCAGTAGTCTTGATGTTGCCATACAAGGTAAGTCTATCTGTAAGTGGTCTTTCCTTTTCCTGTTAATCGGCATCTCTGAATACTGAGTTTAAAATGTCTTTCTTACTAGGTTCCCGCCTCTCTCCCGGCATTCCTGATACGCCAACTCGATTGGTGTTTTCAGCCCTGGGACCAACATCTCTTAAAGTCAGCTGGCAAGAACCACAGTGTGAAAGAGCAGTGCTTGGGTACAAGGTGCAGTACCAGATGCTTCATGGAGGTAAGTGATCCTGTGTAAGAAGAGTTAAATTTTTTTTAAATTTTAATACGGTGGAATAATATACCGGGCCAATGTACAATACCATTTGTGCAGTTCTAAATATCTAATTTCCCTCATAAAAATAATATTTTTTATATCCGCCATATATATATCTATAATGCTGGTTCTGTTTTCGCTCAGGATTAGCATTTCATACAGTGATCTGACAGACTTGATGTGATATATTACGTAGTATGCGGACATGGATTCTATTCATTTTTCCAGGTGAGACTCGGACCATTGACATCCCAAATCCTCATGAGAACTCTGTGGTGGTGGAAGACTTGCTCCCCAATCACTCATACATGTTCCGAGTGAAGGCGCATAGCGAGGAGGGCTGGGGACCTGAACGTGAAGGAGTTATCACAATTGAGTCACAAGTGGACCCCCAGAGTCCCCTCAGTCCCGTCCCAGGTAATTAATTAATTAATTTACCGTCTTATTAAATTATGGCTGGATTTGGGTGTGCAGTAGCTAGAAAGCTAGGCCATTCACTCATGTAGTGGGTAAGTCCCCATTATGGCAGCCCTTACCAGAAGGTATTTTTATCGTCCTTTCCTTGTAGTGTTTTGTAGTGCAACATAGTATGTATGTATCCTGACAGTTATGGCTTTTTCTTTTTTTTTTCGCAGGCTCTCCTTTCACCCTAAGTACACCCAGTGCTCCTGGACCCCTTGTCTTTACCGCTCTCACCCCGGATTCCTTGCAACTGAGCTGGGTACGACCCAGAAAACCCAATGGGACTATTCTGGGATACATGGTGACATGTGAAATGCTACACGGTGGGGGTAAGTGTGCTGTGGAGTTATTGGGCTCCTGAATACTGTACAGAAACTAAATGTGGGGGAATTGTAACAACACAAATTAATAATGGTACATTAAAGCCCAGGCAGTAAACAGTGAGGTGTAAACCTGAATTAAGGTTCAGGTTTGGAATTTATCTTCATGCATCTCTTGCAGGTGAACCTCGAAACATTTACGTAGAAGGTGATCAAAATGAGACCTCCTTAACAGTTCCTTTCCTGAAGGAGAATCTTCCCTACAAGTTCAAGGTGCAGGCAAAAACCACACAGGGATTTGGACCTGAGAGAGAGGGGATAATTACTATTGAATCCCAGGATGGAGGTGAGTGGCACAATTATAAATAAAAAAAAAAAATGATGCCATATACTCCACTACTGTGACATTGTGTTTTCCTGCCAGATTTTCCAACCAACTAATTTCAACATCAACCTTTGTTTCAAAGAGTTTCCCATTTTTAAATCTGTTGCCAAACAGATTTAACCTATTTTTGTAGCAAAAAAAAAAGTGCACTGGTCCCAGAAGTACTTCCTAGCATTGTGGGGCTATGATGTCACTCAGAGAAGGATTAAGATCCCATGGGGCCCTAGGCAGGTTACTAGTTTGGGGCTGTTTCTTCATTCTTCTCAAAGGGATGGTTAATGGGGCCAAGCACATGCTTGAGGTCTGGTACCCTTGTCTAATCCCTGGGCCCAATGCAGCCACCATATGGTTTATTCAGCTCTGATGTCACCTGAACATGGGAGTGACATCATGATGTATTTCATACATGCCTCCTATGTGTTACTCATATCAGTAAGAACTTCAGTAATGTTTACTAGGGTAAGAGAATGAGGAACTGTTACATCAATTCCACTTTAAATCCCTCACTCGCCAGAATTGTGTAAAAACTTTCATTTACTTTGCAAAAACAATTTTAGCCCATCAAGCCTCATTCACAGCCAGCTACCCTCATTTATACTTTAGGAATGCTTGCCAGCTGAGCCTGTAGAGGAATTAATTTCTCTGGCAGGGACCACTGGCCACTCATTTAATGTCTGCAAGTGTGCTGAAAGTGTCAGCTTCCCACTCGTTTCAAACAGTAAATGAAGTTTCATAGGGGATACTATTCCCACAGTTTGAGGGGACTGAATAAGCTTTCCCATTTTACTGCTAGCACTATACTGGCATACCAGAGACTGATTGAGATTGCAATTGCTTTTTTAAATATATATATATTTTTTCCTATAAACGTAATTTAATTGTATTTACGATATGTGGTCATTGTTCTCAATTACAAACATTCCTTTTTCATATAATGTTGCCATTTTCTGTAACTTGTATTGCTAGTAATGCCTTATAAGCAGGGTATTTAACCACTTGTATGCATCTATTTTGTCACACTTACTGTATGTGTTAAAAATGTATATATACACGCACACCCTGAGAGGTAATTTTATGCACATAAACGTTCATTTACCATAATCGCAGGATAAGCATTGGGAAAATAGAAATATGTTCTTTCATGTTAAATTGCATCATCTGTGCCAGTGACTTCCAACAATATCGGTTTATAAGTCAGTGTAATACTGGATACTACATAAAATGATGTCAAGATACAGATTTGTCTCAGTGATGGTGTTTGATTGCCTCTTTCCTCTTCCTTACATGCCACAGGAAGTTTCACTCAGTTTGGTGGGCAGCAGATGACACGACGTGAGATATTTACCCTGCCTACGGAATACAGTCAGAGCACAGTCACCCATTCCACAGAGCCCTACTTTTCAGGTGAGACTAAATTGTAATTTGAACCTCTGTCTTAGTGTATGATAGTCCAGTATCTTCCTTGCCTTCCAATGGACGATGTACTGGATTTATTTTACGTGGCTATTAGTCTCCCCCCTGTGGCTAAAACTATGCATGTCTAAAATATAAAATCATAGTATATATGTTACAATGTCTAAGCACTGGTATCTTCCATTCTTTTTAGATGGCTCACTGGTTAGCACTCGCCGTATGGAAAGCTCGGGAACTGTTACACAGCAGGTCACCAAAGAGTATGTCACACGGACCATGATGTCAGGAGGTTCTCTCAGCCGGCAGGTGGAACGCCAATTCTATGAGGCTTAAAACTACCCGCAAGCTTGTGCACCATAATCACCTATCACATGTGGACAATGGGTCATCACCTTGCTCATCACTTAAGGGTGACATTTTGTCACCGCTGCCTTTAACCCTTTTACTGCTGCAAGAGTATGTTATGTGCTTACGCTCATTCAACCCCCAGTTCGTACACCGAATGTGTTTTTCGTAATTAGAATTCTAGAAAAGGAAAACACTTCAGGGTGGCAGAACCAGTATCAAAATGTCTTTACTGGGATTCTTTGATGGAGTGATTATTGAGATTACTACACCGGTCACAATAACCCCTGCACTTTACAGCTTTTCGATTGCTGCCCTTTAAGGGACGCTATGTACTGAGTTTTACTTAAATATTTTTTACTGTGTAAATATTAACTTGCCATTTTAAACATTAAGGTGTAGAGGAAAAAAAAAGAACTATGTACATTTTATGAGAAAATATTGTAGAATCTGGGATGACTTTTCCAAAAGGAGTATAAAAAAAAGTTATACAGACCAAATGAAATAATTTTAACGTGTGTCAGGATGTCCTGAAGAGAAACTGCTTTAAAGGTGCTTTGATTTTTATCGTTTTGTTACAAGGGATATTGGTACTGGGGGCTTGTGAGGTCAGGGCTGGAGTTTAATCCAATATACCTTAAGGGGCATGACTACAGGATCCCCCCAGATCCCAAAACAAACAAACACAAGTGGATAGAGAAGGAGAATAAATGGGATTGGTGGAGCCATAAGTCTTACCCCATTTTCCAGATACTTCCTGTTCCCAGAAAAATGCCCATTGTCTCTTAGCGCAACTCTGGTTTTGAACCTTACATATTTTGCTAAAAGTGATCTTAATAGTTACATTGATACATTATAATGTTTATTATTATTGCCATTTATATAGCGCCAAAAGATTGTGTAGCGCTTTACAATATTAATAATGATGTTCTTTTACCAAACACAGTGTAGGTAGGTAGGCAGGACGGACATCCACATTTATCACCATTTGATCAATGACCAAAATATAGGTGGGACTAGAACGTAAATTTCGGACTTGATGGGTATTATGTAAAACAGCAATTGAGGGACAGATGTAGAATCCTGAAGCAATCGTGTGGAACCAATGAAATGCCTCTAGTCATTGCCTTGACTTTTAATAAATTGTCATGGCATTTTCTTTTTCTAAATAGGTTTCCTTGTGTTTTACATAAAAAGAGAAGTGGTGTCAAGGCCTTACATTTACAATTATTTATATAGCGCCAACATATTCCACAGCCCTACAACTCTCCCAAAGAGTTGACCATAAATGGTCTTAGAGGTTTCAAACCTACAGCATCAGGCTGAACATGTAAGTAAAACAAAAAAAATGTGTTTATAATAAACCCAAAGAATATTAATAATGTGGTGAGGATTTTGAATGTAAAAGTGAACTAAAGAACTAAACAGTATTTTCTTTTTTTTCTATTGTGGTGAGGAAATAGTGGGACATTTTCTTCCCTTTGACACAGAAATGAAACAATAAGAATGTTTGCCAATCAGTATCACATACTGCGGTCACATCTAGATGTGTAGAGAAAAGACATGTTTATTTTATATTAGGATGGCATGACATCATACTCCAGATCACGTTTACAATGGCAGCACCCCAGCGCCTGATGATGGTTTGGTAATGTAGAATGTTGGCGAACCTCTGTATTTCTCCTGTGGGCAGAGACAATGGAGGGTTACTAAATAACATAGAACAAGGGATGGTCACATGTATGTTGAAATGATTCTTCAAGTGTCATTGCTTTCTGCTTAGTTTACAGATTGCCATTTTTAAAAAAAAGCTGGTTAACTCTTTGTGATAATAAAATGCATTTTCATACAAGTGTTTTACATTCGTATTAAATCTGATTTTGTTTAAAATCTAAACACTAAGAAGTAGATCCCACAAAGTCCAGAATTGGCCACACTAGAAGTAAACCCAGAAAATGCCTTTAAGGCAGCTCCTTCGAAATACTTTGGTTATTTATAAAATACACAACATGGTAAAACAGACCTCATATGTGACAAGGAATACGGACATAGACATACAAAAAAAAAATCTAACAATGTAACCCTAAATCCCTGCACCTAAAAGAATGGCGGGAAGGGGCGGAAAAAGTAGGTATAAGGCCTAGAAGGGCACAAGACGCGTTTCGCGTTGGTCTTTTGGTGTGATTGCTGGGAGTGAATGTTTAGTGTTCCAAATAATAGTTGAATGAAAATTGTTTTTGTAAACAGAGGCTTTACTTTCTACTAGAATGGACACATTATCTAAAAATCTCATAATAGAGCAATTATCACATATACAGTGATGTATTTAATGAGTCAGTGTATCTCAAAGGAGCAGATGTAGAAAGGCAGCTACCGATTGTAAGGAAATATATACATCAACATATCCTGCCATCCCACCAGCATGTTTTTTTAGGCTTAAATGACCATTAACAGCACCCACACCACTTCATTTCAATGGAGTAGTTTGGGTGCAGTGGTCCTTACGTTTTAACCCTGTGATGTAAAGCACTGCTGTTTAGCAAATATGGCAATGCTTACATTGCAGGGTTAAATATGCCTCTACTGTGAAAATCGAGTCTCACAGTTAATCTCCTACAGGAACGCAGCGCTACTGTGTATTTAAAAAACAGAAACAAGATTTGTTTAAATGCAGGGTAATATCTTCTAACTTATACATCTTAAAACCTACTAGGCACATTTTAGAATGTTAACGTTAGGTTTATTTTATTTGTGTTGATTACTGTAGGTTTGTCCTTGAAGACAGATCAATTTATTACACAATACCCACTGCCCCCACTCACGTTACCTGAATTTTTTGCTTGGTAGTCTCAGCTACAGATGCTTCCAGCAAAGTCACTGTGCAGCCTCCAAACCCTCCGCCGGTCATTCGGCTACCATACACACCAGGTATCTCCAGCGCTATGGCTACCAATTCATCAAGTTCTGGACAGCTAACCTCATAATCATCCCTAGAAAGGCACAGGTGTCAGCCGATCATTTGGAACAAGATAAAACTGTCTGCCGACGTAATTTTATTGTCATATACAAAATGGAGTTCCGTGGTTCCGCAGGATGTTGGGTCATCTCTGGTTATTGTACGCCATTTTTCTATCATCATTTAATTAAGTCATTCCCCCATATTACAGCATTGCAGAATTTGTTGAGCTTAAAAGAATCTAGGCACCATAACAAGATGGAGTTGTTATGGTGCCTCTAGTGTTCATTTAATAATTAAAGTTCTAAAAATCCACCAAATTGAATGCTTGTCAGTACACAAAGATGAAGACAGACAGAGACTCTCTAAATATGTTCTACAGAAAAGAGATATCCATGGAGTTATGTTGTCACTAACAAGAACAGACACCCAGAGTCAATCAGCCTGCCAGAGACATGCACTCAATGCAGGGTAGGGACCCTCTGAGACAATTAGACCAAACAGGGCAGTTAGACAGTCAGAAAGGAGAGGGTTCTACTGAGACAGCCACACATAGAGGAGAGGTCTCCATAAACACAATCACACTGAACAAAACTGACTCTCAAAAGAGAGAGTGCCCAGTTTCTGATGGACTCCAATTGAACGTTACCAAATGGTTTCACTACTTACATGTGTAGGGCACCAGGGCACTCCTCTGCCATAATTGTAGTGGTTATGGTGCTTCGAGTGTTCCCCATGTTTGTGGAAAAGAGAGGCTGTCCAAGAGAACTCTGTCCATATACCATGGGTGGTTTCTGCATGTTTTAGGTTTAAAACCCTTAAATATTTCTGTTAAATTATTTTATTTTGTGGCTTGCAAACCAGATGATTATTTTCTGTATTAATCATTGGATGATGGAAATTACATATGTAGGAGTTTATCATCTTGTATACATCCCGTCTTTCTTCAACCAGAAAACAAAACAAAAAAAACACACACACAGTCCAACTCTCACAGCACACACACTGAAAGAGAGACAAGTCCTAACATATCACTAGTTCGACAAAACAGATTAAGTAAGAGAGAGTTACTCAAACTGTGAGCCACTAATTTAGTAATAAATGTATAGACACCCAATGAGAGGAGCAGTTTGTCTATTAGTATAACATGCCTACCTTAGTGAATTGTGACTCTCTACCATTAATTTCCCAAACTCTCTGTAATCCCCTCTTTTTAAGGCTTGCGCAGCATTGGTGGTCCTCTCGATCTCATTGATCACGTGACGTGCCCGTCTGTAACATAACCCCGTTAGATTCTCTTTTTTTGCTACGAAAAAAGCATAAATAAGTTACCATTTAAAAAGCAGTGGGATGTTACCTGAAATTTCCAGCATTCAGAAAGACTATCAGTGGTCACTAACTATATTTTAAGAGTATCATCTCAATAACAAGTATTCTCAAATCCTTCACTAAAAGGAACATAATTAATCAGCGATTCAAAACAGCCATAAATATAATGTTGCACCTCATTACATCAGATACCTCCAAACTGCCCAAAAGTCAGTGGGAACCCAATTTTTAGTTCTATCTAGGGGTAGATATTGTCGCAATACAAAAAAAATAATATTATATATATATATATTTTTTTTTTTAATTTTTTTTTTAATACAAATATATATGGTTTTAGGTCTCCTGTAAGACAGTTGTTAGACAGAAGTATATTTATGGACTCCGATACATTGATCTGTTTAGTGTAGCAGATGTTTTGTCAGTACGTAGACAACTTTTATCTTAATAAAGAATGTTTTATTGTGCTACCCTATGTGAGCATGTTTTTCTTGTATAGGACATTCAATATGCTATGCAATACACTCATACATTCCTATACCTGTATACACTGCATCTTACTGAACCAGTTTGCACACAAATAATCATTGTGCCTGTTACTGTAGAGCCCTGCAGTATACCCACACTTGGTGCACATTAGTGAGGCGCTCATGACCAATCACAGCTTCTCAGTGAGACAGTTAGTAGACAAGCATGGAATTCAAACATTAACAGATATCTTCTCCAATCGGTTGTGAGAGTATGGTAGTCAATAACAGGTTGACATCATGCAGAGAGATTGATGATAAACACAAATGTCTGAGAGAAAAGCCTGCTGCTATGCTATTCCCCAGTGAACAGTATTTTTTTTTTTTTTAAACCATGTAATTTGTATTTAACATTACTGCTCACTTGACTTCTATTTTGTCATGTAAAGCAGTTTGTCAAACAGTAAAAAAAAAATGACCATTGTGTCTTGTATGACAGTCGTAAGCATCCTTCTGCGAGGTGCCACAGGCAAACACTTACCCTTCAAATCACTAAGGTTGGCGTCTCTCAGTGTCTCTTTGCCAAGAACCTTTGCTGCCTCCTCGCACTGCCTCCTGCGCTCTGGATATTCGCTTCCTGTCAGCTCGTGGCGCACATTGGAATTGGTTATGAGCACCGCCAATCCAGGATCTGTCAGAGGGAGAGGAGTCACCTCTAAGGACCTGAGTTAAGGAGAAGAGAAAAATGGTCTGAAATTCCATGAGAATGTTCCATGAAGATAATGATACCCTTAAAGGGTGCAGTAGCTTGCAATGCAAACAGTACTGTTCTTGGAGTAACTTGTTTGTATGTGCTCTGATGACCTATCCAGAAAATTATTGTGCTCAAGGGATACGTGCAAGCAGCTTTCAGTACACCAGCAAACAGTGCTTTCAATGTAAGCTAACCACTCAGCCCCTACACGTACAGGAGACTGATCTGCATGGTGTGTACAAGCAGCATACAAGTAGTGGATGGCTGAAAGAGGAACCTATGTGTCTGAGGGTAGGGGAAGGTGGAGCTTATGCACAAATATTAATTGAAAAATAGAGACAATGTAAGGCAATTCAATGCTAAAAAAAACACTTCTTCACTTTGAGTTATTGCTTGCGGATGAGTGCTGTACTATCTGGCTTTTCTTTGCTACAAGACTGATTTTAGCAGAATCAGTGTTCAACATTTGAAGAAAAGTGAGTGCATACTGTCTGTTTTTCTGTCCAAGGAATTTAATGCTGACATAGCCTTACAAATATTCTCTAGTATTAGCAGTCTATCTGGGACTTGCAGTGCGGTGCGGACATCAAGTGCCAGTTGGATCACAGAACCAAGAATGATGAAATCAATCATATTTCTCTCTGATCAACACAGATTTCACGTTACAATTTTCACTCTCCCTCAATTAACGCGCACATTCTAACTAATTATATATATATAAACCAGCACTGACATAATATACAGATTTGCAATCTGTTTTCGGAGCATCCGCAGCAAGAGATTATGTTTCTAGCTGAGAACTTCTAAATGCAATTGTTCACATACCATATACCCTGATATGACTGTTTCCTAGTATACATCATCTCTATCTAAAATGAATTTATGGTTTCCACTAGCCCTATCAGACGATTCTCACTGTGTATGCCAACAATTATTGAGAGACTAATGTACATCACAACATGATCCATCCTCACAGTGTGAGACTGACCTGCAGTCAATCAGCAGGGCATGTCCCTCCCTCCCCAAAACTGAGATAAATTGGTCCATGATTCCACAGGGTACGCCAGCAAACGTGTGTTCAGCTTTCTGACATGCAAGTGCCTTCTGTATGGGGTCCCCATCATCTACAAGAGTCACAGTTTAACAAACTCAGTATATTGAGAACATGACATGGGCCTTTCCATAGAACCTGACTTTTTTTTTTTTTTAATTTCTGTTTTATTGCAAACCAATAGCATAAGTAACAGGCAGTGCAGTAGGACACACAGGTCCACAGTAAAAAACAGATTACAATATTTTAAGCCACGCAGGGTAAAAATAATATCCGGAAATAAGTTTGGACTCGCAAGTCCAGTAGAAGACCGTGATGATGTAAAATGCAGAAGATAAAGGACAGTGAAGTAGCATTAAACACAGTAGCCTCAAATCCCAGAGAATATGACGGATAACAGAGGTCAAGGCGACTGCCAATAGGCAGCCGCGTGAAATCTTGATTTTGTACAGATTTATGTTTGTATAGGGATGTAAGGTACGGTCTGTTAAATGTATTGCACAACTGGTGTACCCACAGATGATATAGCGGAGGCACTGTTCCTTCCTCTAGAATCCGAAACCTGTCCCTGGTTTAGTTATTAAGTTGCTTTTCAATGGTTAGTAAACTGGTTAAATAAAATCAACAACTGGATAATATATGGAGCTGTTTTCAATAAGATAAGGAATGACTAGAAATAAATAAAACATTAAAATCATAAACAGAAAAATTATGTTTTAAAGGAACACTCCACGCACCTGAAGCACTTTAACTTGCTGGACTGCTTTTTTGTCCTCTTTTTTTCATTTTACAAAAAGTTAAGATTTCAATAGAATTTGGAAGTTTTATGAATTAAAGGGACACTCCAGGCACCCAGACCACTTCTGCCCATTGGAGTGGTCTGGGTGCCAACTCTCACTACCCTTAACCCTGCAAGTGTAATTATTGCAGTTTTCATAAACTGCAATATTTACCTTGCAGGGTTAAGTCCTCCTCTAGTGGCTGTCTTAGAACACAAAAAGTGTGTTATCCGACGCTGGACGTCCTCACGCTATGTGAAATCCCCATAGGAAAGTATTGAATAATGCTTTCCTATGGGGAGGTTTAATGCGCATTAGGTCACCCCTGCCAGCTGACATCTGCGGGGGAGGAGAGTAGGCAGAGCCTGACCCAGCGCCGAGGAACATCGGTGCTGGACTCCGGTAAGTCACTGAAGGGGTTTTAACCCCTACAGCAACTTGGGATTGGTGGTGGGAGGGAGAGGGGCACTGTAGGGTCCTGCAGTGCCAGGAAAACAAATATGTTTTCCTGGCACTGGAGAATCCCTTTAACCTTGTTACACCTCTCTGGCTTTTATTAGGCACCGGTCCTGTAACTTCCTGGTTGTTTAGCTCAGTGGAGAAAATGCATAATTAAATTGCATGCACGTTTTCTTGGTAGTGTATCTACTAAAAGATTATTTTGTATTTTTGTTTTTTAGACAGTGTGGTGTCCCTTTAACACGCAAGTAACTACAATTGATAAAGAGCAGGGATAGTTAGGACAAGGAATTACCATCAGACAAACCAGAAAAAAATACAACTACTAAAAGCACACCATAATCACTGAAGTAATAAAAGTGAATATTAAAATGACTTAAAGTTCTAATTATTAAAAAGAAAAAAATGTATTCAAATTCACAATAAATACAAAAATTAAACACCTAGTACTTGCTAGTTTTGTTTTGGAGTGCTGGCTTCATTTTCATACTAACCTGGGCACAATTGTTGTAGAAAAGTGTATGTAGCCACTTCTAGGGATGCTGAGCTTGAGAGTCCCCCACCCAGCGGGACAGTAGAAGTAATCACAGCATTGAAACCAGGAATAGGTCCAGCTATAAGGAGTATAAGACAATGTCAGTGGTATCCATGTATGTGGGTATAAAACGGTTGAGAAGACACAGTATGTGTGGTCAAATAGCAAGACGCCCAAATGTTTTAATGGACGTGCACCTCTCTTACCTCTATAGTGCTGTATTACTCCCTTCACATAGTTAGCCCATTTCGGTAAACCAGGTGATAGAGGTTTCCCTTCTTGGGGACCTGCAAAGTCGACTCTGTGAGGTTCGTCAGCTCCCTCGGCCATTGTCACAATGGAAATTTTCCCATCATCTCTGGGGGTCCCTAGGATAGCAGTGAATAGAGGCAGGGCCTGCACAGGGATATAAGATCATAGGGTTATAGGATGTTCTAAAAAGAAAGATCACTTTGATGCTCTTCCAGTCTTATGTTGTAGTTCTCCATGTAAACAGTGATCATAACGGGGCAGCACTATTGCCTCTGAAGACTGCACAAACTGTTATTCAAACAGTGCTTCCACCAAATGGCAAGAAATCAAATAGAAAAGCACCAGTCAAGTTGTTGAACATTTAAAAAAAAAATTTTTTTTATTTAAAACAAAAAACAAGCAAAAATATAAAAACATATTACAATAAAGGTAGAAACATAAATTGTATCATAAATCAGATTCACTTTGGACACATGGTATAGACATGTTTGATGAACAGGACATGAAAAGTGCTACCCCGCCATTTGTACTATTTTTCACTGAAAGTTGTCTTCTAGATAGAGCAAGTCATAATTTAGTTACTTTGAAGCAAGAAGAGTTAACAAAATATATTTTGGGGGATAGAGAGAACATTATTTTATTATATATAATTTATACTAATCACTGTTTTTATTTCTCAATATTTCAATTTATGGAAAGAATTCCCAATTTTAAGCTTGCTCTACATAAATACTGCATTGTGTTCATTTTTTTTTTCAAACTGGTGCAAAAATAGTGTACATTTGTGAAGGAACTTCCTGCATTCCAAATGAAAACAATCAGACACATTTTAGAATTCTGTGTTATTTTCATTCTGGAACGCAGGGTCATGTGACATTCTATTGGCTGTCACATGACATGAGAAGGGGTCTAACACTGACTGATCTAGCTCTGTGGTCTCACCATGGGCAGCACGAATCCACCATTGTAGTCCGTGTGCTCGCCGATCAGATTAACCCTTCCTGGGGCGAATACTCCAATCTGGGGCTTCTTGCCCCCGAAACACTCGGCATATACCCGCTGGGCTTCTTCAATCTGAGCAGCCATTCCTCAAAGCGACCTGACACACAGTTCCTGGTTTAGGATCGCCCCGCCTTAGCTGATGTATAGCCAGCTCTCACCGTGTGTAATGCCCACTATAACCCAGGAAAATGTGCTGAATGATTGCAGATAGAATATATTTAAACCTGTATGTATTGATGGGCAAGACATGAAGAGCTCTGCCCAGCAGCATGACCGATGTCAAAGGTTGCGAGCAAGAAATGAAATGATTAATAAAAATAATATCATGTAATTAGATTTGAGAATGGACATATCAAGAACAGTAGTGAAAATAATTCTTTACAATAGGAATATGAAAGACTTAAAAATGTCACCCTATGTATATATATTTTTTTATTTTTTACGTATTATATATACTGCATTACTGTATTTGCAAAAAACTAATATAAAAAGGAGCCTTTTTAAATGTCACTCTGTGTGCTATTTAATTAGGAAAGGCTCACTTTAGTCCAGTGTTCTCCAAACTCTGTCCCTCCAGATATTGCTGACCAACAACAAGAACGTGATTCTTTGAATGAAATAGATAGCCAGAGAATCATGGGAGTTGTATTTCAGCAACATTAGGAGGGTCAGAATTTGGAAAACACTGCTCTAGTCTATGGGGACTATTTAGGGGATTATAGAATGAGTAATTTAATTCCACAGAGCAGTTACAATCATCACAAGGGATGATTAGAACTGCTTAATAAACCACAGCCAAGTTAAATTAAAGCGAAGTTCACCGATGGACAAAACTCAATGGAAAATGGCTGGATTGGCAATTCTCATATTTATTAGTCAAGCTCTGGTCAGAATATGGTCAACAGTGGTGGCCATGTTAAGCCGGTTAGGTGACTTCCTCTCTCCTTGCTCTGGAGAGACTGAGCTCTCAGGCCATCGGTCATAGACTGAGTGCCTGAGACTTTTTGTGCCTTATTTTGCATCCTAATGCCAGGGGCCCTTAGATGTGCAGACCAGATACAGAGCCCACTAGACCACCAGGGATCAACTCCCTCCCAGAACCAGTAAGCAGAATGAGAGGGAAAAAAATAGTTTTTTCATATATATATATATATATATATATATAATTATTTTTTTAATAAAATGGTAACCTAAAGCCCCTATCCCTACGTCCACACACCCTAGCCCCTTTTTCCGCACACGCGCTATACAGTCACTATTCGCCCCACACACACACACACATACACTACAGTCTCTATTACTCCCACACACTAAAAACCTTATTTCCCAATGCACACTACATTCTCTATCCCCCTCCCCCACACACTAAGGCCACTATTTACCCCCTAAAACTAAAGCCAATATCCACACACACACATTAATAACAAACAGCCCAGTCCACACACAATGGACTAGTAGCTGGTCAAATGCTTTTATTTTGGCAATAAAATAAAATCAGAGGATTCTTATTGTTTGATTTACAGCTAGGGAGGCATTACTGAAAGCAGCTCTTTCACCGTCATGGGTCTTTGCATATTTTGAGGTGATCCTGCCTCTCGTCGGCACCGCCATCCTCTTCCATCTGGTCCTTTTTAGCTCCTGGTGCTTCAGCAGCCCGAAGCTGATGTTGGTGCTGGACTTTTGCACATGCGCGTGAGTACATAGATCCTCCAAATTGTTTCCCCCTACAGCCATTACTGGTGACGTCAGGAGGAAAGGACAAGCTTGACAAAAGGTAACGCCTCCTTTTGCTAAGCATAGGAAAAATACTGAGACAAAGTAGTCCCTACCTACCTAGTATTAAGTCTCAATATCTTCTGACTGTGTAAAGCACAAAATTCCAACACAGTCAATGTGATTATATCATAAAGATACAATCTTTATGAAATAGTAATGTTGGTGTATGGAAGGGTGTGGGAGAGGGGGGGGTGGGTGGAATGCAACATAACTGCTTTTATTAATTTAAGTTCCTTTTTCTAAAAGAAGCCGGCACTTTTATAAGGAGCCTTTAAAATGGGTTTCTTCTTACCCAAGCTAAAGTGCTTTATGGGTGTATAGTGGTCCTTTAGGTCCCCACTCCCCAGGAACAGATAATAGTGCTGCCACAAAGCAGGTCCTAAAACTCTGCTACTGAAATCTCTTTAATAAATAAATAATACAATTTAAAACCAGACAGGACACACCGTTCCTAACTTCCACACAGTACATTATTTCCACGCAGGACTAGCACCTATCAACATTACATAGTTTTATAGATTTACGGTGACACATTCAATATCATTCATGAAAAATAATCATATGGGAATTAATTCAGAAAAACCACAAACTACAATAAAATATAACTGTGCAAAGAAGGGGACATAGACACTTAAATCATACCAGTCTGTCCGCAATGTCATCAAATGCATAACATATTTAAACACATTATTTATTTACAAAGCGCCATCAAATTCCGTAGAGCTGTACAAAAGGAAGACTAACAGACAAGTATTTCCAACAAGGCGAGTTGGATGCACAGGCACAGAGGGTGTTGAGGGCCTTACATTTTAGAGGGAGTGGGGTAAAGTGACACAAGAGGTAGGGGTAGGATGCATTTTCCGTACAAGAAAAGTAGGTTGTTCGAATAGTTTACAAAATAGGCTTCGTTTTTAAGATGACACAATAACAAGACGTGGTATACCAAGGTTTGGGGAGAAAAGCGAATTATTATTATTGACATTTATATAGCGCCAACAAATTCCGTAGCGCTTTTAATAACAGTATAAGTGAATTGGTTTTCTTAAAGAAGTGGGTTTTCAATGATTTGAGGGTATGGAGACTGGGTTAGAGTCTAATGACGCAGATAAGGTACTGTAGTTTCTTAGAACGATGCAGCCCGACAGAAGTCTTTAAGGTGAGTGTCAGAGGTATGAGCATGAACAGGAGATAGAAGCATTTCTTGGTATACTGTAGGGGCCTGGATGGAACATACTTTTGTATTAGCGTGAATAGGTAGGTCAAAGCAGTGTTATGGAAATAAATACCAGAATTTTTATTTTAAATTGAGTTCTATATCTTACGGGAAGCCAGTGTAAGGACTGACAGAGGTGGGAAGTGTGGGAGGTATGAGTCGATAGGAAGATGAGGCTCACCGCAGTGTTCATTATAGAGTTCATTATAGTGTTCATTATAGCAGAGCAAACTGGAAATGCGTGAGACCAATGAGAAGCGAATTACAATAGTAAAGGCGAGATAACATAGAGGCATTGTCCAGCACTTTAGCTGTGTTAGATGAGGGCAGATGCGAGCTATGTTTTTGAGATGGAAGCGGCAGGATTTGGCAATTTACTGGACATGAGGGGTGAAGGAGAATTTGTAATCAAAGAGAATACCTAGGCCCCCCGGTTATACGTCCTTCCCCCAAACCTCCCCATCACACTGGGCCACTTGGACCTCGAGATACTAGCTCAACTCATAATACAATCCAACCCGAACGCGAGAGACACACCACAAAGACCTCAACAATGAAAACAAGCAGCCTACGTGTGTCATCCAGTTGGAAATTGCAGAGATGCAGTCAGAAACACTAGTCAAGAGGGCCGGTGAGATATCAGGAGAGGACAGGTAGATTTCAGTGTCATCTGCAAAGAAGTGATATTGGAAGCCGAAGGAGCTGGAGAGTTTACCAAGAGAGGCAGCATAGATTGAGGACAGTAGGGGACCAAGGACAGAACCTTGGGGAACACCAACAGAGAGGGGTTGCAGAGGAGAGGAAAAGCCAGAAAAAGAAACAATGAAAGAGAACTGGGAGAGGTAGGAGAACCAGGAAAGATCAGAGTCTCGTAGCTCAAGGTTACAAAGGATGAGAAGCCATTAATATCAACAGTGTCAAAAGCAGCAGAAAGGTGAAGGAGAATTAGAAGAGAGTAATGACCACTGGATTTAGCAGCAACTAAATAACTTGATACTTTGGTCAGGGCTGTTTCGATAGAGTGATGAGTGCGGAATCTAGACTGAAGCAGTTCAAGCAGAGAGATTCAAGGAACTTCTTGCATACACAACTCTCACAAGGAAGTTGGATCAAATGGTAGTGAGATCAGACATGTGCATTCGTTTTCGTACGAATACGATTTCGTCAGAAAATTCGTGTTTTTTCATATTCGTTTACTAGGACATTAACGAAAGCCCTACAAACGAAATATAAACTAAACGAAAGGGCAAATGGCGAATGCATTACCTTTTCATTTGGTTTTGTTTGTTTAATGGACTACATGCTGCAGGGGAATCAACCCCCACAGCACGGAGAAATAACAGTGCGCATGTGCGACAACAAAAACAAGGAGGGAGCCGGCAGCACTACAAGCTACCTCCTTGTAATAAATATTCATTCCTACCCTATTAATATAAATGGGGGGACCTAATGTCCCCCCAGGTCCCCACCTATGAGCGACGGGTGAAGACCCTAATAGAGACCTTACATTTACCCTAATAAGTCTCTACATTTACCTGTCACAGCACTCTTATTGGTGAGCTTGAAATCTAACCAATCAGAGTGCTCTGTGTCATTTAACACAGCGTGGGAAAGTTCTTTTGAATTTTCCCATGCTGTGTAATTTGACTCATCACTCTGATTGGTTGCTTTCTTTTTTGCCATGGTGGGGAACACAAATAACTAAAATGGGGGGGACATAGTGCCCCCCCCTGCCCTTGCCCATGACCCACGGGTGGGGCTATTAATATAAACAGGGGGACCTAATGTTCTCTACCCATGAGTGGGTGGGGACCAGGTTGGATTCCATAGCTGCCCAGTCACTAGTACTTTTAAATTTGTTTAGGCGACATGCCACTTCTCGCGGCATGCCGTGAGTAGGGGCATGCAGGAGGAATTAACCTCCCTTTTATCAATATTGGAGTCATAGTGTCCCCCATACTGATTTATATTTAGTTTTATGACAGCGAGCAGCCACTGGCTATAAATGTATCCACTGGATATAAATGTATCCTATGTAGAAGTGTTAGAGCTACGGTAAGAGTCCATGTACAAAGTAGCTATTTAGATCTAAATAGCTACTTTTTCATACTGAAACATTGTTATAGTTTTTGCTATAACTTTTGGTTACATGTACTCTTACGGGATCTCTCGATCATTTCTATGTAAGATACTGATTTTTATATTCAGTTTTAAATGACAGCGAGTAGCCACTGGCTGTTAGCTGTTTAGGCGACAGGATTTAACCTGTGCCAGGTCCCCCCTTATTGCACTAGTGACTGGGCAGCAATAGCTGTCTAGTCATGAATACTTTTAAATTTGTTTATGCGACATGCCCCTATAGGGCATGCGGCAGGATTTAACCTCCCTTTTATCAATATGGGGGTAATAGTGACCCCCATAGGTTTTAATGCAGGGGGTAGGATTAGTTATTTATTACAAGGAGAGAGCTGGTAGCGCTGTCGGCTCCCTCCTTGCTTTTTTTTTTTTTTAAATGTGCATGCTCAATTTTGTCCAAATTATTTTTCAACGAATTTTGTTCGAAAATGAATGGTTTGTGGACGAAATTCAGGATTGACGAATGAAATTTTTATTTAGTAAGAAATCATTCGTACGAAACAAAAATTTCACTGGTGCGCATGTCTAAGTGAGATAGGGCGGTAGTTGGATGGAAAATTCGGGTCAAGATTGAGCTTTTTTAGAATAGGGGTTATGGTTGCATGCTTGAAGTATGAAGGAAATACACCAGGGGAGAGGGAGGGATTGAAATTTTTAGTGAGGGGAAGATCAAGAGATGGAGACAGTGTGAATGAGATGTAAGGGAACAGGATCAAGGGAAAAGGTGGTGGGACAGGAGGACCGAATCATAGCAGAAACCTCTACTGTGGAAAAAGTGGGGTTGGGGGAAGTTTTGGCAGGGGTAAGTAAGCGATTAGAGATATCTTCCCTGATCGCAAAATCTTCTCAGTGAAATGAGTTGCAAAGTTTGTTGTGTTCAAGTTAGTAGGAGCAGGAGCAGCAACAGGGCGAAGAAGAACTATTAAAGTGTGAAAGAGGCGTTTGGGTTCTTGAGAGAGTGTGGTAATGAGGACATTGAAGTAGTTTCCTTTTGGAAATGAAAGAGCCAATCTGTACAAGTGTAACATGAATTTATAGTGGAGGAAATCAGATGCAGAATTAGACTTTCTCTAGCAGTATTCAGCAGTTCTGGAGCATTTTTGAGGTATTGGGTCAGCTTAGTGTTGCTGACAATGTTTAAATGTAATAGGTGTCATAATATCTAGTTAAAAAATGAGGGTGGTGTTGTAGACAGAGGTTGCAGAGTTAGGACAGGTAAGGCTTGAGACAGGTAAAAGGAGTGTTTGTAGGTTGGTGGAGAATTACTGGAGGTAAAGACAGTGGTAGTTTCTGTGGGACTGGTGTACCGCAAGTGGTATAATTTAAGTATGGGTTAATCAGCAGGTGGTGGTCAGATAGAGGAAATTGAACATTGGAGAGCTTAGAGGCAGTACAGAGAGTGGTGAAGATGAGTGTTTCCAGCATGAGTGGTTGAGTTAGACCACTGTGTGAGGCTATACACGCTTATTGTCAGGATTCCCCAATATCTTTCTTTCCGATCGGCATTACCCTTCCGACTTCCGGGTTTTGAAGATCTGACTCTGCCCATGCGTCTGACGTCACGCGCGTCCCTTTGAAAAGGAATCCGAGAACTAATCAAGATTGCTCAATCAATTTGTGATTTGTGCCTCTCGCATACTTGCTACTTTGTTGCAGATTGCCGTCTGAGCTTTACAACCAGTTTCTCAGTGTACCGAACCTTTTGGCTTACTCCTGACAACGCTGTCTTCCTTTTTTACCGAACCCTCTGGCTCGCTCCTGACAACACTAACTTCTCTGTGTACCGAATCCACTGGCTTTCTCCTGACTGCTCCACTCCCAGACTTTGGAACAGACATCACCACTTCCTCTATTCCTCTACATACTTCAAGGAACCACAACCCTCACCTATTCTGGAAAGGACTTCAATGCCCACCATTCACAGTAAGCAGAATACGTTCTCCAGTTCTTGGGATTATTAATTGGTTCAAACCTGAAGTTTTTGGGAAGGATAGGAAGGAATATAATTGTCTGCCCTCTTGGATTCAGCTACTCATCTCCTAACGAGACCTTCTCATTATTTACTTCTACCAGAACCTAAAGGACTCTGTTTCATTTTCTAAGACGAATTAGCTGTGTGTTATGATTGCTGAAGTTAAGAGAACTTTATTATTAATAATTAAGGAGTTGCCTTATTTAATTTAATTTTGCCGAACGTGATTCGGATTGAAACAATTACCTGCAAGATTATCTTTACTCATGCTTTATCATTTTAGAATCTTATTACAACAGAAGATTGCCAAAGCAAAATTGCTTTATTTCAAGAAATATTATTTTCTTAAAGTGACAGTATCGAATCTCTTCATTCACATGCGGTTGAGTTCCAAATAACTTTGGCACAAGTATTACACTTATGTATATGTGTAGTAGTGTTTGTGTGGGTAGCAGTGTTTGTAGAGTTTATGTGTGTAGAGCACTGCTCATTTGTATGTTTAGCTAAGTGCGTGTTTAGTATTTGTGTGCGCAGTACTATGTATCTGTGTGTGTGCCTGACAATGTGTATTTGGGTGTATGTACATGTCTAACAGTATGTATCTCTATGTACCTTTGTGTGTGTCTGTGAGTGTATACCCTATATTTGTCTATGTTTGTATCCAGTGAGTTTTTTTAATGCATATATATGTGTTTGCATTTCTCTTTGAGAGTGTGTGTCTCTTTCTGGCAGTGTGTTGGGGGTTCCATCACTTGGTTTGTAATGGATCCCAAGAATTATAATGGTGGCCCTGGTGATAAAGGTGACTAGGTTAGGGTAGCTGAGGGGCATATGTATGCGAAATGATTGTTTGGGCCATCATAGGATTATAGGTGTGATGTGGTTGAGGCTGGAGATAATTTGTGGATTATGAGGTTATGGGTGACGAGGGGATGATAGGATTGCAGTGGTTATGGGGCAATCACACACATAGACAGCCGGAACATCACACACTGCCTTCACCCTAATAATAGTGAAGGCCGGGGACCCAATATATCAATTACATGTAAAAAAAAATCATTAACTTCAGATTTTTCAGTAAATACCAAATAAAAAGTGAAAAATAAATCCATTATAACCTGAAGAAACAATTAGGAATAAAAATGTTTAAAAAGATCCTGTAGCGTTACTCACCTTATCCAGGGGCCGGCCGCGGTCCTCTCATCGAGCCGCGCGCGGTCCTGCTGCTGCACGAGCCGCACGCGGCTCATCCGACAGCTTCACTAGAAAGGCGGGCAGTGACCGCGAGAAGCGGTCACGTGTCCCGCCTGAATCTAAGAGCACGCCGCGAGTCTCGGGCGCGCTCTTAAAGAGACAGTGGGAGCCTAAATTGTTAAAAGGCTCCCATTGCCCCTGTCATGCCACACTTCCCATACACTTACCTTTTGGGGGTGTGGATATGACAGGAGCCAATCACATTAGTTTTGAAGCTATATATACTTACCTTTCCCTTTACTCCCTGCCCTATCGTGGTTTCTGTATCAGTTCCCTTTAGCACTTGTTGTGTTCACTTGTGTTTCTCTGTATTGACTTTGGCTTTGTTTCTGACTATGTTTTCTCTTTATCCTTATCTGTTCTGGTTGTCGGCTTGCTGTTTACTGTGTACCAGACCCCGGCTTGTCCTAGTTTACGCTGTCTCTCTGTGCCCTTGACTTCGGATCGTTCCTGACTCTGCCTCCTCTCATATACCTTGAGTCCGGCCATTCTAAGGTCCGGTAGACGTATCTCTCCTCTGTGTTGTCTTCTGTTTAGCTGAATCCTGCGTGTTGGGGTATATTCTCGTTACATTACGATAGGGCCATGGACCCCGCAGATTTGGCTCAGCAAATGGCTTCTCATGAGGCAAGGTTTGTAGAGCAGGATCACCGTATGGATCAGATAGCACAGGCTCTCCAGACGCTCTTGTCTAGAACCATTCCTGCAACCGCACCTAACCCTCCTACACCTCATCCTCCCGAAGTATCCAATTCACCCAATACTTCGCCCCATTTAACACCTCCTCCTAGGTATGGAGGGGAAGCCAAGACATGCAGAGGTTTTATTAATCAAATAGAATTCCACCTTGAAATGTGTCCTCATTCCTTTCCCACTGATAGGTCTAAAGTGGGGTTTTTGATGCATCAACTTACTGACAAAGCACTTGAGTGGGCAAATCCTATTTGGGAGGCCAATGGACCTATGGTGCATAATTTCAATAGCTTTCTTACGGAACCCATGCAATTAGGGGTTGCCAAACTCTCGGATACTGAAAAACTACTTAGAAGAAGGAACGGACTCTGCCTATACTGTGGTAGGCAAGACCATATGGTAAAGGAATGTTCTTTGCTTCCGGAAAACTCTCGCACCTAAGACCTTATAGGGGACTGGCCTTGGGTGTGATATCTAAGTCTCCTAAATTACCCCCTTCGAATGATAACACAGTCATCCTGATGATAGTAGATCGGTTTTCCAAGATGGCTCACTTTGTGTCTCTTCGCAAGTTGCCCACATCCAAGGAACTGGCTCTTATCTTCGCTAGAGAAGTGTTTCGGTTACATGGTATTCCTGTATCTATCGTGTCCGATAGGGGTAGCCAATTTATTTCCAGGTTCTGGAAAGCCTTTTGCTCAGAAATGGGTATTTCTCTCTCATTTTCTTCCGCTTACCATCCCCAGTCTAATGGAGCTGCTGAACGTGCCAACCAGTCTCTGGAGCAGTACCTTCGTTGTTTTGTGTCTCACCATCAGGACAATTGGTCTGACCTACTTCCTTGGGCTGAGTTTGCTCGGAATAAGCCACTCATGATTCTTCCGGCAAAAGCCCTTTTTACGTTGTCTATGGCCAGCATCCCGTTGTTCTTCCGGCTGCATTCTCCTCACAGGGCATGCCAGTTCTGGATGAGCATTTTGCTGGTTTGCGTAATACTTGGGAGCAGGTTCAGCGTTCTTTGGTGGATTCCGCTGCTCGCCAGAAGGCTCAGGCTGACAAGCATCGCAGGGCGGCTCCTACTTATGTTGTGGGGGACAAGGTTTTGCTTTCCACGCGGAATATTCGCCTGCGGGTGCCTTCTATGAAATTGACTCCCCGCTTCATAGGTCCTTATCGTATACCGCATAAGGTTAATCCTGTTTCATACGCCTTGGGTCTTCCTAGGAATCTGCGTATTCCTAATGTATTTCACACCTCGTTGTTGAAGCCTTACGTACGCAACCGCTATACCCGGCATTCGAGGAGCGCAGTTGGATTACAGCTGATGCTGTTCACGCTCCCCGCCTTGTGCGTTCTTACCATTCTCGTTTTCCTGCCAGGCCTGGCCCTACCCGTCTGGAGGGCGTGTCCTCGGGGGGGTACTGTAGCCTTACTCACCTTATCTAGGGGCCGGCCGCGGTCCTCTCTTCGAGCCACGCACGGTCCTGCTGCTGCACGAGCCGCGCGCGGCTCATCCGACAGCTTCACTAGAAAGGCGGGCAGTGACCGCGAGAAGCGGTCACGTGTCCCGCCTGAATCTAAGAGCGCGCCGCGAGTCTCGGGCGCGCTCTTAAAGAGACAGTGGGAGCCTAAATTGTTAAAAGGCTCCCATTGGCCCCTGTCATGCCACACTCCCCATACACTTACCTTTTGGGGGTGTGGATATGACAGGAGCCAATCACATAGTTTAGAAGCTATTTAAACTTACCTCTCCCTTTACTCCCTGCCCTATCGTGGTTTCTGTATCAGTTCCCTTTAGCGCTTGTTGTGTTCACTTGTGTTTCTCCGTATTGATTTTGGCTTTGTTTCTGACTGCGTTTTCTCTTTATCCTTATCTGTTCTGGTTGTCGGCTTGTTTACTGTGTACCAGATCCCGGCTTGTCCTAGTTTACGCTGTCTCTCTGTGCCCTTGACTTCGGATCGTTCCTGACTCTGCCTCCTCTCATATACGTTGAGTCCGGCCATTCTAAGGTCCGGTAGACGTATCTCTCCTCTGTGTTGTCTTCTGTTTAGCTGAATCCTGCGTGTTGGGGTATATTCTCGTTACAGATCCAAATTGCAAAAAAAAAAAAAGTAAAAAATAAATCATCACCCTTTTAGGGCTCCGCCAACTGATATTTCGAGGTGAGATAATATTTTTAAAAGTCCTTTTCACGCTTTGAAATGTGAGTTAGAGGGCTCTGACAGGTAAGTCTCATCTGTCACGAGACATGCCGGCTGGGAATATTTGATTTTCGGGGTCTTCCCAATTCAAGGGTTACTACACACACCATGACCACTTTGTGATTTGACACTGGGTCAACAGAGAGCATCGGAGCCCAGTGAGAATGACTGATTACTGGGGAAGCGTGCCAGCGTACTCCTGTAGTGGGATGTAGTGATTATGATACTCGATGTAACCCTTTAAGACCAAAGTATCTGAAACGGAAAACATTCTCCAAGTCAGCTATGCTTTTTTTTTTTTAATGAATATAATTTTTATTTATTCTTGTGTTACTTATGCGGAGATCGGAGACTCCCAGGTCTCTAAGGTGAGTAGTCATAATTTTTCCTTGAAAACAACAATGTATGTTTGGGCTCGCAGGCCCACAATGTTGACGGACTTGCAAGTCCCTGTTTTCCAGGTTCACAAGCACCTTCAAGTACATCTTACCATCTGTCATTTGTTTTCCTAATTGGGTTTTGTTTACATGGTTTATACGTTTCATGTATAGTAGCCGGTGGTCTCCTTATGTTTGTGTTGAGGTTCGCAGACCTCGTATGCAGCCTTTATTGTTAGGTGCCGTTCATGTCCCTAAATTTAGTGTTGGGCTTTGTGCCTGTAGCAGATTAATGTGAGTCTCCCCTTAGTGTCCCGGGTGTCCTGTATCTAGGGTACAGTGTACCTGTGTTGAGAGGGTTATGACTCATATTTCGGGGGGGTTTGAACGTGGTTCGTTGCTGCCCTCAGGCTATGTTGTGGTTATCCCGTCTGCTCGGTCTATGTTTCATTAGGGTCGTGTCTCTTGGAATTTATGAGTTGTGTGTGAACCCGTATGGGTTTTCCGTTCAGGGCCCTAGTGTCTTCAGCTATGCTTATAGTTTGGCTAATTTGTCCTTAAATGTGAAATTCAGGTTGATTTCACTTTGAATTCCTGACAGTGTTCTCTTCAGTAAGTAACTCTGAAAGTGTACTCTACTTGGTCTGACGTGTATGTCCACATTCCTATAAGGGTTTTGTAAAGCTTTTATGAGTCCAGATATCCCGACACTGGGTAGTCTATGCACAGTGCAAACTGGATGAACTTGCGATTAACTTGTACATTTGTACTGAATCGTTTGTCTGGGTTATTTACTAAAAAATTTAGATTAACCCCTTAGTGACCTTGAGAGTATCAAGTACATCTGATAAAAAACGGTCCTTAAGGTATCAGGTACGTCTGCGGCTAATTAGAGCGCTGGAAGCGATCATGATCTCATTGTTGTGATACGTTTTACTGTTTTGAAACACTATTATTTGTGTTCAGTGAAGTCTCCCGAGTACAACAGTAACCCCCATGTGCAGGTTTTATAGTGGTTTACAGGGTCAAATATAAGGCAATTTTTTCACATTGAACTTTGCCAGATTGGTTATGTTGCCTTTGAGAGCGTATGGTAGCCCGAAAGAAGACAACCCAAGGTATTACAAATGGGGTATGTTTAGTCTTTTTTAGTAGCCACTTAGTCACAAACACTGGCCAAAGTTAGCGTTCATAATAGTTTTTTGCATTTTTAACACACAAACAAATATAAATGCTAACTGGAAAACTGGAGTGCGCACCCTCCAAATAAGGTCTTTTAGCCCCCAGAGAACCCGACACACCTATACATGGGTGGTATTGGGGTGTTCTTTGGCAGTAACCCTTAAAGTTCTCAGTACATGTATTCTTTTTTTTCCAATTTGACAATTTTTATTGGTTTCGCCAGTGGTACAGAAGAGAAAAGGGGCGGAAGGGGGTTTACATGATTTGATTTCTTCAGACATTTCAATGACATCTTTACATTCAGGCATTAAACATTAAACAGCATGAACAATGGCATGACATGTACCCCACTTCCTTCCTCTCGTCCTGGATGACAAGTATCTAGTACCAGTGGTGGGGGGGGGAAAGGGGGGGGTAAGTAATCTGTTATCTCTCATGCATGTCCCGTGTAGTTTTAAAGCTCTTGATCTCATTGGCCATATCCCGGCCATCATGTTATTCCAGCCTATACTCTCCTCTGAGCTTTCTATGCATCTTGGTCCTGCATTTTGGCTC